TCGCCGCTCGGGAGGAATCCACTAACGACGACGTCATGCCCGGTATTGCTTCCGCGGTACAGAAACCAGAAAACAGCCTTCGGTGGCTTAATAGAAAATAAACTAAAAAGAAGTAAACAAGACACTGACGCATGCCCCCCCCCTTCTCCAATTTTTTTTTACTGCGGTATGTGCGGTCGCATCCGAAAACTGGTTCGAGGATTACGATTTTCCAAAATCCCACGGTTAACGCCCTTGCCCACTTATATTAGCATTTCCCTTTTGACTTTTTACACAGAACGGGTTCAAGGCTACGCTTTCGTAAAAAACAAAAAAGAGAAGTTAAGAACAGCGTAACGTAAAAACGTAACGCAAATGTAACGCGCTAAATTTAGCGGGCTTCCCGCCAAATATAGCTGGAAGCATTTCCAGCTGAACTCCATTACCCCGCCAAGTTTAGCGGAGAAGTGGAATAGGTGTATACGGGGAGCAAGTCGTCTGCTTCTTTGGCAGGGGTTGGGAGTGACGTCCGAAAGACGCCGAGCTATGATTGGCTCCGATGGAAGGATAGTGGGTAGACCTCAAAGCAAGCTGCCTTGAGGTCTGCCCACTATCCTTCATTCAGAGCCAATGAGAGCTCGGCATCTTTCTGACGTCACCGCAACTCCTGCCAAAGAAGCAGACGAACTTACGCTTCGCATTATTATACGCCATTTCAAGGTTGCCCGCTGAATTTCCGAAAAGGAAGCGGCTGAATCCTCAAGCTGAATGATATACTCCGTTTATACCCTGCAGCTGAGACTAGAAGCTCCGCCTTCAGCGCGAGCTCGCTGCCTTCCGCAGTGCTTTGGGTGCGCGCGCGTTCCCACTTCTGTTAGCAGGGGCAGAAAGCTCGCGCTGAAGGCGGAGCTTCTAGTCTCAGCTTTTGAGGGTGAATGGAATATACTTTGTCACGCCGAACGCTATGTGTTTCCTGACCTTCAGCAAGACGGAAGCTCTTGTTCCCTTTCTCGTTGCGTTCTCTATGGAAGGCCAGAAAAAAAGGATTTCGTTTCATCTCATTTATTTACTTTCAGGGCACGGAGCATTACAGGGGGGAGTGGGGAAATGTTGATTACCGAGTAAGTAGATTTAAATAAAACGAGTAACAAAACAAAAAAATTCGGGTTAACAAGTTAACTAGCGTTCTTTGTTGTTGTTGTTGTTGTTGTTTTTCTGAAAAGATAGCAGTCGGCGGTCTAAACATCGGAGGATGGGAGATGGTTCCAGCGAGTGGTAAGACATTTATAAAACGCATTCGAATTGGAATGAGGAATTCTAACTTTACGATGGTGACGAGACACAAAGAGAGTGAAATGAGCCGTTCACGCAGTGCAATGGTGGTGTAATAAAGTTTATGAAATAAATAAACTAAGACGAGCGATGTTTCTGCGGACTGGTAGATCGGGGGTCAAAAATTGGCCTTCGTTGTGGAAGCACTTGCCGTTCGATGGTAATTAAAAAAAAATGTAACGTACCTATCTGTTTTGCATGGCTTCAGCCGATGTAATTAGTGAACTCTGATAAGCATCCCAAGTAGATGATACATACTCAAGTTTAGGTCGTACAAGAGTTTCATACAAGATAAGCAGGGTTACGTGTCTTAAATACTGATAAACCCCGATAAAGAACCGCCGAAGTGGTTTTCTCGGAACCGGGGATAACTGAAAAACCCCGATTCGGAGCTGCCCTTGAATTTAAAAAAAAAATCCCCGGGTACATAAAAAATTTTCCCGCGGCATTTCTTTCTTTTTTTTTTTTCTTGTGGGGCTATTTTTTGGTGTCCCGAATTTATATATATATATATAGATATACAGTTGTTTTATAAACTCAGCCCCGATTAAACTAGATTTCTTGCCTGGCGCTGAAAATAAACGCCGAAAAACACCGATTACGGAAGGTATAATAAATCCCGAAAACACACACTCGAATTTGAAGATAAATAATCCCCACAATCATTGAAGCTTATCTTAGTTAAGCTTCAGTGATTGTGAGGCTAATGAAAAATTCCTCTTCGGATATCCTAGCATGCGGTTGGCATCGTTAGTTACGCAATCTGTGTGTGTTTCCCATGTGAGGTCGGATGTGATATGAACTCGTATTAGCTGTCGTAATACAGTCGTCAGGAAAAAGAAAGATATTAGATAATATTAGATAATATTAGAGACGCTAAGTCATTTATGTAGAGGAGAAATAGTAAAGGACCCAAAACTGGACCCATCTGGGAATCCCGAAGTGACAGAAACTGAATTTAAACTAAACCCACTGGCATTTTTCTTTTTTTCTTTTTGCAATTAGTAAAAAAAAAAAAAATTAATACGCTGGGATTGATGTTTAGTCTGCTGAGTTTCAATAGTAGTAATGTGTGGAATACCTTAACAAATGCCTTCGAAAAATCGAAGAGGCAGTCTACTGTTAAACATCGATCTAGTATGAAGGTCATATGTAAATTGCATGCAATCTGTGCTTCAAGTGTGAATGATTTTTGAAAACCGTGCTGAAAAGGGGAAAAGGAACCGTTGAACTCTTCGAAATTGACTAGACTGTAATAAATGACATGTTCCAGAATTTTACATGGTCAGTGAGATAGGGCGAAAAGTTCGAAGACTGTTTGTCACCTTTCCTTGTGATTTGGAATCACCCTGGAGGCCTTCCAATCATCTGGCAATACAACCGGGCTCAAAAGACAATAGGCTGGAAAGCAGAATTAATAAATGCATTTTTTTTTTTTTTTTTTTTTTTTTTTTTTAGAATTGACATTTTACAAGGCCTGCTTCGATTTTAGCTGAAACACGACACATGAAGGGTCCAACAAGTGAAGAAAAAAAAATGTTAAGCTCAAATTTCGGCGCTTTTTTCCCTTGCTCGTCGTTCACGCACGAAATAAAACATTTGTTCAAAAATCGGCCGCTCAAAGCTTTCCTCGCCCGCTTGTCCTAGAGTCATCCGATATGACATCACAGATCTCGGTATATTTTAAAAGTGCTGTCTAAGATCTACAAAAAGCTTGTGTTTTCATGACCACAGAAGCACCGAAAAACACGCTGATGTAAAGAAACTTCGAACGCATGGTAGCTCGGGAGTTAAAGCAACCCACGTGACTTCCGGCGTCTCAGACGTCACTTCCGCCGTGCTGGTTTTCAGGTTTCGGTTTAACTTTGTTAGTGGCATTCTCAGAAAATTCGCCAGTTTGCAGGAAACACAATAATAATAATAATAATAATAATAATAATAATAATAATAATAATAATAATAATAATAATAATAATAGACAACGAACTATCTCTAGAAATATTTCTCACAAACACAATAGATGCTGGGAAATTTCCCATCTACGAGTAGTTCATAGTTTCAGCAGGCAGCCTTCGTGCTGGTGCGGCAAGCATACCCTCGAACTCAGAGCCACTCAGACCGTTTCCATGACTATCGTTTCATTGTTGTACCTCGATTATCCAATATCTTAATTCGTGCATTTTTTTTATCGCTTGTTGTTGCTGAAGGTTTTTTATTTGGTTCGGGAGGGTCGCAACAACGTGACTTAACAAAGAAAAAATAAAGTCGGAAATCTTACGGGCACATTGTATTGAATACTAAAAGATCGAATTGTACAGAAGTAAATAGAACTACACATTGTCGAACGCTCATTCTCTGTCCAAGTGTAGCGCTAGAGGTCTGAACCAGGTGCCAAAGTTTCAGCAGTAACAATTATCTTATCTAAAAGTTCTAAGTATTTTTTTTTTTTTTTTTCATGAAAAATGGGGCCCATTTTTGCCCGTTTTCGATTCGAGAGTTGTTTCGGACGCCATTTTCCAATTGAAAATTTAAGAAGAGCACATACATTTTAAAAAGATAACGGTTTTGGTGAAAACTTCAAGTGTATCTTTGCAGCATTTGCACTTCACCCATTTCAATGTCCAGTATTTAAATTACTAAAACGTGTTTTGTATTGTTGATCTATTAAAGTAAAAGACTACTCAAAGTACCTAAGATGTAAATAAATAAATAAAAAGTGTTTGTTTTTAAATGGGGCCTTGTTAAAAAACAATGTATGTTGATATCTGTTATTATCCTACCGAAGAGAAAAAATGCGTACACAGTTGTTCAATAAGCTTATCAGGACTTATATAAATTATATAATGCGTATATGAGTTCTTGAGTGAGTTCTCATATGTTTACTCTATATGTTTACTCTTATCTTATATGTCTTTTCTTTCACTAAAAATACAAAGGTGCAAGTTTTTAAGAAAAACATTTCAACTGCGTTGATATTCACAACTCCTAAATAGAAAACAAAACGCCCCCTTACATTTTTTACTAAAAAGAAAGATATAAATTGTCAACGAATCGTAATGTGCTAAGTTACTCGACAAAAACAAGTATCCAGAACGCGCGCGGCAAATTCCGCTTGCTAAACGCAAAAGCCAAAAAAAAAAAAAAGGGAGGAAAAAAAAGGAAAACAGCAAGAAATCCGTCGTTGTTCACTTATCAGCGCTGCAGAATTTCGTAACGGCGTTTTGCCACTGCAATTAAATTGGCGTTGCAAGGCTGGTTTAGCCAGGTTTAGCCGAAAGCACGGGAGAGAGTTTGCCGTGATCGTCGGCCGGACGTGAAAACCCAATGTAGGACAACTTTCGATTTTTCTTAGCAGACTATCTTCGAAGGCCGCGGTGTGAGATCAACACAAAAAGGCTTAAAACGATTGCGACCTGTATGCGAGTAGCACCGTTTCATCACTTGTCGTAAAGTGCTCTGAACAAAGTGCACAAAAAGAAAGCGATCATTAACCAACGATCCATGATCGAAACGCACTCGTTCGTCGCATTGCAGACGAGAAAGTTGAGCAGACGATTTTCGGAGACACCGTCTGCCATATCGTCTGCGTCGAGCAGCGACGAACGGTCTGATTGAATGATCTCGAATCTAGTCGTTTCCGCATCTGGCACTTGGTCGAGGCTCACGAGCTGCGTCGTGGAGTTGCTTACCTCTATGACGAGGGTAGCGGGACACTGGCGAGCTTCGAGAGAGAAGAAAAAAAGGAAGCCGTCAACGATCAGAGCGGGCGAAAGGCGTCGCTCAGCGTCGAACTTCCTCTCCGTCCCAGCAAAGTCGCCCGATCTTTCACGTCGTCGTCGGAGACGGCACCACAAACGCACATCGACGTCGACGACGCATGGGGGTTGCACTTTTCGCGAAGCGGGGCAGCGGTTAAAAAACAGCCGCACTCCGACGACGAGCCACAACAAACTTGTTCATCGTCGCCTTCCGACAGCATCGAACAAACTTTTGCCCCCCTGGCGAACTTGCAACAAGGCAGCAAGGCGGCGCAAAGGCAAGGCCTCGGCGTGGGGGAGGGCGAGTCCGGACGATTCCTCATTGGGCGGATTGAGAGTGACGTCAGCCGCGTGTCGTCTGCGAGCAACAAGTGCTGCGATAGTTGCGCGCGCGTCCCATTGCCGCTCCCCGCTTTTCCTCTTTTTATCTTTTCGAGTATTTTGTCCCATCCGCTCCTAGCTTCTTATCCATCTCAACCCCGTATTTATGTATGTAAAAATGTGCGGTTCATCTAGGTTTAGCGCCGTTATCTGGCGCTGATTGTTATCGAAGGAGTTTCGCGTGTCGTCTGCTAAACGCGCTCGCTAACGTCGTCTGCTAAGCGACACTGAGGAACCTCAGCGAACAGTGAAACAAACGTGCCTGCCGTTTTATCCTTTTGCCAATGTCGAAACTGCCACCATCCCCACTTCATTTTGTAAATTGACAGAAATTCGCGAATGTCAGCCAGTCAGTCAGAGACAGTGCCGTAGTTCCCCGAAATGCAGCCATTTCTATAATATATGTATGCATTTTGACTCCCTCTTCCCCCCCTCCGCACCTCAGGTCATGAGCATCCCAGCCACCCAAGAAGAAGAAAAAAAGTAATATAAAAACTTCCTGCCTACGCCAGTGGTCAGAGGGACCAAAGCCTTTTCAAAGCGGGGCGGACACTCGTGATAATGCCTCTGGTGTTAGCTCTGCTTTGCACTGTGGAGAGGTTCCGCGGTGCCATAAGTTGGTCAGAGCCGACCGAAGTCATTGAAGCATGTCACCAATGAAATTCAGACACCTTCTATTCTTTACTCTTTTTTTTTTTTTTTCACTCTAATAATGTGAAAAATACAACCCTCACATCTTGATGCTACGAAGCCGTACTAAGGGACGCGATATTTCCAGCTATTTATAGAATCCCTGTCGTAGACCACAGCAAACTCGGTTTCAAACCGGTCGTTATATGCGGTGCAGCAGCTGCTCCCCTGCTGTTTACGTTCTGCGCAGTTCTGGCGCGCGGCTGTGATGAACTGTTTGGCTCAGCCTTCGCCGACTACCCTAATGGAATTTACGTCATGCCGGAAGTTCCAATTAACGCTGAGACATGCGCTCTCGCAACTCGGCTTATGCAATACTCCAAAAGACCACGTTTTGAGCTAAGTATTTTATAACGAACACGCCAGACCAACCCTGAATGAGAAAGGCAGACAACTTGAGAACAATGGATATTTTATTAAACAGAATGGTAATATTTTCAAAAACAGTCAACGAAAAAGAAAAAAGTGCTAGGATACAGTCATTCCCTAATATTACAGTTCGACAGAAAAGCAAATGAGGGGGGAAATTGGCGTTAAACGGAATGGAAAATTCGCGCGACATAGTAGCTTTCGCCGCTACATCTCATTCGGGCCATCGAAACCGAAAGCAAACGACCGAATCGCCCGCCCTCGCGCGACGGACACCTAGAGACACCTGGCGATCTCTTCGTCAATCTCGCGGTTCCACCAGCTACGATGAACGTCGTCCAAGTGGTTGTCGAAGTCCGTCAGTGACCGGTACTTTTTGCCCCTGAGCAGCGACGAAGTGACGTCCAACGTTTTCTCAGCGAGCCGACAGACCCGTTCCCTCCAACGTCCGTCCTGCGAACCGTAAACCACGAGCGGAGCCTTGTCTAGATGCACGGCGACGGACTCGTTGTCGATCATGATGAGGCAAGCCTCGGAGAAGTTCTCGGCGATCTTGTCGGCAACGCGGTAGGCGATGGCGTCCGGCGCCGAGTCCCTGAGGTGCTCGTTGGCTTGGTAGTATCCGGCGATGACCAGGCCCGATGTCTTGCAGTACTGATCGATTTGCGCGAGCGCCACTTCCATCATCGGCGTTAGGCCGAGGCACTGGTGGAACAGCGGTACGCAGTCGACGATGTTGAGCTGTTGCTGCTGCGGCGTCTGCTGGGCGTCGTTGGTCGCCTGCTTGCGACGGTCGTCGGCTAGGAGCACGCCGTTGACCGCGTGCTGAGGATACTTGAGGCAGTGGAGCAGCATCTTGCTAAAGGCCCGAACGCCCAAATTCACATCCGCGTTGCCCACCGCCATGTTGGATTTTAATTGATCGGGGAGTTAGTTTGTGTAGTGGCCGCAGGGGGGTCGCCTCGGTAGTGCCGTGGCGCCCTCTCGTAAAAGGGGCAGCAAACGATAAATTTCAGACCCTATGCGGTAAAAGCATAATAAAATTACTCATTTTGTATTTCTTCCAGGACTATTTTTATTATGTTCGATTATTAAATGATAGTTTACCTGGCTGCAACCACTCTTAATCCAACCCTTAACCAAGGTGCCACAGATTACTCGCCAGTTACATGCAGGCTCGGAAAACCAACATAGGCAACGTTAATAATCAGCCCCATTACGGAACAGCCCATACACTCCGTGCGACGCGACTGGCGCGCCGCCGCGCGGCCGGTACCGAAGGTAGGCAGTGAGCACCGTGAGCACCCCAGAGAAAACGAAACCGAAACCACGCCGCGTTCGTTGGTACGCGTTGAAGTCGGAGTGGTGCTGTTGCGCTGGGTTCACAGCGCTGAGTTCACAGCTTAATGACGCAGCCTGTGCTGCGTCATAAGTGCTTCAATAGTTATGCGTCGTATCTCGTGGAGACAAAGTTTCACAGTTTTTCACCTCGCCGATGTTTTGTGGGGCAGCGACAACGATGGAGCCGTGCCATACGACGCGGGAAATTCGGTGTCCCGATCATGTCTGCCACTGTGTCGACACGGCTGACATATTCTACACTGCCGCTTTGCGCTCTGCGTTTGTTTTCGTACCACTAACGCCTACATGTGTCAGCGGCGATGGGACGAACTGAAATGCCATCCCACACTCGCGGGTATGCAGTGCCAATTTCCTTGGGGGAATGCCCTCCAAAGAAGTTTCGTCCCCATCGTACGAGTCGATGATAATTCCGGACAAATATGGCACGCAATCTGTACTTCATGAAGAAAGATTCGAACGGTAAAAAAGTGCAAATATAAATCTAAAGAAAAAAACCATGAAACTCGGGATCACTGGAGAATCGGCGTTTGAGTATGGAAGTTTATGTGGTGTGCTTTCTTTCTTGACCAGCCTCCTTTTGGATGTGGAAACACTGACACCCCGAGTTCTGTAGACAACAATTTTTTTTTCTCGGCTTTAGAGCCACCTATCGCAAAGTGGTTCGAACTGGAAGTATCGTCCATTGGTCAATCCTACCTGTAAAGTGTGCACCTCCCACGATGAGTGGTATTTTCTGACAGCCTTTGACGGTCAAAGCCAGTTCCCATTTAGTTACGCCGCCCAAACTAAATTTCCACCTGGTTTCGCTATGCCAACTATTTTTGTTATAATAAGTGTTGTGCCAAGTGACGGTCATGTCAAAGTACCTGTCGGCTGAAAATCAGCACCTCGCACAACAGGTTATTACGTAACAGCTGACCGCAAAAGTCCTTGGCGGCTAAACCGTGTGTTGGCCGAGAACTTTGTTTTCTCGGATTTGGAACCACCTTTCGTAAAGTTGCTTCAACTGGAAGTACAGTCCACTAGTCCCTTCCTACCTCTAAAGTCTCCACCTCCCCCGACCAGTGGTATTCTCTTGACAGCCTTTTCATGGTCAAAAACGGTTCCCATTGAGTTACGCCGCCCAAACCAAATTTTCACCTGGTTTCCCTATGCCATTTTTTTTTTTTTGTATGTTAAGTGCTGTGTCATGTTACTGTCAAGTCCAAGCACCTGTGTGCCCAAATCTGCACTTTGCACAGCCCGCTATTACACAACATTTTGGGTCCAATATTGGATATACCGTACAGCTTTATTTCTTTATTCGTTAGAAACAACTTTCACACCTGCCGTCTTAGTGAAACTTGGCACACTTAGTGCAGAAACTTAGTGGACATCTCCCTCGCCTCCAATATCGTCGTTCCAGCAGTCCTACGTTTACAGCGACGAGCGAAACAAATTTCCCACTCAGAGCAATTATGGTGGCGGCCGTCTTGCTTTTCAGAAAATTGCTCAAACTCCTTTTTTGGCCGCAACTAGAGAAATTACCCCTAACAACGACTAAAACTCAATATATAAGAAGTGAAGAACAGCTAAATGCCCTTCTTAGGTCTGCGCCAGCACTCATGCAACGTCACCCTCAACATATCGGCTCAAAAAGCAGAAGTTTCGACCGTGCGCGCTTTCGCCGCCACAGCTTGGCATGCGAAAAGGCGCCGCAGGCTGCTGAACGCGCCTCACTGTCGAACGCCAGCTCCTCCGCTAGCGGCGCTGCGCGCGTTTTTCAAAGCGCCCCCTATAGTTCCCGCACGGAGTGTATAGACGCCACTTTTACAAGCAGTACCTCCATCCCCTTGAGGTCCGCCTCCAGTCGACAGGCCACCATTTCTTGGCGAGACGGCAGCTATGATAACTACAGTGCAGCAAGTTTTGAATCTCAGCGTCTAGATGGCACTTTACTGTGGCATCTCCAAAGAATCCAGTTTTGAAACGCAGCCTTTAAATGGCGCTTCACTGAGTGGCGGGCTCGAGGTGGAGAGGGGGTACCCGCCTCCACAGGAGTTCCACCACAGAGATGATCTAATAACCTTGCACCTAGGCGAGTGGAACACAACTCGTATGCAACTTGTAAAGCATTGCTTTATTACTTGTTTTGCGTAACACAGAGATCTTCCTTCCTTATATACAATTCTAAAAGGCAAAAACCACGATGAAAGACAGAGGCATTTGCACGGCGCCTCTTCGCCACGTAACCAGTGTGTTGAAGGTCTGCCCGCATTTCTGGCAAACACTGCAAGATGGCGCAGCATGCCTAGGGTAGAGGGAGACCTGCGAGAGGCGATCAAGGAGCCACACTTGTTCGCGCACACGTTCTCAAGGCCGCGCCAGAGTGCCATGCGACGCACGACCGCACCTGCATGAAACTAACTTTTGCCGCCTCGGCTGGCCATGTTCATACACCTCTCTCTTCTTCCACCGTGAGCAAAACTGTGGGTAAAACTAAAACAAGCGTATGTGTAACTTGAATCTTGCACTCTATCGTCAAGGCACACAGGGTGGCTTGCTGCACCGGTGCAGCGCGCAAGCGGAGGTACGAGAAAGCTCGCATGCTTGCTTTAATTGAAAAAAAAGAAAAGAAAAAAAGAAAGAGTCAATTTGAGACTCGGCTGAACTTAGAAAAGCGTCGCAAATCTATGTACAGGCGCGAGGACGTATCGACGACGCAACAGGTCCAGGAACGTTGATTGCAGGGAGCGTTTGATCGATCGGCACTGATCGATTGCAGTCCGCTCGCCTTGTTTCCGTGGTGCCAGGTTACCACGTGGTCCTTTCATTTTTTCACGAATCCTTTGGTGATCTGCGAGCAAATTGGAAAAAAAGAGATCCCCGTTACAAGAACAAAGTAAACTATATTTGCGGGCATTATTCTATATGAATACCCTCTCCTCTTAACCTCGCTAACCAGGTTATAAAATGCCTCGCAGCGTAATAGTATTGCAGTGTCACGCGATTAGCAAACTTTTAGAGCGCAGCTCTTAGGGGCCTGTTCCCGGCTTGAGCGGCGTCGGCGTCGCCGTCGGCGTCGGCGTAACCAAGGTCATCCCAAGGTCATCTCAAGGTCACGTGACCCCCTGAAGGTCACGTGACCCCTAAGGTCACGTGACCTTGGGGGTCACGTGGGGTCATCTTGGGATCACGTGACCCCCAAGGTCACGTGACCCCTTCCAAGGTCATCTCAAGGTCACGTGACCCCAAGATGACCCCACGTGACCCTTTGAAGGTCACGTGACCCCCAAGTCACGTGACCCCTCTGAGGTTACGTGACCCCTCTGAGGTCACGTGACCCCGAGGTCACGTGGTCTCCTCCCCAAGGTCCCGTGACCCCCGAGGTCACGTGGTCTCCTCCCCAAGGTCCCGTGACCCCCGAGGTCACGTGACCCCCACGTGACCTTGAGATGACCTTGGAAGGTCACGTGACCCCTCTGAGGTCACGTGACCTGGAGGGGTCACGTGACCTTGAGGTGACCCCCAGGTCACGCCTCCACGAAGTCACGTGACACCCCCCCCCCCCCCCCCCCCGAGGTCACGTGACCCCCCCGGAGCATATTAAAGAATGAGGGGAGGAGGAGAAGGGAGAGGGGTCTACCCTCCCCTCAGTAGCCTTCACTCCTCCTCCTCAAGAGCTGCGCTCCAATTCGGCGTTACAGGGATTTGTAAACGGCTTTCACTTTTTTAGATTGATTTCCTTCCTCTTGCAAAAAAAAACATATTTGGCTCTGTGTACTGTGCAGGTTTCGTTTAAAACTCGTACCACTGCCCAACTACAGAGTCAAGGCCAGCAACGTGTCAATGCCGGTCAAGAGGATCTTCGCCATTGTGACGTCCATTTTCAGCCTGGGGACAGAGTATGGGTCTGGACACCTACTCAGTGCCACAGGCTCAGCGAGAAGCTCCTCAAGCGCTACCTTGGCCCCTACAAGGTTTTTCGCCATCTGGGGGAATCGTACTACGAGGTGCTGCTCGACGGAACCCGACCATCATCCTGCCGACTGCCACTTCCCGAGGTTGTCCACGTCCTGTGCCTCGAGCCGTACTACGCTTGATGGGACTGTACACGTCTGGTGTTTAATGCGCCACAAAGCCTTTTAGAGCGCAGCTCTTAGGCGCTTGTTTCCAGCTTGAGCGGCGCCGGCGTCGCCGTTGGCGTAACCGCGAGGTCACGTGACCCCTCCGTCCCAGGGTCACATGACCCCCCCCCCCCCCAGAGGAGATTGAAGGATGAGGGGAGGAGGAGGAGAAGAAGGGGTATACCCACCCCTCAGTACCCTTCCCTCCTCCTCAAGAGCTGCGCTCTAATTCGGCGTTACAGGGAGTTGTAAATGGCTTTAACATTTTTCTTTTTTCTTTCTTATTTAGGGGAGAGTAATGCCGCATTCTTGGATACAAGCGGAGAGAGTAGCACAGTGGCCAGCGTGCCCAAATCTCGTGCGGCAGTGCCAGGTTCGCATCCCAGCCGCAAACCCTTCTTTTATTCTTTCGTTAGTTTCTGGAAGGATCCAGAAAGAATGCGCAAGTTCCTTTATTTTCCACTTGTGCAAGGCGCTATTCTAGCACTTTCTGGGTGGTACACAATGTACGCTATAAAAGAGCCTGCCCGTGGGTAAAACAGTGTGCCAGCACTCAATCCAGCCATCTTCAACAAAACAGTACAGTGATGTCTCATTAATATGGACACCTTCCATCCCCCAATAAAGTACCCATAATGCGAGTTATGTATAAACAAACCTATTTACCCTGTTTTCCCCCCAAAATGTTGCCTACATAGCATAATAGCTATACTGACGAGGCCCGTTCTAACGAGACACGACCCTACGTGAAAACTGACTCGAAAGGATGGCAAGATGGGGTCTAACATAAACAGCCTTTAGCTGACAAGCCCGGACTACAAGTTATGTGCGATTCGTTTCATGGGTGCCAGTTTCCGCCTCTAGATGGCGGAGCATGACTTCACTAATCATTAATCTAAAGTAAAAAACGAAGAAAACAAATCGCCCAGATGGCACAAGTCACCACCCTGTTTAAAGGGAACAGCTGCCATGCAAAGAAACACACCAAACTCAACACAAACGGCAAAAAGCAGGCGAAAAGCTGTACTTGCCACAGAGAGAGAACAATTTTGCTTTCTGACCGGGCAGACGTCACGACACAGTGGCCTGAAAGGAAGACGGAACATGGCAGACGATAACAGAAACAAACAGACGGACGACTTTCAAGTCAAAAGACAACAACATCACGAAACGACAAAGAGCAGTTGACAAAAAGTTTCAGGATACAATGGCAATGGTACGCCAGCAAACGGCACGTAGACGACACAAATTCAAGTTGATTACCTGCTTGCAGGTCATAATGACAATTCCTAGGTGCACCTTTTGGAATACCTAATGAGACCAGAGGCTATGACCAAGAACACATGGTCTGTGGAGTCTATTGGGACATTTCAAAAGCCGAGGTGGCTGAACATTGACCTTCAGGAAGGCCAATAATACTGGCTCCTCTTTTCTTCAACTGAGGGAATGGAACGAAGGAAAGAGGGCACAAAAGGAGAAGAACATGGCCGCATGTACCCTCCACTTGGGGGGGGGGGGGGGGTTTGAAACCAAACTCTCGCTCGTGAGAGGAGGGTGAAGGAAGGTGAGGAGAAAACGCTAAAGTGGAGAGGGTGATGTAAATGCAGTACCCTTGAAGCACGTGAAAGGGGTTCGTTATGGCTAAGCACCCCCCCCACAAGAAAAACAGAAAAGTTCCCGGATACACTACTACAAGTCATTGCAATCTGTGCAGAAACTAGGTAAATACAGATCTGAGCAGGGCCAATAAAAACTACATTAACCGTTCCAATGCACACATATGGCAAGGACACCAAAGCATAAAACCAGCTTCAATATGGCACAAGCACAAAGCCGGGAAGCACTGCAACGTATCACTTATATTCACATGTTCACACCCTTTACTACGCACGATTCTGTCACTGCATCCACACCACTACCATTTCTACCTTTAAGCCTTCTAGAACCAAACCAATTCTGAGAGTGAATCAACCCCCTACACTCCATGTGGCATCTCCACTACTACGCTAGCGAGCAATCAGAGGTGCGATGACGGCGGCCATTACAAATCTGAAAGTGCCCGCCTAAACGAGAAACCGTGCACACCACGGGAAGTGTTGTGGTATTTGTTTTGTTTTTTGCGAACCATAAATGTTACGGTTGCGCAGTGTTTCACTTTTCTGGGGCTATTCATAGTTTTGAAATTAGACGCGTGCACGTGATACGTACGAAATTGTTCTGGTGGTAGTGCCAATTGGAGTGCCAGCTCTACCGATTCAGACTTTTGACGCTCCTCAGAATTGGACTCTGAGAATGAGAGCTTACCGTTTGATGGAGAAGCCCCGTAAAACACCTCCGATTCGGAATCTGACACCGCCAAAATGTAGCGGAAGTGGGCGCGCCAAAATAAGACCGAACGGAAGAAAAGTGACAATTTTTTGCCTTCAATATTCCCATTTGATGCTTCTAAACCTGAACAGGTTGTAAGCACTCTACGTGTTCCCGCTAGATAATTAAATTTAAAAAAAATGACGCATTGACCCTTTCTTTATATACAATCCCTTTGAAAGCAAAACCCGACCACAGGAAGACATTTTAGGGGGGAAAAAACATGACCGTCACAGGTGTAAGCACTGCACGAAACCCGCGTTCTTGCTGAAGCCGTCCCCCAGACGATACCGACCTGTTCGTAAAAGGACCAGGCCATCGCAGTCACCAGAGTCCTCCGCAGCATCCTCGGAACGAGTCCGCGGAAGTAACCCACAACGCCCTCTTCCTGCGGGCAGAACGACCACAATGCATCAGGAACCACAAATCACCAGCGGCAATGATGAACGTCTCGCGACACATGTTGTACGCCATTGCACAGCGTGAAATGTGAGCGATTTGTCTCCATTTACTTCACAGAAGAAAAAACGCGTGAAACATTTTGGCGGCTAAAACCCGTATACTGGATCGCACTATGCTGCTTCCCTGCGGCGCGTGTGTGCCATGGGGTGAAGCCCTATGCCCAGGCTACCGAGTGCACAGCCAGCAAATACAGGAAGGTTTGAGCTTCCCGGTTCCGTCACTGTACGCCCAATTCACGAATGCGGAGTTTCACTCGGGCGAGCTTACTCAAGCTTGAGAACCAATCGATCTTAGCAGCACTCCATTGGAGTCGCAATAAAAAAAGAATTTAAGGCACTCTTTCGCTTTACTGTTTAAACATCCTGTACGCAAAATGCATTCACGATATACCGAGTGTTTTGGCGAAGACTTTCGAAAACTCCTACCAATAGAGTGGATGAGAAAAAAAAATTCTTTTCGGAAACAGACTGCAAGCCACGGCAGATGTCGCGGAATGCAAAAACAGATACCATTTAGCTAGGTAACTAACCAAAATTTACCGATTAACTTTCTAATTAGTTAAATAAACATGGTTCCAATTAGAAACTTGCTGAGCATCACCGAAATCCCCCAAGTCAGTCAATATTAGGAAGGACTTAAAGCATGTGTGAAGCGTGGAAGTGCGTCTGTTTCCGCTCGTGGAGCAGGCATGAGGCTGGTGATCCAAAAAAGCGGATGACATTCTTATGATTCGCGTTTTCGCATCGCAAGCCTTGCACCTGCTGCACGAGAGAAAATTGAACGCACTCCCGCGCTTCACGTATGCTTTAAGTCTTCTTAAAATTTTACTGATTCAGGCGTTTTCGACGACACTCAGCAAGTTTCTAATTGGAACCACATGCTTATTTTCACTAAATAAAAAGCTATTTCGTATATTTCAGATAGTTAATTAGATAATTAGTACGTTTTCCACAATTCTCAATGTCCACCATGGATGGCAGTTCGAAACATTCGTGCTTGAGAAAAGCCATTTTATTTCTTTTGTTCTAACATTATTTTTTTTTCTTTCTTTCACTACGATGCAATTTGTTATGACGCCGTTTGTTGAAACCGCACGAGGTGAGCGTTGACGCGTCTTGACGTGACGCACAGTTCGCCGAGAAAGAGCGGAGAGGGAAAGGCGGTGGCGACAATACGACCATACAAATTACACATTCGCTTTCGCAAAAATGCACTCCGCATTAAAATGGGGGTCGAAACCTACTGACGACAGCACGCCTATGTTTCTACCAACTACCGACACAGTTCTGACGGCCTCAAAAGAATGGGTTGTCGTGGCAAAGCTTCAGGCACAAAAACCCTGCCAAGGCTGAGAGAAACCTCTAAGTCGATAGTCATAGTGTCTACTCGTGCTCGCTTTGTTGATTTACAACGTACCCGTCTAAAAGAATCTATCCCAAGTCATTGGCCATAAATACTGGTCACTCCACTGTATGTATCGCTATTCGTATGGTAACAATAAAGAAAGGAAGAAACCAACGACACGAGGCGACTGGCGCACGCGCTCACCTTTCCGATGAGCAAGATGGTGCTGGTAATGCTGGTGAACTTGGTCGGGCAGAGCTGCATCTGCGTCTTGATCACGTCCGCCGGCTGGGTCACTCCCGACGCCAGCAGTCCCGCCGCCAGCCCGCACGCAAAGTTGGTGGCCACCACGCTCGAGCTCTCCTTCCACCCTACGGGGGAAGGAGGGGGAGACAAACCAGACGTGTGGATTCGCGCCCGAAGGTCCGCGTGCGGATGTTTGTCGGCGTCGCATGACCTGCCACCCTCTTCCGCTTGGTACCTGGTTTCACCTAGCTCCATGCGTGTTCGAGGGCCTCTGCGGGTCACCATTTTCCCATTTAAGATTTCAAAAAATAAACTGCTTATAATTCCCGAATGATGTAACGATTAGTTCTGAAAGTTTGGCATCAGGTTCTGACAAAAGCTGGCGCTACATTCGGGCGAAGAAAGACAGTTGGCAATGCATTGTATACTTCTGCAACAAAAAAAAAACGCTGCAAATTTTTTGGGGAGGACACCCTGTACTTCGTCGACCCCCGCACGTGTGCTCGTCGTACACCGAGCAATTCCACCAAAATGCGTCCCTTCGCACGCGAGGGTGGAGGTACGAAAAGATACGCAAGTTCTCGTTACACCTTCGAACGACCTGAATCGTTCGTGAAACTCAGACCGCCAAACTCGTGCACCTATAAAGACCGTAAATCAAGAACCCGAATTATACGTTGCAGACTTTATTAACATGCGTGGTGAGAATAGACCCTTTTCGTCACCTCAGTGTATCGCATCTGTGCCAAACTGTAATCACGGCTCTCTTGAGGCTAATGAAGGAAAAAGTCGAAGATACTGCTGAGCGGATGATACGTACGAGGCCTGTACGTTCGAGACGACGGCACGACGTGACGCAGAAATTAAGATACAATGGATGCATAAGCCTTTACCTCAAAGTGTGGTCCAATCAATCTCGCGGCACAAGTTTGGCTCTAAAGACTTTTGATGGCAGATATCTAATTGAGGCACTTACGGGTCAGTGCTTTGTACTGTTCGGTTCTTATGTTCACACAATCGAAGCTGAAACAAATCAGGAAAGAATTGCGAGGTGATGGAAGAACCAATTCTCATCTGCCGTAGATGTGCAAAAGTGACGCCGCACGACGAGCTACAGTTTCACGAATGTCATTAGTCTGTCGAAAGTAAAATTATTCATTGAGTCACCAGATGGCACCGAATTTCGAAAAAGGTTTATTCGAATGTTGGCCCATCCACTTCAGTAAGTTTAACTAGCGAGTGCAACCTCGACTCGGCGGCGGTGCAACGAAGAAACCGTCGAACTCGGTCGACGGGGAAAATGCCCGCGGAAAGGGCTCCGAGTACCCACTCACTTTGTGGAACGAAGCGCTTTGCCTGGAGGTAGAAGACGAGGTAGATACCGGAAAAGGGCGCGTCTCGCACCAGCGTCGGAACCAGTCCGCTGTAAAGTCCTGCACGGTCCGCAAGAGAAACGGTCAAGCACCCGAAACCGCTCCGGGGTTCCGCAACCTCACGTCTCTTCGTGTACGAGCAACCGCGTAGAACAGAGAGATGTTTCATGGGTCGAGCTTCGTACAAAATGGTTAAAAAGTGCAACAGGACAACGGGCAAAAAGGAAGCACCGAAACAAACTTTGTTGTTTGTTTCAGCGCGAAACCAGCCAGCATGCGTGATTTTACAGCGTTTGTGTTACGGGACGACGTCCGTAAAATAACGGACGCGGTCGCCCGGGAAATTGTAGAATAATTTGCGTAAATTATTGAAAATAGGGATGGGTACTTCTACGCCATCTCGGTATAGAACGAAGCATGATCCGACCCTGTTGCGTGTTATTGCAGAAAAAATTGTTACGAGAGGGCTCATGAGACTTTCGTACCTCTGACCCCCTCCTTCCTGTAGATGTCTCTGGTTGCCTCGCTCATTGTCCGGTAGTGATACACTTGACTCTGAAACAAAGACACCCTCTTGGCAAACCCCCACCAGCAGAGAGCAAATAAGTTTGTACAAGCCCTATAGCAGATACCAGCTATTGTCGTTACACTAGGCCTGGGAAATTGATCGATTAACCTTCCGATCAACCAATTAATGCATTAAATTAGATACAAAAATTTGATCCGTTTTTTCGGTTGAGTTTAAAAACTTTTTGTAGAAAGAAAAATTAATTTTCATTTTAGGAGGCAGCAGTATTGTCTTCCACCTTAGCATTCCATACAACTGTATAACGATGTCAAATATTTCATATTTAAAATCATGTACCCATGTAATTCTTTTTTTTTTTTCATTATTTCGTGGGCAGTGCAGTGTCAAGTTTTAAACAAGGCTGTACGTTCTGCCATTAATGACAGTGAAAAAATAGTCCGAAAATGAAAGCCGTTTACAGCTCCCTGTAATGCCGAATTAGAGTGCAGCTCTTGAGGAGGAAGAGGGGAGGGTACAGAGGGGATGGTGTGCCCCTCCTCCTCATCCATATTCTCTCCTCCCTCCTCATCTACTGGGGAAAAGGGAGGAGGAGGTAATGGGTATTGAGGAGAGGGTATACCCCTCCTCCCTCCTCATCCTCCCTGCTACACCGCCTCCCCTCCCCTCCCTCATCCTTCAACCTCCTCCTCCTCCTCCTCCTCCTCCTCCTCCTCCTCCTCCTCCTCCTCCTCCTCCTCCTCCTCCTCCTCCTCGCATGTTGCATTATGGGACATTTCCCATAATGCACCGCGCGGTTACGCCAACGGCAACGCCGATGCAGCTCAAGTCGGAAACAAGCGCCTAAGAGCTGCTCTTTAAAAAAAATGTAGTTTTGAAACTTTTTTTTTTTTTTTTTTTATCTATTATACTTGGAAGTCAACAGAATTGATGGATTAATCATTTGATTAAAGGGTAGCGACGAGTTGGGATTAAATTTTTATCAACGCCCAGCCCAACTAACCCCAGTTGGGCTGGGCGTTGATTGGTTCCTTCGAAAATCACAAAAGCAAGAGTTCTCGCACTGTGCTGTACCAAGCAGCAGACGAGTGCAGACGTCAATGTTGTCGATAAGGCATGGACACTCCACGCCACTTCCCGACGTCGAGAAACGCTTCCGCAAAACGGTCAGTGACAATAGCTCCAAGAGGCCTCACGCCTGGAGTTGAACGACCGGGAAGCTGGCTGATGTTTACAACCAGAAGCGGAAGCACGTGTTGGCGCTAATCTTTCGAGGGCGAGTTTAAGGCTACGCCTGCAGGACAAATGCACGAGCACGCCCATCAGACCACCCAATCACCCGCGGCGTCGCCCGATAACGGTCCGACCAAACCGTTCAGAGGGTCCACGTGGTTGCGGACGCCGTTGTCGTTTGCAAGCACGGAAAAAGTATCACAATGCGGGTCCGATTTTAGTCCCGGCGAGAGCGAGGTTCGATTTGTTTCTCGCGGAGCGAACGGAGATAGCGTCTGTAAACAGTTTGTTTGCTAATGCGAGCAAAGAGTGCAATTCGTATCCTATGAAGCAACGTCCACAGATGGAAATTAAACAAGATACTTCTGCATGTCGTCTGCTAACAAGCTGGGAAAAAAGTTGATTGTTTGCCACGAACTGAGTGCCACGGCAAAGTGACGTCGGATGCAAGCTGAAATTGCGATTGTACGCAGTTATTTTACGTTGAAAGTCATTGACAACCCGCGCTTTGTTTGCAAATCTCAAGTTCTTCTGCTGCCGTACACAAGCTTTAACCGGTGAAGGAAGGACAAGCAGATCAGAGGATACAAGACCTGTCTCGCCATGTGTGCGTTCATGAGACATTCTCACCAAAAGACTGCTGAATTGTGAGCTCAAGAATCGGTGATAAATGTATCATTAGTTGATTCAGCGCAAGCTTTAGCGCCACGTCCAATCAGCAGCCGAGAATGCCCTCGCTCTCGCCTTGACCGAAATCAGACCCCAGACGCAATCCCCGCGAACAAATTAATAGGACGCGCACGATTTAGGCAAACTTTGTTACATCCACGTGTCTGATGCAGACATTGGCTACCGAGCAGCCCTTTTTTTTTTTCTTCGTTGTCATGCTTAGAAGCATTTTAGCGTGACGGCACACGAAATACTCGATGCTAAACCCCAACAAATGTCTATGCAGCAAATAATCATGCAATCTGATGCGTGATTATTTGTGCTACAGTCGGGAGAAAATTTGGCCAGTACAGTACAATCGCCTCCGTGGGTGTTCTCAATGCACATACAGTCAAACCTCAATACAACGAAGTCGGTAAAATTCCGAATTTGCTTCGTTACATTGAAATTTCGCTACATAGAAATTCGGGGCTAAAGTTAAAGAAAGTTTCCACAAATGTTTCTCGGGTGCACAAAACTCACCGAGGACTCCTTTATTTCGGTTGAACGTAGTCCGTCACCTTTATCTGGGCCACTATTGGCATTATTATTGGCATCATGCGACATTCGCATAGCCAGACGGCCTGCATCGCGTCTTCGTCTTGCTGTGTGCTCGCGAACCGCCTCAAGACATCGATTGCATCCACCACTTCACAGTTACTCGGCACATCGCAGGCATCTTGCTCATCAGGCTCGATGTTCCCACGAACATTGCTAGCTATCGCCACGTTGGTCATTTCCTCCGTTGCAGTGACAGCAGCGTCGGTTTACAGAAAGTTGTCGAAGTCAACGTTGTCGGGGGCGGCTCCATCGCCTTCAAAGCTCCATCCCCCAGGACAACGAGAAACGCACGGTTTTTAGTTAGGCCTCGAAATGAACTACGCAGCGCGAACGAAGCCAACGGACGAAACAGCGGCAGCTCTAGTGTCTTCTAGTGGCCGTCCTGTACACCACACGCGCCAGATTCGCCCCGTTTCACCTTTTGCGCTTTACCGGGGCCCGTTTCAGCGCATGTGCTTCCCAAAATCTCCTTTGGGACCCAAACGTTTGTGACGAATTGTCCATGAAACTTCGTTACATCGAAAGTTCGGTGAACGGGACTTCGTTACATAGAGGTCAAAAATACATCGAGTGCATACACTTGCGGTTAGAAAAAGTTATGTACTTCGTTACATCCGGGGGTTTCGTTACATAGAAGTTTGTTACATCGAGGTTTGACTGTATACGTATTCGTGATTAAACCAGTTCCTAATCTAGTGCTCTGGTAAGAAGCAAGAGAGCCATGGCGTTCAAATGTCGTCTACTATACTCCGTTTCACGATAACTTGGCGAACTGTGGAGACTAGGGCCCCACGACCCAGAGAGCGTCGGAGCAAGGCACATGACCCGACGTCAAGGGAGCATTTGTGTCACTACACCAAATGCGAAGCCCGGAGGAACCGGCTGTCGTCCGCTAGCCAAGAGTCGTCTGCTCCGAAACCAACCAACTTTGGATGAACGTCCACCGCAGCAACATTTCCATCCGCTAAAGTAGCGACCACTTCAGGAACAGTTCATGAGACAACCATATGCAAAATTTAGCCACGAATCTGTGACGTCTGCTAATGACAGGGCACAGTGCGATGTTTTGAGCAGAAACAGTTGATTACACGGCTGCAGTTGCCGGCGTTTGCCAACGGCCACAACTCTACAAGGCAAAAAAAATCAAGCGGATACGGATATGGCGTCACTTTCTTGGTTTAAATACAATTGAAACTCATGAATTTGTGATAATCTATTATTTATTCTTCATATCTTCTCGTTGTAGAAGGAATCAAGCGAGTTCAATTGCCGTTAAAAGAAAAAGAAGCCTAGAACTACTTTTTGTCGCAGAAGGTTTTGTTGCTGTGGCGGTAACGAGGCCCTGGTGGCCTCGACCGTGGAGTGTTATCACGTGCCTGGCTCCGGCGCGTTATTGGGTCGCGGGGGCCGCAGCCTCCACAGTTCGAAAAAGTTATTGTTAAATGGAATATAAACATCCGCAGGAGAAACGTCAAGTCAGCAACAACAGCCAATTTAGACAAACATTCCCTTACCGTTGTTTTAGCATACATTTCTTCGAACAATGTCGACACGAAAAACAACCCCAACATTAGAATTACAAGTACTTTCGACGTGTTACCATCAAAGCAATGACAAATTCCTTTTTGCCTCTTCACAAAGAAATGCAACATTTTCTTTTTTGCAAACAGCATTTTACTTTTAGTTGCTAATCGACAAAATACTGCGGAGGAACATTGCAACATTAAACTGTCGAGTATTTTTTCTAGTCGTCCCCGCATTCAAAAACAAAGCTGGAAGCGCTCTGGGCAGCAAAGAGGCAATCCTGTGGTACTCCGCAAACAGGTTAAATTGGGAAAGCAAGGAGATAGGTCGGACATCTTATCTGAAAACGAGGCAAACACTCGTCCCATCTACTGAGGTGTGTAGGTACGGGGCGTAATGGTGTTCGCTCTACAAGCTACGATTTCATGAAATTCGGTTTAACCATAGAGTAAGTTTAAGGCACAACTTTTCTTCTTCCTTTTTAAGTGTGCATTGCATGTCACAATGAATGTGCAGTGAAATATAAAAATTTCATTGCCACAACTTTTAGTACCCCTAAGTAATCTCTAGATTCAAATTGACTGTCTGAAAAGTCACATGTTCCTAAAAGCGGTAGTGTTACAAACAGACTCTAGGCTACAGCAAACATACATGCGTGACTCAGCAGTTCCATTGCCACAATTATAAACTTAGTTCCCGATTTATTATAGCCTGTAGATCAAGTAATTAAGTGAACCAATTGGTCAATTGATTAACCAGACCAGTTGCACGGTTGACTGAGTTTATTATCATTCGCTACTATATATTCATGATCCAAGGAATGTATCAAATCAATCAGTTACTTATCTATGAAATCAATCATCTGGACAATGTTCATGCCTAAAAAACGTTTTAGCTGGATACACGTTAAATGATCTGCTGGGATGAGTCTGTTGTTGATTAATAATTATTAATGATTGCATTTGTGATGTAAACAATACACCTAATCAATCAGTCCCTCTAATCAGTAAAATCAATCATTTTGACCATGTTTGCCTTTATCAAAGCTATTGGTTAGATTAGATGTCAAATCATCAGCTTGGTTGACTCACTTAATTATTAAAAATTACTAAGCAATATATTCATGATCCAAGCAATCTACCCAATCATTACGTACCCGCCAAGTTCAGAGAAATCAAATCCAAAAATATTTCTAAGGTTTTCTTTTTTATAAATATTGACAACAAATTTTCCTGAAGACAACTCCATTACACTTATATTCCACTGTTTATGCTAGCGAGATGTAGCTAGGCCTCCCTATCATTGCAGCCGTCTGATTGCGACGGCAAAACCTGTGCAGGGGGGTAATTTGCGCTTTCCGGGAGATATTTCTTTGTACAATCGTACAAAGTGGCCAAAATTCGGGAGTCACCCGGGTTAGACGGGAGACTTGATTCAATCGCTCTGATCGGTAAAATCAATCCTCTTGACAACGTTCGTCCTCGAAAAAGGAATTAGCTGGACGGACGTCCTACCACACTGCCAGCAACTGACGTTGTTCGCTTGTCCGGCGCTTGTCTGGCGTTCCGCGTTCCCCCCTTGGCCCCACATCAGCTCGCTCAGATAACGGGTTGGAGCGAAGATAACGAGGAACTCCTCCGGCGTGCGGCCAACGCGGTACGCAGCTCTTGTCACTATCCGACCAGACGTCGCTATCTCGGCAGGAATTTCGCCGAGTCATCGTGTACACTGGCGTGGCTGTTAGCCGTCAACAGTAAAGAGCAATGCGTGGATTAAGGCTGCCTCGCAGCTGCTAAAGAAAATCCCAACTGCAAAGCTGTCTCACCAGAGATAATTGAGGAAAAGTCATAAAAGACTATCCAACACGAGTACTTCAAAGGGTTTTCAAGACACAAACATATCGTAATATGAGAGTTTCCAATAAAGGTTGCCAATTAAAAGACTCCCCAGTAAAGGCTTCCTAGCAAATGAATCTCCAATAAAGCAGCCACTGCAGCCGTGTGCACATATTAAAAACTCCAGTTTAGCTGTAATAGTGCTCTGGCTCAATTTCCCCGCACAATGTGAACTAGTGTTGGCACACCTCAAAAGCTGACTGATCTCTCGCAGTCCAAAAAACCTATACTATTTTGGTTTGCTACAGCATATCCAAGAAAAGGGCAGTTCACGTAAAAGACATTATTTCCTATTTTCCCTTTCATTATCTCACGAATGAAGAAGTATGCCTAGAAGACACTATCCAAACCTCCAAGAAAAACTACCCAGTGTACCATCTAACGGAAGGTGTTTAAATAAAAGTATCATTGTGTTCATCCACAATACTATTGAGGCGTGCCCCAAAGTAAAATCGCCGAAACAGCATGGCAGCCATTAAATAGCCCCAGCAACGTCTGAAGCAATAACTTCAAGCACAACAGATTTTTTGTGACGCAGCAAATTTCTGCCGCAAACAGCCTTCAATGGAAAGGCTCTGAAAAAGCTTTCAGCACCAAAATTTGAAAAGCACCTAACATCACAAAGACACGAGAACTTTCCAGGAGCTATTGCCGCTAAAAATTAAAACACCAAAGGTTTTGATTGAAGAGAGCAGCCATGATTTTGCTAAAGATGGCAGTTCAACATTTACATAAAACTTTCCTCGCAAGATCCAGAAGGATTTTAATGACAAGCTCTATAGCACTAGACACCTCGGTTACAGGAACTAGATTTGGATACCTTCCAATCACCATGACTCACTTCAAACCTCGTTTTGATGACGGTGACAGGCAGCAAGGCAACGCCTGCGATGGTTCGGGCGCCGATACCCAAGAGCATCGCCTCACCAGAGCTGGGACTGTCCAGGCTGTGGGGAAGGTGTTATAAAGGGTGTTACATCACAAATGTTCCCTAAAAAAAGGTTATATTAAAAGGTGTTACATTAAATGATGTCATATTATTGCTGTGCCACTTAAAATGTGGTACATTAAAAAATGTGTTACATTAAGTGTTTATTCTTACAGCCTTCACACCAATACGCCGATGGCATTTCCTATAATGACCTTCTATAGTGCATAGCACTTTGTTACTTATATAGCGAACTTCACTCTTCACTTTTAACTCTGAATGTTACGGCACTGGAGTGGCTTCGATAGCTCGTAGCATCCTATGCAATCCATTGTGAGGTCTCACGAATCACGTCTCTGCAATGATAACAGACTACTACAACATTAGAAAGTATAACATTGAAATTGGGTCCTTCGTAACTCAAGGGACACTGTCTCCAACGAAATAGAAGGATATTTCCAGGCACTTACTGAAAGCTAGTCTTCAAGAAGTGAAATGTACAGAAGTAGAGTCCGACCCCCGGGACGCAGCGAACTATTGACTGCGTGTCGGGAAAACAAAAACAAATTAATTGTCATAATCCAGTATCTTAACCTTTCCACTGCTCAATCAAACTCAGCACCTATCAAAGGCTGGTATACCCTAACAATTCAGCATCCAACACATACTAAGCATGGGCTGAAATAGTGGCGCAGGTCAATGACAATAGTGAATCCTTACTTACAGGCACCGTACCCTTCCAGAGTCCAAAGACCTTTTCGTTCTTGACAACGAGAGCAACATGCCTCAACATGCCTGCTCTGCCGGTCTGCCTGCAGAGTCATCGAGATACTACGGTTCAGACAGACAACAAAGAACAGACGGGACGTCATCGGAAGCCCGCAACTCATGCAAGCGCACCCATCGGTCTGTGGCTGCTGAAGCCTCGTCTTCAGCAGGTCCAATGGTTGGAAAAGCAAAGTCGAGCACGTCCCACTCAGCGATCCAGCCAGGAATGACTTCACGAGAGGTGACTGCAAGAAAAGCAAGGTACTTGCATAAAGGCCATGGCTGAGAGGTTATAGTCTAGAAGTCATGGCCTAAAGAAAACCTTGATGGTCGTCAGCCCGATTATCTGATTAGATTGATTGGCAGTGTGTAAAAGAATATCCCAGCACACTATCATCTTAACTGTTCTGTCTTGATGGGTACCATTCAGTTGGTCGATTGACGTTTTAGCGAACGCCAACTTTTCATTGAAAGATACTTTACATAGAGAACGGTCGGTTTACGGGGGGGAGCCTGGTGGGTTAACATTTTTGTAATGAGCCGCCACAGACTGTCAAGTGGTGTGAACGTAGAGTGGGGGGGGGGGGGGGTTAACACGTGTCCCAGTTATCGACTAAAACGTCATTCACTCATGTGATATGGACCCTGTCTTGTCTACTATGGGTTTCTTAGTCTCAGGCTTGATGCTTTGTAGCAGACAATAACTGTCACTACATATTACCACTGACATTCAACATGGTTAGTTTGTCACAGTTAACCAAGCCAGCTAGCTGTCTTCCAGCTGTCCTGGTGGGCTCATGCAACTGAATAACTTATTATGGGGACAGCACCGGTACAAATGTTGGCACTGAAAGTCTGAGCAAACAGCAAAACTAACACACAACAAAGTGGCTCGCTTAATTCACTTAATCGCTTCATGATCACAATTATGAGCTGATTAACCGACAGGAAGGTAATTATGTTAGCGGACGTTGACAGCCGCAGTAGACGTGGTGAGAGGAATCTTCAAAACGTGCGATCAGCGGGGAATATATGGATGAACGAGCGTTGTTAAATGAACACGACGGGGTGATTAACCCAAACCACGCCAGGTTAAGGCAGCGCGATAAAGGTGGCGGTATTGGTTTGTTGATAAGAAAGGTTTCTCACACTGACGATGAGATCTGCCATGGTGTTGCGGCCGCTGTGATCGCCGGTGTCGGACTGGCTCATGGAGCCCGCCACAGCGTTTTTTTCAAGGGGAGATAGCTTATCACCACGAAATCGCCATCGTCTCGTTCCGCTCGCCCATTCGCCCTGGCCAGCAGACACGCCAGATAAAGTGCACTCGACGTCACTTTAGCAGTAGCAGACGACGGTCGTCTGCGAACAACCCGTCGGCGATTGTTCGCGGGGAAGGCACGAACGGCACCGCAACGGTCACAAAACACGAAATCCCCGGTTGTTTTTCATTGGAATGGAACCGGAACGTACTGTACTACGCGCCTAACACCAGCGAAGCGCGGAGGGTCAGCGAAGCCAGCAAATTCTGCTGTCATACTAGCAGTTTAATTTTTTCTACCAACCCCCGTAACCCTCCCAGGGTCACAACTGGTTGTAATCACATGTCATTTCGTGGCAAGCTGACAGGTAGTCAACAAACGTCACGAAGCTTATTCTGCCCTAAAGGAGTTACCCGCATTTTAAACTTGGATCACAGAACGAACATACGAACACGGATAGATGCGTTCGTTTTAACCTTTTAACGTTGGTTCGTTCGTTCCAAAGAGATTGGTTCGTTCGCATTTCGTCCGTCCGTTCATTTGTAGCTTCTGCTCCGCATAACGTTTTATTTATTTATTTATTTATTTATTTTTAGAGAAGGCTCCGCGCTCCGCCCGCTCCGACGGATAGTTTCGCGTAATCAAGGCGAAACAACTGCACCAGCAAAACTTTGTAGTTTCTTTTCATTCCCATGCTCTTGTACGTCAAGGAAAAACAACTCTCCGATATGATATACGAGAAAAGTCACAAAATAAAAACGAGCAAAGATAAGATTTGTGACGTCATAGTGACGTTAATGATCACGTGAGGGCTTTTCTCGTTGTCGAGGCCGTGGCTGCCGCGCTTCTTGTGCGTACTTTTGAAAATCTTGCCGGCCGTCTGTAACTGGAGGCTGGTGGTCTGCTCGGGGTATACGCTTTATCTTTCTGACACACATTTGCTTTGTCGTCTGCTACGCACATCTGACCAACGCTACTTAAGTCTGACTGAGGATGAAGAGAAGAAAAAAAAATTAAAGTGCTGCTCTATTTCTCATCTGCATCGTGTGACAATGTCGCCAAGACTCTGGCAGACTCGGCAAATTTTACTTTTTTTACAGGCAGATCGACGAAGTAGCTACTGTTCTTGTAAAGCTAGGTTAAGCTGAAAAAATGTGATCATAACGCAATTAAATGCAAAGGGGCAAGCGAGAAAAGTCTAAAAAGATTGCTTGAAAAAACATTTAAAAAAAAACACTATGATTTGCCGCGAATTTAAAGGGTGTACATTAACTGAAAAGCGTGTAGGTACATATTGACTGGCAACAGAAAGAATAAAACAAGCTCTACGAGCTTAGTTGTTTTATTCTATAGTGATCATGGTGTTAAAGCTGGTACTTTGCCCGCAATTTGCCTTGCTTTGCCCCACTATCAGTGCTTTGCCCTTTCTGAACCGGTATAATCTTGAAATCCATTTTAGTTATTTAGAGAACTGAAACCAGATCCTCGACTTTCGGTTGGGAGATTTCGTTATAAGCGATTATCAGAAATGTTTTAATGAGCTAGGAAATTGTCCTCAGCTAAAATTGTCTGTTGTCTGTTTCTACAGATGCTAGTGCGCCGCAGCGGGTGCTGTACAACCGCAAACTTAGGGGTTTTGCGCAGTAGGGATTACACGAACGGCGAACGCCGTGCCGGTACGGAACTATACTCCGTGTCACTAGTTGCGTGCAGTACAGGCGGAGGTAACGCTAGGCTAGGGGAGAAGGGGCAAGCGCTAGGGAAGGCTGAGGACAAGGAGAGAAACCTCCTCTCCTCTAACGTTCCTAGTACTCTCCCTTTCTCCCCTCGCCCTCCATTGTCCTCCTCTCCCGCCCGGCCTTCCCAGTGATTGCCCTTTCTCTCTTCGCCTGGCGTTGCCTTCGCCTGCGCTGCGCACAACTAATGAAACGGAGTATAGATTGAAACGGGCAGGGGGTGGGGATGCAAAATTCAACCCCATTCGATTACAAAAAAAAAAAAAAATCTAAGTTTATTAGTCTTAGAAAAGTGTATAGTTGATCTATCGATTGATTGACAAAAGACTTAGCTTTCTTTTTTCTTAAAATTACCCACAAAAGTTTTTTTTTTTTTCATTTTTGATTGAGACAAGTTTTTCTTTCAGTACTTGCACAAATAAATTGAAGTGCACCACCTAGCCGAATTTTGTGGTAAATTACAGTGTCGTTCCATGTAAAAGTGATTTTTGCGATTTATCCGTTTGATTCCCACAATTACAGATTTTTAAGATGAAGCGCAATAACACGTCTCGGACGTCACGCTGCTGTCTGCATGGCGCAGGCGCAGACACTTCCCTTCCCGCGCATCTAGGTTTTGCGCATGCGCAGTGCCCACACCTGGTGTAGGCAGACAGTTTGTAACAGTCTGCTATGGACTTCGTACCTTGCTACTTATCATATCGTACTCTGCATATGTATATATGGTACATAAGATGTCGATGCAAAGACGTACGCTTTCATCAATGAAACCGTCGAAGCAGTCAGCGCTTGTTTTTCTCTTCTTCGACCTCAATAGCGCTTTTAGATGTTTGCGTATACGAGAGATAAACTGCGCGCTGAACTCGACCTTGCGGTGTCCCAGATCTATATTTGTATGGACCTTCCTTTTGTTGTACGGGCGTGTTTTTGTTACTTCCGATCGCAGAGAGAAGGACACGCTTTTCGTAGTGTCTCTTCCAGTGAGGTTTTGTATTGTACGTTTTCTTTGCCTCTTCTAGTTCATGGCGACGCTACGACGCGCCGGAACAATACCGGCTAGAAGACAAGGCCTGCTCATGACGTCATGGTTCGTAGTTCCCCGGCCCGCCCAAGAGCGGCAGACGCGTTCGTCTTAGCTTCGCCGCGTGTTACGCGCTCGTTATGAGATATGCTGCTAGGCGGCGCTGCGTGAGCCCACTAGTGATGACGTTTAGGGGGAAGGGCCTTGTTTTCTAGGTGGGCTGGAGGCCGTCGGATCGTCAACAAGAGTGGTGTGACCGACGTTCCGCCGTCTGCTTTCTTGGCGATAAATCGTCGCTCAAGGTCTCTCTCCCCCCCCCCCCCCCCCCCCCCTTTCCAGTTTATTGTCGAAAAGAACTGCCGTGGACCCATAAGGACAACTGTTACGTCATTCATTTTTTTTTTTTTTCCTGTTTATCACACGGAGTCGATGTCTGTACGTTTTCGGGTTTGTCGGGCTTCCAGAAGTGGCTCGTTTTAATCATGAAGCGAATTTTGGGCTGGGATTAATGGTTTTAGATTGGGACTTTACTAATCGCATATCGTTTTCTGGGCCAAAGGAAAGAGGGCAGGAAGTCAAAAGGCAGCTTTACGAACATATTTGAAAATATAGCGGACTATTACGTACATTCTTTCTTTCGAAAGCTCTCCGCCTTTTCATTATGATACATATGCAATACCCAAAACACGTCAGCCGGCCGAGCTGACACATTGGACATGAGAACTGTGTCGCTCGGACGTATGCGCTCAAGGCGTCGACGAATATTTGGATTCGCGTTCGTACCCGATGAGTGCCCTGGCGGAACTTAGCATTATTCTTGCGGATGACAAGTTCTATGGTGTGCTTAAAAAGCACGGCGGAGGCTTGGAGTCATCGCACCGGTGCCCAAGCATGTCAAGACCACACGATTTCGTAATTCGTTTTTCAGTTGATAACTTAATTAAGGATTAAAGATATAAAAAAAAAGATGAAAAAAAAAAAAAAAAAAAAGCTCGAGGTACACTTAAGCTTTTCTTATGAGTTGTGAATGCGAAAGCATGCAAGCCGCTCGTCCGCTACAATTGTCGTCTGCTCGTCCGCTCCCTTTGTCGTCTGCTGCGTATTAGCGGTATTAGCGCGCGCGTGCTTCGGGATCTCGGAGGCCATGGCGCAGCGGCCAATGGGAGCCCCGTCGACACAGGCCAGCCAACGGAACCGAAGGCGATGGCGGAAACTAGGAGCCGTTTTCGTGCTTCAAACTGATGACGTCAGCTCGCTCCATGTAATTCGCATTAATAATTTCATGGCCCCTTTCATGTATGTATCCGGTGGAATCGACTATGTCAGTTAGTGTATTGGCGCAGAATGTTTCAGAAGAAACAGCGATGTGTTATTTCTTCTATAAATCAAAATTTAAAAAAAAAAAAAAAAAACTTTTTTTTTTTGTGTGTGAGTTGCAGGTTTTAGGCATGGCCATGCCTTAAACCTGCAACTCACACACAAATAAAAATAGTTTTGGTCTTTCTGTTGTCACCAGCATCTACTTCAGTGCAAATAAATATTTTCATTATCATTAACATTTATTGTTGGCGCAGAGCGGGCAGCGTGGCTATGGTGTCTACGTTGCTAATTAACTACTGCAAGATTTTTTTTTTTTTTTTAATTTACAAATGTGGAGCATTTGGGTTCCCGTTTAGAAAAACTGAAAAATAACAGTCACAAATTTATGTTGCTGGCTCTTTGCCACTTTGTTGATTATTAAAAAAAAAAGCAAAAAGCAAAGTAGAGCATACAGTTTTATGGATGCGCACATGCTCTCAGCTCTTGTAGTAAAGAAATCTCTAATGCCACACTTTTTTTACACACAAAGTAAAACTCGTGAATTTTTGTTTTGTTTTGTTTTAAGTTTGACATCTAATCTAGGAGAGTGCCGTCAGCCTGTTATCTGTTTTTTTTTTTTTTTTTTTTGATTCTACTCGGGGAGAGTAAGGCGGGTGCGGTCAGGCCCCATTGCCTCTGTAGTAGAAAAAAAAAAAAAAAAAAAAAAAAAAAAAAAAAAAAAAACAGGAGAGGTAAATAAATAAATAGAGGTAGGGAAGGGAAGGAGGGACGCTCCATATAAAATGCTTGGTCATAAAAATACCCGCTACACAAGAATCGAGAAGGCAATATTTTAAACTTGGCAAAGCATTTGCAGTTTCAAAATCACAAAATAAAAACACTTTTGGTTAGTTTGCACATGAAGTTTGAACATAAGCCTTGGTTGGACATACACTCTGTGTTGTTAAATGGTAGCTCGTCCCATCGAAATCGAGGTTGATCGTTGTATCTCCTTTTGTTTAGTCATATTTTCGTTTTATAATTTTGTCTCAAAACAATACTAATTCAAGAAATATTTGAACGGTTTCACGTACCGTTCCGGTACCTAGTTCGGTAATTTCTGTCCAACTCCAGGTTATCAGTTGCGCAAAGCTGCAAATTATGGCGAAGGGCTGTAATTTACGAAAGGCAAAAGAAGACATTCGACGCGTCGTCTGCTTTCAACAAAGATGGAGTCGACGCGCGACTCGAAGCAGACGACGCGCCTCGTTTTTGTTTCTCCCAACGGCCACGACATCGAGAAAACGGCGCTGCGGTCGCAATGCGGCTGAGAGGAGGTTGGGAAACAAGATGGGAGTGTGCTAGGGAAATCGTTTTTCGAGCAGCAGTAGGAACTTCTGTTTAGTTTGTTTTGGCGCTACCATGCCTTCTCTTCGGCGTGGAGCGTAGTCGTTATCGTAGGTAGTCACGTAGGCGCCGTAGCGATTACAATGTAGCGGGTGGGGGGATTGCCCCAGAAAAGAAACGAGAGAGCGATTGGGAGGCGACGGCAACAAAAGATGGCACTCAGCCGCAAGAAGCAACGCATGAAACAGCCCGACTGGCTCGAAAACGGTGATGGCAACTACAAGACCAGGACGTTCGTCTTCGAGTCGCACAAGGAATCTCTTACGGTCAAGATCCTGGAGGTGATGATGCCATTCTGTGGCCGTCTGCTACGGGGAAGGGGACGCTGCTCGAGCAGACGACAGATCCTGGTTTCGGGCTCGGTTCACACCAAGTAGCTCCGATCTTAGAGCGTTTCTCGGATATTTTCTTACAAAGTAACCTTCATGCTACAGAGTCTCGTGCTTTGCTCAATTTAAATGGTGTGTTTTTGAGAAAGTAATAATCTACGGACCATATCCACTGGCTAGCAGTGGAGCAAAGACACGCGGACATGAAATGATACCAAACGTAAAAAAGGATCAAACGATGATGGAAAGCCATGCACTTTTGCTTCAGCGTTCATTGATCCTTGATGTGTCAGTGATTAAGCACGATAGCACACTGTAGGCTTTGTGGGACGTGTTCTCGCCCATAATGGTGCTGAACAAAAGGCACCATCCTCTATCCAGAGGACAGCAAGGTCCATTGCGTAAAATTTTAGCCCCACTTTTGGCACATACTTAACGTGGATCGTTGCATATTCATATAGGTCGGAAATTATGATTGGCTCACAGTGCTAAAGGCACCATCTTTTGCAGATGATGGACCCCAGCTATGGGATGTACGTCTGGCCTTGCAGTCCTGTCCTGGCACAGTACCTTTGGTTCAACCGAGAACACATCAAGGGCAAGAGGATGCTCGAGGTAAGACCACGGCTCTTGGCAGCATTTGTTTAATTGGCCTTGGCGTAGCGTGGGCTGGAATCATAGGGTTATTATTATAACCTAGAGGAAAAGGTCCTATACATTTCAGCTACTTCGGAGTGGTGGGGCATAGTTGTGGACGTTGGTGGTCCCGACGGAACCATATTGCTCGTGACGCTTCGACATTCATGGAGAATAGGTAAACATCACATCGAAGGTCTGTATCTACCGTAAACTACGGAGCATCCATTCCACAATAAGTGGCCACCCCTCAATTTTGTAACATTCAGAAAATTCACAAAGGGCATATCTTTACATATTGTTAACCTAAAAAGCGCCGATCCCCCAGTTTTACAAGGGTCCATAAAACCGTGCGTCCCTGGCAACGAAACGGCCTCTCTCGCAGATCGGGGCCGGCACGGGTCTCCCGGGCATCCTGGCGGCCCTGCTGGGCAGCCGGGTGACACTGTCGGACTCGGCGCCCCTGGGCATCAAGCACTGCCAGCGCAACGTGGAGGCCAACGGCCTGACGGCCAACGAGGTGCCCGTGGTGGGCATCTCCTGGGGCCTCTTCAACCCAGCCCTCTTCCAGCTGGGCCCCATAGACATCGTCCTCGGCTCGGACTGCTTTTATGACCCCAAAGGTGGGTGGGGCGCCGAGCGGCCAACGCCTCGCTCGCCAAACTTTCTCTGGGGAAGTTTGCTCGAGTTGTGAAGATCAGTCCTGCTGGAGCCGGATTATGGAACGGGTTCCAGCTGAAAATGAGGCTTAATCCGGCCGTTTATATAAAACTCATTCACTTTGCACCGGCTTGCATGCAACGAGGGTGTTTGTTGGCTCCGAGGGAAAAGGCCAGCCTACGGTTCCCCAGGTGGCGGGTTCGAATCCCGGCCGAGGTGCCCGCAATATGCGGAGAAGGTGCCGTGTAACCGAGCTTTCGGTTGCACGTCAAAAGATCCCCAGGTGGTCAAAATGAATCCCCAGTCCTCCGCCGGGGCGTGCCAGATGCCCTTCGTTGGTTTGGCTCGTGAAACCCCAAAATTTGACTTAGTGCATGCGACGAGCTTCACCACTTTGCACCATCTCATGCACGTTGAGCTTCACCGCTTCGCACCGGTGCATGCGTGTCGCGCTTCACCACTATGGCCCCTTGCATGTGCGTCAAGGTTTGCAGCTTTTGCACTGGCGTACGCGTGACAAGCTTCACCGCTTTGCACTGGCGCATTTGCATCAAGCTTTTCCGCTTCACTGTGGTTTACACCCTTCACTGCTTTTCACCGAGGCATGCTCATCAAGCTTCGCCACTTTGCAGCACCTTGCTCAAAAAAGTGGTCGACACAGAGGGCCATCTCTGTTACCTTGGTGGGCTCAGAAGTTTGGGATGAGTGACTTGACGTGATGGACAATGACTTGCTTATTTTGCAAACTTTTCAAAAGCAGCAGCTAGGTGCTTGTTGCAACATGGGTGCATGCTCAAAATTTGACGGTATATAATACACGAAAATTGTTACGTTATAATACTGATACATGATGCACTAAACTATGGCGGTAAAGATAATAATTTATTAGTAGAAAAAATGTGTCACTATGCCGATAGCTCTCTATACTCGTTTTCACCTTAAGGACCGTAGTAAAAAAAGTCCGGCACCTGGTGGAGCACTACTGACTTCCCCCTTTATCTGCCGAATTAAGATATATTTCAGATTTAATATATTTTACCTTATCGGGATGTAAAAGTTTCAAAGCCCCAAAAGCATTGCTTCTTCCTCTAACAACCATATCTTGTAAGAACTATTTCGCACAGTGTACAAACAATGCACAAAACTTTTTTCTTGAGGTGACAACGAGTGTAATATTTAGCACTGACAGTGCACAAGTCGTATAGTTGTAGCAAAGATTTCATTTTAAAATAAAACTCACTTTATCAAGGAGTCATTACACTGCATTGAAAACTAACAAATCTTCTCTACCATAATTACCCTTTGCCTACCAATGATATTGTGAAATGTTATTTTCACATTGTTTACTTCTTTTCAGTGTTGGGCAAATTACATCTAAAAAGTATTTCAAGTACAAAGTAAATTAGAGGTGATGTACTTGAAGTAAAGTAGTAAGTACTCTAGGTACAATGTACTTAAAGTAAAGTACTATAAATACAATGTACTTTCAAAGTAAAGTACGAGTATTTTTTAGCACAATCTTTAATGATGCCCTTTCAGTGATTTTTTAACTGGTATGCATTGCCCAAGGGTTGTTCGGGGGTGTATGACCTATTTTTGGAAACAGCTGCGAATATTAGATGCAGTCAAGTGGCCACATAGTAGTTGTTTGCAGAAATGGTGCCAAATTCAGGGGCCCCTCCGACTTATGAATTTGGCACTGCTTGCACTGGGTTCTTGCACACAAAATGTCCCCGAAAGAGGACTTTTAAGGGTAAATGAATGGATGAATGAAGGGGTTGCATGTACAAAAAGAGAGCACGACGTTAGCGCCGTAGCTTCTCAAGCAATCCTCTCGTAGAGGAGTGTCCTCTACTTAAATTAATAAAAAAAAAACGGTGAGTGTGCAGGTGAGCTGGTGATAATTAATCATAATGTGACACCTGCAATTGTGGTGCGAAAAAATGAAGGAACTTTCGAGTCAAAGGAAAAGACAAAAGATCATGTTTTAAAATATGGCGACATTCTCCCCCGTTTTCTTTTTCTTCGGCTTGAAAGTTCAGTTTTTCCTTACCACGGTCTCAGGTGCTACATTATGATTAATTTTGCTCTGCTAATATCTTAACCTCCTCGCTCGCACTGACTGAGTGAGAAGTAGTGAGAGTTTGAAAAGGCCACGAGAAAGCCGCCCCCAGAACAGACGAAGTGATGCGTCGTCTGCTCACGTTTCTAGTGAGAGTAGAATATCACTCAACTGTATTTTTTCAGAGTTGACAAAGCATCATTTTGTGATACAAATTTAACAAAACTATATTGGGGAAGGTACCTTTTAAATTGGGAGTTGTACTTTTCGTGGAAAGTACCAGAAAAAAATACTTTCAGTAAAGTACAATTACGTATTCAGAGAATGTACTCCAAGTAGAGTGCAAGTTTTCTCAACATACTTGAAGTAGTACTTTAAGTACAATGTACTTAAAGTACTACTTCCAAACACTGCTTCTTTTCTGGGGAGTGGGGGGTGGCGGCATCACCTTCATAGTTTCTGGAGCCCTGGGTTTCACGCAATCCTATTTTGAAGTTAAGGATTGATGCAAGTTGATGCATACCCTTGTCTGGATTTGCTCCTTGAGCTTCAACAACTTCCATACCCTTCCTTTTTGCAGTTGTCTTTGTCCATTGGCTGTGTGGCTATCCAGTCTTTTTGCGTGAACATGTGACAGCCATCTTTCATCCGCTTTCATTTCAGATTTTGAGAACATCATCGTGACGGTGTCATATCTGCTTCATCAGAACCCGCACGGACGCTTCTGGTGCACTTACCAAATACGCAGGTATGGGTGCGGTTCCTGTGCTCCTCTTAAAATTAAGAGGGACATATTTCATAGATGACACGGGGCAAAACAATCTCCCTATGACACCTGTAGGCCTCACTGATATGGGTTTGGAATTCCATACGTGTCGGGAATTGTGGCGTGAGCATATTTTTTAGTATGGACCTGTAGCTCAGTGGAGTTGTAAACATAGAAATAAAACAGCGCAAACAAACACAAGGACAAGTAGAAGGAGGGACACAGACACAGCGCTGTCCTTGTGTTTGTTTGCGCTGTTTTATTTCTATGTTTACAATGCCAGCGCTGTGTCTGTGTCCCTCCTTCTACTTGTCCTTGTGTTTGTTTGCGCTGTTTTATTTCTATGTTTACAATGCATCACCGACTAGCCCACCTCCAAACATTACTGCAGCTCAGTGGAGAGCTGTGAAGCAACTAAAAGTATTTCAGCTGCTGTAATTAGTTCCAATATCACTCTTGAAATATAATACATCCCGAGGTTACCCGAAATTTCGGTAACTGTAAGAAGCATATGTTACACTTTGGCAGAAAGTGAATGAAATTATAGTCACTTCTGATTGCTATGATGACGAATACACAAACTGACATTGGTTTTAGTCTCAATGCCATCATTACATGTTGTGTCTACCTTCAACTGTGCCTTGAGTAGAATGCTGTATCGGCGGAAATGTGGTGGTATTCTTTCCATGTGGCTCAGCACTTGCAAAGAAACTGTGGCGTCACGAGATACTTTCGAATTTATTGGCACATAACGTCAAACTGTAACTAGATACATTTCTTGGAATCTTAAAACTCGCTACATTTCAGCTTGAATATAGCTAGGATTCCATGTTTTCTGAGTTTCTTTCTCATGAAATTCGGAGGGTGTTCTTCGGAGTTTATTTTTGTTAGATTCCCAATTCTTTGAAATTCAAAGTTTATTTTACTGCAACAAATTAAAAAATTCGAAAACAAAGTAAATTAGGTCCGGGTACCATGACCTGTTGTCTTAAAGGAACCTCAATGTGCTAAAAAGCAAGCCCCTTTTTGCCAGTAGTTCCAAATTTCAAAGGAAAAAGTAGAATCTCCTCAGGGCCACTGACCTTGTGATCTCATAAAGTTTAGTTCTAAAACTCCATCTTTTTTGCTGTTTATTTTGTCACTGTGACCTCGAAATTCAGAGTTTTCCGAATACCGGCGAGTGTTTTTCGGATTTTTTTCGGCCGAAAACATGGAACCCTAAATACTGCTTAACTGCAGGGCGTTCCAGAAGAAATATAACTTTCTTTTTTTCAGCTCACGTAAATAAACGATGCATCGCAGGAAGCTCAAACTTGATGACAATGTGACGCTAGCAGTTGGGATGGAATGCGAAAGTTTGAGAACACGACATTACTTGGATGAACAGATAAAAAGAAAGACCAATAAAGCAGTCGTGACTGCCCATAAAAATACTCCTCTTTTATATATTTTCGTTCGTGCGGGTCCTTTAAAATGCACCGACGTACACGCAATAAGAAAATGAGTGTGCGCAATGCTCGAACGGAGCGTCAAAAACATTGTCTCGCAGTGGCACATACTCGATCGATGGTGTGAGCAAAATGAAAGCAAACAAAAGTATGCATGAGTGCGCGGCGGAGATGGTGCCACATTTGCCGCGCCGCGCATTCTCTGTTCTGGGTCCAAATAACTTGTCAGTGTACAACCGTGTGTCCGGATGGCACTATGTGGCTATGTTGCTGCGTACAGGCTTTCTGTGCAATAACATAATCATGGAGTGCCGTCTGGACACGGTGTTGCGCACAAACAAATTATTTGGACCCAGAACCGAGAATGTGGGTTGCGTCAACGGTGGAGGGGTGCGGCGGAGGTGTCGATCGTCGCCGCTGCCGCAATATTTCTGTTCTCGACGCGCGTCACTCGAGAGCAACAATTTAGGTGAAATCAATTACTTCTCATCTAGAAAATTTGTAGTATCGGTAATTTTTGCTTCGGGGGGGGGGGGGGGGAACTTGTAATTGCTTCGTTAAACAGAAATGTTAGTTAGATGGGAATTTGTCGTAGTAGTCGCAGAAACACATTGGACGTGTAGGAGATTGGCCGGGACTTTATTTCACTTCGGTCAACAGGCATTTTCGTTGTAAATTTGGTTATAAAGGCATTTGACTGTATTGTCAAATCAAGAAATGGCGTCCCTTAAAGGGATACTTCAATGAAATTTGAGATATACCCGTTGTGTTTAAAAATAGGCTGAATATGATCCACAATATCTGTAAGTGACAATCACACATTTGTATTTTGAGCCTGATGGCTGTATTTTTCGTTATAAACGGCCCACTCTGGAAACCGCTCGGAGAGCATCCAGCGGAGAGCATGTGACATCCTCCGCAACCGTGACATAGATTGTATTGGGACGAGCAAAGCTGCTGCGAGGCTACAAAACTAACCCCGAAGCTGCTTGCGCGTGAATTTTGAGTGACAGGTTAATCTTCTATAATCTTGTAGAGGGACAATAGCGACATCTGGGACACACAATAAAAATTCTCAGGGAGAGGGGAGTTCCTTCTTCTCCTCTTCTCTCATGGTGACCAGGGAGCTGCCAGGACGATGTCAGGTTCAAGGCATGTATAGTTTTAGGCGAGACAGGCATCGTCACTAGCTGTGAAGGTTCCTAGACTGGCATTACGAACGAGGCTTTAGCGACATCCACCAGCTGCCCTTTGCTAATCGTTTCATTTGCTTTAAAATTCCTTTTCTTGTCTTTTTCAACGAGAGATTGGTGTGGCCAATGTGGTACTGCTCCTTTGATCACATATAGACCAAGAAATAAGCGCCGAATTTTCGTTGTAGTATCCCTTTAAGAACTATTTCGGTGAGAAAAACCTGTTGGCAAGAAAGAGAATATTCTCTTTCTTGCTGACAAGTGTTTTTCACTGATATAAATGCTATATGCATTCACAATCTCAGTTCTTGTTTTTGCAATATTAGGCTTGGGTGGACGCCAGCTCATGGATAATTTTCGTTTTTCTCAATTACTGATAATAATAATATGTTTATTTCCTTTTTGCGCTCGGACAAAAACAGGAAGGTTGAGTAAAAACCTGCTTACAAGCAGCTTGACAAGACTTGACCTCCCTCGCACACTTTGATATAAAGCGGTCAGAAAAAATATTTCAACAGAATGTTACGAGTGTGTCAGCCATTAAGTTTCAAATATCAAGTTACGTACCTTATACTTCGGCATCCTTGGTAATGTCAAGGTTTCTATTTTCGAATTCATTAAGAAGTGATGGCAGTGTACACCTTAAGGATGATGAGCCGTAATTGGCGCGTGGAGTATTGACACACCAACTCTCACCCTGTCCAGTTACACAAGACGGAATGTTTTTCTCCAGACCTGTCAACACGGAAAGGAAAAAGTTACCGTATTTACTCGCGTATAGGTCGACCTGTTTTTCAAAAATCGCCTCATCAAAACTGGGGGGTCGACCAATACGCGAATCCCGGTATTATATTTTTCAACTTTTTTTTTTTTTCGGGGGTCCCGAAGTTAGGGGGTCGACCTATACGACGTATCGACCAATATGCGAGTAAATACGGTATTTTGTTTTATCGCTCTATTATATACACACACAAGGTGGTAGTTGTACAGATCATTGATTGAGATAATTTTGAATTTCTTTAAAAATTCACCCAAAGCATGCAAAAATGAAATGTTTGCTAAAACACAGACTACTTCCTCTTGTGCTAGAAACAGCCGTGTTCAATTTCGCTTTGTCGTTAGCAGAGGCGGCGAACTTGTCAATTTGCCGCCTTTGGCAGGCTTCAACGAGGGGTTGAAAAAGGGTGGGAGGTAATTAAGTTTGGAGGTAAAATATTCAAAAGTAGCTAGATTTGGAGCTACAATTTCCAAAGTAGCTAAATTCGGAGCTGGACTTAAAAAAAAGAACCAATTAATTTGGAAGCGCCCACGAATTGGCCGCCCCCAAAATTATGCCGCCCTACGCAGCTGCCTAGTCTGCCTATTGGTAAGTCTGCCCTGGTCATTAGGTGGCAAACTTAGTGGCAGTACATATAACGAGCATAAACCAAGGGGTAGTATAACAGAAACTTCACTCGCCCAGGGAACACCAAGCGAGTTTTGCATGTAATTCCGACAGCTTTACGAATTTTTCCGCCAATCTACCTCATATGCTCATTCCAAGAAAGAATTTCAGTAAAAATAACACCTAGGATTTTAACAGATTTTGCACTCCCTAAAGGCGAAGACCCAAGCATAATATTTAAAGGAAATAAAACTTGCCGATTTCGTGACAAAAAGGAAGCTGTTAGTTTTTTTTTTATTTATTTTTAAGCCGTTTGCTTTCGTCCAGGAATACAGGGTGAGCAAGAACAGCTCCTGTCTTACTTTCAATCTCAAAAGATGCGCTTCCTTTGATGAAAAGAGTCATATCAACAGCATATACAACAAACGTAGCATCTGGTGTACAATGCTTAATATCATTAATAAACAATGTGATCAATAATGGCCGAAGCACGCGCCCTTGTGGAACTCCAGCCGCAAGTCTGTCCGTTACAGAGTTACAATTATTTACGCTGACAAATTGTGCACGATGTTGCAAGTATGATTCAAAATGTTTAAAGGCAGATCCACAAACCCTGTAGGGCTGTAGTTCTTGTAATAATATGTTACGATTTAGTAGATCGGAGGCTTTCGAGAAATCGACGCACACACCAAGACTCGGATCTTTGTCATCGAAAGATTTTAAAATTTCTTCTTTTTGCTTTAGCAATGCTGTTTCTGTTGATCTCCGTTTTCGGAAGCCGCGTTGAAAGTGAGAAAGTACCGAATGTTTTTCTAGATAACAGGAAAGCCTAGAGTGCATTATTTTTTCACGTCCAAAAATCTGATAACAAAGAAATTGGTCTATAATTTTTAAACAAATTTTTGTCCCCACCCTCGAATATAAGAACGACTTCTGCAACTTGCATTAATTTCTAGAAGACACCAGAATAAAGGAATGTATGAAATATGAAGGTAAATGCAGGTGAAACTGGTATATGAAACCATTTCCGTCCAGACTTCAGCAGCCCCTTTAATTCCTCAACGTGGCAGATATCTCTGCTCTGTCCGTCGGACTTAAAAATTACTCCAATGTTTTGGTTCAAGTAATGTCATGTTCTCAAACCTTAGTGATCTATCCCAACCGCTAGCGTCAGATTTTCACGGAGTTTGAGCTTTCTGCGCTGCATAACTTATTTATCCTGGCCGAAAAATGCGGCTCTTTCTCACGAGTGTCCAGCTTCTTAAAAGCAACTTTTATGGCTTTTGTTCGGCGTGACAGCCAGAGTATGCGATAGACGAGGTCTTGTACGCACGCGCTACATGGCGGCGTGCGAGCGTAGTCTCCCAGCCCCGACCGCGCGTTCCCCGCAGTGCGGACTACTCCCTGGAGAGCCTGCTGAAGCAGTGGAACCTGGTGTGCGTCCACGTGCCCCTGGAGAACTTCGAGGCAGACTCTCCCAACCTGGCCGGGTCGGGGCTGCCCGGCCAGCACACTGTCGAGATGCTGGTCATGAGCGTTGACACCACGGTGGAGCCAAGTGCCGCCGACAAGGCCAAGGCGTGAGACCCGCCCCTCCCCCAAGCACCGGCGTCGACGGTGCCTCCTTCCCGACGCACCGCCTGCGTTGCACCCCCAATGTTGTTTTTTTTTCACGAAATGCCGTCGACATTGTCCCCGACGTACCGCGGACATTTCCTTCGACAAATTATCGCCATTGCCCCCGACATGCTGTCAACATTGCCTTCTAACACAGCATCAACATTGCCCCTGACGTACTGTCAACATCACGCCTGACATACCATCAACATTGCCCTCCAACACACCATCCACACTACACACTGCCCCCCCGACGTACCATTAACATACATAGCATCAACATTGCCCTCCAACACACCATCCACACTACACACTTCCCCCCCCCCTACCCCCCACGATGTATTGTCAACATTACCCCAACATACAATCAATATTCCCCCCCCCCCCCAATATACCCTTAACATTGCCCTCAATGTACCGTCAACATTGCCCCCCCGACATACCATCAATATTACCCTCTGGCACACCGTCAACATTGACCCGACATACCTCAACATTGCCCTCCGACACATCGTCCCCGACATACCACCAAAATTAACCCCGCCACTTTTGGTTGACCTCCTCGTAAACCTGTACCGCTCGCAGTCTTAATGGCCTTTTCTCAGATACCTCCACTATCACCTGTAATTTTTTTCAATTCCTCTTTTTAGACCTCTGAGGCAAACTCGGTGATTTGTGTTCCTCCCTCGTAACATTGCCCTCCAGTTCTGGAGACTACCCTGGGACTTAAAACATTGCCCGCGTCACGGTGTTGGTAGTTTTACTTGTACGATGCTAGCATCAGCCTTCGTCATGGCGACCTTTCGTCACGGACCCTAATGTCGTCCTTGACCTTTTTGTATTATGTACCTTTGATGTGTCACCTACCGATGTTTGTTTGATGTGTCACCTACCGGCATTGGCGACCATTTCTTGTAGATCTCCGGCACAGTCTTCTTGTGATGTTGGTCCTTGCTCATAGACCGCCAACTAACCTTTCTGCTGCTGCTGACTTCCAGCAGTGGCGTCCTTTACTGGTCAGTTGCCAACCCTGCGAGTAGTGCGAGTAGTGGCTTTTCCTCGTACAGACCAACAACCCCACTCACAGTGTTAGTGACCCTTTAACCGTCCACCAGCACTAACAAACTTTTTAATCACCAACTGTCTCCAAAGTATAGTTCCAGCTCCAACCACTGCAATTGGCAGTCCTTCTTGGACCACCACCATAACCGACCCGTATTTTATGTAGACTACCAATGCCACATTGCCCCATTAGCGAATCCTGTACTGCCCACTAGCGTTCAATTAACTTTCTCCATTGAGACTGCCCTCCAGTGTCTACTGGCTCGACCTCATCTACCTCCAACAACACAGTGCCACCGGGGTTAGTGGCCTTCTCACGTAGACCACCGGTGCTACACGCAGCCCTCCGCACGAAGCTCCCAAAGCCCCTGTAGAGCACCATCACTACTCGTGATATTGGCAGCCCACTGTTTGCAGCGTTAGTTTCCTTTCCCCAAGCAACTCGCGCACCACTTGATATCATTCGCTGCGTCGGTGGCGTTTTGTTGCCGGCACAACGTACCAATACCGCCCACTCTCCTTCATCGATGTTCATCTCTCTTCATCACTTTCCTCAACCCTAGTCACCGGCCGACACGCATAGCTCCTTGTTGTACGACGAGGAAGTAGTGCGCAGCTCGTAACCGGTACAGAGTTTCTCCAGTCGGCTTTCGAACCATTGGAAACAAAGTTGCGGCATTTTGTCCGGCAAAGTGATACAAGATTGTGATTGGGCGCACACCTCAGTTTGAAGTTTGTGGCAGGCAAAAGCTTGCTCAAATGCCCCTCAATCATTCACTCCAACGGGTCACCTCCTGATGATGATGATCCCCAAACAGTGTGTGTGCTGTCGGTTTCTCGAGTGCTCGCCCGTCCTCCGGTCACCCTGTGCCCTTGCAGATTCTCACCTTTGCAGCGTTCATCGTGCAGTCCGGAACCCTTTGCTAAATCACTTTTCTAACTTTGCTTGCTTCACTGGCCATTGTCGTCTTTCTAACCTGTTACCTCGATCTATACATTGTGTTGGGCTTAACGTTAGCTTCCAAACCTTGCCGTCAGCAGTGACCTTTTGGACGCTAGCCACTGACCTTTATAATGGTAAAATACCGAGTAAGCATTTACCCAAAAGTTGGCGATAATCACGGACAAATGAGACGTTGGATCTAAGAGCAGAAAAGCAGAAGGGACACATGGAGGGTAGGCCTTTGCTCGGCCCTTGTTTGATTTGACAAAATAAGAGATGTATCGAAGCCCTAAGTTTTGTACAGCAACCACTGTTCTCTTGTCAAGCCCGGTTCGTGCCAGTGCATTTAAGTAAAGCTTTACCGCTTCACACCGGTGTGCATATAAAAAGCTTCACCGCTTGGCACCAGTGCGCACAATGTGTGGGGGCTTCACTGCCTTGCACCGGCACGCGTGTGTAAAGCTTCACCTCTTTGCACCGGTGCGTTTGGAGAAGATGATGGCACGGATGAGCATTTAAATTAGATCAGTTGGGCTTAGAAATTTGCCGGGGTGGACGCTTGATGTGTCCTTCCCTTTTATTTGAAATATTTAAAGAAAAGGTGGTGGGCACCTATTGTTACAGGGCGCACGCTCGGTATTTTACCGTAAATGCCGTTTCCAACATTTTTTTTTTTTTCCTCCGGTAACATTGACACACAACGTTAGATCTCGAGGCTATTTTAACAGTTGTGTTTCATCCTGGCAGTTTATCTGTTCTAAACTTAGCTTTCGACATCTTTTTTGTTGCTTCCTCAAATGTTACATAGGCCTTCATCATCAACCTCCACACTGACATACGTTACAGGCCTCTTACATCAACACCTTTGCTCGAGTCGTTTTAGCAGTTGCATTTAACATTCATCTTAACCATCAGCTTTTGATCTTGCAACTTTGGAGCTTTTTTTCTGGCAGTATTCTTTTACTAATTCTTAAAACTTAGAAGGAAAAAAAACAAAAAAACACCTGTCCCGTGATGTTGAGCTTTAACGTCGACTCCAATCTAGACTTCCAAGGTCGGCGCTTGTCCCCCCTACCCTGTACTCCTGGTTTCACCATGCAGTAGCCTTTGAACGTTCATGACCCTAGCAAGACACTGTACGTAGCGCTTTCGAGTTTGCCAGTGTTGTCGACTGGAACCGCACTCTGCGGCCGTTACTGCCTTGGCTTTCGGGAGTCACGCTGAATCGCACGCTAGAGAGGATTGAGGGCTCTTAGAGTCTGCACATTAGATAGCGTAGACTCGAACACCGTCGGGTAGAAGCGAGAAGAAACACGTTTCGCCGTCTAGAGCATTTTTTGTTAACCGGAGCGGTCACCAGCGTCCTCGCACCTGGGGTGTTTTTCGTTGGTGCAAAGCGTTTCGAGAAGCATTGTTGCCTATATAGCACCACCACACACGAAGTATTTTGTTAGAACGGTGGTTAGACGACATAACGTGCGACGTTTGTTTCAGAAGTTGCTCAGTATTATTTTGAATTGTACCCATGCTTCCATCAAGGAAAAGTAGGTCATTGAATATTATCTGACTGATGTTTCCAAAAAATATTGGTTTTAATTGCATATTGTGTTTTACTACCATCACTTCTCTCGCAATCTAGCTTTGTGCCGCCATCTTGGAATGCTCCCTCGTACCTCTGGCATGCACATTGCAGCTGGCTGCAGCTAATTGTTATTGAAAACTTTCCAACGTTGCTCCAAGAGCATATGTTATCAGGGTCCAGTGTTGTTTACTGTTCTGATGTCATTTCGCAACATTTTGAGCATTTTTGGATGCGTCGGGGCAATGCCAAAGTGTTGGGAAGCACAGTGTGTTCCTAACATCAGTTGGGGAGACTCGCTTAACAATATACTAATGTTTAATACTTACATATAACAGTGGCGTAGGCATGGGGAAAGGAAGGTTGAAACTTCCCCCCCCCCTCCCCTCCAAAATAATCACTTTTTTTTATTTATTTTTTTAGAAAAAGAAGACAAATATTGAGTGACTACTGAATTGCTCCCGCCAAACAGGGAGGGGGGGGGGGGGGCGGGAAGGTGGGGTCCGTATCCGTGATTTGTACAGTACATTGACTACTACACTGAAAGATGGGACAAACCCCCCCCCCCCCCCCCCCCCCAAAAAAAAAAAAAAAAAAAAAAAAAATTACTGGCTACGCTACTGATATATGAGACTAACACTTAATGCTGATGATATAATAGCAATGTTTGATGCACTGGATATGGCACTGTGGAATGCCTGACATTAAGACTGCATTTGATGTTACCATCACCAGACAAATATATAATTCCATATATATATATTATTAGCATCATCCCAAAGTTTAATGATAGAAACATTATTGTAGCACCCAACAGTGTTGACTACTCATGCATTTCGAGAATAGTAATTAATGTTATTCCAATGCCTACTACGCTAGAGTTGAATACCGTATTATCTGGACTGTACTCTCCACCCGGAGGTCTGCAGGGGCAACTTTGGAGTCAGAAATAAAAGTTTTTGCTTAGATAATCCACACCTGGCGCATCGTCTGCGCGCAGCGCATGGTCCGCACTTGGCCCCTAATCTAAGCGTAAGAGTGATCCTACACAGCATACCTTGACGAATGCCTACTGTATTAGCTAAAAAAAAAAGTTTTTATCTTACATAAATTACTATTTATATACTCTTCTATTTATAAAATCCTTCAGGTCTTGCTAAAGTGAACCATCTAGAAAAATACAGAACCAGTCTCCACCTGTAGACAGTCCGCACCGGGTAGAATTTCAACTTTTAAACATGTATAGTCCGGAGAATACGGTACTATTGGGTGTTTTGAGGTTCGATAATATTTAAAGCTGTTGATCCGATGCATTCCAACATTTAGTGTTGTTAACATTATGATAATACCCACAATTTGATGCACTTTACAACGTTGCATCCCATGTAATTTAACATTGCAGTAGTGTATCATACTGTTCTCATCGTGCTGTATCTACTATTTCCCAACTTCAGGCTTCCAAAGAAGCTCTTCCATTTCAGTTTGCCGAGTCGTTCCCGAGGTTGAAATTTCCGGCACACAACTGCATCAACCATCAAATGTCAAACTCTTCCTCGCTCGCCAACTTTTTGCCCCGCACGGTTTTCACTGCGAATAATTTTTTCTATTCGCGAAGCTGTACAGCAGCTCTCGTTTTCGCCTTCTTCGAGGATGCGCGTGAAACGATTTTCTGGTAATTCTCCCGCTTCCAAAGTACTCATCACGGACCACGCAGGATTTTTTAACGTTATGGTCGGGACTTGACGCTCCGACATTTTTTCCGTCCTTGCCCGAAAACCGAAGCACCAGTTTGACCCTTGAAAGAGCGAGAATGGGAGGGACGTAGGGAAAGAAAGAGTGACTTTTTCGTAACATACTCCTGCATATGTCCTAGGAGCGCTTTCTATTTCAGTGCTGTCATGTTAGGCCATAGGTTGTGACTTAACAAATAACTAAAAAGGAGGTATGGTTAGTTCGACGACGGTCTTTTGAAGGCACGGCGGCCTTTTCCGCGCGGTTTGATGCCTTTTTGCGAGCTTTTTTGCTCCCTAATTTTTTTCCCTCCCTCCTGGAAGAATGTTTTTTAGTTCTGCACTACTCCTCTTAGTCGCTTGGCAGCCATGTTGATTTGACTGTTTGCAAAATTTGTATTGGACATTACATCGTAACTGTGAGAACCTATCGGTAACTAAGTTTCAGTCAATGAATTCATTTGGCTATTCAGTTGTGTGCTTTTTAGCATTGGCCCAGATGTTAAGCCTAACGTTAGGCCTAACATAACGTTAGGCACATAGAGATCATACATGTTAGGCATAACATTAGGCCTGGTCTTAGAAAGGGTAGAGAAATGGTGGTTTCTATCGTCTTAGCAAAAGAACCGACTCGAGACTCATTTTGATCTAACATTGCACAGTTCTTGGAAAAACAAACAGCAGTGCATGTCCTTTGAGGCATTGGACCACATTTTTGAACATACCGTTTCTTTAATGTTGCTTGGTAAGCTTCATGTTACTGACTGCATTGCGGCCACCAAAAGATGTTGATGACTTCACCACCAGCTATGGATGGCCTTTTAGCTCAGAGTGAGCAACTTCGGTAATCCTTTGTCGCATGATGAGGCAACTAAACCAATAGTATTGGTACATGTTGCAATAATTTCACTGCTCAAACAAGTCTCTTGCTCAGTTCTAAACAAAGAAATCGTCACGACAGTGTTTCAAAGTTTTATGCGTTCTCTGGGTCTATTTGACCAATTTGGCATATTTTTCTGTCCCCTACAAAAATATCAACTTTTTTTAAGGTGAACCAAACTCCCCATTTTCACTGGCAGACTTTTCCATTTATGACACTTAAAAAGAAAAAAAATATTGCCACTTGTTTTGGCAACTAACTGTCCTTGCTGATCAGAATGTTATTAGTGTTTTGAAAACACATGCGATATGAAAGTTCGAGCGGCAGCATTGTGTCCACACATTGTATTTTCTCCTCTTCTCCATAGGTGGCCTGACTAGGTGTGTCTTGCCAGAGCCGTATATTGGGAGAGTTTGGACAATGGGCGGAGCAAAGACCGCTGCCAGCGCCGAATATTCCCCCCATGGTTATAGCGTAAAATAAAAGTGCAACACAGCGTCGACCCATCAGCAGACTGCAACATCAGAATATTGGAAACGACATTTAAAACGTGAAATAGAAACGTTCAACCTCGGCATCTGTGTGACAATGGCGTCAATAGCAAATCAGCAGCAATGATCACAGCTACGCAGTTTACTCTGGTATGGAGCGCATGTTCTTTTATTCTGCCGTTGAATACGGATGTGACGAAAACCTTGCATGTGCCAAGTTTTTAGTCACCAAGAGTTATAGCTTTATACTCTAGCGATGTTTAAACAGCTTAAATTAGTGGAGTCATATTTTTAAAGCTCACGACCGCTGCTAGGGGCTGTTTTGCGGCTTGTGGTTGGCCACGAGATGCTCGCCTATTCAAACCAATGAATGGCCAAACTCTCCCAATACGCGGCTCTGTGTCTTGCATATGCTCGTCTTCCAGAGTGGGTTCTGCTAGTGCCGGGTCGTTGCATGTGTTCCACTCAATGCATTGGTTCCAGTTTTGAAATGTCACCCAGATAACGGAAAAACTAATGGACAGTATGGTGGAACCATTTATGGAGAAGTTGGACAAGCTTGTGGCCAGAGCACATTGAGCTCCAGTAATCAACATGCGCGTCTATGTTGCGACTTGACACTGACTTTGCCAACACACGTTGAGTTCTTTTGGTGTAGGCTGTGTATATATTTTGGATGCTATGCAATTTCTTCCAGGTGGCACACTGCTGTAGAACGTTATGGAGGTTGTCAGTCGAAATGTGCCTACTGCACACTGAAAAACAGTGTGCAGTGTCGGAGAGTAGTTACACTGTCCCTACTGTGCCCTCAGTGTCGAATGGTGATAGGGGTCTTTCCAATTTTTCCCGTTCTTGCCCCCGTCTTGTTCGATTTTAGCCTGTTCTATGTCCTCTAGTCAGTTTGTTACGCTTTTCGTGCACCTCGTCGCATTGCATTGAAAAGAAACGCATGAACACGTCTTCCCATGTTGTGGGTTCCCTCTAGTCGTGCTGTGATCTCGAGAGACGATTTATCTAAACCTTATTGAAATTGTGGTCGTACAATTTTACCTTTTTTATACCATATGTGCTTAATATTATTTATCATGTACCCAAATGAGGGGTCTACATCCAATACTGGTAGCGGATGACTTGCATCATTCCTTATATTTCTGTTTGCATACATGAAAATTATATTCTTGCACCAATTTTTATTTTGTCATTTCGCTGACGTAACGTTTGTGAAGTTCGGTCTCGCAAGCTGTGTTAGAAATATTCATTTGTTCAACACAAACGGTGGACGTAGTCCCTCATTTGGAATTTTAAAACTCGTTGAATATCTGTCCGTGTCCTGACTCAAAAAAAGTTCTGTCAATGGCTGTCAGCTGGACACTGCACACTTCAGAAAAGACTTGTGACTTGAATTTTTGTGGTCGGCAGATATGATTACAAAATATTTGGAGAAACTAGAAGTATTTCACGAGTGCTATGTTAAATGTAGCTGCAATGTTTCAGCATTTTTTTTAGAGCCTCGTCATATTCTGTGCATGTTTGCGAAATAAATATTATGCTTGAAAGTCTAACAAAGCTTCTGTCGTGAGTACATCGTTTGCATTTTTGATTACACGGGGAGAGATTTAAAGGGGTAATTTAAAATTAGGGCTGGTGGGCATTCTATCAAATGAAAAGCCAAAAGACCCCTTTCGAAAGTAATTTAAATGGCGTCAGCTTCAGCCCCAATCGCCAGGGCCGTAGATTCGGAAAGTTTGGCCAGTTTATGATTTTGACGCCGTAACGCCCTTGTTCCCAGTGAGCCATTGAGCCCGCAAAGCAGAGTGAGAGGTGCAAGTGGATGCTCATGAGCTCCCGGCTGCTCCCAGCTGGGCAGGGACTGGGTGGGGAGGGCCACCATTTTCAATCATTCGCCCGGTGGAATGCATGGGATCGACATACAAATTTCGCTTTCCTTTTATTTCGCTGGCTCTGGCAAGAAAATTATAGTGTTATTCCTCGGTGGGTTAAAAAACCAACGAATGAAGTCTTCTTGACATTTGACCAGAGAAATTTTCTCAGGCGAAAAAAGTTGGCCTGTAGCAGACGACGCATAGCCTCAACAGCGCTCTGCGCCGAAAGCTTGTTGCGTCAAAATGGCGGTCGTTTCCTCTCTCTCTTTCGGCGTTCTCCCCCCTTCCCCCCCCCCCCCCCCCCTTTCTTTCACTTTTCTCCACTCCAGCGCCTTCGTCGTCACACCTACTGGTAAGGTTGCGCTGGTAAGGTAAGGGTAAGGTTGCGCTGGGTTGCTCCACTGTCGTCCACCCGTCTAGTGCCACGGGTCCCCAGGTAGCGCGCTATATCGCCCAATTCAAAAGTACTTGCACACGTGTGCTCTCCCAAGCATCAGCGGCTAAACTTCCGGTTTGCGAAAGCGTAAACGCGTAAAGGCTACTGACTTCCGCTGGATGGGTCAACAGGACCAATGTAAGTTTTCGTTCCTGGTTTCGCCTCGACCTGCTTGATTCCGCCGAACGATTCGGTCACTCACAGTCAGTCCGCAACAAAAATGACGTTCTCGAGCCGTTCTTTCATCGCTGGCTAATTGTCAGGGCGCCGTCCGAGGCAGCCGACGGGATGACGTTTGTGGCAGTGGTTAGGCCTAACATCAGGATTTCGCTCCCTGGCCCTTTAATTTTCTGACTGACCCTCGAACAACGTTCCTACGCCGAATGCACACTCTTTGCGGGAAATGATAATATACAACTTCGCTCGCGCTTTTATTCCGGGAAACAGTGTATTGCTCTCTGAACGCCGTACAAAATTTCGCCGTAACACGGAAAAAAAAAAAAAAAAATTTGTCGCTGAAAGGTTTTAAAAAAGAAATGCTTATTTTGTAGAACGGTTCTAAGTAATTACTGGTGCCCCTTTTCGCTTGTTGTTGGTTTATAAATTTGGACCGCGTTCTTTCGGCTTGGCGTAGGTGTAGGAAAAGGAAACGCGACCCGACCCCCCTCCCTTCAACACTATTCGTCTCGCAAGACAAGTAGTTGAGTTGGACTCCTACCAACTGCATGACAGATGTTCGTGCTGAGGTGCACTGTATTACATATACTGTGAAAAATAATAAAAGAAAGCCTTCACCATACATTAACGTCTCCGCAAAGTTACGATATTCCCCCAATAAAAAGGAAGGATGTTTTTGCTGGAATGATGAGCGGATGTGGTGTTTCGGCTGACCGCTTGGACGTTTATCAGCTAGCATCGTCAGATAACGGAGATAACGGTACCGTGATAGCGGAAGTGACGACATTGCGGGGGGTAACCGCCTTTACCGAGGTTGTAGAGTTTATCGTCGGCGGCATTGTTTCGTCTCTGGTTTGTCTCGGCGCGGTTTGTGCCCCTGGCTTCGCTGCAGCAATGAAGAGATAGCACAGTGCCGGGTTTGGCGCGGTTCTAGGTTGGCATTCTAGCCGTAGCTTATACATTGCTGAGTGCTGTATTATGTGTGTTGTCAGAGGCTGGTAATTGCTACAGGTTTTGCTAACTTCTTGGTGTGTCAGCTGTGCAGTTTTTCAATTTATGGTGAAGGTTTTCAGGTTAAGCAGCTCATTACCTTTAAGTGCATTCTAGCATTGAGGCAGCACACTAGACAGACTGCGGCAGTGCTGTAGATGGTTCAGGCACCAAGCTCTGGTAGTTAGCGTTCCTGTTCTACTTATGCACTCCACAACAGTGTGTTCATGCCTGTACACACATGATGATGATAACAAATGGATGAAGGGAGCTGAACCTTTTTAGTCAGGTGGCGGCTTGTGCCATCTGGCCAGAGCTAAAAAAAACAACATAAGGTTAAGCCTTTTAATGATATACTTCTGATAAAGAATCAACCAATCTCTACGATGCATGAGCGTTCATTTGCCATTCTTCACAACCTAAAGCTACAACTTGTGTGACGGTGGTGCCTCTTTGCAACCTGGTGAAATGGTCTAAAGCACCTGGATCTGTTTGTGTTTGTCTTGCAAGTAGCGTCAAATGCACCAATGCACGGCCTCATGCGGCCCTTGGAAGCAAATGAAGGCCGAGCCCTTGTTTGGGGGCATGTGTTTTAAGTGTTTGCACAAAAATGGTTGTCGGTATTGAAAAGAAATGCATAGCGTGAGTTTGATCAAGGGGCTTTTCAATGATCGCTTAAGGAGTGCCACCTATTGGGGCTATGCCAAAATGTGTTCTTTGTTTCATTTTTGCAGGTTGCTTCCTGCCAGACTGTGCATTTCACTGACACTGCGCCTCCCTCCTTGCTGTGCTGTTGCGTGACATGTTCCTTCCGCCGGACAGTTGACGGCGACCTCCCGTATATCCTGAAATCCTATCCGCCTCGTCGACGTTTAGACTAAATCGACGCACAGAAGGACCCAGCCGTGTGGGCCCGGGTTTGCCCGTGCAATATCTAGGGAACTTTAAACGACGGGATTCTTTTCTGCATTTGCCGATGAAAAGGCTAAATTCCGCTCGCTCGCTACGGTGGTCTGACTTTTGTGTCGGGCCCGACGGCTCGCTAAGTTAGCCAAAGGCCTGGGCAGTAGGAATATTGTCCCCTGCTTCTTTACCACCAAGTTTTGGCTGTGCTCTCGTCGTGTCCGGTAACTGCGGTGAAGCAAAACGCAAAATCTGAGAAATCGTCGTCTCGCAATCAAGAAGGAAGAGAACCGTGTGACTCTTGCGCATGCCGTCCGTCTTCACATACCGGAAACCCGTTTGCTAAGCTAGTAGTAGCCTTTGTGCACCAATGGTCGACCGCTATCTCGCTTTTTGCGCTTGCCGTTCGTCCGCAACAACCTCGTCCGTCGCTTGACACCGCTCGAGAGACGGTCATCTGCAAAACTCGTCTGCCGAATTCACCGCCTGCTGGACTTGCCGTCTGCCGCATCTGCCGACCTTGCCGTCGTCTGCTTTGCCTGCCTGCGTCGTCTGCTAGCTCCTCCAACGGGGATCATCGTCTGCTACTGCCTCAGTGGTTTCTGCTGGTGCCCGGAAGATGAACGTGCACGGGATCCGTCGCAACGTGAAGAATGTGGTGCGGAACTATTCGGATGCCCAGGTGAAGGTCCGTGAGGCGACCTCCAACGACCCCTGGGGCCCGCCCTCAACGCTGATGGGGGAGATCGCGGACCTGTCGTACAACGTGGTGGCGTTCACGGAGATCATGCAGATGATCTGGAAGCGTCTGAACGACCACGGGAAGAACTGGAGGCACGTCTACAAGGCCCTCGTCCTGCTCGAGTACCTCATCAAGACCGGCTCGGAAAAGGTATGTTGTACAGTGCTGCCCCTGTGCTGTTTTAGTTGTGCCCAATTGCTGGTGCTTCATTTTGTCATTTCCCTCAAGTGGAAGCATGGCTCATGCGGGGCTCCTAAATCTACTTTTGAACAAGTAGCCAGTATTTTCAGCAGGTCTCTGGTGCCTTTTCAGAGGAAATGTTTTAATTTTCTCAAAGACATATTTGGAGAGGTCTAGAAGAGCTGGTGGGGAGGGGAGGGCAGGGCATCTAGCAATGAGATAAGTTTCATTGTACAGTCACACTCGCTTTTTTAGACACTGCCTGGCAGCTTCAGTGAGAGCTTCCTTAGGCTCGCTTGACGAGACAGTAACAGTGATGTTGCGTTTGACCTGCGAATCGGCTACTTGCTCTAAGCATTGGGTTTTCACATTATTCTCGTCTCGTTCGTATTGCCGGTGCAGTAAAGAAAGGTTGGAGGCCACTCGCCAACGTGAGCCCGGCTGGTGTCGGCCGATTGCCAGCACAAGTCTGACCGGTGTCGGCTTATTTCTGGCGTGAGTCGGGCCGGCGTCGGCTGAGCATTAGCACGAGTCCGACCGGCGTCGTTTAATCACCGGTGCAAGCTCCGTTGGCTTTGGCCAATTGCGAATCCAATTGGCTGAGCGCCGTTCCTCGCCGCAGGTGGGCCAGCAGTGCAAGGAGAACATCTTCGCCATCCAGACGCTCAAGGACTTCCAGCACACGGAAGACAACAAGGACCAGGGGGTGAATGTGCGGGAGAAGTCCAAGCAGCTCGTGGCGCTCCTAAAAGACGACGAGCGGCTGCGCGCCGAACGGGGCCGCGCCCTCAAGGCCAAGGAACGCTTCGCCCAGGCCACCGCCCGCATCGGCTCGGAGACACTGGCCAAGTATGGCAGCGGCCGGCGGGACTCGTACGGGTCGGACGCGGCGTCGCCGAGGGGCGAGGGGGACGGGGCCAGCGGGCTTTCGTCGGAGCTGGAGTGCGCGCGGCCCCAGACGGCCGGGGAGGAGGAGCTTCAGCTGCAGCTGGCCCTCGCCATGAGCAAGGAGGAGGCCGAGCAGGAGGAGCGTGTACGCAAGAACGACGACTTGAGGCTCCAGATGGCGCTGAGCGAGTCTCAGCAGAGTGCAGTGGGCGGGGCAGCCACGCCCCTCCAGAACGGGGGCGGGGCCTCCTCGTCGCACCACCAGCAGCAGCGCTCGGGATTGGACGACCTGCTCGGGCTGAGCCTGGGGGCCGCGGAAGCGGGCGGGGCCACGGCGGCGCCGACGGATCCCTGGGGCATGCCGCTCTACGACGGAAGTCAGGTGGGGCTGTTTCCTTGTTTGGTTTTGGGGGGGTGGTTTTGCGGGGAGGTAAAGTGAGAGCTCTGTCGCGTATTCTTTGAAACGAGTTTCTCTGTAGTCGCCGACAACGTAAAGGCCGACGCTAGAGAGGATCTTCCTGGATTCCTCCACTCGAGGGAGACCCCCTCTTTTCTGCGGGGAGTGGCTCGAAGACCGTGGGGGCTGGGCTGGGCTGGGCTGGGCTGGGCTGGGCTGGGCTGGGCTGGGCTGGGCTGGGCTGGGCTGGGCTGGGCTGGGCTGGGGGCTGGGGGCTGGGGGCTGGGGGCTGGGGCTGGGGCTGGGGCTGGGCCTGGGCCTGGGGCTGGGCTGGACTGGACTGGACTGGAGAAGGCAAGAGGGAAACTGGGAACCGGTTTTCTTTCCGGCAGGAGACGATTCTGGATGTCAGCCTTCGAGAAACGTTACCACCCTTCTTGTTTCGTGATTCGTTTTTCTGGGCCATTGCCACTATCTTTTGGCTGTAGAGGGGTAATGAGATGCGAGGGACTTGCCGTGACCAGTGTTTCTTAATGTGGCAGTGGCTGCGTCTGCTGTCAGTACTTAAAGGGGTATTCACACGAGGGAGAAATCCCGGGGATTTCTCCCGGCACGCGCATCCCACGACGAAAACGTCAGGCTTTGCGATGTGCAAAAGCCTCGCGTTTTCATCTCGTGATGCGCGCGTGCCGGGGAGAAATCCCCGGGATTTCCCCCTTAAAGGGCAACTCCGCTCAATTCCGAAAAATTTAGGCTCACATGCGATTCCATTCCACAAAGCACTACTAAACAGCTCTACGACCTCGGATTCGCGAAAGGTTGAATATTATTTGTGTAATCTTACTTTAAACATCAGCTGATACCGAAACCGAAACTTCGGTTGCGTCAGGCAACATTGGTCTCGTGTCGCCAGAGTCATGGCCATGTCACTTCGAACCACGTTGTCTCGTGGCGTTCGTGCATGGCACCCTAGTTCGTGGGGGCGGGGGACAGGATACGCGACGCGGGCAGGTCGCTTCGCATGGCCTGGACGGTGATGGCTCGGGGGAGAGGGGAGAAGATGAAAGAGGAGAAGGGGAGTGGAGAAACAGACCGATAAGCGCGGAGGGCAACGCAAACTAGCGCATCCGCGGTACGGTGATCACGTGGACGCCGTTTAGCCAACACCAGGAGGATAAACTCATCACATCATCTTTCAATTTCGCTCCGAGAAGTAAAAACAAACAAAACGTGAGAATGACGTAGTCATGCCTCTGACGTAGTGGCTCAACGTTGGCCGCTCCAACTCCGTCGCATTGACTGCGCTGACGATTGCGCCTCACGTCGCACGCTAGAGTTGGCAAATTTCGGCGACTTGGCTGATTTGAAAGTTTGCTGGCCAGTTTATTAAATATAGAGACGGAATTAGATCGTAATATTTGACATGGGGTCTTCCTACATGATACTGAAGAGGTCTACATAGTTTTCTAAATATCAAAAATGAAGCGGAGTTGCCCTTTAAAAAGCTTGGGATAATGAATGTAGCTCGAATAAGGTTCCCGAGCTTATTCATTGACATTCTTCGGTGCACTTTTTAAGGTAGACCTTATCTAGTAGAGCTCGAGGTAATTGTAGTGGGCAACATCTGTAGTGGTTTTTCCTTAGAAACCACCGGCAACCAATATTTCCCAGATGTTAGAACGATCTCGAGAGTCCCGAACATACTAGTGGAGCGTTTGAGAGCATTTTAATGACAGTAACTCAATCTTTGTGCTCCATGCGTCTCGAACTAGTCAACATTACTATAGTGCACGGCCTACTTCCACATTAAAATTGCGATAGTCTCGACGCGCCTCCTTTCTTGCGGAAAAATACCGTCGTCGGGCGAAGCATCGGACGAAGTCTGAGCATCGCTTCGACGACGGTGACTTTTCGATTGGTTGAGGTTTTAATCGTCGTCGCGTAGCGGATTCCCGACTGGTTCTGGTTTTGCAGGCGGCAGCAGCAGATCCCTGGGCGTCTCCCTCGAGCAGTCGTCCGGGCACGGCCGCCGACGACCCCTGGGTATCTCCGACTTCTAGGCCAGGTAGGAATCCAAGCCACACGCTTTGTCCGTTCGCACGTGAATGGCACTGCCATCCATTTCCCTGGACCCAGCAACAGGCGAGATTCGTCGTTGGGGAATGACCGGTTCACACACTTGCAACAGCTTACTACCGTCCGCCTTTAAACCTTTTGCAACGAGGGAATGTGTTGTCTATCGGATTGGAGCACTTGCAGTTTTTGTATGTTTTCTATTTCTCTCTCGGCTCGAAAAACTTTTGACAATGTTCATACACTACCATTTCTCGTGATGTAGATTTAATCTCGCAAACACCGCAGAACCATCTCTCTAGTGAGATGCAGTTCCAGGGTCGCCTCATAGACGGCGCCAGTGTGTTTTTTCGTCGGAAGAGATCAGAAGAACTGAGTACTAGGCAAACGCGAGTGTGTGAACGGGCCTTAAAAATTGTTGGAGCGTCTCCGATATTTCAGTGTTCCGAGCAGGATGTTTTGATGCCCCATTTCGAGCCTGACTCTCTCATCTTTCTCCCGGACGTGGCAGCGCAAGCGGCAGATCCGTGGTCCGGTGGAGGTGCCACAGCCGCCAACGGAGGCGACCTGGACGAGTTTGACATCCTGAGCAAACGGTCGACCACCACCAGCCCTATTTCCGGTAGGCTAGCCTCCCTCTGCGGCGCTCAGTGTCCAGATGGGCCTTTTGAAACTGCCTTATTCTAAGTTTATTTCTTTCGGAACAACCGAAAGGGGGACTGATGAAAGGCATAAATGCCCGGCAAAGGTTTCTGTCCCCTTTGCAGTTCGTACACACAGTACACAACCTCGAATCGTGGACATAAAGTATGGGACGTCCCCCCAGAAAATCTGGGGTTTTTTTTGTATTTTTTTTTTCACCACAAGAACAAACTACGCATAGCCAAACACCCAGCCTACGCCCTAATGCAGCGCTGGTAGTCCAAACCAGGTGCCGAAGTTTCGGAACGAACCATTATTTTAATCGAAAGAAGCGACTTTCTGAAATCTTCATTGGAAAATGGGGGCCAACGTGGAGTGGAATGTCGCTAGTTACCAAGAATGTTTCCCGTTTTCCCATTGAAATTTTCAGAAAATCACTTATTACTAGGACTCTGTGTTTTTGGAGTTTATTTCTCATGAAATTCGGAGAGTGTCATAAGGCGAAAGCCTTATATGCCTCATCGGTCAGTCGACCTTCAAAGTCCTTGATCAAAAACACGTAGGCGACACGGAAGGCATTAGTGAGGAGGGAGAGTCGGATCGCTTAAATTTATTTACGATAAATTTAAGCGATCCGACTCTCCTTCCTCACTAATGCAAATAAACCAAGTTGATTTGTTACAGGACAGAAGAAGAAAGGCTAGGCTGAAGTTTTTGTATCTTCTTGCAAATGATAGGCTTTCTATTGATCGGCACTCATACCTACAACCCGTTACTACGAGACGGACGAGACATTATCAGCCACACTTACTGGCTCCTTACTTTGCTCGCAGCAATCTTTTTAGATTTTCTTTTTTCCCCAGGCGCTGAGTTAGCCGTTTGCTCCCAGTTCATGACTTCATAGGACCTCAGTGCTACATTTCCTTCTGCCACTGGTGGCTTTTTATGCTCCGTATAAAAGTTCTTTTGTACTTCCTGTCGGAGGTATTACTCGTATAGACGCTTTACACACGTGCCAAATTACAGCTGCCATTGCTGACCTTCTCTTGTCTTACTGAGATGCCGAGCAACTGAAACGGTAGTTGACGATCCAATACAAAGGCCGATGCTTTAGAAAAGGACACAGTTGAGTCCAATGTGGCAATAACCTGGCCTGCTATGGTAATTATGAAGTGAAATAAACGAAATAAGAGGAAACAAAAACTGAAGGTCAGTTATGGCGGCGTCCATGCACAGCTGCTGCAAAGCGTCTATACTGTCATGTATGGTGTGTGATTTACTCTTGCTTATTCACTCCTGCTTGGACCATATTGGTCTGCAGTATGTTATAAATAAATAAAATAAATAAATAAAACGTTTACGTCACCACTCGGGCGAATTAGAGGCAATGAAATTAAGAAGGATGACAAAGCTGATTAAGAGGAATCAAAGTGAATTAAGAGGAATGAAAGTTAATTAAGAGGAATTAAAGAGAAGTAAGAGTAATCAATGGGAATTAAGAAGGTTCTACAAAGCGAATAATGTCGAAACAGAGAATGTAAAACAATGAAAATCATGCGTCTGTCTTTAATGCATCGGCGCTTTCTCCTTCAAGTCATCTTAGGGAAAACATAAGAGACCCTGCGAACTTTTAAGTTCTGAAAATTTGGGGTTTATTGCGGTTTGTTTTCGTTAGATTCCTATTTCTCTGAAATTCAGTTTATTTTTACCCCTTTTTGAGATTTCAAAGGGGACTGAAGTGGCATCTCCTCAGGCCCACTGACCCTGAGCTCCTATAAATTTTATTTGTAAAATGCCGTCTTTTTGCTTTTTATCTTTTGACCTGAACATCCAGTTTTCAAATCCAAATGGATAGAAAATGTGCTGGCGAGTGTTTTTCTGGTTTTTTTCGAATTTATCCAAAAACACTAATGACTTTCGAATAAGATGACACTTTGTTCTGAAACTTGGGCATGTGGTTCGGCCTCCTAGCGCTACATGTGGGTGGAGCCTTTGGTGATGCGTACTCTATTTCTGCGGGGAAAAGAAACCTCGTAAATTGTTTTTGGAATGTGTCGTAGTTGCATTCTGCCACTGACGACCGACGTGCCAAGAGTTGCGTGTCGGTACTTTGTTTGGCGTTTTTGGCGGATTGGGTGTTGTGGCGTCGGTGTTCCCTGGGATTGTCCCGTACCTGTGATTGTTTCATTCCTTGTTTCCTGTTTTGTGTTGTGCACTGGGCCAGGGATGTCGGAGCGCTCCTCGGTAGCGGTTACGCTAATTACGACGAGAATAAAGAGGTTTGCTTTATACCTCTGCGGTCTTGGCTGCTCGAAATTCTGAATGGTGCTAGCTCCTCGCCAATACGCACAGTTGTGAGGTGTCAACCAATTTAAGATTACTAATTTTTTTCATTTTTGTTTTTTTTATAGTGTGCCTCACACACCTGGCATTTTGTTTAGGTTTTAATTCCAGCAAAAAGGACTCTAAATTTTTGTGAGACTGGCTGCGACATATAGTTAGGTCTTTGGGTGTGGGGGGTTTATCTTGCGCATGCCCCGCGTCTGAGAGCATGTTCTCAGTTTAGACACTATTCTTGCCACTAATGAAGGTTCCAATAGCTAAGGAAGCGAGAAAAAGAAAAAGACATAGCCTACGTTAGTTTTTGTCACAAACAAATCAACTATTGACAAAACGAGGGTGTAATTTTTGTTTAGTTACTAATTTATCTATGCGTACCACCATCAGCCAAGGGGAGATGCCATACAAGGATTCTGACTGTAGTCAGGTAAAATAAACCACAGCTGCTAGAATAGTGTGCCATTGACAAAGATTTCTTGAACAGACGGAGCGTTTGCAATAGCAAAACACTCGCCTTTTAAAGGGGAATTGTCGGGAAGAGAAATCGACAGTAATTTTGCCGGGAGTCTTAACGCCGCAATCAAAATTATGCAAACCTCTTTAATTCCACAAACCGCATCGTTGTCTTTTTTTATTCCCACCACGAGCATTCTGGTAGGAAGTTCCTGTTGCGAGGAAGCAGCGAGTCATCCCCGGCCCCGCGTACGTAAAGGCCGGTTCGGACATTGGAGCTCGAGTGTGGCCGACCACGGCAAATTACGCAAACCTCGGTTTCCGTGGCAACCGCCTCGCCCTAAAGGCCGGTTTGCACACTTGCGTTGGGCTACGACCGCCTGCGCGGAAACCGGAGTTCCTCGTGACTGCTTACGACTGCACAATGAAAGTGGAAGTGCTCCGCCATTTGTGCCATGAACGAAAGTCTGCTATGTCTTGCGGCTAAGTGTCATTTTTGCTCAGAATTGCGCCACACCTGCGCCGAACGAGGCACAAAATAAAAATATTTCATTATTGGTCGACCCTAATATTAATTAGGAGGTACAAATATATATTTTGCGGCACCTCTACTCATTGTATAGTAGTTTGTTTCATCTTCGGTTAGAGCGCAGCCGAAAGCTGGAGCACATCCAACTGCCAATGCGCATACTAAAAGCGCAAGTCACCGTACATTCGCTAAACTCAGTTGGATAGCCGACGAAAGAACACGTACAGGAAGAGGACAAATGCCACGATGTTGCGCTTTGATTCTGTTTGATTGGTCCCACTGGCTCGTAGCGTCAGCTGCACTTTTACTTGAGCTGAAACGAGGTATAGCGATTGCTCGTCAACCACACTGGCCGGTCGATCGGCGACGTCGTCGGAATTTCCAGGCACTAATGGGCACAGATGTTTCACCTGTCTACAGTCACAATCCTTCTATGGAATCTTCCCTAGGCGTAGATAAATTAGTAACTAAACAAAAAATTACACCCTCGTTTTGTCAATAGTTGATTTATGTGACAAAAAAGTAAGGTAGGTTATGTCTAAAAATCGCGACAAATCTTTGCAAAATGAGCAAGATGGTGGCTACTGTGGTATAACAAAAGCAGGGTCTTGTACCGATGAGATGACTATTCTGCTCAGTCTTATTGCGGATCGACTTTCTCTTGTCTCTATTATTAAATATTAAAAGCTGAGCCAAGCAAGAGAAAATAAATCCGGGTCTATATTTGAATAAATACGGTATTCGAAATGGTTCCCACGCAGCTGTCGATGGAAAAAGCAGCAAACTTTGACTTAACTCGGGATCCGACGCCACTAAAAGGCAGTGTCGCCTTTAAAATGCATTGAAGTGTAGGCTTTCGTAATATTTGTTGGTGGTTGTCCTTGCTGTTTATGACAGTGAAGTGTCGAGTTTGGCAAGTTCATCAAACTTGGGGTATGCTTTTTTATCGATAGACGCTTTAGCAGATATGCTGGTTTTTGCTGGCATTTTATGGAAATTATGTTTACGGGCTGAATAAACTACAGAGTGTAAAAAAAAAAAAGAAGAGAAATGAGGCTTTAATTTTTTTTTTAACAATGTCGTGTTTTCATTTATTTTTTGACGATTTTTTGAATACACATCGTAAATGGAACTTGCCTAATTTATAAAGGGAAGGCTCCACATTCTTTTTGCACCCTTTTTATTCTTATCACAAAAAGTAATAAGTAATATGCTCCAGTATTAAATAGGAGCCCTCTTTACTAGAGATAAACTCGTTTAGGGATCCAAACACTTTCTTATTTTGGAGTGTCCAGACAGATGTTGGCCTCTGCTCCGAACCGTTTGCATGCTAAGGATCCTGCTCTTAAAAGTCCAATGCCACTTCCATCGCTGCAATAGGCTTAAAACTGTATTTTAAAGGTTGGTTCACACACTTGCGACAGCTTACGATGCATTTCCATATATTTCCCACTAATTTCACGCATCATTGTTTCTCAAAAACTTTTGAGTGTTCTGAACAACCTTTTCTCGTACATAATATGTACATTCGATCACACACATAAACTTTTTAATGGAATGCAGTTTCGGACTCACCTCATAGATGGCGCCTGCGTGTTCTCTCATTGAAAGAGGTTAGAGGAACTCGGTCGCGAGAAAACGCAAGTGTGTCCACGGTCATCGAGCCTCTCCGGTCGCGAGCTGTCACGAGTGCGTGAACTGGCCCCTAGGGATCGCGAATGCTCGAACCGGCCTTTATGGGTGTGGTGGTGGCCGCCGTCTCACCCTCCGTCTCCCCCCTCGGGCCCGCGACCTCCCCGGCGCGTCCCGCAGAGGCCAACCCCTCGGGAGGGGCGGACGCGTTTGCGCTGGGGGGCCTGCGGGGGGCCCTGGCGGCCCCCCCCGACGAGGAGGAGCTGGCCCGGCGGCGCACCCCCGAGAGCTTCCTGGGCCCCAACTCCAACCTGGTGAACCTCGACGCGCTGGTCACCACCAGGCCCCCAGGTGAGGGCGCGGCCATCGTGTCCTCCAAAGCGGTCCCTCGATGTCCGCCCGACCACGTCGTAGGAGCGTTGAGTTGTCGCCGCGAAATGACACTTCGGATCCTTCCAAGTTTGTCAATTGTTTAGTACTTTTAAAACGCTCCGAAGCTGTCAGCAGCCTACCTCACTTATCCGTCATTGCGAGCTTCCGTTAACTTTGTGCCTATGTTACAGTAAATGGGCTGGCTTTACAATCAACGGGCCACCTTTGAAATATTCTGCGAGATTAGCGCCATTGTTGGGCAAGGACAGTGGCATCAGGATGGAAGCAGATTGCCCCCCCCCCCCCCCCAAGATATTTCGGATGTTACTCGTAAGCCTTTCGGGGAGGCAAACGCCCACCCGTCTTTCGAACACTTCCCACTTCGCTAGGTATTGACACGTCGTTCCTCCCCCTCATTCGCGAGATGGGGAGAGGGAAGAAGAGGGGGACAGTGCCGCAGCTTTCTCGGCCTAACGTGCGTCGTGTAAAGTTTGTCACCAGTGGGGGAGACATTTTCACGATGCGGCGCGATCTGACCGTACTGCCTTTACATCCCTCGTTCCCTCCTCTGTTTGTCCCGTCTTATGTTTTGTCTGCCTTGCAGGTCCAGATCGTTTAAAGATTTGTGTTGTGTGCTTTGTTGGACTGAAATGTGTGCGTCTACTGCATTTGATGCTCTGGCGAGAAAAACAAAAGGCTGGGGAAACATTTCAGTTGTTTTCGTTTGCTAGGGTTATTCCCCTTAATTTTTGTTAAGAAAGATTGGCACGGTGCATTGGTCATTCATAGACCTTATGCAAAATTATTTGGCAACAAATAATATTGGCAAGAGTCGTCTGTACTGAAGCATGGTGGAGGCATTGGAGACAACCGTACGGGCAGTGTGCGATGGCACGGCAGCTGTGTTCTTTGCCTTCTGACCATGGAATGTGGACAGTTTAAACAACCTACTGCAACTGTCCGACGAAGCTCTCGGAGGTGTGTGCAGACTGGCAACGACCCGCAGTGCGTAAGCTTCCGCAGCGTAGGCGTAGGACTTGCTCTGCTGCTTCAACGAGGTTGTCACCAGCGTGCACAGGCCTCTGAGAGTTTTGTCAGGCAGTTGCGGTAGGTTGTCTAAACTGTTCGTCCACGTTCCACGGTCGGAAGGCGGAAAACACGGCTGCCGCGCCATTGCACACTGCCCGCACAATTGTCTCCGACGCCTCCACCATGCTTCGGTACCGATGACGCTTGCCAACATTAAAATGGTGATGCTCTCACTGCTGTCAGACCCCTGAGCGATTTCGCATAAGTCTAGAGCATGACTATGGATTAGATAATGTCTGTATTGCCAGGGTGACCAAGTAAGAGAGTCTGAATTCTCCATCTTAGAACCTTGCTTTCGGAGCGGCTAACTTGCCTGTCTCATAGGGATCTTTAGATCACAGTAAAATATATGGGTACTGTAGGAGCCATGAAACTCGTTCTGACCAGGAAGTTGTCTCGCATCTGCTGATGTGGAGAAGAAACCCTCGTGAGAGGGGTGTTTTGCTTTACAACGTGCTACAATTGAATGGGAAAACGGGCCACAAACACTCCGCAGAAACTCCTTGAGATCAAGGAAAACTTTGTAAAACAAAATATAAGACCGACTTTTTTTTTTTTAGCTATGTTTTTTTGGTTTGGTGGGTTACTTGAGTGCTCCTTCTAGCAGGTGCCATTCTGTCATCTTTGTTCATTGGCAGTGTCTTGGGCACTGTCTAAAGCCACAGTCGCAGCTGTTCATACATTGTACAGAAAGACGGCATTCGCTCCAAACACGACGACAGAACGTGCCTGAAGCACGTGTAAAGCATGTTTGTGTCACACATGCTCGGAACATGTCTGCAGGCAGTTTTTGTACGACCAATGTGACGTGAGGAAAAAACAGACAGTCTGGAGGCTGTCATTTGTGTGATGCATTAGCAACGTGACCAAGACGTAATTTTCTTTTCCCCCTCCCAAAGCGGCTCCCCTCGGAGTACCGATGGGCGCACCGGCACCAAATCCCTTTGCGGCGCCACTGACGACCGCCGCGGCGGCCGCAACGACTCCCCTGGTGCCCGCGGCGGGCAACCCCTTTCAAGCGTCCAAGCCGCCTCCGCCGACCATCAACCAGCTGCGGTCGCAGAACAGCGCCTTCCCCACGCCGCAGCAGCCGCCACTCCCCATCGGTGCCGGCGTGGCCTTTCCACCGTCGACCCAAGCGGTGGTGCCACCGCAGCAGAACCCTTTCATGTGAAAGCAGAGTCAAGGCCTGCCGCCGAAACCCCAACCAACGCCGAGGAAGAGTCCGGAAGCGAGCCGGCGGTCGCGTTCGGTCACTCTCGTTCCCCGAGGGATTTTCGGAGAGGGCCGCGGGGACGAACCTTGGAGACATATGGGGAAAGTTTGGCATTCATTAGGGAAATATGGGGAAGTGACAGGAATGTGAGGGATGGACTCTGGGGACATGTAGGGAAATTGTGGGGGGTTGACAAGAGAAAAATGGGAAGTGGAATGGTTTAGTGAGCTGGCAGGAATGTGAGTGACTGACGCTGGGGACATTTAGGGAACTTTCTTGGATTTGACTTTGGGGGGGGGGGATGAGGGAAATGGTAGGTCTAGGGAAGAGGCAGCATTGTGTGTGTGTGGGCACTGTGAAGAGCTGATTGGGGAGATGTAATTCTCTAGATGAAGGACATCTGGGACCCTTAGTGATATGATATGGAAAGACAAGGAACCTGAATATTTAGGGAGGTGGTAAGGGCAGTTTCAAATGTTCTTGAAAGAACTTGTTTGGGTAAGGCTGGAGTTGCAAGAATTTGTATGGCATGTCAGTAATTCTAAGAAAAGCACTAGGGATATAATAAACTTTGGGTATTTTTTTTGTGGCCCCTGACCCTATTAAAGATTTTAAATGAGAATCTTGGATGTAGGGAAGGTCCCACTAAGAGCTGAGGGATGCTCAGGGGCATTTATTTAGGCAATTGTTCAAATTATGGTGCTGTAGGGAAAGATTGTCATTTGGGAGGTTGTGGGAAATTCTTAGCACTGTGTGCTGCAGTGCTTTTGGGGAAGCTGGTGGTTCTGGGATTTCTTGGGCTGATTTAGGTAATTACATGCAAGAAATTAATTTAATATAGGAGAAATGCTTGCGACCTGTTAAAGGATGCCAGTTTCAAAGAAAGCAATGTTGTAGATAATATTGAACAAATCCAGGCACTTCTAAAACTGGTAATTTTCTAAATTTATACGAGCACCTGGAAACTGTCTTGGTGACACTTAAGGAAGTATTTGTAGACTGAGGTATTTAGGGCAAGCGTAACACTAGAGATGATGAACGTTTAGGGAAGCTTGCTGCGGCACTCAAGAGCAACAAGCTAACTTCCTAAAAAGTGAAGTGCCATAACGGGCAAAGAGCAATTTCGGGGCCATTTCGACCTCGATATATGGAGTATATCTGGGGGTAATTAAAAACAAATATGCTTTAGGGGACTGATACGAGCCTGCTGGTTCGCCAGTTTCTCCAAGAAGTTGTGCGACACATCTGTTAAGCTGGGCACACGTACGAGATGAAAACGGGCATATACTTCCTGCTTACCGCAACAGGAAATACTACCTGTAAGCTTAGGACTTCCTCCCGAGAGTTTTTTGTATTTATAAATGAACTCCTAACATGCTTTCGATTCAAGTTTGGCGGTGGTCTACTGGACGGTGCTCGATGAAGCGGGGCAGGTGGAGCCAGAATGACCGAATGCAATTGTGGTGGCGCCGCCGGTTCGGCGCGGAAGCAGTCGTAACGTAGCAACACGAGGCTTTTGCATTTCCGTCATTTTACGGGTTTCTGAGTTTGTAAAGATTACCACAAGAGTACTGTAAAAATGAAAGGTCTGTTTGCTGGCTTTCAACAAACTTTTGTCTTGGGGCAGTTGCTTAACGTCTGAAAGCTGTTATCCCCAGATATATGTGCTGCTTGATTTGTGGTTTATTTTTCTGTAGAAAGCTGCTTCGATGGGCCGCGGGAGATTCAGCAGCTGGGCTGCTGAGTTTTGCTTAGAGAAGCTTTTCTGGCGACGACTGTGTCCAGGCGGAAGTGGAAAAACGCGTTTCCTTGCGTTGCAGGTTTTAAAAGCTGTGCCGTCTCTCTCGTCTGGGATGCTTTCACCACTTTTGGAGGAGGGGGAGAGTGAAGAGCTGCCGAATAAACAGTTAGAGAGAGCGTGTTGCTTAGAAAGCGGGTCGTTTTTGTACTCACCGTTTCTAGTGGCGAGGAGGAGATGGTAAAGTGGAACAATCCATAGCACCGCAACATTGCCGCCATCGCGTACCGGAGTTTAAATGTATCGTCCGCTATTGTCCCGTCGGTCTGCGTGCATTTCGAAGAGTCGAAATTGTGCGACCACGACGTACTTGCAGCAATTTTGGGGGAGTCCCAGTTTTCCACTTCGCTAGCGAACCGGATTAGTGGACGCGGCCTCGGAGACACTGTTGTCTTTAAATCTGGTTGTCACGTCGTCTGCGACAACTGCATTGGTTTTAACCCGGTTTTTAATCATAAAGTCCGGTACTGTTGAAAATATTGAATCCTTCAGTTTTTAACTTGGGTTGGAGTCTGTCAGAAACGGTCGAGGGTGTGGTCTAGAAAATCGTCACGGGAGGCAGACAAGCTTTAAAGTGTCGGGTTTGGGGAGTAGGCGCGACGATTTAGTAACCAAATTATTTTAGTTAGTCTAGAGACGTTTGTTGGCCCCTCCGAAAAAAGGAGTGCAATGAACGAACGCTTTGTTCAACATGTTTTCTGCGTGCGACGCCGTGCAGAGTCTGTCAACGCTCGTCGTCTACTGTCTGGGCGGTGGCAACTTTTATACATTAGGCAGGGGGCGCCGGGGTCTCTCGCTTCAGGCGGCGAATCGTCGTTGCCACGGTTAAGACGACAAGAAGATATATATACAACCAAACAATCCGCTTTTGGGTGACTCACAGCGTGCATGCAGTGGATATTGGAGAAGAATAAAAAGCCGTTATTTTGAAGTCTGAGCTCCGTGGTCGGTTGGTGTCACTTCTTTCAACTTTGGGAACGAATTGCGTCATCTGTTTAGACAGCTGGAAGTTGGCCTGCCTCAATGAGCGACTTTCAGCTAGATGTGAAATTTAGCCTGTGCAGTACAACCGCTAGCCTGGGAAACCGCACAGTAGTGATACACGACCGAACGTTATGATTCTCGCCCAGATTGAAATGGGGTGGGATAGGTGTCGAACCCAGGATCCCTGGGTTATGCAGAGCGAGCTTCTGCTCTACGTGCTCGGAGTTGCAACGCGTCAACACATTCAACTCCCTTGGAACAACGGGTCCATACAATTCGCAACTTTCACCGATGGTGGTTGCTTACACCTTAACGTGGAAGCATGAGGTTGGGGGGGGGGGGGGGGGGGGGGGTAAGGCTCCTATATCGCTCGTATTTCGCAAAAGTAGAATTACTCGTCGCAATCCAACCTAGTACTGCTGTTCTACGAAAATCATCCAGATCACTGCCATTTTTATAGGAAACAGTGCACCCCCTATAGACGACAAAAGGTGTGAATGTGCAGTTCCTCTGATGGAGCCACGTCATTCTACGTCCGAGTATCCAAATTATTACGGTAGAGTATCCGTTTCTCTACAAGCGGAGCGACTGGACTTTAAAGGGTGCTCAAAGGGGCACAGTAACGGCTGGTTCAAGCACTTGCAACTGAGTGCACAACAAACTCTCGCGATATCTTGCGACGAGAGAACACGCTGGTGCACTGGAACTGCATTTCACCGAAGCAGTGGTTCTCAAATGGGAATCCGCGAAGCTGCTTCTGGGGTCCGCAGAACCCCCAACAAAAATTTTTTTTTTTAGTTGGCACGTTTTGATGAACTGACCAAAATGAAGTGATGTGGCACCTTTGTTTTATGTTTTTCTGCCACGTAGCAATAGAGGGATAAAAGGCACCTGTTTCATGCTCCAGATGTGTTAACTTACTAATGCCCCACGCCCTTGCCCAACCTCGTTGTGCCCCACCCCCACCACCATCGCTGGAAGGGGTCCCCCATCACTGCCAGCGGTCCGCAAGAGGTCACGGACACATCCATGGCTGAGAACCACTGCACTAGAGCAAAGTTTTTCCTGTATCCAAATATTGCGCTATCCGTGAGAAATTGTCCTGTATTACACCGTTGGAAGAAATTTCAAGCCAGTTGTGAAAAAGAAAGATAAGTGAGGTTTGCCCGACTTTCCAATAGGTGGCATCAGTGTGCTTTCTCGAGGTATTAGGTGGCCTTTGGTCGTAGGCAGTCGCAAGTGTGTGCGTGAGCCTTTACGGTAGCAAGTTCAATCAACAATGAGGCAAGATTATCCTGGAAACTCCAACTAATTATCATTTTGCGAAGAAAAACGGACAGTTCTTACTGCTAGACTAATGAACCTCAGAATCGTTTTGGAGTGGCAACGAGTGGCCATGGCTGGACACTGGAGCTTATCTTGTACCGTTTAATAGCCATGGCTCCTGCAAGATGGAGGTGTCGCGTAAACGTTCACCACAAAAAAAAAAAGTGAAAGTCGTTTACCACTCCCTGTAACGCCGAATTGGAGCGCAGCTCTTGAGGAGGAGGAGGGAAGGGTACTGAGGGCCACGTGTTCTCGGGGGGGTCACGTGACCCCCCCCCCCTTCCCCCCCCCCCCCCCCCCCCCCGAGGGCACTTGACCTCGGGGTGTCACGTGACTCCCCAGGTCACGTGACCAAATTTTTTCCGCTAGATTTAGCGGGGAAATTTTTCCGCTAGATTTAGCGGGGAAATTTTTTCCGCTAGATTTAGCGGGGAAATTTACTCATAATGCACCGCGCGGTTACGGCGATGGCGACGCCGCTCAAGCCGGAAACGGGCGCCGAAGAGCTGCGCTCTAAAGAAGGACAACCCACCAAATCCTATAAAAGTAGGGACCCTACCTTTCGAGGCCTACGTGGATCTTCTTTGGAGGTGACTGGCAATGGTTATTGAAGAGCAATAGTTTAAAAAAATATTTCGACGATATGGTCAAGCTTGTTGACATAAACGGATGGCAAAGTGCCTAGGCTATGTTTACTGGCATCGTTTGAATGTGCCAAGATTCAATGAAAAGTCCATGTTAGTCTGCGTCGATGGTGCTGGACTGCGCAGCGCTCGTGGTAGAGCTTGAGCACGTTGTTTTTTGCGTTGGTGGATTCTTTAATTGAAGTTCTTTGTCTCGCGACGTAGTAGGTGACTGGGCAATGCGAACAAGGGACCTTATAAATTATGCCTCGCGTTTTTCCTTCCGACAAGCGATTTTTTGGACGGGGCAAGAGACTATCAAGCGTGGACGTCGGTTCGTGGCCCACGTCAAGTCGTCCTTTGGCTAGCACACGGGCCAGTGCCTCACTTGTTTCTTTAATGTAGGATACGCAGATGTGCAAGGCTACAAACATGTTTGTGGCTGCCGGTGTCAGTAATCTCGAGCTTGACAATGTGCAACACAGTGGATAAAGGCGCTTGTGTGCTCATTCTTTGAGATCAGTAGAGACAGATTGTTCTTCCTTTCTTCTGACCGTTTCAGACGAGCACATAGTCTTCGCCCTACATTACTGTCCCAACCACCGATGCTTTCCCACAGGCTGGGTGATTGGAATCAAACCGGCATGTGTGGATTTCCTGTACACAGAAACTCATGTTCCCTTCCCACAACATCGAGAAAAGGTAAGGTAGTGTCCTTTTCACGTTCCACGGTTAACTGGATGGCCGGTTCGATGGAATCCCCACATCAGGCTTTTCAAGGATAGAGAAGCGGTCGTTTACATACCACTAAAACGGTAGTGTCTACGTACCACAAAAACCAAAAACAGTAGTGTGTTGTGACAAATGGCTGCAGGGCGCTTCCTGAATGGCTTCTGTGCACAGGTTGGCCATGGTGACGAAGATGGATGTGCCAATTGCGGTTCCTTAAAAAGTTCTAAAAAAAAAAAAAAAAAAAAAAAGTGGAAGGTCAATTCTAGAGTATTTTTATCCTGTGAATCTGAATATCATGCTCGTTTTCCCCGAAGATTTAAGTAAACGCGAGAAAACCTGAAAAACCTCCAACCGGTCGTTACGTCGTAAAAAGATCTTTCGGCTGCCAAGCTCGTGGCCAGCACAGTCGCGACGTCTTTTTAATGCGAAAGCATTAACTTGTGGTGGCGAAGCAAGGAAAAGAACCGAACACGACGAAGCTCGGGCCAAGACTATTTTTTATATCACCGTCACGCGCTTGTTGCCTTTTTGCCCGGCGCACCCGCATTCAGTGGACATCTTTTTCTTTGATGCTCTGTCACCACAGGACTCCCCTCCCCAGAGACGGAGTCGCTCCAACGAACCGTTTTGTGTAGAAGTCGTGGAGGAAGAGTCGATGAGTAGCCGGAAGCTGCCTGCCTCGATGAGCACTGTGTTTCAACCTCTAAACACAATGTAGGGATCGCGTCGAGGTGGTTTGAGGCGGTCCGTGGCAACCATTTCTTCTCGTCCGTTAATCTTGATGGTAAAATTTTTTTCATTTCTCGCCAGGACAAGATTTGGTCCGGTGTAGGGTGGCTGAAGAGAGCGTCGTACCGCGTCTGTCCTGAGAAAAACGTGTTGTTTCACGAAGGTCTTTGCTGATAAATGGTTTGGTTGTCGCTTTTGCCCGGGTGGGTATTGGCCTGATCTCTCTGAAGATGTTCTGTAGTCTCTCGACGTATGTCTCGATCTTGGGAGGTGCTGCTGTAGGGTGCAAGGGCGTTGCTAACTCGGCCGGCAAACGAAGTGAAGTGCCGTAGACGAGTTGGGCTGGGCAACAAGCTAGGTCTTCTTTGACAGCAGCACGAAGACCAAGAAGAATGATAGGAAGAAGTTCCAACCAACAAGTTGGATTTTGGTGAGCCATGATGGAAGCTTTCAGTTGACGGTGAAATCTCTCAACAAGTCCATTGGCTTGCGGATGATAGGCAGTTGTTCGTATGTGTGTGGTTCCTAGTAGTTCAGAAAGGCATCTGAAAAGGGCCGATTCAAACTGTCGTCCCCTGTCTGTGACGATCTCGATAGGTGTTCCGAAGCGCGCGACCCAGGTTTGGATGAAAGCTGATGCAACGGTCTCGGCTGTGATATCCTGAATTGGTGTTGCTTCCGGCCAACGAGTGAAGCGGTCAACAATCGTGAGGAGGTATCGGTAGCCTTTGCAGGGTGGTAGAGGTCCGACGAGATCAATGTGAACTTTTTCAAAACGGCTGTCGGGAGGCAGGAACTTTACAAGTGGAGTTACGGTGTGTTGATGTGTTTTTGCTTGCTGGCACGGCGAACATGCTCTTGCCCACTGTCGGACATCGCTGTTCATGCCCAGCCAGACGTACCGTTCCGTGATCCGTTTTTGAGATGCTCGAATTCCAGGGTGAGCGAGAGAATGAAGAGAGTCGAAAACTTGTCGGCGTAATTCGGCAGGGACAAAGGGGCGTTGCCTGCTTGTGGAAGTGTCACACGCAATGGTGATGTCTGACGAAAAATGTGGAACGTCCGTGAGCTGTAGGGAGGTTGAGGAGTGGCGTAGGTCCCCGAGCTCTTTGTCCTGTTGCTGCAGTCTAGCGAACGTTTCCCACGACAAATCAGAGGCGTTGACTGAAGCAATGCGACTAAGCGTGTCTGCAGGGGTATTTTGCGTGCCTTTGACATGTCGTATCTCCGTGGAATATTCTGCCAAAAAAGCAAGGAGCCTGACCTCTCTTGGAGAGTAGCTGTTTCTGGCAGCTTGGAAAGCATGAGTCAACGGCTTGTGGTCCGTGAAGATGATGAATTGGCGCCCTTCTAAAAAATATCGGACAGCCAGGTAGGCAGCTAAGAGCTCTCGCCCAAAAGCGCTGTACCGTTGCTCGGTGCTGGTTAATTTCTTTGAGAAAAAACCAAGCGGTTTCCATGCTCCACCAAGGTACTGCTGTACCACAGCGCCGACGGCAACTCCGGAAGCGTCTACCATGATGCTTGTAAGAGCATCGTGCTGGGGATGCTCCAACAGTGTCGCTTGGGCTAAACTATTCTTGGCAGCGGAGAAAGCGTTGTCGGCCTCTTGATTCCAAGAGAGTGCAGCTGCTGGAGACTTGGATTGTGTGAGCATTGCTTCAGGAGGTCGGAGGATGGTCGCGCAATGTGGTCTAAAACGGCGGTAGAAGTTTACCAACCCCAGAAAACTACGCAGTTGGCGGAGGGATTCAGGGCGAGGAAACTTGGAGATAGCCTTGACTTTCGTCGTCAGTGGTTTAATGCCTTGTTTGTCCACCATGTGTCCTAAAAAATCTAACGAAGGAGCTCCGAACTCACACTTGTCCACGTTTATGATGAGGTTGTAGTCTCGAAGGCGTTTGAACAGAAGCCGGAGATGATAGAGATGCTCCTCTGGTGGTGTGCTTGCGACAAGAATATCGTCGACGTACGCGAAAACAAATGTCAGTCCCCGTGTTACAACGTCGATAAATCTCTGAAAAGTTTGTGCGGCATTTCTTAACCCAAATGGCATGCGAGTGAACTCAGACAGGCCAAATGGTGTCGTTATGGCGGTCTTGGAGATGTCTTCTGTGGCTACAGGAATTTGATGGTATGCTTTCGTAAGGTCTATTTTCGAAAAAATAGTAGATCCTCTTAGGTTGACAGTAAAGTCTTGAATGTTGGGCAATGGGTAGCAGTCAGGGAGCATGGCCAAATTTAAAGCACGGTAATCCCCACAAGGCCTCCAGTCGCCAGTTTTCTTGGGAACCATGTGGAGGGGCGAGGACCAACAGCTCGAGGATAACCTAACGATTCCCATTTCCAACATATGTTCGAATTCTTGCCGGGCAATGCGAAGTTTCTCAGGGGATAATCGTCAGGGGACTGCATGAGTAGGTTGACCGCGGGTGGCAATACGGTGTACAACGTCATGCGTGGCAGGTTTGGTCCAGTCAGGAGAGGCAGTCAAAATCGGGAATTCTTTGATAAGACTTGCGTACGGCTCGGGTACGCAGCATTTGATCGTGAAGGCAAAAGAGGAGATGGTTGTAGGCTTGCCCATTATGGAGAGTCCGGTGGTAGAATCAATGAGTTTCTTGTGTGCCATGTCAACCAAAAGTGTGAAATGGGATAAGAAATCCGCACCCAGGATGGCATGGCTGACTGGTGCAACGAGAAATACCCAACGAAATGTTCGCCGAATGCCTAGTTCAACAGCAAGGGATCTTCTCCTGTATACAGGAATGCTGCTACCGTTTACTGCTCGTAGGTAACAGATGTGAGGAAAGCCTCTGTCAGCGGTTTGCGAAGGAACAATGCTGACCTCGGCCCCTGTATCGATGAGAAACTGAACATTTGAAAGTCCGTCTTTGAGGAAAAACAGGCGACTGTCAGAAGGTTTTGGAGGAGCACTCGTCGCCGCTAGTGTTCCCTGGTTTCGTTTCCCGACCATCCACAAGGCTGCGTGCAGCGTTCTGCTCTGGAACCGAATTTGCGATGGTACCAGCAAGGTGGAACGTCGGGAGACTGGCTCCTCGTAGGGATAAACGTCGCGATTGTGATGATCGGCTAGGAGATCGAGCAGATCGGGACGAGTTACGGGATGGCCCTGAATGACGAGCAAGGGAGCGTGCGACGAGTGTGGACAGGTTCTTGACTTCCTCCCGAAGGGCCGTCATTTCTTCAGAGGAGGCGAATCTCTGCTGTTGTGGTTCAGAAAGCTGATGCACGTTCGAGTTGTGCACAGATGCCTGTGGTGGCGCGACCTCCATGATTTTGTCGGCGTGCAGTGCCAGAGCGGGCAGGGTTAAATCTGCTGCCGTGGTAAGCAGCATCTGGACAGTGGAAGGAAGTCGTTGTAGAAAAAGTTCTTTTAGTAATGTTGTATCAAACGTCGCTGCGCGCTCGCCAAGAAGGGCCTGCATGTGACGAAGTAACTGTGAAGGTCGCCGATCTCCAAGCTCTTCTGCTGCCAACAGCTGCTGCAGGCGCTTACGTTCCGAAACCGTCGTTCGTTCTAGGATTGCCGCTTTCAGCGTGTCGTACGGTGCAGCGGTGGGCGGATTTGAGAGAATGTCGTAGACTTGCAATGCTACTTCGTTGGGAAGGGCAGCTACCAGGTGGGCGAAACGGGTCGTTTGTGACGTGACGTTAGAAACGCCGAATCGGGCTTCTACCTGTAGAAACCAGATTCCCGGGTGCTGTGGCCAGAACGGCGGGAGGCGTACAGCGTAGTGGTTGACGGTACGGGGAGGCTCACCCGTACGATCCGTTTTTTGCGTGTTCGTGGCCATCACGTCCGGGTCACCAGTGTGGTGGCGAAGCAAGGAAAAGAACCGAACACGACGAAGCTCGGGACTATTTTTTATGTCCCCATCACGCGCTTGTTGCCTTTTTGCCTCGTGCACCCGCATTCGGTGGACATCTTTTTCTTTGATGCTCTGTCACCACAAACTGGTCCCATGGAGTGAAGCAGGTGTCGTCTCTATCAGCAAAAAATGGCACCCAAGTTCCCATTCGCCGAGTGAAAAGGCACCTAAAGTCCCATTGGCCAATAGCGGAGCAACACAGATGCTTCATCACGGTAGCTCAAGGTCAGAGCGGACGTGCCTCAGAAATAAAACGCAAAGAAAAGCACAGCAAGCACATCTTCGTCACGGAAGCTGGTGGGGTTAGCTGCGCCGCGCTCCTTGTGGGAATTCCAGATGTAAACAGTCTCAAGTGTCTCTGCCAAATTTTTTGATAATAGCAAGAGCGCGCGTGCATAGCTCCGATAGGCGCTGAAGATACGTGAGAGCAAAGATTACAAACTCTCCCTTTATGATGTAATGCTCGGGGAAGGTGCTTCAGGGGTACTTTAGAAATTATTTTTTGCAGCCTCCGTGCACCAAATTAAAAAACTAATCTCGATATTCGCGATTCTGGAGGCCAAATGAAGACGATTTAAGTGTTTTTACTCAAATGCAAAACCGCTGCAGTTTTTCTTTGAAGAACTCCCCCTCGACGTTAAACTTCGAGGAAGAACTCCAGGGGGCTGCACAGCTTTTCCAGCGACTTCGTGGAGCATGCCTCGAAATTGAAGGAGAGTGCCGAGAAAAGGCCTAGTTGCCTAGTGTCGGTCAAACTTTCACAGATCGCAGCGAGGCGTAGCACGCTACAACAACACCGAATCCACTTGCTGCGACCTTGGGCCGAGGAAACCAGTGGACTGCCGCAAGCTTGTACCGCTTGCACAGCTTGCACACAGCAATATTCATTGTTTCGATCCGACAGTGTTCAGTGATGGGCGTTTACAATCCTAGCTACAAACGTCGTGCTGCGCCAGGGCTGGCACAGGCCATGGTTGGATGGTGCCGCTCGATAGAAGCAACGTGAAATTTCACTGTCGGAGGGGTATTAGATGCAACATCTGTACATGCCATTGGTGGCTCCAGCAAGACGTTTCTACGACCTACCGCGGGAGCTGCCATTTTTTGCAACACGTTCAGAGTAGTAGATTGCATTGTTCTTTTTGCCAAAAGACCCGTGGGATCTTGCCAATAGGTGTTTTAACTTGAGTCCCAATTTAGCAGAATCACCACCGAAGTGAGAGACCGGCGGTAGTTTTCCGCTTTCGACGTTGCGAACAGGCGTCGTAAAATTGAGGTCGCCACAGGCCAGAAAAGATACTGACAAACCATTTATTTTACATTTAAAAACGTGAGAACCACAACATTAAAAAAAAAGCGGAGTGGAGGAGCTAGTGGGACAAAGGAGAGTTCATATGCTGATGACAGGGTAAAAAGATGTCTTCCGCTATTTAAATAATAAGTATCCATTTCATAAAGTTGTACTAAAACGGAGTCTAAATGCGAGTGATGTACACGTGTAACCATAAAAGAGGGGACGGGTGGGAAAAAGGGACAAATGAGACTGTGGAGGAAACCCCCGGCTCGTCTAAAACGCTACCGATAGCAAAAGTGCGACGACGCGACCTGCGTCCGTCGCAAGAAGAGGGAGTGGCGATGGAATGTCTTTCGGGGATCCGGGTGCAAACGAAGTAAGGAGGAAACTGGGGTTAGAACCCATCGTCGCTGCTGTCACTTCCAAAGACAAATGTGGTCGGCTTCTTGGCACGCCCCGTTGTCGGGCGCCGCGCCACCGGGCTGTCGTCTACGACCTCGTCTTCGTCCGACGATGCTTTCCTTGCCTTCTTCGACTTGCTCGCCTTCTTGGGCTCGTCCGAATCCGAATCTGCAACCTTCTTCTTGCGGCCCTTGGGCGCAGCCGGCTTTGGGGCCGGCTTTGAGGCCGGCTTTGCCGCGGGCTTCTTCGCCGGCGCTGCTTTCTTGGGTCGGAAGTCGTCGTCCTCCGGCTCGGAGACGTCCGAGTCGCTCGTTACGAGTTTCTTTTGGGGCACCGCCTTCCGCTGCACCGTTGGCTTCACGACAGGCGAAGATGTCTCTTCGCTCTCCGAACCACTGTTCTTCGGCAACGCCGACTTCTCCTTCTGCGCCGTGCCAGTGCCGCCGCTGCCGCTGGCGCCGAACAGCGAGTCGAAGGCCTTCTCAGCATCAGGGTTGCCGCCACTGAGCCGCTGCGAAAGCGGCACGAGCTGGTTGTCGCTGTCACTGTCTTCATCGAACGCGTCGTCCTTCCCAACGCACCCGTTTTCCTGCGCTGCCGGTGCTGCGGGGGCTGGCGGCTCTGCCTTGCTGGTGCCGGCCTTGCTCTTGGCCGGCGGCTTCACCTCGACGAGGTCTTCATCCTCGTCAGTGTTTTCGTCGCTGTCGTCTATCTTGTACTTTGGCCGGGCGAGCGCGGCACGGCGCGACGTCTGGCGCTCGGGCGGAATCACCGGGCGCTCTTCGTCGTCGTCCGATGCGAAGCCCATGCTATATACAGAGTCCTCGTCGTCCGAGGAACCCGACCAGCTCCGGCGCTTCTTTTTCGGCGACCGCTTCTTGTCGCCAGAGCCAGCTTTAGCCGGCCCACGCTTGCGCGGTGCTTTAGCTGGCGGTGCATCCGGATTGTCCGGGTTGTCGCCCTCTGTCTTGACACCGTCCTCGGCCGCCTTGCGGGGCTTGCGGCCCGGAGCGCCCTTCTCTGCCTTGGCCTTCCTGGCCTCCCAGTCGATCTTGGGCTGGACGCGCTCCGCAAACGGCGACGGCAGCGTCTCCGCTTCCATCTTCTTCGAGGGCTTGGGACGGCCCTTGCCGGTTTTGACTACTGCCTTGGTGCCTCCGGCCGCCTCATCCCGTCGTTGCGCCTCCTCCACCTCGTCCAGCTTGGCCATGAAGACATCCAGGTCCATGGACCAAAGGTCCGCCGGAGTCTTCTGCTGCAGCGACTCGAGCTCGCCCTTCTTCTGGTCCCGCTTGGCGAGCAGGTCCTCCTTGCGTTCCCGGGTCAGACTCCACAGCGGCATGCCGAGCAGGTAGTTGTAGCCGGTGCTGCCGCCATCTTTGTCCCTGTCCTCTTCGTCCTCGTCATCCTCTTGAGACTCCCCGTCGTCTTCACTCTGCGCCTGCTGCTTCTTCCACTCCAGCAGCGGGTCCGGGTCGTAGCCGCGCTCCCGCAGCGTCAGGATCATCTCCTTGCGCTTGCGGTTCTCTATCTTGATGACGTTGTCTATCTTCTCCAGGATGAAACGGGCCTGGTTCTCCAGCCGCTTGGCCTCGGCCGTCAGCAGGCCCAACATGTAGGCCTTGCGCTTCTTGTAGCCCTCCAGACGTGTCTCGTAGAAGTCCTGCATGATCTCCGTGGAGTTGCGGAACGTCGTGAGCACCCCCTTGGAGTTGAACAGCACCATTGAAGAGGTGCAGAGAGTCGTCTGCAGCTTGAACACCTTGTGGAGTCCCTCGTCTTGTGCCTTGGACAGCTTGTCCTCCGACATGGTGACCACGAATCGGACCGTGGTGTCCGTGTGGTACTCCTTGTAGTCCGTGATCATGGGAGGCACCTTCTCCGTGCCGTGGAGCATCGTCTCGAGGACGTTCTCCTTGTAGTTCTGCGTCCAGGTCCGCACGGGCAGCTCCGTAATCTCGATGGAGTTTGAGCTCAGCAGCGCCACCTCCCCGCTCACCACGAAGCGCTGCTCCTCCACTTGATCCACAGTGCCCTTGAAGTTCTTGAACCAGGGTTTCATTGGCTTGGGCTCATCACCGGCAATCATGCGCCGCAGGTTGGCCACCACCTCCCGCGGGTCGTAGTTGGGGACCTTGGTGCTCCAGCCTGTGCCAATTCCCTCGGCCCCGTTCACGAGGACCATGGGCAGGATTGGCATGTAGAACTCGGGCTCGATCTTCTGGTTGTCGTCGTACAGGTGGTTCAGCACGGGGTCATCCAGCGCCGGCACAATGAGGCGTGCCAGAGGGCTCAGCATGGTGAAGATGTATCGGGGGCTGGCAGCGTCCTTGCCCCCTTGCAGCCGGGTCCCAAACTGGCCGATGGGCAGCAGCAGGTTGATGTTGTTGCTGCCCACAAAGTCCTGGGCCAGGCCGATGATGGTGGACATGAGGGACATCTCACCGTGGTGGTACGCCGAGTGCTCGGCCACCGAGCCCGCCAGCTGGGCCACCTTGATCTCCCGCTTGTCGTTGCGCTTGAAGCACGTGTACAGCACCTTGCGCTGCCCCGGCTTGAGCCCGTCCACCAGGGACGGGATCGAGCGCTCATTGTCCATGTTGCTGAACAGGATCAGCTCCTTGTTGACAAAGTCCTCGTAAGTGATGTTCTTGGTCTCCTTGCCGTACAGGTAAATCTCGGGCAGGCCCAGCTCTCGGCGCTGCTTGCGCTCCTCCATGCCACCGCGGAGCCAGTCCTTGCGCTGGTCTGCCAACTTCTTGCTGAACGCCAGCTCGATGGCCCGGTCGTCCTCGCCTCCCTGGTACTTGAACTTGATGCGGTGCCGCAGCATGTCCGAGAAGTACTCTTTGGCCTCCTTGCCCGTGCTGGTGCCCAGACCTTTGTAGTACTTGACCTTCCAGCGCTGCCAGTCGTCCGTGGCCGTCTTCCACTCCTCGAACTCAGGCAGGCTGTAGAAGGAGATCTCGTTCTTGCCCTTGCTGGCCTTGACGATGGGCGTGATGAACTCCTCCAGGAAGGGCAGCTTGAGCAGTGACGGCCAATTGTGGTGGATAAAGTTGATCACCAGGCCCTTGATGTGCGAGCCGTCCTGGTCCTGGTCTGTCATGATCATCAGGCGGCCGTAGCGGAGCGCCTTCAGGTCTTCCACCGACTCATACTTTTTCTTGTACTGTGGAAAAACCAAGGGTTAGTCTACGATTGATTCGCTTCGGCAGCTGCAGAGACGTTTAGGCGTGCCCGTGCTTTGAACAAACTATGGACACGGGACTGATGCTAGTTTCCTTCAAAGTGCTGGACTGTTCATTAAACATTACAAGACCGATGTCAATTCTGACATTGGTCTTGTAATGTTGTAACAAGAAATAACTTTTTCAAACTTTACTCCCCGTTTTTTTCCTAGCAATCCCCCCCCCCCCCCTTCCCCAAAACCAGAGAAACATTAGCTATCAACAATTATGATGATACAGCCTATCAAAGGTGCTAGCCTGATTGTTCATAGTAAGTTGGAAAGTTTAAATACTGATTCAACAGATCTAAATGAAAGGAAACCTTTTGCCCACTTTGTTCCCACTATTCCCCTGCCAGCCAACATTCCCTGAAACCACCGTAACATTGGCAACAGTATCCGAGGCTTATAGTTGCTTCATCCACATTTTTTCCTTACCAACCTTTCTTTCCTGCCAGCTGACATTCCCTGACACCACCCCGAAAATGGTGGCCGTATGAGGGACTTTTAGCTGCTTCATCCTCAATTTTTTCGTAGCCACCCGGTAATTTCAGCCGCCTTATCCCTAATTATTCCCTATCAACCTGGGACTTTTAGTCTCTTTATCCTCAGATTTTCCCTAACCACCCGGGAGTTTTAGCGACTTTATCCCTTTTTTCTCCAACTTTTCCCTCACAACCGGGGACTCAGCCTTTATCCCCGAATTTCCCCAGCAACAACCTAGGACTTTCAGCCACCATCATCCCCAATCCTTCCCTACCTTCTTTCCCCAGCCAGCCGACGTCTCATGTGTTTTTTCTGGCGTTTACACGCGCTCACCTGCAGCCCCATGATCTTGATGACGTTGTTAATCTCGGCGTTCTCGAGGATCTGCTTGTGGGAGGCCTCCCGGACGTTGAGCATCTTTCCCTTGAGTGGGAAGACGCCATACTTGTCCCGCCCCACCACCGCAAGGCCAGACACGGCTAGCGACTTGGCCGAGTCCCCCTCTGTCAAGATCAGGGTGCAGTCCACCGAGTTGCGGGTCCCGGCGTCGTTGGCGTCCTCAAGCTTGGGGATGCCCTTGAGCTTGGAGTGCTTTTTGGCCGAGCACTTCATTCCAAGCTGCTTCTGGGCCCTGAAGGTGAGCCAGGACATGACCGCCTCCACCACGCCGCACTTGAGCACCTGGTTGTAGAACTTGTCGCTCAGCTCGCACTTGGAGCCAAACTTCTTGGCCTGCAGGGTCATGTTCTCCTTGGTCTGAGAGTCGAAGGTGGGGTTCTCGATGAGGCAGTTCACGAACACCCAGACATGGTCCTTGATCTGCTTGTTCTGGATCTTCACACCAGCCTTGTTCTTCTTCTTTACGTTCTCCAGCACCTGCGGGAAGTCCCTCGTTTCGGACGCTCGCCCAAAAGACATTGCTTAGAGACCGCTGCTACGCAAGAACTGCAGCTTCCGCCCCCACAATTCCAGAGAGATAGTGGTCACCTGATCACTCCGCTCGAATGCATTGTTTTTCCGACGTGGAAAAACAGCAGAACCTGAGAGCGCCTTTCTTTTTTCTCAAGACTGGTGCCCCTAAAGACAAGGCTCAGGCCGATGCCCAATGTGGCTCGGTGCATTAGGCACTAAAGTCATTTTTTGCAATTCTTGCACCACAATAGATTATACATAAAACTAGAGTAGGCCATAATCAAGTGCATTCGATTCAATGGCCCACATGCAATCTGTTTCTTGGGCTGCACACCACTCAACGATACAAAATTTTGAGACATGAAACCATAATCCTCTCTTTTTTTTTCCGACAGCCGGATCTCGTAGGCAAATAAGACAAGACGAGTGTCAGATTCGCCTAGGAGCCCGGAACTTGCAAATTTCCACCAGCTTGTAATTTGCAAACCATATTCTAATATCCGCAGTCATCAGGCTATTATACCTTCGGTGCCCAAACGAAAAATAAAACGCATAAAAAAGAGTGAAACTTTCATTTGCGAGTACCTCGCCTTGTCCCCCAAGTGTTCCGTTCCTTCTCATTTCCCACATCTCCTACGTCCAACACACACCTGCCCTTCTAAAGCAATGGGAAAGGTCACTAGGGAGACTCAAGACAGGGGAGACACCTCCCCACCCACAACTAGTTTGCCTGAATTGCATTTCAAACTGGTGCCCTTGTGGCATCTTCTGTTCGTCCCCTCGATAAGTGGCCGGCAATTTAGCAAACGCGCAAGGACAAATACGCCCTGGCGTTGGAACGACGGCAGAGGCAGCCACGGCAGGCGTCCGTACTGCCGTCCCCCCGCTGACCTTCTTGGTGAGTTGCTCGGCAATGTAGTCGACGTGGCTGCCCCCCTTGGTGGTGGCGATGCTGTTGACGAAGCTCATCTGGCGGAACTCGCCGGCCTCGCTGAGGGTGACCGCCACCTCCCAGCGGTCGCTGGGGCTCTCGTAGACCACCGTCAGCGGGTTGCCCGCCTCGTCCTCCTTGTCCTTCAGGAAGAGGCCCACATAGTCCTTGAAGCCCTTCACCGGCAGCCGCTTGCCGTTCAGGTACACCTTCACGCCACGCGTGCAGCCGGCCACGTCGTAGGCCCTGCGCGCAAGGCCTCCATCTCTCATCTCCTCACTGGACGCTTCGTCATTTCTTTACCGCCAATGACAGTCACTTTTACGACATCTCACCTGCCAGTTTGACTACGTCAACGCTGCTGCAATGCATCGAGGGAACTTTAGTGTTTCCGGACGTGCGACAACCTCACTGAAGCTCTGCGCGTCTAGATCACGAGACGGCACGAGCCCTTTCGTGTAATGCGCTGCCGTCTGCTTCCTGTGAACTAATGTTATGGCGGCGTCACGCATGCACCGAACACTTACTGAGATCGGCCTTACGTGATTTCTGGAGCGTTCAGTGCACCAGCAAGTATTCTATCGTGTCTTACCTCGCTTGTTGCTTCATTATCACATACAGGGCTTTCTTTAAGGCACTACAGATTTGTTTTAAAAATTTACGAAGGCTACATGAATGCAGAATTACACGGCCAGGAAAATATAGGGGGATGATTGTCGCAATAAGCTGGTTAGCAAACTAAAATGTGTTAGTTAATCTTTTAATTCTCGAAGATAAAGATATGGTTCCAATCAGAAACCTGCCGAGTGTCATCGAAAACCACTAAATAAGTAACTTCAGAAAGATTAGGGCCGCATGGGAAGCATGATGATGAAAAAACGTGCTTGTATAGTTTTTTTCGTCTCTTGCCTGTACTACTGCCATACTCCGTGCCACTAGTTGCATGCAGTACAGGCAGAGGCAACATCAGGCAAGGGAAAAACGGTAAGCTTTAGGAAGGCTGTGGAGGAGAGAAACCTCCTTTCCTAACGTTCCTGGTGCTATTGTTTTCTCTCCTCGCCCTCCATTGCCCTCCTCGCGCTCGCCCTTCCTCTTTTCGCCTGGCGTTGCCTTCGCCTGCACTGCACACAACTAGTGATACCGAGTATAGTGTTGCCTCATGATGTACAACTGCTTTTATTAATTTTGTTTCCTGGTTTCCACAAGTGCTTACTTTCATATGTATTTTGGGCTTATTACTATCCATTCCTGCTTGAGCCAGTTTCTGACCTGTTATAAAAGAAATAAAAAAATCTAATTTAAGTTTTTATTTTGCTAACATTACACCATTATACGAGTGGATACTTTAGCGCACCCCCGCATGAACCTTTAAAGTGATTTTCGATGAGGCTCAGCGAGTCTCTAATCGATACCATATGTTCATTTTGATCAATTAAAAAGTTAATTGACAAGTTTTAGGTAATCACTGACCTGCACAGACTGCATTAGTTAAGCTTTCACTGCTTTTTTAAAACAAATCTATAAAGTCTAAAAAAAATCATTCAGCCTTTCCACTCTCGTGAAGAAGGAAGACCAGCGGAGCTCTACTCGATACACTGTGTGCTTCTTCTTTGTCGTCGTCTGTTTTTCGGGCTGTTTCCTACGATGAATTCCAACCAACTATCCATTCTTCTATGATAGCTGGAAAAGTTGGTGCTATCTACGAGCAACGGCGGCAACCAGACTGGTTGTGTGCTTGCCGTTGTCGCTTATAGATGGCGGTAGCTGTCCAGGTAGGTTTGTGTCGACATACCGGACACAATCCCGGGGAACCTAGCCCTTCACAGCTCCGCTGTAAAAAAACAGCCTGTATATGTGTTTGCATGTCACAAGGCATTTTCATTATCTTATTTGTTTGACCAAGATTCAGGGGCATTGGAATGGTTCCTGCTGCCAACCAGCAGCATTTTTTCCCCTTGTCACAATAGTGCTTTCCAGAAAATCCCCAGGAGACCTCACGGCGAGGGGAATTGTGGGGCTGTTGCGACGTACGCTCATGCCAACTCGAACGCTTCACACACCTTGGAAGCGGCACGATTCACTCTCTCTTATCATTAACAGCTCAGAATGCAGAAAAAATAAAGAACTCGAAAGAAGGTCATCATATACTCCGTTTTGTTTTCCTTCTACCTTATGAAATCACAAAATGTTAAAACAACACCAACTTCGATTTCTGGATAATCTCGCGTGCCGTATAGTGGAACGTCGTTACAATGCGTCAAGCGGGCAATGGAGGCTCCACATATTTCCAAAAAGGTCTACTGAACCTTTTTTGTCAAGAGAAAGAATCTCTTTCCGTATATATTTAAACAAAAGATCCGCCCCGGTCGCCGGGTTCTTTGTCAATTGCACAAGACTGTTTGGAAACATTTTGAGTTCAGCGCCGCGGATGACACGTACCTCCGCGAGAGCAGCGCAACCGTGTCGGCGTCCAGCTTCTCCATGGAGAATTTGGACAGGTCCGGATGGAAGGTGATCCGGGTGAAGTCCTCCCCCTTGGGCTCCGTCCGGATTTTTGGCTCCGTTGTCTTCTTCATGTTGTCCTCCCAGACCTGCGGCGGAAGAGTTGTGGTGCAGCGACAGAAATGCCAGGGGTGAACAAAAGATCATTTCTTCATTAGGTGTGCTTCTTGAAATTTGAATATGTTACCATATTTATTCCTTTAAATATGGTGTATTTTTATTGTCTGTACCATTTCTTTTTTTATTGTTTAAAGTGTTTCTTTTTCCTCACTCCTATAAGAGTCCTGATAAGGACTGATAATATGCAAAATAAATAAATAAATAAATAATGGTATCCTCCAGCTACACCTTTAGAGCACTTACCAATCAGGCATAAAATGCTTAGTCACTGGCCTATGGACCACTAACTCAATAAGAAGAGATCAGTGCATGCTCACAATGCATTCCACAGCCCAGAAGACAAATATAGCAGCATGAAGAGGGTGATCACCGAAGTACTCTATTGGAGACTTCAGTAAAATCAATGCCGCATAGCGGCAACGTCGAGAAGCTCAGGAGAGGAGGTGGTTTCGACTGTGTCGTCTGCTATTGCTGCTTGGTTCTCATAGGCAGCATAGTAAGGAACACAGATTCCAGTAATTATTTTTATGCTTTCGCCGTGTCATTCCTACGCATTGACTAAAAGAAGGTTTCTACCGTCGAAAAATCGCTATGCTCTCATATTTAACACAAACTTCACGCTGCAGTGCAAGAAATTTATGGTGGTCCGCAAGCTGAACGACGAAAACAACCTCTTTTCATCCGCCATGGATGGATGGATGAACCCGGCTGAGCCCTTTGGATCGGGCGGTAGCTTACGCCACCTAGCCATTTTGTTTTACCGTTTAAGCTTAGAATATTTAAACGCGAAATCTATATTCACTCCGCACTGCAAAGAAAGTGAGGCTATAAAAACCCCTTGCCATCAGTTAATAAGAAAATACCTAGTTTTCTCTCGCTTTCTGCCACCATTCACTAATCTTTGCTTGGTAATCTCTACAGTCTTGAAATCCACTCTCCCTTCGCTGTCTCTAAAACCCAATGACTTTATTAAATCTATGTTGTCTTCAGTAGGCATATGGTGAAGCCCCTTACAGTAGAGTATCAAGTGCTCAGCCGTCTCGTCCTCCTCTCCACAAGCAGTGCACACTGTATCCATCTCCTGGTACTTCACTCTGTATGTTCTGGTTCGCAGAACACCCGTCCTCGCCTCAAACAACAATGAGCTTCCCCTAGAATTGTCATAAATGCTTTCTTTGGCAATAACTGTTTTGTTTAATCTATAGCTTTCCAGAGCCGTCTTTGTCTGCATTCCGTCTAGCCACCATTCTCTTTCTGTGGCCTTAACTTTCTTCTTAACGGAGACCGGCTCTTCCGTATCTTCGCTATAGCCCAAAAACTTTCCTCTTAATTTCCTAATGCGCTGTCTCCACTTTGTGTCTATACTCCTCATGTATAAATAGCTGAAAACCTTTCGTGCCCATTGCCCCCCTTTCCTTTGCCTCAACCGATCCTCAAATTCTATCTTGCTCACCGCTTCCCTGCTCTCAAATGACGCCCATCCCATGTCTCCTTGCACTCCCTGGTTTGGCGTTTTGCAATGTGCCCCCAAAGCCAGTCTACCTACTCCGCGCTGTTTTATTTCTAGTCTCGCATGCACTTCGGATTTCATGCATAGCACTGCGTTTCCAAAAGTCAAGCCAGGCCACCATGACCCCTTTCCAAATCTCTCTCACCACCTCGTACCTGTTGTAATTCCAAAGTGCTCCATTTTTCATTACAGCTGCATTTCTGTTGCCCTTACCTATTATATACTTTTCATGCTCACTGAGATATTCTGCACCATCACATATCCATACTCCTAGATACATGTATTTACTAACTCTCTCAACTGTAATATTCTGTATCTTCAGCCTCTCAACTTCATCAGTTAAAAATCATGACTGCTGATTTTTCACTACTGAATTCTAAACCTAATTCCTCTCCTTCCTTACCACAGATGCTCAAATAATTCCTGCAACTCTGCCCTGTTGTTAGCCATTAGCACGATATCATCCGCATACATCAATCCCGGTGAGGATTGCTGAATATTTTGGCCTAGCTTACTGTACGAAAGGTTGAATCCAAGCCCACTCTTCTCTAGTCTATCCTCCAATCCTCTCAGATACAACATAAACAGCAAAGGCGATTTTGCCTGACCAGTGCGCCCCCTATAGTTTGCTGGAGTCACGAATGGGGTGTTCTCACTGATGTTATTTTGTCCACCATTTTGTTGTCTTGAGCTGTCTGGTGCTTGCTGAAGGCGAGTAGTGCACAAAAACTTGTTTCATCATGCCTCTATCTTTATTGTTCCTCCTGATAAATAAAACAACTTCTTACTCACTCACCCTTGTATCAGAAATGGCGGACTGACACCATGTGAAAACACCCCATAGGTTGTGGTTTTGTCCCAAATTTTCATCTGTGCGTAGTATAAAACATGCAAAATCAATTAACAAGAATTCTGAAATGGGCTCCCGCTTACTAGTCATATCTCGTTAATATGGACCTTGTTAATATGGATACCCTACTACATGCACACATAATTGGGAGACGCATTGGGTAAATCCATGAACTTCTGTCTCGCTATTATGGGCAACCCACATTATGAACAATCTTTTAGGGGAACAGGGTTTTCCATGTAAACGTGGCATGACTGTATATTATACCAACTTTTTCGTGAAAATGGTTTACATAGGGAAGTGCGACGTGTCTGCAACACCTTTCGTGCAAGGCCGTGCATACAAAGATGGGCATGCAAGAACATGATTGTCTGTGTAGCTTCATGTTTGTTCGCATTCAAAGTAAAACAACCCTGAACAAACCATACCAGCGTCTGACGCCTGTGACCAATTTGAATGGTAAGGATTCAAAAGCACGATCAGAACAGATTAGGATTTTAACTAATTGGTCGGGGTTGCTGAGTTTTTCGTAGTAGCTACACTAACTGGCTGGGGCATAGGGCAGGGCAGGCGAGCTGTGTATGGCGACAATTTCGATACAAACTGAGCAGCCTATCTAGGTATGGCGACAAAATCATTGTTGACACTCCCTAGTCAAGACTCGCACTACTAAACCCGTATTTCAACGCAGGTGGAGCCAAGTGACGCCACTCGCAGGCTACGATTAATTGGCCCGCAGTTAGCAATCGGCATTTGGGGCGATATACCAAGCGTGGCGGGGACTGCGGCCAATGATAAGAATTTCTCGGACGCTCGCGGCGTTGGCGCACTTGCCGCGAGCTTCGACTTTGACAACTCGAGGGGGCCGATTAGATCGACGGCTCGCCGCGGCTCGGGACAACAACTCATCGCCCGTTTTCCCCGGCCCATTTCAAAGACGGGAAGCGACGTACCTGTTTGAAAAGGCGCTTTTCGCTGCGCGAGTATGTCTCCACGATGAACTTTGTGCTGAAGATGTTGCACAACTTGGCTCCGTAGCCGTTGCGGCCTCCCGTCACCTTTTTCTCCTCGTCGTTGTAGTTCGACGACGTGAGGAGGTGTCCGAAGATGAGCGTGGGTACGAACATCTTCTCGACCTTGTGCTCGACCACGGGAATACCCCTCCCGTTGTTCCAAATGCTAATGCGGTTGGCGTCGGGGTCGATCTCGATCTTGATGCAGTCCATGTTCTTGTCCCTCTGCTTGTTATCCGCCGCGTTCACGAGAATTTCATCGAAGATCTTGTAGAGGCCGGGCACGTACGTGACGCTACGGTTCTTCATGCCGCCGTTCTCTTCGCCGTCGTAGACCCACATCGTCTGCGAAATCGGCTCCACGGACCCGATGTAGGTGTCGGGCCGGAGCAAGATGTGCTCGAGCTGGCTCTTCTTCTGGTAGATGCGTTCCACCGAGAGATTTCCTTTGTTCGACGCGGCCGCCGGTGCTCCATTCTGCTTGGCGGCCGGCGTCGTGGGAGACCCGTATTCCTCGTCCGACGACATGGCGTCTGTGGACAAAGACCGCGCCGTGAGAGTCCGAAACGCTGCTCGGAGTTGGAGACGGGGCGCAAAGCTCGCAAGCCTCGGCACCACGCAGGCTAGGCGGCAAACGGGCACACGGGGAAGCCTAATTGCTCGGCCGACATCTTAGTTGTTGGCCCGCCAAAAGATGTCGACGGTTGAAATCTTTCTGAAACGCTTGAATGGGAACGTTGGGAGCGCCTCCGATCGGTGGGCTTGCACAGGCTTGTCGGGCTTGTGCCATTGTGCCGTGACGTCACTATTTTCAAAACGGGCCAATCGTAAAGAAGCACTTATCGAGCGCGCTGGATTGACTGGATGGTGGCAGTGTATGACCGCTGACTTCAAGGAAAGTCGATTATCAATAGAAAGGGCGTCGTATATCTTTTTGTAGCATCTACAAGGCGTCGTCTGAAAACTCAAAGACGAACTTTAGTTAATTTAATCGATTTAACCTAAGTAATCGAAACCGGGAGCCAGGATAGCGAAATGCGATTACGTCACTTCACGACTTCACGTGACCAGACACTTTTCTTTTTGGCACGTGACTAATTTTTGCCCAATGGGAGTGACCAAATTTTGCACTCGATTGATTGACCCACACATGGGGCAAATGGCGGTAGAGGCAAGCGCGCGAACTTCGTCCGCGTTATGCAATTATGTCGTTTAGGGTGTTCTAGCGTGTTGCAAAGTTTTGACGTAGGCCACAGTTAAAGTGTCGGCGCAGCAATGAGCAACGAAATTAAAGCTATCGACCGTGCCAGCGTTCACAGGATATGTTCGGGACAAGTGGTGTTGAACCTTGCCATGGCTGTGAAAGAACTTGTGGAAAACAGCATTGACGCTGGGGCTCGGAACATCAGTGAGTGCTTTCCTGCCTGGTGCTGCCGTCCTCCTAGCCTGAGGGTACATTGAAGTGAACTTTGAGTCCGCGTTTAACAACAAACTCCTGTCGCGGGCAGTCTCTCACGCTTGAGCTACGTTCAAGGTCTTCGGGGTGGTGCTTCACGGCACGGCACACATGTACAGGGTGTCCCCCGAAAAAATGTACAGGGTTTTTTTCACCGCAAAACTAAACTTTGCATCGCCGAACGCTCATTCTCCGCCCAAAAGGTAGTGCTAGAGGTCCGAACCAGGTGCCAAAGTTTCAGCTTGAACCGATATTTTATTAAAAATGTATCAGTGATTTTCTGAAAATGTCAATGCGCAAATGGTGAAAACGATGGAGCTTTCAAATACATGGAGCTCTAATGCGCCAGAAACCGAAAACTGGCAAAAATGAATCTCATTTTGCCGTCGAAATTTTCAGAAAGTCATTTAAAACGTTTGAATAAAACGCCGCCGCTGTCTTTCTGCACGTGCGACAACCTCGCTGGAGCTCTGCGTGTGTTGAGCACGAGACGGCACAAGCCCTCGCGTGCACGGCCGTTTGCTCCCCGTGAACTCAAGTTATTAGCGGCGAGATGTTTTCGTGGCGCCCTCCTGTGGTTCCCCCTTGTGACGTCATTACCTTGCGAACAACAAGTTCGATGGTGTTTGTAAATAGCATGGTGGAAGCCTGAAATCATTGCGCTCTCAAAGCAACACTGCCAACACCGTCGAAATTAAAGTTCTTTCAATCCTCTTATTTCCGTCGATGGTATACCCTTTACGACGTCATAGTCAGCTTTTGGGCCAATCGTGGAAGGCCGACCGCAGCGACGCTTTCGGTCGCGCACGTCGCCAATGGCGGCGTGACGCGTGACCCGAGCGCTTAGTGAGATCGGTCTTTTTTATATGCGTTCCCCTGTTTAAAAGAAGCTCCACAGACTGTTTGAGGGTATAAATATAACGGAATTCTTCTCATTGTTTCAAGGTGTGCGACTGAAAGAGTATGGCAGCAAGCTCGTGGAAGTTGTTGACGACGGTGATGGTGTGGAAGAAGCCAACTTCAAGGGGCTAAGTAAGTTCTAAACTTGAAAATAAAAAGAGAAAAAAAAAAAAAAAGTTACCAAAGCAGTGCCTTTCTATGAGTGTAACAACAATCGATCGCTTTACGGCATTTATGCGTTTTTTTGGTCGAAATTTTCTCCCAAGTCGAATTCTCTTTATCGACGCAGCATTGAAGTACCACACGTCAAAACTGAGGGACTTCTCCGACCTTCAAGACGTTGCGACCTTTGGGTTCAGGGGCGAGGCCCTGAGTTCGGTCTGCGCCCTCTGGTATGTTTCCAAAAGAACACCTTTTTTTTTTTTTGTCCCTGAAAGTGAAATTTGTGTGCAGCTAAGTACAAAGTGTCACAAAAAAAAAAAAAAAAGTTTACACGTTTTTTTTTTTTTTACTACGAAAATAAACTAGGCATTGCTGAACGCTCATTCTCCGCCCAAAGGTAGCACTAGAGGTCACCACCAGATGCCAAAGTTTCAGCCCGATCCGATACCTTATTCAAAAGTTATAAGTGATTTTCTGAAAATTTCAATGGGAAAATGGGGCCCATTTTTGCCCGCTTTCGGTTTCTGACGCCGTAGAGCCCTATGTATTCGAAAACTCCGTCTTTTGCCATTTTCCTATTGAAATTTTCAGAAAATCACTTATAACTTTTGAATAAGGTATCAAATCGGGCTGAAACTTTGGCATCTGGTTGTGACCTCTAGTGCTACCTTTAAGCAGAGAATGGGCATTCAGCAATGAACAGCTTATTTTTGAGGTAAAAAAAATTGTGTAAATTAATTTTTTTGTGGCACCCTGTATATATAGGGACCTTCGTTTTCGGGTAAGACCCAATATTTTTTAATATTTGCACCCCAAACATGTTTCTTTAAAAAGGGGTTGAAACCGATTTTTCTCCGAATTCGGAAATTGAATTCCACCATTTTCCAAATGACACTGCTTCGAAAATATTTTATGGCTCCTGTCCTTTGAGACAAACCTAGATTCTGTTCGATTCAGTGAACTGCAGTGACATAGATCAAGTTCCGAAAGTTCGCTTTTATGTCTGTTGTGAAGTATATCCTTTGCACTTCTTCCGTTTCAACCAACGAAAAATAATAATAATAATAAAAATGAATGAAAAACTGCACTCAACACTTTATTTACAAAGGAATAGCATATGTTTTGTTCCTGTCTAACTGAAGTGGTATTGTTGTGCATTGCAATTGTACATGTAAGCTGTGATGCTGAGAGAACATTTTCTCGATTCAGATATGTTCAAAGGCCGGGCAGGCCTAGAACAAGGACATAGATGCTGCACTTGCAGAAGATTATGCGAGCAACACGGATGATTAAAAATTTAAAAACCCAAGTGAGCTCTTACATCACATTTCAATGCTATCTTAAAGAGACAGTCCAAAAACGTTTACTCCGAAAGAATTTGTAGAGATGGAGAAACCGTCTCATTCTGTTGAAATATTGCAGTTTCATTGCGTAATAGCGAAGCAAAGAACGGGAATATTTTGCGATTTGCAACCACGGGGTGGCGGCCATGGGAAGTAAGGCGTGATGCGCACCTGGGTGCATTGTAATCAGTTGGTAAGGTCTGCCATTATGTGCTCAATATAATGCTATATATTATAAATATTGTCATTTCAACATGAGTAAATGTGTCAATAACCTCATGACATCGACAAAGTTATTACTCAAATCAACTTTCAAAGTCGCCATGCCAAACGCTATCGGAGGCCGTGCGGCTGGAGGCTTTGAAAGAGAACCCAACCGAATTTTCCATGTCCCCAGTGCGTGTCGCTGCACACATGACTCGGAAGACGGCGCAAGAGTTGAGAGTGGTATGGAGGTGCCCAAAACGTCAGTTGTTTAACAATTTTTTAAAAAAGAACTAACATTTACAGCCAGAATTGGATCTCAGTCCTTTAAAGGGATACTACAACGAAATTTCGGCGCTTATTTTATGGTCTATATGTGTTCAAAGGAGCAGTATCACATCGGACACACCATTATCTTGTTAAAAAAGATACGAAAAGGAATTTTAAAACGAATTAAACGATTAGCAAAGAGCACCTGGTGGATGTCGCTAACGCCTCGCTTGTAGCCCGTCTAGGAACCTTCACAGCTAGTGACGGGGGTTGTCTCGCCTTCGGCCACGACGAGAGAAGAGGGGCAGGAGGAACTCCCCTCTTCCCGAGAATGCCTTTTGTGTGTCGCAGAAGTCGCTATTGTCCCCCTACAAGATTACAGAAGATTAACCCGTCACTCAAAATTCATACAAAAGCAGCCGCTTCGGTGGCTGGAACGACTAGGCCATCCTCTCGACGTCAGTCTCGCCGTAGCTTTGCTCGTCCCGAGACGAACTACGTCACGATTGCGTTGGATGTCACGTGCTCTAAGCTGGCTGTTCTCCGAGCGCTTGCCAGAGTGGGCCGTTTATAACGAAAAATACAGCCACCGGGCTCAAAATACAAACGTGCGATTGTCATTTACGGATATTGTGGATCATATTCAACCTATTTTTGAACACAACGGATATATTTCAAATTTCGTTGAAGTATCCCTTTAATCCAGACGTGACGAGGAACAACTACCACAATTATTTGATCGTAGTTTGAACCTTTAAATACTTTAATGACTTTATTGTAAAAAAAAAAGAAATCAATGTATTGAAATTGATTAATACTTTTTATTGTTAATTACACATATTCCTAAAAATACCTGAAAAGCCTGACTTCCAAAATTATTGCTCGAAAAACCCGATTTCACCCCGATTACCAGTTTGGAACAAAGCACCCTATGTTTATTCCCCCATTTTTGAAAAATGTAATACCCTAAAACGAAGGACTTCAATTAAGTATATACTATCCATCTCCGAAGCATATGTCCCATATAGGTTACAAGCATGCAAACCCAAGTATAGAAATTGTAAAAAAAAAATTTTTTTTTATCATTTTATTTAATTAGTATTGTGTGTTTATGAACTTCGGTGGTTGTGCTTGATGTAAAACAAAAAGTTCACACAAGTTTTGTTTTTTGTCCTCAGCAACTTGTCTATATCGACTTGCCACAAGGATGCAGCGCAGGGGACTTTGCTGAAGTTTGACCATCACGGAGTGATCACTTCCAGGAAACCATGTGCCAGGGAGGCAAGTAGCCTCTGCAGCTTGGAGCGTCTTGCAGTTAAACCAGAACTTCTCCTGTAAAAGCGGAATGTGCATTGAGTGATGCCCGACAAATAAACTGACGAGATTGATTGGTTTGATACCATTAAATAATTGAAAGTGTCAATTCAATCCATGTGATTGATTAGGTTGTCATTGGTAATTGAAAGTGAAGCAGTTGATTCATATCATTGACACTCTAGTGGTTATTAGGTCATTGAAAGTGAACTGATTATTCCCATGTGACGATTAGGTTGGAATTACTAGACTGTCAAAGGTGAATTGATTGATATGACTGAATTGGCTGGCATCCTTGGACAATATGATTGGCCAGGTTGTCATGATTGGTTAATTTAAAGTAGATTGGTTTATTGATACAATTAAATTGTGATTATTGGGTCACAAAAAGTGAATTTCTTTTTATTGATTACTACGATTGAGTAGGTTTAAATTCTTGGACACTGGAAGTATAGTTAAGTTAATTTATTTCTACAATTAATGGGGTTGCTATATTGCACCAGGAGTAGCTTCAACTATGGCTTGCAAGAAGCATGAATGTTCCTTTCGTTCGAAACGAACGTTACAGAAACTATTTTACTTCAATCCATGTATTATGCTAAAAATGGAAACAAATGTTGGTTGCGTTCCAGCGAGGCACGACGGTGAGCCTGGAGAACCTGTTTGTGACACTGCCCGTCCGTCACAAGGAGTTTCTGTCCAACTTGAAGCGGGAGTTCAACAAGATGGCCGCCCTGCTGACTGGATACTGCCTGGTGGCCACCGGAGTCAACATCACCTGCACAAATCATCTGGACGGAGGGTGAGTGTTCCGTCGGGAACGCTCCGAAACTCGATGGTGCTCTTCGACTTTTGTTTCAGTACTGTCATTCTGTTGAAATGGAAAAGGTTTTAATAGTGTGGTAACTATAGATGCACTACAAACCTTCTTCTATCTGCACTGGCTAGCATTGGCTAGGTGGTACGAGCTGCTCACTGATCTCTATGACAATTGCTGGATCGCGTTTGCCCGCTCCGCGGATGCGGCCACTGGCAGCCATCTTTTTGGTAGAGTTATATTACCTCTAGCCAAGGTACAGCTGCTGCAGCCACTAGCATTCATTTATGGCAGACAGCATTGTGGCAGTTGTGGTGGCGCGCTGCCATCGAAATAGCGTGGGTGATATTTCGTGCTTGATTGAAATTGTTTGACGAAATATATTTTTGAAACTCGCCGTGAACGGTAGCCCGATCTTTGAGGACCCGGTGAAAGTTTCACGAAATCGCCGCGCCGGGGAAAAGCAGCACAGCACGGATTGAAAGTCGCATCCAAAGAGGCATCGAAAGCAGACGTCGGTACGGAGTCTGCTTTTGATGCGAGCTGCGCTGCTTTCCCTGGGTGCTCCGCTTTCTTAGAACTTTCGCCAGGTCTTCAAAGATGAGGCTGCCGTTCACGCCGGGTTTCAAGAATCTGCTTCGTCGAACAACTTCAATCAAGCACGAAATATCTCCCACGGTACAGTGTACTAGATCCACGGCTCTTTTATGGCGGCCTGCCGCCATTGCTCTGTCAGCCATATTACTATGACGGCTAGAGATAATATAACTCTGCCAAAAATATGGCCGACCGTGGCCGCATTCCCGTCCATAGGCGGAGCTGGTCAAATGCGATCCAGCAAATAGACATAGAGATCAGTGGAGCTGCCCCACAATTGAAGAGGTTCAGCCGTGATCATCCGTCCATCCATCTATCATCTACTTCGCCACATGCAGTCACTGCCTAAAGCTGAACCAAGGATGTGTATGCTCATGCTTTAGATAATGTCTGATACAGAATCCAAATCAAGACACTGATATTTCTAAATCTGCTACTTCCAAACATGTTTTTGTTGTGAGTGTCCAAACTGTGCCTTGTTTTAATTCTACAACTTGTTGCTGCCCTAATTTGTTGGGATTGTTGCTCTTGCCCTCTGTTATGCCTTTGGGCAGTGGGGAAGCAGTAAATAGAATTTAATGAAAAACTGCAGGAGGAAGCAGATGGTTCTTAGTAGCCAGGGTTCCACGTCTGTTCGTGAGCGGATTTCGGCAGTGTTTGGCGCAAAAGAGGTAAGTTCTAAAAACTTCAGGTTTTTGTTGGCCGAGCCAATACTTTTGGTGTCATGCACCTGTTGTTAATTTATTGCTATTGCTGGAAACTGTCCCACACATTTATCTTTTAGAAGTGGCGACCCCCGATTGGTCTGCTAATGTTCCTTCGAAGATGAGAGCGACAGTTGAGAATTTTTAGATGAGACGATCCAAGTCTAGCTACAAAACGAAACAATGTGTGTTGGGGGAGGGGGGGAAGGGTGTTGTTAAGTTGTAGGAGACCTGAAAGGAAAGTTGTGCATTTTTGCAAGGTGTTGAAAAGCTGCAAGAAAACAAAGACTGCTGTCTTGCTGCAAGCAGAAATATGGCTGCTGTACAATCAGTTATATTTCATCTGCTAGGTGCTGTACATCGGCGGATGTTCTACAATGTTGCAGTAGTCTAGGCAATATTTTATGAAATCAGAGCGACCCATTGATGCATAAGTACACACCAAATACTCTTTAATGCATGCATGAATGTCTCTCTTCCGCTCCGTTAGTTTGTCTGCGGTGTGTACTGGCTTGGACGGCTACGTTTGGCTAAAGCCGAGGTTGCGGCCAGCAGCCGAGCGAGCGCTCTCGTGAAGCGGCTGCCAATAACTATCTAGGAGCCGTTTTGCTCTGCCGATGGAAGAATGGGCATTTGTTTCAAGTTTTTTTGCAGTTACAGACGGCTCCGCTCCATGAAATAGTTAATGCTCTCGCATTAATATACCATATTTTCCTGACTATAAGTCGCACTTCCGTATATCGAGCCGTTTTCACGTGAAAGTCGATCTATAAGTCGCACCTTTTTGCACGGTTCAAGCGATGAGTTTTTTTCTTTTTACGCGCATTAGTATCGCAAAAGCAGAGTTTTGCACAATCGGCTAGATCGCAAGTACCGTGTAACGCGCAACTTTGACGGTTGGACTCGCGAGAAATGCCCATAGCACGGTGCTGTCTGGCGGGGGAAATAGAGTGATTTGCAGCAAAAGGACGTAAAACGTGCAAAATGAGAAGGTTGTCTTTTTTATTTGAGCGTACACATGCCGAGTGAATGAAAGTTTAACGTGCCAGGCACTCGTGTACCAAGCTTTGGACCACTAGGCCTATCCACATTGAGCCGCTTTTGGGAAACCATAAAATTTCTCGCTTTCTGAGTCAGTTATGAAAAGTGTAGAAGAATGCGGCGACAGCAGTGCCTCCTGGAAGGGGCAACACCACCTATGGCTACAGAGTTACGGTGATTTACAAAAGATAATGCGCGGTGCATAAAAAAATTCCTTCGCACCATAAATTTAAAAAAAAATAAACGCATATAAGACGCACCAAGAAAAATGTTTGAAAGAAACAAACATGACTTATGCACCGAAAAATACGGTAAGAAGAGATTTTCTAATACTATTTCTGATTTGTCTTTTTGCATCTTTTTGTGTTTCGATTGAACGTGCAGACATCGAGGCTGCTAGAAATCGAACATTGCCCTCCAAGCGACGAAGTGCTTGAAGAGTTTTCGCTCACGGATGCCGTGCTGGATGACTCTGCCCGTCTCAGGTGAGCTCCGCGCTGACTAAATGTACACTATAGTCGGTGGCAGGTTAAGTTACTCTTTCCACTTAAGCAGAGCTGGAGAGGAGGTTGCCCCCTCTCCAGCGTTCACTCTGCTAAAGAGGTGCGAATAGCCTCCACCTCCCTCTTAACCTGTCGCCTACTATAATTAATATTGTGCCCACAGGCGTCGACTTCAGGGGCGCTGGGGCTGTCCCATTTATCTGAAGTTTCCGGGGGGGGGGGGGGGGGGAGCAGGCTGCATATCTCCCGTCTCAACATTTTGCCGACGCTGGGACGTCGAGCGAATCTTTCCAGGGGGTCGTTTTCGTTTTTCATTCCTGCAAGCGCTGCGACAAAGCTCTGCTCGCATGAAACATTTTCTACAAGCTTTCTCGAAAATACACGACAGTTAAAAAATGAAGGGTGAAGGGCACAGAAAATGAAGGTAGGAGAGGAGAAAGCAGACAGATTGCCAGAAAGGAGAGGAGGGTGTAGTTTTTGTAGCGTGAGCTACACTGGCCGAGGTTGAGCAGTTTCACGTGGCTGTCAAAGAGCTGTGCTGCGCAAGCGCGAGGAGCAGTGATGTCACACGGCGCACAACTGGCACGCCGTAGCCGCCGCCGCCACCGCCATGCGCACCGCGCCGGCCTGCGCATTCCAGAGGAGTGACGTCATAGCCGCGGCAGACGCACTGGCACCACCGCGTGCCCAGCTGTGCGCCTCCGTTGCGCAGTAGCCAAGTCTGACGCTGCACCGGAGCCGCTTGATAGCGCCTCTCATTTTGTGCGCATATAAGCTCACGCTGCGTATATCCTGGCATAGCCGAGCTAAGCCACCACAATTTTTTTTGTTCATCTGTTTTTCGCCTCCTCAAAAGAGCGAGATGCAATGATGCTTCTTCCTTTCCTCAAGCTTTGTCTCTCTCCCTTAGTGACCTCATTTTTCTATCCCTAAAGCTTCCTCCTTTCTCTCCTTTGGCCATTGAAGTTGCCCATTGAAGTTGAGTGCGTCATGCCGTCCGACTGAACAAGAATCAACTTGGCGCCTGGCTCGTGGCGTGGACTTTTGACACAGATTCGATGGCTGCATGCACGCTGGCCACACCGTGTTGTGACGGACCCTTGTGGAGGGGGGAGGCCACATTCACCCCTGCCATTTTTTGGCCCTGGTTAATGCTGCCTGGTAGTTTTTCTGCAAGCAGCATTTAATCAGTCTTTGCCCGACTACAGAGACGTTTGCAACAAGGCAGGAAAGCTAATGTTATTCAAATAAATAAATAAAAGAAGCAGGCCAATTTAATTGGCACCACTTCTAGTCTTCACATCTGAAGCAAAATCTGGACTCTGCATTAACGTTGTATGACAAAATTTCTATGTAGTACTACTTCACACTTTTTGGTAGACTTCTTGGGGTAATGCAGCATCTTATTTATTTATTCAGATAGGTACTACCTACACTGCCCAGAGGGCATTATATGATTCATTAACATGAATTGAATACATATGCAAAATTTAAACGATATACACTTAAAACAATAAAACCAAAAAGTTTATATCAACATCTCACACACATCTTGTAAGGATGAACAGAACATTAAATGAATTGACAATTTCACGATCAACGCAAATCCCTTCATGAATGCTGAGAGGGAAAAAAGAGTGTCTAAAGACATTGGTGCAGTAGATCAACTGCTACACTTTTTTTACATTGTCGTTCCATTGTGAAATAAAATATGGGTTCTTCGTGTAATGTGTCTTTATCAGTGCTAATTTAATTATTATAGATTGCACGAAAAAAAGTTTTATACGCATCTATTCCCTCCGTTGAGAAAGGAGTTTCCATCCGAGATGATTCTTAATGTTACTAGTAAAGCTAGAAGCAGTGGCGTCCCAAGGGGGGTGCGGGGGGTGGCGACGAGCCACGAGGAGGGGGGGGGGGGAGGGGGCGACAAGCGGAGGGGCGTGTCGGGGTGTCGTGTCGCCGCGGGCCACCGCCCCAGGTGCTGCTGACCCTAGCGACGCCTGACTGGCTAGAAGTGAAATTTTAATTGCCACTAACAAAACGAGCAGCACGGTCTTAGATACGCTCCAGCTTGTAGATTAGATTCCGCATGTGAGGGTCCCATGTTGTACACGCATATTCTAGAATTGGCCTCGCATTGGTGACGTACAGTGCTTCCTTGATGGGAGCGGGTTTGGAACTGCTTTAAATAAAATTTTATGCACCTCTAGCTTCGTTAGTTAAATACCGTCGCGCTCTTTTCAATGTTGGCCGTTGGTCTAACGCAGGATCGAAGGCTTCGTCTCCACGTGCGCCCACGGCGGCGGTCGCAGCTCGTCTGACCGCCAGTTCATCTTCATCAATTCCCGTCCCTGCGAGCTCCCAAAGGTGAAAAGGCTCGTTTCTTCGTCAGACCCTTTCCGATCCAATCCAGTCCAATCCAATCACGAGTGTTTGCCACCTGTGCCATATAAATGGCGCTGACGGGCTAAGAATGCAGCTCTGCCTGACGCATGTGCTCGATGACATCCGTCCTGCTTTGGCTGTGCATATGACAAAAGTAGCTATTATCGAAGGCTTGCACTGAAGGTAGAGCCTCTTCTTTTTTTACCTGTCGCCGGCTATAATGCCAGTGGCCTTCTTGTGGACGAGGGAGAGAAAAGTTGAAAATGCACCCCAGCGAATGACGCGGGGCTTGTGCGTTGGAGACGTTAGCCCAATGCAACGCAGGAAACCATCGTTTTCAGAAATAGCAGGTCGTGGGGGGACTGGTATGAACTGTTCACCAGAGTGACACGTGCGAGCACGAGCATTTCACCCGAAAGAACTCCCTATTGAACGAGCACTCGCTCAGTGGAAGCATGTGCCCCTACCATTGGGCAGTTTAAGACAAGTGCATCGAAGGATAAAGGATCAGAGAAAAATGCATTAGCAGACAAAAAAAAAAAAAGTTTTACTTTCCAGGCAGGGAGCTTTGCCAGTTTTGCACTGCACAGAGAGGCAAGGAGACGTTTTGAAGGCGACTTTTGGTGCATCAACTCTGCCTTAGTCGTAAGAGCGAACACAAGTATTCCGATCAGTCGATGATGACATCAATTAACAATTAAAAAAATCTGGCTTTGTGTTTAAGTGCAGCCGACGAGGCGACAACTACCGGCAGTCAAGACTAGGGATGCCGCAAACTTTTTTCGAACCGAAAGTTCGATGATCAAATCAAGTGGTTCGAAAGGTTCGTACTAGACATGATTAAAATAGCGCAAACTTGACAAGGACAACAAAAAAGGCACACGTACAACAGGACTGGCACTTACCGCCAGTCCTGTTGTACTTGTGCCTTTTTTTGTTGTCCTTGTCAAGTTTGCGCTATTTTAATCATGTCTAGTTAGAACCAACTAGCCCAAACAAAAGTCGTGTTACGAAAGGTTCGAAAGATTTCGAATTTTCTAATTTACATATCGAGAAATTCGACGGAAGTCGAATTTTCGAACTTGTTAAACTAAGATGTTCGACACTTTTCGAAATTTTGAACTTATTACGCTGCAAAATTCGAAGCTTGTCGAACTTAATAGACTTAAAAGTTTGATGATTTTCGAACTTTCGAATTTCTTGCACTAAAAAGTTCTAAGCTTTTTGAACTTTCGAACTTCCTACGGTAAGAAATTCAATCATTTTCGAATTTTCAAACTTATTAATTAATCTAAAGAATTTGAAAATTGTCTAACTCTCGATTCCTGAAAAGTCACAAGTTCAACGAGCTTCGAACTTTCAGGGTAAAAGTTCGAAGTTCGTCGAACTTTGAAAGACCGGCCGGCGGTTTCATTTGGATTCAAGCAGTGAGGTACATTCGTAATTTTTTTTCGCAATTTTACATGGAGTGCCGCATTCCTTGCGAAATACAATGCCGTTTATTTCAATCATTTGGCATGCTTGGTTTTAGAAAAATAGATTCTCGAAGGAGCAAGGAAGGACGACGGGTTTTTGACAATTGTCGTTCGTGCCATATTTGAAGCGCGCTATAGCCGAAGATATTTATGGTAGAGATGTTAAACTTTTTAAGAATGATCTATGCAGAGCCTAGGTAAGTGTCGTCTTAAGATATGATTATTCTTCAAGACGAGTTTCGAAGAAATATCCAAACAGGTATTTATGGGCAATTATGCCCTAAACTTGGTAATGTTTCTCGCCGAAATTGTTTGAGGTATCGCATTTAAATTAACACCACAGACAGTACATATCATTACCATCTGCAGAATACAAATTAATGTATATATTGTTATTTTCACGTTGAGGAATAAATTAACTCGGGGAAAAAGATTTCTAATATTGTCCAAACTCAACACGTCATAAAAAAAAAAAATATATATATATATATATATATATATATATATATATATTATTTTTTTATTTTTTCATTTCATGTTCTTGGGACGTGTTTTTTTTAGCTTGTACACATTTTGGTAGAAGAAACTCGTTTCATAGTTCCGGGCCTGTGAATATGCAAGAATACAACACTTCCGGTGGATTCTTGATAGTTTTTTTTTTCTCCGGCTTTTTATTTTTTGCATTTATTGTTATGTTTGTTTATTTATTATTTTTTACCAATGGCACAGTTATTTAGGTCGAAAAGACGTAGCTTTGAACTTCCGAACCACCGAGCATGTGACGAGTAGCGCCTTCTGACAAGGAGTTTCTAACAATGACCATCTACGCGATCTTTTATGCAGTGAAGAGCGACAGTAGCTATACATATGCATAAATAATTTCAGATTAAAATAAGCTCGACCATGCCCTCTTTCCCCGTATTGTATTCTTTAACAGTCCGAAATATGTGGGAGGGGGGGGGGGGGGGGGAGAGACTGGAGCTCCCCCTTTCCCCCCCCGTTTTTTCTCTTCCGACGTTACTGGTATGGTAGAACGCTTCTCGACCTCAAGTTGTGTCAGCTTCTGTGCTTTTTGCTCGGCGTTTCTTCCGTCTTGGAAAATAAACCTCCAAAGCAATTACAAACTAAAGAAATGTCAAGGTGTAGGCGGGCTGGTGTATGTTGATCATGATGCAAACTCCGGAGACTGGGAATGAAATTCGAAAGAAATAGTGTAAGAAGAAAGAGAAAAGGGGACAGGACAACGTCTCAAACTCAGCTGAGTTGAGACGCTGTCCTGAGCTGAGTTTACAGCTGAGTTGAGTTTGAGACATTGTCGTGAGCTGAGTTTGAGACATTGTCCCGTTCCCTTTTTTCTGTCTTCTTACGCTTCTTCTTTAAAATTTCATTCCCAGTATCAGGATTTTGCACCATGTACTAACTAAACTTACCATATGCCAGCGTCACTCGGGCGGCGTTCGAGTGGATTACTACCAGCGTGCAGGGGGGCAGGGAGGCAGTTTGCCAGATCGCTTCAATTTTTTCTCAGCCTCAACCCCCTGCCTACCCCTGGTCGTTTCGAACTGGTTGAGTATCGTTAAACGGTGCGTTCGTGTGATCACTACTGCGTGATGCACGTTAAAGACCCCCCCCCCTGGGCTGGCGGTCACAATTACTGATCTGCACACGTCACTCTGCACTGGCAAATATTCCAGCACATCCGGGACACTCGTCGTCCCTTTTAATTGCTGACCAACTTCGTGCAGTCTAAATATCATACCCGAACATTTCTAAACCTGATTTCGTGAAAACCAGTGAGGCGTGAAAACGTTAAGCGCCGTTCACACTCTTGGGACCGAGTAGGACCGAGAGAGACCAGACCGGTTTTTAAGCCTTTGGCGGCTTCTTAGGATTGGATGCGCTGTGCCGGAGCTGGTCCTAAGAGATTGCAAGAGGCTGAAAAACCGGTCTGGTCTCTCTTGGTCTTACTGGGTTGCAAGAGTGGGAATGGGCCTTTCTTTGAAACTGAAACTGTGGCGGAACATGAAAACCGGACTTGGACTTGAAAGAAATTCAAAACCTAAGTTTTTTTGTTTTTTTTTTTGAATTTAGCGCTAAAAGAGAATCAAAACCTTCAAACTTTTCAAACTTTATGTAGAAAGAAATTAGAAATCTTCGAATTTCTCAAACCTCAAGTAAAAAAATATTCGAAATAATCGAACCCAAGCTTTTAGAAACCGTGAAAGCTTCGCACTTTTCGAATCCGAAACTTCACAATTTTTGAAAGATGCAAACTTTTCGAATTCGAATCTCCGTACGGTCGAAAATATCGAAACCTTTCGAGTTCGAACATCAGTTCGGTTCGGCGAAACCTTTTGAAATCGAACCTCGGGTGGTTCGCGGCATCGCTAGTCAAGACGCTTTCCACAGTCTGCTTCAGCGGGAAGCTAAAATTCTTTTCAATCTCGTATATCAGCAAAAACATACCAAATTACGTTAGAGGCACGTTAAGGTATAGCCAACACACAGATGGGAACTCTGTGCTCCATTGAGTGTTCTGCCATTCATAGAGCACGTCAACATGAGAAAGCGCATCTCATTGTTTTCGTTTCAGCTGACGAAGCTGGTGAATGCGGTGTACCACACCTTCAACCGCGACCAGTACCCGTTCCTCTTCATCAACATCCACCTGCAGCGACGTGAGTGGACATGTTTGTTGAACGTTCAACCAGGGTGGTCTTTTGTTTCAACATACCGGGAAACGCATTGGCATAGTGGCAAAAATGCCATCTCGGCGACAGTGAACAATGATACGATCATCAACACAACTAAATTCTCACAGAAGTTTTCACTGAGGTTGTAGTAAGGTTCCGCGTTTTCGGATAAATAAAAAAAAAATGCTGAAAACACTTCCTGGTAAAATTTTCGTCAATTCGGACCTCAAAACTCAGAATTTCGAGGTTACAACGGCAAAATGAAAATAGAAGGCGGTGTTTTACAAATAAATTTTTTAAGAGCGCAGGGTTAGTGGTACTGAGTAGAAGCTACAGTACTTCAGGTTTCTTTGAAATCTCGGACAGCTGACAAAAGGAGGTTTACCCTTTAGCCTGTCAAGGTTAGTTTGGGACAATAGGTGATGGTACCTTTGGGTCATGACATAAGCCATTGTTTAGGTTTCCAGTTTGGATTATATTATTTGCGCTTCTTAGAGGGAGGAGGGGTATCGTAAAGTTCAGAAAGAACGCCCACCCAAAATGAAGAGATAAATGGTGAAAAAGATGGGGTCGGGTAGTTTTGGGGACGTCACAGCAAAACCTTATCAAAAATTAATGATACACACCCTGGCACTGGCCACAAACCACATGACGCAGGAACTGATACTGCAGATCGTGGACACCCCAAATTCGTGTTTCACGATGCGATAAACACGTGGGAATTCACTACAAACTCCTCTGTCACGGTGCGAAGGACCTGCGCCAACCCGCCGAGAATTCGCACCTCAAAAACGAATATCGCGAATCGCGAACGCAGCAGATGCAAGTTTAATGGTGCAATAAACACGCGGGAACCCGCTACAAACTTGTCTGTCACGGGAACTGATATCGCGCGCGCAGATCACGGAAAAAAAAAGCAGGAATCCGTTAGAAACTCATATGTGTTGGGTGCAAATACCGCAAGTCGCGAATGCAGCCGAATCGTATTTCACGATGCAATATACACGCGGGACCAACTCGCGTGGAATTGAGATCGTGTGCGGAGATCACGGACAAAAACACGGGAATCCGCTACAAACTTTATGTCACGGGAACGGATACCACAGACTGTGAACGCAGCAGATTCGGATTTCACGGTGCAACATACATGCGGGAACAAATAGCGTGTTACGGGAGCTGATATCGCACATGCACATCGCGGACAAAAGCGCGGAAACCCGCTATGAACTCGCTTGTCAGACGCGAGTTCATTTGCGCGGTTGATGCGATTCCCGTCCGGCATCGCGTGACGTCCGACTAGAATCAGGGGTGGGCGATGTTTCGGAACTTTACGGTAGTGCTTTTAGTATAACAGTGAAAGCCATGAACCTGTATGTTTTAATAGAGGGGGGGCGGCTGAAGCTTTCATGCCTTCGAGCGACTACGTCCATGAGTTTAGTAATCTCAAAGTAAAGACTGTTATTGAGGCAACATTTCTTTGCAATCTTTTCGTTGGATAGTTACCTAGTACAGTGCAACCCACTTATAACGATAATGAGAAATCTGGAAATTTCAATCGTTATAACCGATTATCGTTGTATCTGGACTAGAAACTGATTATTTCCAGTCTAGAAACTCTAGAAACTGATCGTTATAAGTGGTACATCCTTATATGCGGTATCGTTATAAGTGGATTGCACTGTATATTGCCAGCGGCAAGGGCACCAGTCCAAATGTACTTGCAGAAATACCATTCGATACAGGTGGGTTCTGATGAATTTAGGGTACGTCAGTGCCTAGACCTTATTTTGTTTTTGAATCTTAAAAAAATTGGAAACATAGTAAAATTAAACTCCGAATTTCAGAAAATTGGGAATCTTTAGGCATGTGCAAATGGGGGCGTTTGAGTTTGAAGCCAGTTGCAAACAAATGGTGGCTTTGTCTCAATATTTTAGAATTGAATATCAAATAGTTTCTCCAAATCTTTCAATACCGTGCACCATGCTTAAACGAAAATTCAGCTGAACTCTTGAAGGTCGTTTCTAACCTTCCACTTGTCCACTTCTAAGCTCAGTTAATTTTAATATAACTATATTTATAAACTGTGGCATGCAAATGATGGATTTGTTGCAGCTATCCTAACTGAGGGGATTTATAAATCAGCTTGCTATATGCAAATATTTTTCATTCTATTTTAAATCTGACAAAAAAGAAACAACACGTTTGATGCTCAGGTTGTCAAGACATCGCTGCCTAACATACTTCTGCATTAATCGTGGCGGGTTAGCCCCGTTGAGTGTGCTTCTCATTGAGCACCGGTGTCCTGTGGAGAAGCAATACCCACAAAGCCTGCGAGCTCCACGGGTATTGCTTCTCCTCAGCGCAGCGGTGCTCGGTGAGAAGCATACTTAACAGGGCTCACCCGCCGCATTCAACACTTAAAAAAGTATGAATATCGCAGTTCACCTCAAAGTGAATACCGAATGACCCTATTAGAAAAATCCGCACAACGCTAGAATCTAACAAAAATATACTCCGATAAGTGCAGACGTTTAACCGAAAGATAAACTCCGAAAAGCACCCTCCATATTTCTCGAGAAATAAACTCGGATAACATGGAATCCTACTTATGAGCCACATTTTTATCGCCCCAAGTTTTGACCGGGGGATCTTTATTCCTTCGTCTCCGCAGAGAGCGTCGATGTCAACGTCACACCGGACAAGCGCTCGGTGTTCCTTCACCACGAAAAGCACCTCCTAGCCCTTGTCAAGGTTGGTACCAGTAGTGTTGGTACATTAAAACCAGAGGGTAAAGACGGGGGCAGAACGTGGCAAATCGTGAGCGCCGACATCGGAGGTTCCGTAGAAAGAGGCGACGAAAAAGGAGACAAAAGAAAGGAGACGACAGGTTGAGTGTGTTCGTTTTGCCGCGACGACTCGGAGTTGTTCGAGCACACTTATCAGCTTTATTTATTTTTATACAATGCGCTACGCTAGTGTTTTTCACTAAATAAGTGCAAAATGGATCTAGAAAAACAATAGGTACAAACCTTGCAAGTGATATTTTCCTAGTTCTGTGCTGCATATAATAAAGCGTCGCCAGTGATATGGGCAAGTGGGACCCCCAATGTCGACTATGTGTCCCGCCATTCCGAAGCAGCCGCAGTGCATGGGACTCTTCCCTCCAGATTGTTATATTAACTCTATGATTGAAACAGGCTGACAGTTTTCTGTTTTTTCCACGTTTTGTGCGTCTAGTCCTCGCTACTGGCGACATTCCGCCCAGTGGCCGCGACCTACGAGCGTCGGGAATTCTCCTCGCCCCTTTCTTCGTCCCAGTCGCAAGGTGAGCCAGATCTTTGAGATCTCCAATTCTGAGAGAAATACTAGTACAACTCTATTGTTGTACAACTAGTATTGAGTTTTGAAGGTGGTCTCAATTGAAAACGCTATCAGGAAAGAACTTCAACATAGTGGGAATAATGCGAAGCGAAATAAGAGATTAATTAACGAGATTATGTTAGGAATGCACTGTAGCCTTGATCACCGAAAGATGTGAAAGCAGTGATGGTATCATGCACCCTTACTGTTTGTGTGTGGACAATTTTATCGCATCAGGGTCTGTAGTATCGCCATCGATGCATGCATGTTATAATGTTTAAGTTTCACCTGTCTGTAAAGTCATTGATATTTTGCATTTCTTACACTGATAACAGTGCTGAGATCAAGTGGATGCCTGAAAAGTGAATCTATACTGTCTTGTAGTATGAAAGATGGATGCATTTTAAAGAGGTTGTTGCATTATTATTACAGGTTCCCTGTCTAGGTTTTTGAGTTCAAGCTCTCCGTGCGGTGCCAGAAACGTCTTGGTATGTCCTATATCTACGAATATTAGTCCGTGTACTAACCCCTGAAGTGTCTCTTGTACTGGCTTATTAGGTGACCGCTTTATCCTGTTTGCTCATGTGCAGGCTTGACTTTTTGCGCTAAAATGAATGTGCCTCTATCTTGTGTTATGCTTAAACAATCTGGCAAAGCTAAATGCCGCAACACGGCTAAGCTGACAGCGGGGTGCTAGGTCCACTTAACCTCAAAGTGGCTTTTATTGTGGCGAAACGTGCACTCTATGTGCACATTTTCTGCAATATGAAATGTGCATTGTTGCTGCAAAGTATGGCTTTCAACGGAAACTGACAAAACATGATGGCTAAACATATAAACCTTTGCTCGTTCCTAAGCTGTGCAAGCGTAACGTCACGCTTCACTCGAGCGTTTTGGGTTGTTTGAAATTCCCGCGCAAGGTCATGTGACTGTAACGTCGTGACCCCATCGACCAATCAGGATTTTCCTGTCCCACGCTGCCGACGCCGGCTTTTCTGCAACACGAGGTCCTTAATTAAAGCTGTCACTTTAACAAAATTATTGATGTTTTGTCTTGTTGTTTTACTTGTGCCCAGAAACCTGGCTCTCCAGGCACGGGCATGAAGAGGGTGCTCTCTGCAACTAGCTCTCCCACTGGCCAGAGGCTCTCACTTCAAAGCTTCAAGTGTAAGTGTTGGCAGTACATTTGGGTCAATTGTTGAGTGGTAGTTTTGTTTTGTATCGGTGAAATTCAGGCAAAGAAAGGGGGCTAGTCATTGCAACATGACATGGTGTAACATGAAAACGAATGTGTCTCATGCGGCCCCCATCTTTAACTGTCTATGCAATGTTTCGTTCCAGTCCGTCGCATCGAAGCGACCGCGAGCGAAGAACCCTCACCTAATCTCGACGCTTCCTTGGATTCCATCCTTGCAATGCCAGAGTCCAAAGAAGCCTCGTCATTCGACGTGACAAGCACTTCAGCGTTCGAGCCAAACTCTAATGAAGAAGATGCGTTGGACGTCGACAGATCGCAGATGTCGTCGCAAGCAACGACTTCCCAGGCGACTTCCCAGGTGACCTCACAGACCAGTTTGCAGTTGACACAGCTTCAGAGTCTAAGCAGCAACTTGTCAGACCTGAGCGAATGCACCTTGACTCCAGATTCCAAAACTCCGAGCGAAGAAGAAAGAGGCGAAGATGTGGAACCAACATGCCACTCGTTGGGAGGTACTCGCGGCACCGAACGTTCCGTAACATTGCGCCACGGTGGACCATCGTCGGTGTGTGTCGGAACAACTGTTCCAAGAGTGCCTAAAAGTTCCAGTGAACGCTTAATTTCCAAAAAGGGCAGCGATGGAAAGCTGGGGACCGCTGTTGGTCTTCGATTGTTGCAGGCATTTCGGTTCGGGTCAAGCTCTACATACTTGGAGCAGACGGAAGCAATCCGGCAATCTGACGTGCAGAGGACGCCGACAAAAGACAGTCAAGACTCGGAAGTCGATGGCATGTTCTTGTGCAACAGTGAAAGTGACAGTGTTATGCCTGAATCCGAACTTCTTCACAGCAAGGGTGACCTTCTCAAATCAGAGCGACTGCCTGTCGAAGAGTTTGAAGTGGACAAACGTTCGGAGGTGCCCCGGAGAGTTAGGACATTGGAGTTTTGTCTCTCTCGTCTGCGTCGGGAGACGAAGGAATTGCAAAATGATGCATGCTCTGGTGAGCCCTTTCAATCCTAATCTTTTTTCGTAGCTATGTTTGATTTGTGGATTTGGCTATGGATTTTGTGAATCTTTGTCTTGCTTAGTGTTATTTTGTTTAAATTTTGGTATTGCCTTGCCTTCCTACAGTAATGCCCTAGCTGTTAAGGGCAATGTAGGTAGTTGTATAAATAAGATTAAATAAATAGTGTAACTTTTAATTTGTCGTAGCAGGCAACGAAGAACACTCGAAACCAGCATCTCGCAAGTTTAGGGCGACTATATCGCCGTCTGATAACGCAGCGGCCGAGAACGAACTGGCCAAGGAAATTAGGTTTGTACGCAGTTGTTGCGCTTTTTTTCCAATTTTTATTTTTTACTGTTTTTATTTTGAATGATTGCTTCTACATTTCAGCAAGGACATGTTTGGACAAATGGAGATCATTGGGCAAGTACGTTGGGGGATTTTGTTTCAGCCGATAGGACCTTTTTCGATCCGGAATCAGACATTTCGATTCCAATCCCAACCTATTCTCATGTTTCGATTGTAAAGACTCAGGTTCCTGTCATGACTCTGTTTTCTTTTGGCAAGCTTACCAGGGAGATCCTTTTTCTTCCAGTTTAACCTGGGTTTCATTGTGGCCAAGCTTGGAGACGACCTGTTCATTGTCGACCAACACGCCGCGGACGAAAAGTACAACTTTGAGAGGTTGGAGCGCGACACCGTCATGAAAGGACAGAAGTTGCTCGCGTGAGTCTAATGTTTGAATTGTAGTTTCCTAGCCACGAGCTTTTGTTTGCACTGCCTCGCTTGAAAAATTACGAGGTTTCGTTTTTTTCATTACTTATTACCCATGTAAGTGTTGTAGATTGTAACAAATCAATACCTGCGATTTATCACAACTGCTCGTTATGACCAGACTGAGGCCCAGTGTCGCTGCACCTCAAAGGCAGACCGGCCTTACGCTGTCTCGACATGAACGTCTAATTTGGTTTTGGTTCGGTGACCGAACTTATGACTGGTGCTCGTGACCCGATTGCGACTTTATGACGACTTGGGACCAGACTGCCTTTTAAGAACTATTTGTGATTAGACGGTGACTGTTTCCGCTATGTGTGCCTCCAGCCCACAACCGCTCGAGTTGACGGCAGTCAACGAGTCGGTCCTGATCGAGAACCGCGAGGTGTTTGAGAAGAACGGGTTTGCCTTTGAAGTGGACGAGTCGCAGCCGTCGGGTTGCAAGGTCAAGCTGGTCAGCGTCCCCGCCAGTGGAAGCTGGCAGTTCGGCAAAGAGGGCAAGTGCCGCCTCTTTCGTCGGCTTGTTTACTGGTCGATTGATTGATTGCGATTAGTTGGTGGCCTTCTAATCAATTCTGGGATCGTTCCCTTCCTATGTGCAGAAACGGCAAAATAGAACCGGAGTTGTCGTTGGATCGGATAGTTTTATGTCCTAAGATGTGACTATTGAAACGATTTTCTGCATACTGTTTTATTGATTTGTTATTGGTATATATTATACTCAACGTCAACTATTCTTGCGCCACAGTGTCAAAGCTAGAGTAGCTTGTGCAGTGCTTTAACTCCGTCAAAGATAGTTGCGCGAGTGCGTACGAATGAGACGCACGACGAAGCCACGTGCTCTCGCAACAGTGCAGGGCTGTGGCACTGTGTTTCGTGCTACATCGTCGAGGTAGCCTCGACGATGTAGCACGAAATATTTCATGGCGAGTGCAGGTTCATCTTATAATAAGTTTGTGTCTCCAGTGGTTAGGTACAACTTTGTCCCACATTAATTCATACGCGATTTAATTATTGCATATAATATTAGGTTATTCAGTTAATTTTGCTAATCAAAATCGATGACCACCCACACTTTTAGATAGAGGGCAATATGACAGTAACTGCCGCGTCATTATTCGAGCTAGAAATTATCTGAACCCACGAAGGAGCCCTCAACGGGCAAACAATGGCTAAAAAATGAAGGTGCGACGCCGTCGACTCTCTTTTTATACTGTTTCGCCGCTAAGCTGACGAGGCAGTGGAAGCTACATGCTCATTGAACTCTGTCAGTCTTTCGTCGCCCACTGCACACACTCGCATGGGGACAGGTGATGAAATGCAAGCAATCGATAGGTCTGGCGAGCACGTAGTTTCCACTGCCCTTTTAGCCTAAATGTAAACGGGGTATAGACGAATGCAAGCAAAGCCGCTGGCCGCCACCATGTCTCTGCTTGTGCGGACAAGCCCGTGCAATTTCAAGCTTGCCAAAGGTATGCTCACGTGCAAGCCGCACATGCTTGCGCTCGTGGGGCACCATGCTTGCAATTGTCTGTATATTATGAAACCAGTGCCCTGGCACTGCCTAGCATGAACCTCAGTACTTGGCAAGCTCGATTAAAGCTGATTGACATTCGTAAACTCGTATTGTTCCACAGATGTCGATGAGCTCATCTTCATGCTGAGCGACAACCCGGTGAGCTGGTCAAGCTTTTTAGCATTTTTTAGTCTAGTTGTCTCAGGGAGACAAAAGGTGTAAAATGCAACAACAATAAACTATTAATAGGGACATGTTTTTCCACAAACCATTTTACATGCCTGGAAGAGTGGACTACCTAATCAAAATTCTGACCCTACTGATTTCACACTGATGCCTTTTCTTTTTTTCCGAGGACTATTTTTGGATGGTATAGGTTGCGAAATGATGTGTCTTCGACTAATTTACAAAATTTTGTTTGATACAGTTGTTCAACATATGTTTCAGGAATAGCACTTTTACCCTTCCAGTTGTGTTGGATGGAAAATGCTTTTGTACACACAGTTGTTTCTATAAATAATGCTTCTTTTATACTAGTGGTGTTTATAGATGTCTTTTTTGTGTATTTCAGTTATATTGATGAGCTTTTTCATTTTTCTAATCCACCCTTCGCAATAACGCCCAACCGCGATGCGGGTTTCTTTGTAAATTCAAAACCCCTGTTTACACAGTCTGGAATACAGAGTGGATTTTGTATGTAATCTGTTATGGAACTAGGAGTAGTGTATCTTCGTGCACTCTTTATGAACAAGGCCTGCACTTTTTACCTAGAGAACACGCAGCAAATCATTGCACTGTACATAACAAATGTAGTGAAAAGGTTGAGATTATTATTCTCCAGGAAAAAGCGATCTGTGCAAATAGCATCTTTTGCGTGAGGACGTTATCTTTGTTGATTATCTCCGTCCCATAAGTCACTGGGCTATGATTGGCTCTCCGAGTGCTCTGCGGGAAAGCGGACTCCCAGGCCTTGTTCATGAACAGTGCACCTATTATACCGAGATAAACAGGGCAGTTAAATACAATGGCTAGCTTTATGGAAAATTTGTTTTTCATTTTTGTGCCTATCTGTTAGATTGACAGTTGGTTTACTTGGGTGGAGTACACTAAGAAATGTGTAAAAAAATTTTGAACATCATACTTTTTTTTTTTAGTGAAATTCTTCTGAGAAAAAACTTGCCACTGGGCAAGTTTTACACTTATATATTTATTATCAGATTAATTATAACTTAAGTTATAATGAATTAATTAGTTATAACTTACTTCTGCATTGTTAAACATGTGGAGTACGTTAAGAGAGTGATTTGCAACAATTTGCTTTTGCCTAATAAAAAGAGGCACAGGCGGAGTCCGAATACAAAAACACACCTTTCGAGGTGGCCGTTGCAAGTTTGCAATCTTGAGTTTGTTCATGCATATCAACCCTATATTATTAGTTTTTTTTAAATGGTTGTTTTGTTGGAGCCAGCACACAGTTTGCCGGCCGTCCAAGGTGCGCCAGATGTTTGCGTCCAGAGCATGCCGCAAGTCTGTCATGGTGGGCATGCCATTGACGTCGGCTACCATGGGCAAAGTAAGTTGGAAACCATGGAAGACCGACAGACGGCAGAAATGAACATGGCAGAAAATTCCACTGGCAAGGCTAGATCCACAATTCAAAACTGTTATGTCCTGCAATTCCCCGACGCAAAGGAAGGCCAAAAGAATCCACTCCAACGTATGGGGTGCACAGGGTGGCTCCTATCAAAATCTGGCGGGTTGTGTAGCTCTCACAGATTTCTCCACCGCTGCACATTGCAACATGTTTTTATCGAGAGCTTACTCGGGCAAAGTACAGATGGGCCGATGCAGAATTTCAGTGCGTCCTCTGATTTAAATTAAATGCCATCTTTTTTTCGGTTCAGTATTAGAGTTGAAAAAATTTAATCCAACTTATATTTTCCCTGCCTCATCTACAAATGTCAGAGAAGCGAGAGTTCGAGCAACCTTGAATTACGGGAATGTAAAGCCCCAAGATGGAGTGCCAGCAGCTTCTTGAAAGATGGCCCCGACGTTTTATTCAATAGCATCTCCAGCTCGTTGCTTGCCCTCTCGTGGCGGAAGCGGGAACCACTCTAGCGGGGGTCCCCCCTTCTGCTCAGCAAGCACAGCCGAACTGCTCGTGATCATAGCTCGCAAACAGCCGTGTCTGAATGCAAACAACATTATACACAGTCCCAGTGTAGTACCGCAGCCTGTGTGAAATCTAGCCTTTCTGTTTCACTTATGTCTCATCGTTCCATCCTTGAGCGAAAACACGTCGGCGCCATTAAAGATACCAAAGCAGACAGTTCACCACTGGACCACGAGATGGCGTTACTTGTGCCAGAATTGGTGGAGGCGCGCACGCAGCGCAAACCCAGCAGTAAAGGAGGACACTCTTGCTCGGGCAGCAGTGAAGAGCGGGCGTGCGACATGCCACGACATTAATGGCGCCAAAAGTGCGTTGTCGGAAAGCGCTGTGTTCGGAGGTTCGCTATCACCGGGATCGGCACTTGGGCTTTCGCCTTCAAATCGTCTTAAAGAGATGACATAAGAGACCCTGTGAATTTTTTCAATGCTAACGATATGCGACGCTGTGAAAAGACGTGCAAGCACGTAAGCGTTTCTTCCAACTGAAACTTCTAATATCGGCAGAACGACAGCATGTAAAAATGAAAGAAAATAAATGTTTGTAAATTTTGTGACCAAAAACGCAACGCTACCCATTTATGTTTTTCAGGGTATTTAATCAGAAAGGATCGACGGCAAATTTTGAAGTTTTACCTATCTTGAAACTTAACGTTGAGACTTTGAGAGCATCCGCTTATGCTTTTTATACTATTATTGTCGGTTTAATGTGACTGTCATACTAGCTTTTCATAGAGCACTGTTTCGTGGGGTTCTTATAGCCGCAACACCGTTTCTTAACTTATACGTTCCATGGAAGTAGTCTAAACTCGACACCGTAGCAGAAATGGCAGCGAGCAGAGCAGTTCAGTCTGCTGCATCGTGTGTCCCCGAGAGTCGTCGTTCAATCGCTGCACCACAGACACCGGATGTTCCCAGTCCCGAATCTGCGAGCACTCGCTATTTGCCAGGAGAAGGGGCTAGAAGATCGCTAAAAACAATCGCCAAAAAATATGCAAGAATGAGAAAGTAGACGATATGGGGCACTTCCTTATCCTTGCACACTTTCTGGCACTTTTTAGGTGATCATGAATCGACGGCCGAAATTGCCACTTTATTGCAATTTTATTTAAGGGGATACGCTCCCCGAAACAACTTTTTTTTTAATTCTTTAACTAGAGACATAAAAATTCAGCCCTTGGTATAGTTTTTCATGCAGATTTCAAATATGTATTGAGTTTTCACCTAGCTACTATAGTTATCGAGTTATGAAATACACAATGCAAAAAAATAGCACTTTTTCCGGGAAGTTTTTGATAAACTAAATTTACAAGAAAAGTATCATGCTGTATCTTATTTGACTCTTCAGAGATTGCAGAGTGCTGATATCTAGCCACACTTTGCACAAAAATACTAGAACTATGCAAAAAAAGTTTGTGCTCTGTACCTAATTATTTTCAGTCTACCTTGAAACAATAAATAAGAAGTTTCATAACTAATGCTGATAGAAAATTCAGTTTCAATTAGATATCAGCCCTCTACACGTCTTGAAGAACATCTGTACCAAATTTCGTTACTATAGGTTAACTATAAGTTCACAAAAGGCTGCCCGGAAAACGTGAAATTTTCAAAAAACGTGAAAATGAGAAAAACAGGTTTGAAAGTTTGTGAAGTTTCTATTCATTGAAATGCAAAATGCAATCATTTGCATAAAATCTGGCCACAATGGCAAAATGCACTGACAAGTTTCTAAAACCCTCCAGCACAATAACTTTGTCCCTCCTGGCTCTTGCGGGTTGTTTCCTCACTCTGGGCCCTCTTCACTGTGCTGCGTAAATGTGCCCTGGCTTCCACTGTTTGCTAGGTGTTCATTTTCTTGATGCGCGTTTGATCGCAATGGTCACCATGCATGACCAAATCTTCAGAAGGAAGTACTCCAATCTCTTCCAGCACTCTTTCAAAGCCTGTATGGCCTTTGTTGTACCAAAGTACAGCAATCGCTGTGGCCGTCTCCACAGTATTTCCTGGAGGCGAACTTGGTTTTTGGGCACAGCAGCCATATTTTACTATTGAGCGGAGGAGACGGCTGCCGCCGCATGCGAAATGGCAGGTGGCGCGTTACTTTCGCGGCAGAAGGACGCAAACCACACAAATTTTCGCGACTTTTGCCCGGTTCTCACGTCACCACTGCTCACTTGGACGCATTTTTAGATATTTTCTTGTGCGATTTTCAGCTTGATATTTTCAGAAATGAAAGGTTATAGTCCAAGGTCGGCAATGCAACAAAAAAGAAAAAGTGAAATTTTTTCAGAAAATTGCGACTTTTCGACCCACGTCTCCCCTTAAGGAATCTTTTTTTCAGGTGGTGAGCCACCTTGGTGAGCTGCACCACCCCTGGGTGAGTGAGGTACTTTTGTCACCCTACCGCCACCGACACCTGGGCTACAGTCGGCAACGTACCAAAGACGCTAGAGATGCTCCGCCTCCAGCGCAAGCTTTCTGCCTTTGATAAGCCTTGGTTGCACGCAGTGGCCTAGACAGGAGCTTACGGGGCTTCAACCCGCCCTCCCCCCCCCCCCCCCCCCCCCCCCCCTTTTCCGCAAAGTCCAGCTGACCCTGGGTATACACATACATTTTGACCCGCCCTCCCCCCCCTCCGCACCCCAAGTCGCAAACATCCCCGTCGCCTCAACCCCACCCCCCCCAGAAAAAGAAAAATACCTGGCTACGCCGCTGATCGCACGGGCGGCCAAAGCCCAGCGGAAGGCATCGAGCGCACGCTGGAGGCGGAGCTTCTACCACATTTTTAACCCATCGCCGTCTATACGTGGCTTCCACGTGACATCGGCGCACAATGCCAGTGGTTGTTTCTACTTGTTCGTGCCAGGAAAAGTAAATTCCGTGGTGCTTGCTTCAGAAGGTGCCTGCCGAGCAGCGAGGCCACTCCTACGGCCACAGACTTTGATGCAGCTTTCAGAAACAATTTAATTTTCACACACTTCGCCATTTGAAATATATAGAGAAAAATTATTCATGTGAATAGCATGTCACTCCATGTATCGAATACATAGTATAAGTACCTCTTCCAATTGCAAAGTTCCGTGCACATGAAACATTCCCGAAGCCCCCACTTTTATTTGCAAAATATTGAGCTACGAACCTGGCTTGTGAATCTCGTTCTCTGTGCCACATGGCTTGGTAAATTCGAGCTGAAACAATCGCCACTAACAGTGTCTCCCTTCTTTCTTTTTATTTCGACAGAACTGTCCTCACGGAAGACCCACAATGCGGCATCTTGTCAACTTGGCCATTCTACCGGACTGAAGTGAAGTCTTCTCTAGAACATGTAAAGAATGAATGACTGGACACAACAAACATTTTCGTGTACGCAAAGTACTTTTTTTTTCTTCTTTTGCATGTTCCTTTTATTTGACTTCTTGGAGCAAAATCGGGAAAGCCCAACTCGGCGGTAGCGCAGCAAGAACAACTACTCGCTTAGAAGGAGCGAAACCCACTGCATAAGGGTGCGCTTTCCACGCTGAATAAAAAACAATACCGCAATCCTCGAGGTCGTGTAACAAAACCAGCCGCTACTCAACAAAGCACCGAACATTTTTTTTTTTTTTTTTTAACTGAAAGTTTTAATTGAAAACTGAAACCTGCAACACTTTCTCTGGGCTACACTCTAAACAAGTTTTATAAAGAAAGAGTTTCCAACATTGCTTTAATGTCTCAACCAAGTTTCCGGTTCAATAATGTTTTACAGGGGTGATCGCGTCTTGCAAATCACCCCAATGTAGTATGAAAAGGCAAACGTTTCCAAAATAACGTTTCAGAATTCCTTTGAGGGCAAAATAACCGTTTTCACGTTTGCACACCACCAATAGTTGACACGAGAAACGTTGAAGCCCAGATCAGTTGCAAACTCAACAAGCTCCCAGCTCATATCACAGAAAGTAGTATAACAAACTTAACATTCGTAAAACACGACCACACGTGGGGGCTCGGCACAACGGCACGTGCAATGTAAGTACAAAGCTAATTAAACAAAAACAAATATTAAAGCTTGTCCCAGTGTTGCTTTTACGACGACAACAGCAGTAACGGTAGTAATATTGACATAACTTATTTAAATACGCTAAACAAGTAAAGGCACGACCCTGTTCGTTCTGTTTGAGTACAAAATCTGTTCAGACGTGTGTGCGAATGCCTCTCGGAATGTGAAAAGAAGGAATGCGCTGCCTCAACAAAATTCCTCAAATTAGTTGTTTTTTTTTTATTAGTGTGGTTAGCCAAAAGTGTCTTCTAGTAACGTTACCCTCTCTCTCTTTCGAGAATTGTACAGTGTAGGCACTGAGAGTGGATGAGTAGGTAAAGCAAAAATAGGTTCGAAACGCGGTGTTCGGAGAGACTAGCAAGCGTCGCGCGTGAAGCTTTTATAAAATCGGCTTCATGAACTGTTTGCGCTAAATGTAGGCCACAAAGCTTTTTTTTTTTTTTTTTTCTAAGTGCATTTTGGACGGGCCTTGTTTTGACCTTGTTACAACGTTGTGACAATGCCGTCTGCCATGCGTTTTGACGTCGCCTGGCAAACTATGAGAAAACATTGTCTGCCAAACGCTGTGTGCTGAACACTGTGGCAACACTGTCCATCAGGCGCGATAACACTGTTTACGGAACGTCATGACAACATAGTCTGCAGACCGTCGTGACGTCGTCTGGCAAATATTTTAGCGTCGTCTGCCAGGTATCAGGTTGCTGACGTTTCAGTTTTGGTCACGTAAATTAGCACAAATCAATCGATCATCTGCTACATGAGTTCATATGGGACTAGCTCAAAACTAAAGAAACATTGTTAACTCATATAGTCATAGGGATTTCATTTCGTTTCAGAATAAATTTAAAGAGATCGCCAGAGATGCCGTTGACACGGAAGCAGACGACAGTTCAGTCTGTAACTAGAAAACTACCTTCGTTGCCACAAAGAGCTAAAAGCGGGAAAATAAAGCGACAATAGTAACATTAAGGCGCGCCTCATAAAATAACGAAAAATTTAAAACCAATCGGGACATAGCACCAAACTTGTGGCATAGTGCCACTCCAAAAATATGACGGTCCCGAATTTTCGCCTCCGACGGCGACATATAAAAGTCTTGCCTCCGCGACCTTATTACAAAGAAGGGCCACTTAATAAGCTCCTGGCACCATCTGATGTAGAATCTCCAGAATCATGACCTTAAAAATTGCAGCCGTCGTCGGCCCCCTCTTTTGCAGAAGAATTACGTTGCCGCGCACAGCATCGTGACCTTACAAATGGTTGTCGACGCCCCTTTTTTGCGGAAAAATTGCATTACTGTGTGTGGCATCAATCTTGAGTCGATCCCGTAAGAGCAAATGGAGGCCGTGCCCCGTACGCGAGTTTGACGAGTTTGGTCCAGAGATTCAGGGCCGTACGAGTTGTGCGAGTTCGTCGAGTTCGGCGCGGCGGCCTCGCATGTAGACGAGCGTCTCCCAGAGCACGCGCACGAGCAGGCGGTTGTCGGTCTCGTTGAGGCAGACGTCCTCCGAGATGGGGGCATTGAGGCGGAAGTAGGGCACGCCGATGGTGCGACACCACGCCTGGGCACGATCCACCAGGCGTCCGTTGGCCTGCGTTGCCTGTTGGGTACGTCTTTAATTTTATTTGTTGTTCTAAGTGTAAAAGACGGAGGACCAGGTAAAGAAGCACACAGACATGGCGCTGACATACACACGAATTTCCCCACTAAATATAGTGGGGAAATCGACTTGGCACAAAGGTCATGTGACAACGTCAATTTCGCCGCTAAATTTAGCGGAAAACGAACAGAAGATTGATGAACACATTATTGGGGGAGGGGGGGGGGGGGGGGTGCCATTAAAAATACTTTTGTGCTTTAAAATTTAAACAATAACGAAGTAAAAGTTAGGCACAATCAAGAATACAATTATTAATGGAAGATCTAAAAGGCGATAGCGAAACGTCGCGATCGAAGAACTTGGGATGTCAACCTCGTGCCGACGATTGAGATAGGAGGAAACATTAACGAGGCGAACGACCACTTGGTTGTGCACGTCGACTGAAGTTTAGTAGTGCATAGCATTCGAAGACTAGAGTAAAAGAACAGCGTGCCGTGACGCACAGAACATGTCTCCGACTGCCGTGTTTACCACGTCCTATACTCGAGGGCAACTTTTCTGGGCGTTTCCGAGGAGAGCGCAGCTTTGATAGGCACCCAAAATGGGAGAGGGCACGCACGCTCGTACCTTTGACTGCATTGCCAAGAAAAGTTGTCCCCTAGCATAAAAAAAGTGGTCCCTCAATTTCTACCCCATGACGTCACACTTGTGTCACGCTGTTGCCTGCCACCGTTCTAGCGGTGGCATGGCAGACAACTGATCCGCTGCGAGGTCAATCTCCAGCTCGACGGGTCACGGGAGCTTGGACAGCCAAGAGTTGGGATTCTGCGACGTAATCAGTTGCCGCTTTGGAACCGCTTTTGACACGTGGGAGGCACGCGCGAGTCCAAGACGCGTTCTGGACGCCGTGACCGTACGAGAGGTGGCCCCACCTGGTCGATGATGAGCTGCCCCAAGGCCTTGGCCCCGAAGGCCATCTTGGCTGCGCCCAGGATGCCCGTGCCCATGTGCAGCATGTCGATGACCGTGACGGGCACCACGGGGATCTTGCCCGTGCCCAGGGAGACCACCACCTCCAGGGGCTGCATCTTCTCCTCCTGGCCCTGCGGGCGGAGCGAGTCCAAACGGCACACGTGGTGTTCCGAGGAACTGTCCGCTCATTTTCGAGTATGTTGTTTGCACCTAGGTTCACACCTTTACGTTTACGTCTCTATGGATATTAATGTGATAAGTAATATCAAATATACAAACTCATTGGTTTGTATATGTGTTTGGGCCCATTGTCCACGTGGGTACACATTCGTGTATCCACGTGGACAATGGGCCGAAACACCTAATTTAGCCTTTTTCTGCATCTGCGGTTCACACGAGCTCTAATGCCTCTCAATTTTGGCAAATAGTCCCTTAGACCCCAACTCTGTGCTCCATTCTAACTTTGGACCGCAGCTCTGACAAAAATTGGCGGGTATACCAAAGAAGTACAAAGAACTGTTTCGGTTCGTATTGTTCGCAACAGTACCACCGTCTAATGCGGAGGTTCCAAGACCTTTCTATTTTGAGAAATGCGTACCGTTACTAAATTTCGAGATGCGACGTCGTGAAACGTTTTATCGAAAAATGGGACCCCTTCCTGGAGCCAATACGATTCATTTTCCACGTATTCGTGGGCTTTGTCAGCTGCCGTCTTCCCACTGAAACTTTTCCGAAAACCGTTCGTAACTTTTGAACTAAATGACGGCAAGCTGTTGAACTTTGCCACCTTTCCCGAATCGCTAGCACTATGTTCGGGCAAAGACACGTTAGGTGATGTGCAATTAATTTTTGCGCCGAAAAAGCCCCAGTAAATGTTTTCGGAGATGCCGTACATTATTAAATATGTTAAGGCAGAGATGCAGACATGCTGTTCATTATTAATTATGGAAGACGCAGATACAGAGCTCATTTGCAAATATGTTAAAAGGCAGCTAAAGACGCACCGTGGCCTTGAGAGCTTCATTGTACTCGCAGATCTCGGTCATGGCATCGAGGGTCGGGTTGTTGGAGATGAGTCCACCGTCGAGGAACCGGCCAAACGGCCGGAAGTAGGTTGGCGCGGCACCGGACGCCCTCGCTGCTCGCCACACCAGCTGCTCTGGGCAGAGCAAAGCGACCAAGCGCAAGGTCAAGCACAATACCTTGTTCATTTCAAATTCTTGCGTGCCGCACGGCACTGTTAGCGTCAACGGGACAGATTAATGGATGGATTTTAACGGCTGTACTCTTAATAATGAGTGCTTGCACCATCTAGCCTGAAGAAAACAAAAAAAAGCATGATTCCTTCTCCCCCCTCCCCTGCTAACCCAATGCATTTCTGTAATTACCACCAGGAAGACCTTTTGGCGATAGGGAAAAAAGACTAAAAACACGCACCCCCCCCCCCCCCCCCCCCCCTCTTTCCATCCCCCCTTCGGGAGCTCCCCTGGCAAGGGAGTCGGCTAATTTTCCTGTGGTTGAACCTTGTCGGCGTCGCCCCTACGCCAGACCCACTGGGGAACAGGGTCGAGACTTTGGGCTGGAGCCACGCAGGAGGGAGTTCCAATTGTTTTCTGTTCCGCCTGTCCCCAGTTGTGTCGGTTAGTTGTATGTCATTCAATTCTCCCCAGATAATTTCCACCAGCGCTCTAACCTCTGCTTTGCTGCCCCTACTTTACTATAATCCACCTTTCCATCTCCTGAAATGATTTGATGCATTGTGCCCATTTTTATGACATGGCAACTTTGACGATGCCTCTTCGGTTGTGAGAGGAGCGCAGAAAAGGCCTGCGACAACTCGTTCACACCGACCGTGTTGAGTTGTGTACGAGGAGACGTAACAAACAGTGCCTCTACATAATTAATTTTCTTACGGGGCATACCGCATTCATTAATGAAATTCTCACAAATTATCGCTACACCCTTTGCAAACATTTAGCCATTTTTGGAATAAGATTCGCATCGTTTCCGATACTCCCTATTGCCAAGCAGATTCTCACGCACAATTCAAACTCCTCGACGTGCGAGAAATTGCGCCGTCCGAGCACACCTTTTAACAAACTACGGGCCATTTTATTAATGAGTAAAGTATGTACTTCACGTCTGTTTGAATACAACCCTCTAAAACACAAGCAGCACATAGTTGAAATCAAGTACGATCAAACTATATTTGGAAGACAAGTATCCAAAATATGCTTGAATTATGTTTAAGGTACTACCACGTGACAATATGTGCCGAAACAGTGTGCTTTTTCGGTGTACCTGCCAGTTTTTGAGGGCCGTGTCTGAACTAGGAATGGAATCTGAAGTCGAGGTCCCACTCTTTACACTGTTTGACAAACTGAAGGAATTGTGGGAACTGCAGACGCAGGAAAAGGCCGGATCGGTCGTTTCGGCTCATCTTGTCCGCGGAGGTAAGAGGTACTTGAGGTGAAGTACAAGTATTCGAAATACAAGAGAACTACCAAGTGCTCGAGGTACTTTCCGACGCCACGTTTCCCCCGCAAACCCAAAGACCAACGTGCACCAACCGTGCGGCGGTGTGCACGAGGGGAAGTCCGACTCGTCCTCGGTCACTCCGAGAATCTTCTTGGGCGAGTCGTAGTTCCGGAAAAGGTGTAGTGCCGCCGGATGTCGATCTGCCAGTACCCCCGTGATCATCAGTCTGTCAAAGAATCGTAGAGGAAATTTCACTCTTTGCCCTACATGTAGTGCCCTACATTACTGGGGGAGCAGGTGATGCTCAGTTCTAAGGATTTAAGAATAGAATTGTTTTTTCTAGCATGGTATGCCACGCCACCTTTTTCATCTTTTTATTTCCCAAAAATCGCAACTTTTAATTTTTTTTTTTTTTTTGGCAATGATTAATGCGTGGGTAAGAGGATTAATGGTACATTCAGCATGTCGCAAGAGTTGAGGATTTTCTTTTTTAGCGAAAATTGGGAAGTTGTTTCTTTGTTTCTGTACGGAACACCTACTCATTGGCAGCCAGATGTTTGCACTCTTATAGTCTCCACTCGTAACACTGTGACCAGGATGGGCCCGGATAGTCGTGATCCTCTTGATTTTGTGCCAGCTGTGAGTGAAACGCTGGACGTTGCGTGTAAAGACGGTACGCCCTCACGCACCTCAGCCCGACTGGCTCTCTGCACTGTAGCTTTCACCCGCTAAAACGGAGCGTAGTCGTGTCTTCCGGAAGTTAATTTCGGCGACACTGCCAAGACCGACGTCACCCTTATTTCCGCCGACAAAAGACTAGCGACTATGTGGGCCCTCGACCAATCGCGAAAGCCCAACTGTGGCATCATGTTTAGTCGATCGCGTCGCTCGCTCCAGGCGACGACTCGGGGATTTGGGGCCTACTTTGGGTGCTTGATGTCGGTCATGAGGGTGGTCTCGCCCATCTCCCGCTGGAGGAACTTCTCGAGGGAGTCTGCGTCGTGCGGCCGGTTTCCGATGAACACCTTGTCCTTGAGGCTAAAGTAGAGCTGCAGGCACTGCCGGGGCGTCTTTCCTGCAACGCACCGTCCATCAGTCAACCTCCATTTTGAACCCACTGCGAGCGATCGACGATTCAGTTTCAGCGGCAGAAAGATCTGCGGGTTTAAAGCAACACCGACGGATAAATTTATGCTCGCCAAGGTTTTTATTTGTGCCTGACATATGAGAGCCCAACTACCCAGAACACAATTTGCAGATTCAAATTCTTTTTTTTTTTTTTATTTATACTGCAGGCCATTTCAGGCCCAAGCACGGTAGGACAACAAGAAAAAAACAACATAACAGAGTAAACCAACAAATGTGGTACACTGGAGGTCACCAAAAAAGAAAGAAAGAAGAAAAAATAGACGAGTGTATTTTTTTCGTTTCCTTTCTGCCTGTAAACAGTTGGTCGAGCATTGGCCAGTTTCAGTTGCGCTTACTCTCTTCTCCGTGGTCCCGTACAGTTCTCTATGGTTTAGACACAACCACCAAACATCAAGGTTCTGGGTCATTGAAGGCACACACTCAATATTAAAACTAGAAAAACAAATATGATACCCATTTTTTTGTGGCTTCTAAAAAGCTGCAAATACGATAATTGAGAGAAAAAAAGAAGTTGCATAGCCACACAAATTTTGGAAACTCGCCCCTCCTCTATATTTCTTCCACCCCACCCCTGTTTCGGTTTCGAGTAGTTGCGTCTGTTCACTTTATTAAAAATATATAATGCGACACTGTAGCAAAATATTCATTCGGCAGTCTTCTGACACCATATTAAATTACCTGGCAAATATTTTTTAAAAAAAGATTCGGGGGTGGTGTTAGTGTCCTTTTAAGGCTCATTCATACACTTGCGAATGCTTACAGCCAAGTGCATTATAACCTTTCGTGATCTCTTACAATGAGAAAACACACTGGCACCATCTATCCGTGGAACACTTCCCGTATATTTTCTATTTTTGCTTAGCATCTTTTTTTGTAGCGTAAGCTACACTGGCCGAGGTTGAGCAGTTTCGCGTGGCTCCTGGAAAGCTGTGCTACGCATGCGCGCGCATGCATCCGCTCGAGATCATGGCTCGTGCTGTCCGGTTGTTCTGGGCGGCAGCTTGGTTGCTTGATACATAACAACACGGCGCACAGCTCATCGGATCCCGAAGTAGTCACATAATGCGTATAGCGCGTGTGTGTCATTGAAGCAGCAGTAAGCATGATAACCAAGCTAATCCTAGACAACCAGGAAAGCTAAGAATAACCAGCTAAACCTAAGCTTACGCTACGTATATCCTGGCATAGCCGAGCTAAGCCACTGCAATATTTTTTTTTTCTGGCTCAAAAAATCTTTTAACAATGTTATAAACAATGATTTCTCATTGATAATACGTACATTAGGTCTCGCGAATACTGCGAAACCTTTGTTCTAGAGAAATGCAATTCCAGAGTCACCTCATAGATGGTGCCAGCGTGCCACTGCGTCCTCTCGTTGCAAGAGATTGCAACAGCTTGGTCCTAAGCAAACACAAGTGCGTGAACGGGGCTTCACTTCTCCGACGGTCGGCTTCTGACCCTAACCTCGACAAAACTTGGGGTAAGCTCTCTGGAACGCCGTGTGTCAACCCCCATCTCTTGTTGTCTACATTCTGAGCAAAGAAAGTAAGTCGGTACAGGAAGTCGCAAAATCGAAATCTCCTTACAAAACGGCAAACTGCAGTCAAAAGGGAACGGATGTTAGCACTGGAATCTGGTTGTTGCGCTCTACAGGAGCCAAGCAGGGGAAAGAGATGCAACTGCTTAACTAGAAAACAAACTGATGAAGTGACTCAAAAGTACAAGTCCGTTTACCGGTAGGATGGCTAAGGTGGAAATGACTGTATAAAATAAATGTGGTCAATCAAACTTGGTAAAAAAACGTTCAGCCTTTCCACTCTCGTGAAGAAAAAAGACCAGCGGAGCTGTACTCGTTACTCTGTGTGCTTCTTCTTCGTCGTCGTCCGTTTTTTGCGCCGTTTCCTACGATACATTCCCACTAACACGCCCAACTATCCATTATTCTATTATAACTGGAAAGGTTGGCGCCATCTACTAGCGATGGTGGAAACCATACTGGTTGTGTGCTTGCTGCTGTCGCTTATAAATGGCGGTAGCTGTCCAGGTAGGTTTGTGTCGACCAGGGATGGGCAAAATACATGCAAATATGTATCGAAATACAAATACAAAATACTTCGTCAAAAATGTATTTAAATACAAATCTAATTACATTTCCAAAAAAGCATTTAAGTACAAGATACAAATACAACCAAATGTATTTGGTCTCCTCCAAATACTTTTCCAAATACATTCCTCAAAATTTACGTCAGCGACTTCAGGGCACCTGCAACGGGTTTCCGGGTATCTCATTTTAATTTTGCATCGCACACTCGGGAGTTAGTGTGCGAGGCTCTAGTAACGTAATAGAAATATAATCACAAAATATTGCAATCAGCTTGGACGTAATAGGTGAAAAAAGTACAGAGCTTCAAGCAGCCTTTTTGTCGATTACATTTTGGTATAGACCAACAAAACCCGAGACGACCAAGATGCGCAGTACTAGCTGGAGAATGTTATCGTTGCAACTCGCACCAGTTACGAAAATCTGGACGACCCGCGTATTTAGAATGTTCCAGGCAAAAATATGGATGGAAATCAGGCTGGAAAGCATCACAAGTTGTCACAGGCACTTATTTAGCCAGTCTGCGTGTGAACGTCGATTTCGTCACTATTCTTGCCCTGGACTAGCACCGTAATCGCAAAGTCACTAAACGCTTGTGCTTGATTCAGTTACTCTGCATTCGGTGCAGAACGTAGTTTTCTTCCTGCTCTGGACAGTGGCAATAAATTTGAGGGATGTATTTTCGCTCACAAAATTGTATTTAATTACAATTGTATTTGAAATACCCACGTTTTAGTATTTAAATACACACGTCAAATACATTACCCAATTTGTAATTAAATACAAATACAAAATACACAAAGTATATAAAATACGCATTTCAAATACTTGTATTTGAAATACTGCCCATCCCAGGTGTCAACATACACGGACACGATCCTGGGGAACCTAACCCTTAACGGCTCCGCTGTAAAAAAAAAAAAAAAAAAAAAAATGATTAAAGCAGAGGCAAGTTGATGTAGGTAATTAAACATGGTAGTTGAAACCAGACCTGCATTTGAGACATTGTTTATGTCCCCGTTTTTTGCCTCCATCTTGGCTTTTAGTGGGTCAAACTTCGATTTAATTCTTCTCCCCCTCTGGCTGGGGCGGAGGAAAGGCCCTCACCGCATGCAAGGAGCAGAGCGAGGACGCCTCCGGTGCTAGTGCCGGCGACCCAGTCGAAGCAGTCGAGGACCGGGCGCCCCACCACGGCCTCCAGGGCCACCAGCATCTGGATGATGATGAGGCCCCGGATGCCCCCCCCGTCCAGGCACAGCACCCGCGACCGGCTGCGAGGGGGCCGCTGACGCTCCTGGCAGCGGCCCAGGGCACTCTTCACTATCGACGCTCCCATCAGGTCGTCGTACACTGCGCACGCGCGAGACGGGCAAAAAAACGACACATTAATAGCGAGTTTTAGAATAGTGGGCCCCACAGCTTTGGGGCGTCCCACTGCCCATGCGCAGAAGTTCTGCACATGCGCAGTTGAATGCCCTAAGCTGTTTGGGGCACCCAGAGCTGCGGGGCCCACTATTCTAAAACTTGCTAATGACGCCGCCAATGCTTGACATCTTGGGTGAATTGTGCCGACGAAGTGAGCATTGTAAATTTATGATTTTGCAGTGCCGCATCCAAGGCGTACTCTGGCGTTTTCTTGGTGGTCCCCGACTTGGCTCAAAATTGACTAGAGACACCAAGCAGCATCGCTGAACTAGTAATATTAGACCAAAATAATTTTTTTAGCAAATTCACTGAAATCACAATCCTCACCATTTTTTTTTTTTCGAACTGGAAGTTTGAGGGATTTTGCGTTCGTACATGAGCATTTTTTGCTGGGAAGGGGTACTAACAGCTACCACTGTACATGTGACACCAGCAGCAAGCAGGGGTTCTCTTTGGTCTGTACACTTTGTTCCCAAACAATTACAAGCAGTTTGACGGTGTCAAATGAATGCTTCGCAAGCTCGCTCCAGCACCCACACAGCAGCACGAAAAAAATGCACGGCATTCTCCGTTTCGTAGACTGCCCGCTCGACCTGCAAAACCTGCACGTCGTGGCACTGAAAAGCGCGGGTACATTTGAATGTTGGTTTTGGCATCACCTTCATTAACCAATTTCAAAAACGACTATTTTCAATTTCGTGATACTAAATAGCATGCCAGGAGGGGTAGAGGCCGGGGATTCAGATAATTTAGTTAGTTGGGGTCGCTCAAAAAATTGCCAGTGTACCCCTGTAACGATGTGTTGCAATGGTGTAGCACTGAGTCAGTAACGTCCAAGTATGACGCTGACAATGCATCAGTGGTGCTACAACGATAACGTTGTGGTGGTGGTGCATCAAATCGTTGATATGTAACCCTATGTTACACACCAACTATTTGGCAACGAAAACTGCACGACCGTACAATGCCACGGGGCGGTAAGATATGAGTGTCCAATAATATTTCCAAGTTTGTTATAAAGTATGATAACAACAGAGGGACATGGAAGTAGACGACACATCGAAAGCCTGTATCGTCTATTTGTGTTCTATGTCCCTCTTTCATTAACCATCCACGTTATAAAGCTTTAGGAAGCTTTATAACAAACTTGCTATCAAGTTTCCCTCGAGAGAGAAAGGAAAAGTAAATTAAGATAATAAGGTTCGCCTCGGGAGAAAGCTCTAGCTTTTTCCCCCCGAGAGAAATCCGAACACGACTTGCTTTTCTAATAAAAAAAAAATTATACTCGTCACATGAAGGAAAAGGGAGGTTTTGCACATTATTCGTGCACTGCACCGAGTTGTTCTTCCAGAGATTTGGTTATCGGAGGAAGAAACTTAGCTTTCAGCGTTCGAAATGTGTGCATCTCAACAAAGTAACAGTGCACTAATCTTAAATTCACCCACATATAACTTCAAAGAGGACACTACCCAAAAAAGTCAACTTTTGAACCTTTGGCCTAATATTTATGAAAGTTACAGCGTATACTACCAGTTGTAAGGCAGAATGCAGTGCAAAGCTTTATCTGTGTACATGAATTGTGAAAAAAATTATAGTCGTTTTTATTAGGAACACACTGATATCGTTTAGGAAAACTATTGTTAGAAAACTGTACCACACTTCGAAAAATACAAATTTCATCTCGAAGCGAATATCGAATAGCGTAATATTCGAAACTACTAGTCAAAAATTCGAATATTCGCACAACACTACAAATGAGATTTTCTGAGGATACTCTCTAGATGTATACATAGATGTAAATATTACATTTTTCAAATTACTTTTTTTGCAAATAGTTTTTTCTAGGTAGTGTCCCCCCTTAATTCATTACACAAAAAAGTAAGTGCGCAATGCTCCGCAATAAGCCAACTTTTTTTTTACTACGGTTCTTCAGGTAAATACAAGTATAAAAAGGAATTTGCATCCCTTGTTCGAAGTCGCACGATTTAAACCATTCGCCATAGAAAACGTAATTAAAGACCGACAGCCGAGGCGCCTCCTCCGAGGCAGGCCCACTCACGGCGCGAGGCCTTGAAGAAGTTTGGTTTCTCGGGGGCCACGCCGTCGAAGGATCCTTCTGGGGAACAGCCTTCGGTGCAGGCCTGGTCGCGGTCGCAGCGCCGGGCGCCCACCGCGTGCAAGGTGTACAGCACGCTGTCCCGCTTGCTCAGCTTGGAGGTGGCTGCCAGGTGGCGGGCAGTCTCCCCTTTTTGGTTGGGCTGGTTCACGTCCGCACCAAACACGATCAGGGCGTGGATCAGGGACACGTCGCCCTGCGTGCGGACGGAGGAAACAGACGAGGAGGCTCGTTACGGCGACCGTTGCCATGACGCAGTCTCGCTTTAATGGTGTTACGGCAAGGCCACCGATATGTCTTGTCGCAACGCTGTTATGGCGAAGCCATTATGTCCTGTCATAACGATGTTACAGCGAGGCACAAAATATGAATAGGAAGATCAAAATGCGAGTTCAAATCTAAAACTACGCACAAATAACCAAAACACTAGTCTAATAAGATTTCCTCAAAGCTACGAGAAAATAGTTCTATGCTATGCCAGTATGAATAGAGTAGCACATTCCAAAGAGTTGTAAATTTGAATGTACCCTTCCTGACCCTTCTTAGGTCCAAACGACGTCGATTGCAATGCCAACTTATTGACAGTGCGAGTCGATAAATCAGCTGCGCTGTGAATTTCGGTACCTCTATTCATTCTGTTTGAAAGGTGGCTCGGAGAACAATTCTTGCAAGGCATAAGGATAGTAAGAAGCATAGCCTCTCTTAAAGTTCATGCGCATACTTTGTTTCGTCTCAGAGTCACTTCGATCTTCCTCCTAATGCACTATTACAACTCTTTTTTGTTACACATTCTTTGCAAGAAATGAGTTGCTGGGGCCATGTGTAGAGTTTGTAGAGTTTGTAGTGTGCCTGTGACAAGAACGGGTCAGTTTTATTGTTTGGCACAGTAGAGTCTTGAGAAGACCTGCACAATAGCACAACAAAGGCACAACTACCCAGAAACAACACATTCACGCTACATTCCTTTCGGTCCCGTGTTTTGTGGAGGGGAAGCGTTGCAGCTTGCAGAGTCTATCAGAAAAGAGGCAATGAGGAGGTCGAGGTAGTTTCGTTTACTTACGCCTGTTGTTTACCTTCGTGCTCTCACCTTGGGAGGCTCGGCCTTCGGACGGTTTTTCTTGTGTCCCTTAACGACCTGAATTCGGGCCGACGCGTAATCAAACGACGGTGCCAACGAGGACACAAGCGGCCACAACGTTATCGGAGCTGACAACACTGTGGTTAGTTTTGTAACATTCTACGCTCTGGAGAAGAAGGCTATATACAAAGCGTCATGCGTTACAGTAATACAATAGGTAATAGCAACTGTCTTATAATATATAAAGTCAGTTTCTTAGGAAAAGTCTTCACCATATTATATAGGTCTTCGCTACAGTAACATCTAAAGTAATTGCATAGCAGCATTATAAGTGTGCCTCAGCTTTACCTCACAGCATCTCTATCGCATCTATTTTCTATTACGGGCTTTTTATGGAGGCTTTACTGTCATCTGCAATCTGGCAGATTGCAGCGACACCTTCTTGAAAAGTGCCCAAACATTCGCCCACAGTTTTAACGGCGTACGCTGCTGCTTCTCATGCGTTTCTTTTTATTTACTTTTTTTTTTTTTTAACTTACCTGCTCCAGAAAAAGAGACCAGTTTTCCTGATTGGGGACGGCAACCTAGGGCAAAGACCAAAGAGAGCACTGCACTTGCTCAACCATCAATTTGAAGTGCCAACAACGATGCCATGTAGCATATGTCGTCCTATATAAACCATTGGACTCCATGTACAGCGTGTCTTTGATCCCCAAAAGTATTACGGCGTTTGTTTCGACACAAAAATAAAGCGTGCGTCGTTAAACGCTCCGTCTCCTACTAAATGTAGCCCTAGAAGTACGGACCAGACGCCAAAGTTTCGGAACTAACCGTTATCTAATTCAAAAGTTACAAGTCATTTTCTGAAACTTTCAACGGGAAAATGGGGCCCGTTTTTGGTAGTTTATGCCATTCAGCCTCATGCATTCATGGGCTTTGTCAGCCGCTGTTTCGCCAGTGAAAATTTGGGAAAGCGTTAAACAATTTTTAATGAGATAACGGTCTGTTCCGACATTTTGGCATCTGGTTCGAACCGCTGGCGCTACCTGTGGGTGAAAACAGGGAAATGGGATGTTCTCTTCAGCATCTTGTGTTGCTGATGCACGACAAACCATGACAGTCTTTTGGGAGAGAACATGCCATATTGCGTTATCGCAAAGTCTGCTTGTTCTAGCGGGCAACATTGGCTAAACTGTTTCAGTATAAACTGCTCTGCTGTTAACTATTCCACATTAACATAACGATGTCATGGGCACCCCTGATGGGCAATGTGCGATACTTACGACTTTCTAAGAGAAATCGCGCATCTGACCCCGAAAAAGCAGGGAGCCATCTTCGAGGATTTTGCAGTCTTAAATCGAAGAACTGCTCCGCAGCTCCAGTTTCCTATCCGTGCCACGAGGGGGCAGTGCAGACGTGCCACGTACCCGCACGGCGGCGTGCAGCGGGGTGTCTCCGTCGCAGCCCACGGCGTTGACGCTGGCGCCGTGGCTGAGGAGGCTTATGACGCACGCGAGGCGGCCTCTGGCGACCATTATGTGCAGCGCCGTGTTGCCCTGGAAGTTTTTCGCATCCAGGTCGCAGCCCAGCTCAATCATCGTCTCCAGGCACTGGGCAGGAACCGCAAGGGCGTGAAAAGATACCATATTTTTTAATTACATTGGCACAGGCAAGAGCATTTAGACAAAATCCCTAGTGTACGAAGACCAGCAAGATGGTCAGAATGGATCACCCAAAGTGGGGAAGTGGAGAACCACAAGGAAATACTCAACTTTCTGCTTCGTTACAGGGGCCCTGCAACGACTTTTAGACTGGTTTTTAATTTCCACCGAACCTGAGCCAATTGAAGGTAGTAACTTAGTGAAACTTTCCTTTTCTAGAAATTTGCTTTATTCTAAAAGTTATAGGCAAATTAAAATGACAAAAACGAGCAAAAAACAACCTCCCTCATTACGTCCCTGGTCCTGGCTTGGATGGCCAATGAGCTGCGGCTTACATTGATGGTCGCTTCCCCCCCAGCATCACGCTCGTCAACCGCTCGTTGCTTGCCTCAGCCCTCTACCACGCTTGCCGACATGAATTTACCGGGCCTGTCAGAGTTGGAGCCCTGAATCCTCGACAGAAGCGCAGAGCTGAGGAGGACACTCCTTGTAAGCATCTGAAGCGCGCTGGCGAAGCCTCTCGAACCCAAAACTCGACACCGCTAAAGTTCCGGGCGGGTCTCCTGTGGCACGAGACCACAGGAGATGCATTCATTCTTTTGCTTCTTGCAAAAGTGCTGCCCACCACATCGTGCGTCGTCTGCTAGGATCCGCGGGGGCGCATGCGCTGGCCTGCGCCACCCCTTTCCCCGCTTGGTGGAGGCTATGCCGACAGGTCATGATCATTGTGCTTTGTTTCTGGTTTTCATACTTTCTAAACTGCATTTGTTTCTTTTCTCCTCTAAAATACTGAACAAAAGTTATTTTAATAAATAACTGAAACGGTTTGCGCGACTCATAATTTGTATTTTGTCTAAAAAAAGCTTTTAGCGGCTCTGACCAGTCGTAAGGCATTAGCTGACCAGAACCGACGATGTTATGAATTTGTCACTTGCTACGCGCGTTTGGCACCACAGGCCGTCCCCGTAGGAGGAGGAGATTTCCGCGTAGCCCGGTTAAATTTTACACACTGATATTTAGTGACTCTTTCCACGGTCACTGGGTTGCCCAAACCACAAAGGGGTGTGGAAATTGCAAAAATGTGGACACTTACATGGGATTGCGGGGCCCCTTTAAGAAGACAGCTCTCACAATTTTCACCTAAACCAACCTCACTGCCCTACACCATCCCACCAACCCCAAATGACTTAAAGGGGCACTGACACATCAAAATCATATTTTTTTTATTATCCGAAACGATTGAAAACAATGCCGAGACATTACCCTCAGAATTCGAAATTTGGAAATTCAGTATTTGTGAAGTAAAAAAAACAATTTCCAAATGCTGAATTCGAAGTTCCCGCGTGATCGGCGCCGGTGCCCTGACGTCAAATATTGCGGAGTCCTGAGAGTCCACTTTCTTTCACCACCCCCTGCTGTTGCCATGGCGACCCAAAGGGAGGAGGAAAGGAGCGACCGCCGGCGTTGGGCGGCGGACCGGTTTTGAGCAGTGTCGCCCGTTTTCCGTTGGAGGATACAAATCCAGGAGACGGCACCAAAACGAACTCCCGATTTTTGGTATTTCAAAAAGAAGGGCCGTAGTGCGTTCGCAATTGCGTTAAAAAACATGTTTTAGGATTGCCGTTATTAAATGTTATAGAGATGTCGCCTACAAAGCTTCTAAATTTCATGATTCTTGACGTCACGAATCAAAAGAAGCGAGGAGGCGAGAGGCGGGAGAATCAAACAACAAAAATAAAAAGGCGCGCTCGCGCGTGGAAAATTTTTTTTTCGCAATGCGGTTTTTTTTGCGTGTCTATGACCACAACTTGCATCGTTTTAGACGATAAAAATAAATACGAGCTTTGGGGTGTCAGTGCCCCTTTAAGTCAAGAGGCTCGGCGTAACACTTGTTCATTCATTTCACAGTCCGCACCCACTGTATAGCTTTCAGGGGCCCTCTTCCGCACAAATAAAATTATCCTATGCAGCACATTGACAAATGTCTGCTTTATTAGCTCACAAAAAAGCTTGTATCATACATAAACCATCATTAACATACTTTGTCATTCACAAAATTCGTCATACCTCGTCATAAGACCTATAAAAAAAACAAATCTCCATATAGTCTGCAATGCATAAAATTTTGACTCTTAGACATAAAACATATTCAGGAGAAAGTTGAATATGCTCGCTAATGATAGACCGTTGAAGCAGTTTCCCAGGGTGCAATTTTTCGAGGAAAACGTTGCACGCGACGCCGTTCGACCAGCCTCGTCATTATCCTCTTTCCCAATGCCAACGATCAGGTTCCGTATTCTGAATGATTCGCTATACTTCCCGTCCTCAACTGGCCCCCCACACTGGGTGCGAACGTTCTTGAGCCACGTCAAAAAGGCTAGCGGAGCTTCCACGTGCCGCAGCCCTGCACTGCTGCAAAAGCACGTGACTTGGTCTCGTGTCTCATTCGCACGCGCTCTAGTGCCAAATGAAGCTACTTATTCATGCTAGGAGCTTTGACAGTGCTAGAGCAGCACAGGAACTACACCAGCCTTGACAACGTGGTACAAAAACTGGCCTTGCTACCGTGTTGCCAATTTTGTCACTTTTGGCATCGCCGCAACTTTGTCAGTTCGACTGCACTCCCTCCTCGCTCTCAGAAAACTATGTCGCTTACGAACTTGCGAGTGGATCCATGCCTGTTGGACCTAAAGGGTAGCGGCCACTCTGGCAAGACAGGGTAGCATTCCAAATGGCCTTACCTGCGTGGTCTTGGCCCAGTGCAGTGGAGTTCCGCCGTGCTTCATGTCTTCTATCTGGAAGTTGTGCCCGTTCTGTTCAACGTGGTCTCGCCCTAGGCTGAAGAAAAAGAAAGATGTGGAGTTACTACCTCTCGACTAATGAAATACCAATGGGAGAGACTGTTTGCGACGTCCAAGACGTTACGAGGTCACCGAGCGAGAAGCTTAAGCGTCGCTTTCAGAGAAGAAAAAACTTTGCAGAAATGACTGATCGATTGTGCCTTACAAAAATTAGAAAAAAGGCAGAGTGCTCTAAACTTCACCACGACAGCCGAATCCTTTTGAGCTCACGTCAAAATTATTGTTGAACTAAGAACCTCACAGTCCTGATTATCTATTTGGATATGGCACAAACAAGAGCTGGCACACCTCTTAAACTTGAATTAAATATTTTGGGGCTCCAAGTTTTTTTACGTGTTTGACGCGTAGACCAAGTCGCAGATCAAGCAAAAATAAATCCCCAAGTGAAGGAGAAGAAGGAAAGGATCAGTACGTGTCAGGGACGATGCTGATTTGTCTCGCACAGTTGGCTCGCACCCTGAACCAATGGCAAAGGAAAACTCTCCAGTGCCAATAGAAAGCGGGGTCAGTTAGGTCGCACTCATAAGTGACACAATAGGATTGGGTGTTACTGTACATCTGCGTCTCTGCTCCTCATTGCATGCAAGACGGAAGGCACACCTACCTTCAATCACCTTCTCACATAGCAAAGAACCACTTTGCTAGGATTAACTTTACAAGGTGTTTGGACTAACTGACTTGTTACTACATAATGTTGAAGACAATCGGTTACGTGGTATCAGTCTCGCCAAAATTATGACATTTAGTAGTTAGTGGCATACAGGCTGCATTTCAGTTGTTGGGCCAAAGGTGCACTTAACTCTGTTGTGGAGAGGCACTTCTGTTATACAAATCATAACTTTTAAGTAGAGGTTAACCGTTGTTAGTAAGAACACTTGCTAGGTGGCACAAGACGCCATCCGATTTCAAGAGTCCAGTTGTATGCGTTCATCCAATTAGTGCCTACCAGGTGCTGTTGTTTCTGTCGGCAAGGTTGACGGAGGCGGAGTTTACGTCGGCGCCCTCTTTGAGGAGCTCCCGGACGCACTCCGGCTTGTCCGTGAGGCAGGCCAGTTGCAGGGGGGTGTAGCCGTCGTTGTTCACCTGATTGATGACGGCCGTAGGGGCGGGTCTCACCGACAGCGCCTGGAAGACGGATCACTGTTACGGTCCCGGCACGTTCAGATGGCAGCCCGTATTTTTAATCTTCCTCTCGCAAGCGCACAATTCCGTTTTGCTCGCAAGTCACGTGGAACGAGACGGTGAAGGCCTGTTCGCATGTACTGCACAGCATTAACTGAGCGCTATAGACACAGCTCTGACTTTGCACTCTATGAGAGTATATGACCCGGACTCTGTTTTTGCGCACAACAGAGCACCAACTCTGCCCCGAGTCAGCGGCTGACAGTAGTGTCGATGCAGCGTTCATGACATGGGATTGCAATTATTCGTTCCTTGCAAATGAGCAATGAAATTAAGTTTTACGTAAACAAAATAATTTTTTATAAAAACGATAAGTTTGGCCACAAAAGCAAAATGCTAAACCCAACCCAACATTAAAAAAAAAAAAAAAAAAAAGACGCAGCACAGCTGAAGCACAACTGCCAAGCCTGAAGGCTCATTCACAGACTTGCATTCGCTTTTGAGGAAGTTCTTGCAATCGTTTACGACGAGAAAACACACTGTCACAATCTATGAGGCGACTCTGGAACTGCATTTCAATGCAGAGAGCAAGTTTGTCTGCTTCTTGCTCAGGGGATAGCGGTGACGTCAGAACGCCGAGCCCTGATTGGCTGATCGCGACCCCCTATCTGAGCGTCGTCTGCTCGCAACGTCGTCTGCGTCTGTCTTACCTTTCCTGTGACTTTTGGAAGTGCAGAAGCCAGATTCACGAAACGATCTTACGCCAAAAATGTGCGTAAGACAAAACTTAAGAACAAATTTGTATTCACGAAACAAAATTTTCGTAAGTGTTGCGCAGATTACGACGAAATCCTACAACAGCTCCGAAGCTGTCTTTCGCACTTCTTACGATCAAATCAGCATGGCCGACAGCGTCGCAGTCGCGACGGCCCACGGACGTTTATTTTTCTATGTGCGCTTCTCACGCGTCCCGACTTCAAGCAGCAAGAAAAAAAGTAAAAAGCACTTGAAACAGACCACGACGAACAAGAACGCTGGATCCACTAACACCCGGGAAAAGCTCCAACGGCCACGATTCCACCGAACGCGACCAAGCGAGCGCGGCAGTTAGGCCTAGCAGGCACTCCGCGACACGGCGACCGTCTGCCCACGACCGGCTGGCGTGCTGAATAGAATATGCCCGCGCGACCCTTGTGAACCCTTCCCGTATTATACTATGATCGCTGACCTCAATGTTAGATTAAGAGGTCAATTTCTTCCTCTTGTTATCTCCTTGCTTCCCGAGGCAACGGTGACTCTCGCCAGTGAAAAAGCGGTGAATCTCCGACAGACGCAGGAAAGGTAAAGCAGCCATCGCTTTGACTAGCAGACGTAAAGCAGACGACGTTAACTGCGCCAACCCACCGGTCGCCGTTAAAGAATGAGGGGTCTCGCCGCACACGAAAGGAGGGAAAAAGGGTTTGGGAGGGAACTTGCGGACACTAACACGCTCACTCTCGGTTCTTAGCAAACGAACCTGGGCGCCTCAGGACACCTCGCCACTAAGTCCTTTGACTTCCCTCCTTGATGAGCGTCTGGTAGTTGTTAGACAAAAACAACGTACCGCTCAAGTTATTTCATCTGCCCTTTCCAAAAGGCGTAGTCGAGCTCGCTCGTAAAGACCTGCACTTCCGAAAGTCGCAGGAAAGGTAAGACAGACGTAGACGACGTTGCGAGCAGACGACGTTGCAAAGGAGCAGACGACGCTCAATAGGGGGTCAAGATCAGCCAATCAGAGCTCGGCGTTCTGACGTCACCGCTACTTCCTTTGTCATGCGCAGAAGACGAAAATGAGCCCACTTCCGAGGCGTATAGAGCGAAGGGTTTGCAGTATTTGCATGATCCCCATGTAGGTACTACAATCTATGAAAAATAGTTGTTTACAACATTGTCAAAAGTTTTTAGAGGAGAAAGAATGATGCGCAGGAGAGAACATAAATGGCCGAGTGTTCTACCCGAACGACGCAAGAGACATCCTAAGATGTTTTAAAGTCGCAGGCTCTTGCAAGAACCAGCCTTAAAGAAGTGTCGGGCCAAGTGTGCCCCACCTTGATGAGCTCCTTGGTTGTGACGGCGGCTGCGTGGTAAATGGTGTCCCCGTTGTGGTCGGTGAGGTTGAGCGGAGCGTCCATGCCCATCAGCACCTGAACAGAGTTGAGCTTCTGGGCACGCACTGCGATGTGGAGCGGCGTGGCAAGGGTGTCCTGGGCAGGCTGGCAGATCTGCCTGCAGGACACCGAAAAAAACCCTTCGTCTCAGACGTCCCACATGCAAACTGCACTGACTGTGTCTGGACTCGCAGTCTGACATATCAAAGGTGACGAATTACGGTGTCGTGTGACCACGTGGCACAGTGTAATTGAACATTACGCCGCCACTTTATACATGTTGTTGACACCGTGACCTCATACCGAGTTACTTAACACCAAGCGTCGCGTGACCTGGCACAACCTAAGGCACGTCGCACGATGACGCGACCCTTAGTGGCGTCCCACTAAATGTGGCGGGAGATTAGCCCGCTTGATTTTGCTGATGACGTTGCTTCCGTCAACACGGAATGGTGACACAGCACATCCTAACTTCCCCGTCAAAATAACCCCGCATTAACACAGTGTCTGCCAAATGCAAAAAACACCGTACGACGTAATACACGCGAAGGACTCACCAAGCAGACGGGAACTCGCGTGGCCACCTGGTAGATCTGAAAGCATTCTATAACATAGCACAAACCCCAACTCGGTTTCCGTCAAAAGGCCATTTTGATCTGTGCCTGCCAAACACGAAAAGCACCGTACGATCTAGTGCATGCGATTGAGAGACTCGGTGGATACTCACACGGCAGCCTTCTGGCTCTCGAAGCGATCTACGACGTGGCACAACTCTCGACTCTGCAGTAAAGGCCCATTCACACACTTGCACTTGACTCCGACGCAACCGGCATTTAAGCCTCTTGTGACGCCTTACGACCGGCTGTGCTGCTCTGGAGCCAGTCGTAAGCCATCACAAAAGGCTTAAAAACTGGTATTTAGCCTTTCCAGTCATAAGCAGTTGCAAGTGTGTGGAACAAGCCTCAAAGGGGTACAAAAACCAAATTCTGAAGCTTATTTCTATGTTGCAATATGATATCGGTAGCAATAGAACCTCATAAACATCAATATTTCGTTGAAAAATGCAAGAAAACATATTTTAAACTGAATAAAACGATAGCCAAAAACCACCCGGTTGTTGGTTATAAAGCTTCGATAGAATGTCGTGACAACATCGGCTTCTAACGGCAGCTCCACTATATGGGAAGTACACTGACCGGTACAGATTACCTAGGCCAGAACATAATACCAAAGGTTTGGTGAAGAAAGCCAAAGCACAGTTGGCCACCTTGGATTCGCTTCGCCACCAAATTGCTTCCACTAATTCTTTGACTTCATTGCAGTTGCAGTTGCAAAATCGTGGCGACGTAAGCGTTTTTTCGTGGTAGTTCTTGAGTGACGATATAAGAATTGCACAGTCATGTTCTCTGTGCTCTGTGCCTTCGCTCGGAAAATTGCGTCCCGTCGAGACCAGTGCAAGCTTCCTCTGCACTGATGCCTTCCCTTCGTTTGTTTAGTGTTCGCCTCTGTGACGAGGAATGTCGCAAAATCGTTGTGGTGTACGCATTTCTTCGTGGTGGCGTGACAATGCTGCAACCACACCACTATCGATGCGATACGCCTCGTGAAATACTCGAGTGATGCCACCATCGTGCTGCTTCACCGAACTCAGCCTGCTTTTCTGCTCGCTTTAATAAATGAGGGATGCTTACTGGAATGGCACCTTCAAAGCAATATTTATTTATTCGTGAAGCTGGCACCCTCGACAAGTCCGGTTGTTGTGATCAGTCAGTGGTAAATTAAATAAGAAGCAATAGACCCTTTTCGAAAGTCAGAGTCACCTTGTGGCACTCCTAAGAGCTCCAATATTGCCGCTCTAATGGCGGTGATAGCAAATCATGCTCGGCTAAATCAAGCACCCTCGATTTCGTTAGTCGAAGGTGTCGTAAAAGGACCGACACCTTTTCTTCTTTCTGCTCGATGCTCTCGAAAACGTTCGTATTTGCTGGTCTAGAGGAGCCCTGTACTGCCGCCATTAGAGCGTCGGGTTTGGCTTTGCCCAGGTGGGTAGACTGACTTCCGGGAAGGGTCTATTGCCTATGTATGGTTCTGCCATTACCTTAAACAAGATGAGGCAGGAAACCTATTAGCATCTCGCCTCGTGTGAGATAAGAGGTGCCTTAGCCGCCTCGCGACGGTGTCGTCCCGTTCAAAGCTCGCGTCCGGAGCAGACGAATCACTACGTGTTATTCTAGCGCGCATGACTCCGCCGGGTCCACACCTCCTGGTGATATGTTACAGCCCTTGGGCACTCTAACTAAGCTAGGTAGTGACGCGCTGAAGCCACCAAGTGTCAACGCTCGTAGCTACGGTATGCTTAAGCCCACGGAGGTCAATGACGTCGCAGGAAAGTCGTGGGCACGACGGATATCCCAAAACGCACCGCGCTCTTCGATGGCTGATTTTGAAGCAACCGCTAGAATCTAACATTTGAAACGAAAAATACAGCCATCGGTTTGATATACAAGCATGCGATTGTCATTAGCAGATAGAGATAATCATGTTCAACTTATTTATGAATATAAGAGGTATACTTTAAGGTTTCCATTCAGTACCCCTCTGAAGAGACATTGACACCCCCCAAAAAAAAATTTTTTTAATTTTTTCCATGCAATTTAATTTGGTGGCAGAAGACTACCATATCAATATTTTGCTACACTGCGTCAAAAATATTTTTAATAAAGTAAAAAAAACGCAACTGGACTGAGAAGGAAGGAGAAATGTAGAGGAGGAGATAGTTGCCGAAAGTCACATGGCTACACCCGACTGCGTTTTTTTTTTTTTTCTTCTCGCTTTTCCGGTTCTACAAAGCAGACGAAAGACACGCATGTCAGCGCGTTTTTCAAGCTCTTACCAATTCGCGTTAGTAAGGCGAGCGACGTCTTCAGCCAGGAGAAGGGGCGACGACTCAGCGACGTCCTCGTGCAAATCAGCTTGTTGGTCAAGTGTGTTGTACGGAATAAATTTTAATTTTTTTTATCAGTAAACAATTTGCCTTCCCAAGCTAATTTGCTGGTACTGCGAACAACAGTTTTGAAATGGAGGTCCCACGCCTGTCGTCTGCGCCATCGCCTAGTCCGCTTCGCTCAGCCTTTGAGCCCGAGACTCCCGCGATAAGACGCCATGTTGAGAATTATGGAGAGGCTGCAAAGAGTGCTTCCAGTTCTTTGTGCAACTTTCTTTTTCCAATCAACGTATTTGCAGCTTTTTAGATGCCCCAAAGTATGGGTATCATACTTCTTTCTATTTTTAATACTGAGTGTGTGCCTTCGATGACCCACGACTTTGATTATATTCAGTGTGTGTGTCTAAACCACAGAGAATATGTGACCATGTTGAAGAGAGTGAGCGCAACTCAAACCGGCCAGTTCTCGATCGGCGGTTCTCGGGCGGGAGGGCGGAAAGAAAATGAATTTCAAGCCGCAAATTGTGTTCTGGGTAGTTGGGCTCTTATATGTTACGTAGAAATAAAACCTTGGCGAGCGTAAATACACTGTCCCTTTAAGAAAAACAAGGCGTCTGCCGAGCACGAAGAGCAGCGCACGATGGAGCGGAGGGAGACTCACGCGGCCACCTTCTGGTTCTTGAAGCAGTCCACGAGCCCGAGGTGTGCGGCCAGGTGTGCCAGGGTCCAGGAGGGGTTGTTGCGCACAAGGAGGACCACCTCCTGCACCAGGTCCTTGGAGAGCAGGTCCGGCACGCACTCCAGCAGCAGGGGCAGCTTGTCCCGCAGTTGCACAAAGCTCACCTCCGCAGCCACCTGGTCCTTGGTGCGCAGCAGACTGCACGAGACCGCGCCGTCCGCGGGCAGAATTGAGACAACAAGGGGCCTGAGCAAACCGTGTGGCACTTAATTCCCTTTGAGTGTCACGCCCAACTATGTTCGGGCACGTTCCCGTCTGGGTTCAGTTTCGTTTTTCTCCCCGTCCCTCCAAACGGGGCCGCCATTTGTTGCACGTATAGCGGCAAATATGAGCAAGCGAGGAAAACAATGCTTTAGTACGTACCTTGTAAAGTCAAGTTTTGATGGCACATATTTTTTTTTTTTTTTTTAAGGGGGGACATTACCCAGAGAAAAAAAAAATCTGCAAAAAACATTCATTTTGAAAAATTACATATTTACATCCATCTACATCCAGGGAGTATTCACAGAAATTTCCACTAGTTTACACTGCATAGTTACTTTTTAATAAATTATTTTCTGTCCACTGAAGCTAAAGAAAAGGTAGGGTTTGGAGCACTTTGAACACATTTTTCTCCATTCCACTTTTTGGTATAAATTCCATTTTAGTCAATCTATCGTTTGATAATGGCAACACAGGGAAGGCCCGTTCTTCACTTTTCCTGACTGAAATTTAATAAGGAATGCACCTATGAAGTTTGTTTGTCATTTTAAAGATGTCTTTTATAAAAAAAATGTTGACATTTTGTCGGAGACGCAGAAGACCAAAAAGTTGGCCAATTTTGCGGAAGAGAAAATTGATAGAAATCAATGACTTTTTTCAAAAAACTTTCTATAGGCGCACGTCCTAGGCATTCTGCTACCTATCTAGCGAAAAAAATCTTGAATATTGTGATAGTTTTCCGACGATAGATTAACTAAACAATGTAGGGGTGATTGCTGATAGAAGCTGCCCTAATTTCCTTCCCACCTAACCGACAGACCTGAAATTTTGTTATGCACCCCTAGCATGACCACCAGCCTACCCTGCAAATTTCATTAATTTTAAGCCAAGGGTTCAAAAGTTGACCCTCCCAGGGGGTGTAGCGATTTTTGTTTTGGTATGTTCCTGCTACAGAACATTGAATCTATGCAGGTCAACCTCGCGCTTCATGGTGGACACTTTCCTACCATTCTCAAGCGGTCAGTGGCCCTAGCTGGTACGAATGCATCGTGAAAAAGCGAGAGAAGAGCTACGAAGAACGAGATCTAGCACTAGGTCTTATCCTTTCTAATTCTTTGTCCGTCGTATCTTTTTGCGCTGCTTTCTGCCTCCTGGTACTGCGGCATTGAGGAATCTCGGAAACCCTCAAGGGCCCAAAATGTCTAAAATATGGGTCTTGAGGGACTATAGCTATTGCACTAAGCTCAACAAGTCTCGCAAGGTCTGAAAGTCTGATCGGTCTTGAGATAAGAAGCATCTTAAGCCTCACTTTGAGGAGTCTCGCAAAGCTGCAGAGGTCCTACAAGTTTTGGAAGTGAATCCCAGATCTCCAAAAGTTAGGAAAAGCTAAAACAAGGTTCCCCCACTGGAGTGTCAAAAAGTAAATAAGCCACAGAGAGTCTAAACACATATATGGTTCCTTAGGCAACCAAAGGGTCATGTCGCAAAAGTTTCAACCGCATCTCTGCGAGTCTGAAGTGTCAAAAGCGTCTATAAACAAGTTTGAAGAGTTTAATTCTTCAGAGCTGCTCCGGACTGTCATTGAAAACCCCTAAATCAGTCAATTTTAGAATGACTAGGAACACATAGAAAGCGCGCACGCTCGCTAAAGTTACGTGCAGCACGCACAGGGCCAGCAATGCGAAATTCGGACAACATTTTTATCGTGCGCATTTTCGCATCGCCGACCTTTTGAGGAACTTGCGAGCCTTGGCAGAAATGCCCGGTTTATTGAATATGCACGTGGCAAGTTTGCTTTGGAGTCACCTGAAGGCGGCGTGTGGAGACCGGGTGACATCCTTGTGCAACACGACGTCGTACGAGCCAGACTCTGCGCTCTCCGGCGTGCTCACGGCGTACTGGTACAGCACCAAGGAGTCCTCACGAGCCAGGATGTTGCACAGGGCGTACTCGTCGGGCTTCACCTCAAGCACCTGCGGCGGGTAGACTTTATATAGACCCCGAAATCCTAGCCCCAGTGATAAAAAGGGGAAATAATCATCTCAAATGTAGGCTCCTGTAAAGAGAGGCGCATAAAACAAAATTCTTGCTTTTTACAGCACCCTTGGCATCGACGTTGCTCTTAGAGCTTTGTGACTACGCATTTCTCACGTTCTTGCAAGTTTTTGCGACTACAGTAGTCTTGCAAAAAATCGCAGCCCCCTACTGTGTCATGGCGTCAGCGTGAACAAACATGGCGGTGCCCATGGAACAGAGCAGACGCTGGCCTATGGCAACAAGCCACCGAATGATAGGTACAATTCATTTCATCTTATTAGGATGAACCAGTAGATGCTACAAGCCATTCTAGACAATCCAGCGCCGTGAATGTAGCACGCGACTACACGGCCTGCACGCCGCCGCACTCCTCCCGAAAGTCGCGTGAAACCCGCACCGCATTGGATTGGCTCATGGTGTCTGCTGTGGTCTATTGTAAAAAGAAATGGATTATGCGACGGACAAGTTTGTCCGCTCCTTGCGCACCTCCGGCGTTTATCCCCCAAATGCACCCATGTATGTTTGTTTCCCCCAACCTTAACCAATGGAAGCTGCCTCATCATCGCACATTCTCTTATGTTCTTTATGTTGCCCTTTGGTGGGCGTGCCCCACGCCCCTCTGTGTTCCAATGCGCCCAAGCCGCATTTTAGAACACCTGCTTGCTTTGTCTATGTTTTATTTTAGGTCAGGTGGGGTGCAGCTGGCACAAGTCCTCGTAAATCAGTACAATCTACCAAACTCAGCGCGGTGCAGCCACTTCACGAGAGCGCGTGCTCAGCCATTGGCCGCAAGCTCGGCAGTAGCGAAACGTGGCCGCCCACACCAGTATGCCGCAGACGAACTAAGGCAGCGGAAGAACAATATTCATGCTTTCGCATTCACAACTCATAAGAGGTGCTTAGGTGTTTTTGTAGTATTTTTTTGTTCACATAGTATCTGAAGTGTCAGATGTTTGTTTCAGGGTGATACACTCCTATTGTGAACTGTGTGTATGGTCCCGGTCGGCGGATGGATTGACTAGAATGGCTCATAGCACAATGGGGGCTCGTGCGGAAAAGAAGACTGGTGCCACGGAGTTCAGGGATTTTGCTCACCTTCACAGGCCTTCCGACCGAAACTCTGGCTTATTTTTTAGCTTTGCAATATCCCATCCTTGTCACCAAAATGTAGTGGTCACGAATCGCCACTATAAAACTGTGGGTAGGGACATTGCAAAGCTATAAGTATTAGGCCAGAGCCTCGGAAGGACTGCGAGGAAATGGGAAGGCTTGCATGGCGTGGCGCGCGGGACAGTGAGAAGGCAGTGGCCCGGGACCAAGCGGGCACACCGAGGAAAGAATAACACGTCAGACCAGGTCGGAGGTAGAAACAGGACTCCTGTATTTTTAACGAATAGCGCAGTGCTCGGGCTCGCTGTACTAGCCCGCCGCACGCCAACATAAACAAAATACTACACTATCACTTAATTTTATTCGGCTACCAATGCTCATTTTATTTACACTCAGAGGGTAGATGACGATGCAAAGAGCAAGTTGTCTGCTTCAATTGCGCAGGAGTTGCTGAGAAGTTAGAACAATGTCAAGCTCTGATTGGCTTTAATTGAAAGGATAGAAGGTAGACCTCAATGCTAGATGCCTCAAGGTCTACCCATCATTTTTTTCAATCAGCCAATAACAGCTTGGCATTTTCACATCATCGCACCCGTGTGCAAGCAGCGCAGACAAACTTGCGCTCCGCATAGTCAGACAATATTGCTAGTCGACATCAATGTTGGAGCATGCTGTGACAGACTTGTGCAAGTTGAATGACGACTCTTCTCGCCTCATCTACCAAATCCATTATTATTTAATTTCGACATTGGTTGTATGAAATTGTTCTGCACCTTTTACATTAATTTTAAAAAATCGAGTGATCAAATTGACATTAGAATGCTTGTTGCAAGTGCATAACAAGGGGTTTCCAGATTGTGCACAGATTAACGCAATAAATACCTTGTGTGGTTCGGGCTCTAGCCGCGTGGATCGTAGATTTTCGAGAAATCCGCGCAGAAAGGCCATGGCTGGTGGCGGGGCGCCGATGCTGCAATTGTTTTCTGGTTTATTATACGAGCGAACGAATTTAAATGCATTAAATAGGATCAAAACGTTAGTGCTCTGCAATGCTTCCGTCGATGCATTCTCCTCGCGTGACCTCTAAGTTGTCCATTCTAACGAAATGAAACAGTGCGCGTCATGACATTGACGAAACCGAAACGAATTAAAAGCGAAACAAATTGGGCACCATACTGCGACGCGCGAACCGTCAATGGGAGAAGATAAACACCGCACGATTCAAGACTTCGGCCTGTCTTTAAGCCTCTGAAAGTTATCGCAATAAATAATATACTACCTCTAGAACCCTAAATCTCAGGACGGCGTTTTTAATAAATTATACGAGCTCAAATTTCGAAAACAAAAACTGTTCCACTGCAAAGCGTACGGTGATGCGCTATTCTGATGCGGTCTTCTGTCGAACAGTACAACGGGTTCATGAGGCCCTTTAGGGCCCGGGAGTGAGTGAATAATGCCGAAACCTACGTCGGACTTCTGCTGGTTCATTCAGACACTAAGAATGAATTGAAAGTACGGGGAAATTACGGGGAAAAGCCATAACAACCCCGGGAAATACATACATTTGACTGGCGTTCCGACGCTGCTGCCCCCTGCCCGCTGTTTTAGGGTTTGTGGCGTTGTTTCTGGTAGGCGTTTATTTGCGTTTAGGATGCTGCGATGCTGTCCTTCAATTGCAAACCTAAATTATTCTTAAAAAATTTTTTATTACGCTTAAATAATTTATATTATTGCATTAATTTATTTTTAAGCGTCCGTGATTTTCTGGAAAGCGTAAATCCCCAAACATTGAAGCTCATAATATTATCTTCCCCATAGCATAACCTGCCAAAAAAAAAAACAATCTGTAAAGAAAATATAAAAATTTAAAATTGTGAATACGGCATTCACGTAAATCTATAAATAACAATTTTATTTTTGTGTGTAAATTACCAAAGTTGATAGGTAGCGCTAGCTACCATACAAATATTATTTTTGAATGTAAATTTTGTTGTCTATTGGTTTATACTTCCTAACGTCGGGGGCCGACATCTTCCTTCTCGTTGGAGTTGCCATGGCGTCCAAGATCGCCCGAATTTCTCCTCTAAAACACCATGCGGTAACGTTTTAGATCTATTTTCTAGTTTACCTCGCGTGTTCTGTACAAGTACGCTCCCATAGATTCGCTATTTTCGCTAGGGCTTGCACATCGTACACCGAAAACTGAGATTGCGGTGTGGCGATATGTCCGGTTCGGCCCGTGAAGGTTACGCAGGGTCACTTTTACTCTGCACAAACTATCCTGTGTAATTTTTAAAAGGAGCGACTAGGACAGGCTAGTATCTCAAGTTGACCATGCAAAGTCTGATGTCGGCTTTGTATGCGTCCTTAAATTGCTCCACCTTACCATTGGTGTTACACGCCTGGCGATGCCCATCGCGTGCTACACAGTTGTCGATTTTGCTCAAATTTTTTCCTCACTAGCAGCTCATTGCTATAACATTCTATGGCATTTCTTGGCTTTTCCAGATACATTCCAAAAAAAGCAGAAGCCCCCTTTTCATCTAGGGGGCTGTAACGAACCGCTGGACTAGGAACTCTTTACGAGCCTTCAATTCTTGATTTGCAGTGCCGTGCATATTCGGTGAGAGTGGCTCCCAAAGCATCGGTAGCCCACTTCGAAGCCCTGCCCAAGCAGGATGTAGAGGTAAGTACGCTCTATACATCCATGAGAAGTTGACTATGATAGTTCGTATGTGTTGATGGATTAGTGTGTGTGTTCCTGGAAGAAAATGTTGATGGATGGCAATGATGGGGGGGGGGGGGGGGGGGGGAACCCCAAATGGTGTTTTGTTTTCTGTGTGTTGCTTTATCTGGACAGTCAAAATAATAATTTTCTTTATGTTTAGATGTGCGTTAACATAAGGCTTCCATTTGTGCACTGTGAGATTCTTCCTTACCACACGCCCTTGCCAAAACCTCATTCATTAAATAAATGCAGTCTGTGAGCGTAGTGCAAGCACCTTGCATTATTTCTGTGAGAAAACGAAATTTGTCTGTTTGTTTGTTGGTCAAGTTTCAGTGAGCTGTGATGCCAGGTTGTGTTATAACCTTCGTAACTTGAATGTGGCATTGAATTGGTAACAAAATGGCTGTCGTCTGCTCTGTTACAAACCCGTCGTCTGCTTCTGAAAATGACACAATAGGGTGTGTGCACACAACATTAATTTAACATTTTGTTGTTTGCTGTCAGCATGTAGACTTGGAAGCATCAGTAATCCTAGTGGGCGGTCCCAGTGGGCCCATATTGCTGGCCACACCTTAATACGCAAAAATAAACAACAAAACATTGCTTGTAAGGTCTGCACCTACTTCTTTTCTAGCGTACTTTGCGGTAAAACACCAACGTAATGCATTGTAGAAAAAAAAAAAAAGGTGAAAAACGTTTAGAAAAATTTGTCTTTCGCTTACGATTTGCCGTGTTCTGTTACCGCCTGTAGCCCCCTGCCATTTTTAGATGCATAATGTTACAGACGTTTCATTCGAATGCTGCTTTGATCTAACGGTGGCGATTAAACGTCCGTTTCAGATGACCACTCTTCCCAGTGGGCTGGTTGTCACATCGCTGGAGAACTACTCGCCCGTGACACGCCTCGCCATCATCGTGAAGGGGGGCGCCCGTTATGAGGACGGCAGCAACCTGGGAATAACACACACCCTCCGGAACGCCGCAGGACTGGTAAGCCGACCACTCCGCCATCTTGTATCGGCCGTCGGCCATCTTGTTTCTGCATGCACGGTCCAACAAGTTTACTGTACTTTTCTGCAATGCAGGCAACCAAGAACTGCTCCAAGTTTGCCATCACCAAGAACATAGAGTACCTCGGTGCTAACTTGACGTGAGTCCTGTTTGTTATTGGCTCGTTTTAGTAATCGTGATTATTTAGAAGCGCTCGACATCGCCTTTGCATGCCCTCGATGCCTCTTGTTAAATCGTCGTGCTGGTGCATTTCTATCGGCAGGGCCACCACAACCCGAGAACATCTTATCTACACCCTGGAGTGCAACCGCAATGAGGTGTAAGTCGAGTATATTGTTCTCTTTATTCCTTTCTCTGGCAGTGTGATGCTTTGGACTGACAATCCAGGGGGCAAAAAACGACAACCGGATTGCCAGAAAAACGTGCTTTTTGCGTACGACTCATCACAGTATTAGGCAGTGGAGAAAATCAGTCATCTGCACTAAGTCTTTATTGCAATCTCTTTTGTTCACGTTCCATTCATTGTAAACGCACTATGAAAGAACCCAAGTGCACACCTGATCTCGCCACATTGCCGTCTCCTTCCCCCCGGTAAAATCTGTGTGCTATGGTTATCGTCACCATGGCGTCAATGCATCTGCTGGATGGATGCACATGCGAATGCAGAGCCTGAACGCAGGAACAGTTCATGTCCAAGCACTAAAAGAGAACGACTATTAGTAGTTTTGTGTCCTTTTAAGAGAACTGTTCAGTGGCTGTTAAAGGTGCGTGTGACCGAGACGTATCAATGTTTTAAAGGTCATATGCAAAGGAAACAGATTTTCTTTTTAAAGTCTATAAAAAATTTTAAAAAATCGTAAAATTAATTTACAGCGTAAAAAGAAAAAAAAATTTGAGAGCTATATTTACGGCGCTAAGCAAATTTGTAGTTGGCTTCCGCGGGAGATCGCGGAAAAGTGCAGCTAATGTTTCATGGTGCTTGCACTTTTGTAGCATAAGCTACACTGTCCGAGGTTGAGCAGTTTCGCGTGGCTCCTGGAGAGCCGTGCTGCGCATGCGTGAGAAGCAGTGACGTCACACAGCACCCAGCTGTGGCGCCGGAGCCGCCGCGCACCTCGCCGGTCTGCGCATTCCAGAGGAGTGACATCATAGCCGCGGCAGACACACTGGCGCCGCCGCGTGCCCAGCTGTGCGCCTCCGTTGCACAGTAGCCAAGTCTGACGCTGCACTAGAGCCGCTTGATAGCACCTCTCATTTTGTGCGCATGCGCAAAGGTATCAGTGGGGTATACATATAGCGGGGCATTTGCCAGTGTGGTATAGCCTTGGAGAAGGAGAGCGAAATTGCTGCTCAGCGGCGCAGAAGAGCGAAGAAGCTTAACTCATCGGATCCCAAAGTAGTTGCCTGGCAATTAGCGATTGAGCGTAGGAAGAACGAACAGAAGAAGGCTGAACGTGCTGCGGAGACACCGGAGCAAAGGGAGGAACGTCTAGCAAAGCGGCGTCGCCAGGAGGCTGAGCGACGTGCCCGACCGCTCACGCCACGTAGATCCTGGCATAGCCGAGCTAAGCCACTGCAATTTTTTATTGCGAGCTTTCTATGGGCTTTAAAAGTTACTTATTAATCTTTGTTCTTTTGTTGCACTTCTATCTTTAACAAAATATTTTGATATTCAAGAAACAAGTCTAAGAAAATCGTCACTTCCGTTTTGACTTGTACAACTGGAGCAGGAGCTGCAACCTGCAAGCACACCGCTCTCCGTAGGCACATCGCTGGCCTCGCAGTTTTCCACAGGGAGGTCCTCGTAGGGGCGGAGCCCTAGCTGCTTAATGCAGTCAAGAAGTCTACGCTTAAGTTCCGGATCCTTTGCAAAAGACGCAGACTGCCAAGGCTACCACTGCCAGCACAGGAACCCAACAACACAGCGTGCACCGAAGTTGAGCGGGAGTTTCACGAGGCTTGCATACGTTTTTCAGCCGAGTAGCCGAGCCAATTCAAGCGGCTTACCTCTCTTCCCCGCAGAGTGCACAGGGGCGAGAGAGAAAAGTGGAAAGGAGGACTGTTAGACCTCACTTAACAAAAAATTGTCTCGCGCCGTGAATATAGCTTTAAAAAAAAAAAAAGTTTTTCATTGTAAAGTAGTTTTATGGTATTCTTTTTCCATTCAGGCTGTTCAAATCTTTTTTTTCCCCTGTATATGTTTTTTAAGAAAATGCTCAATTTATCTTGACCCTTACAGATGTAGTCGGTACACATGGAATATGTTTCTGTGGTATATTCTTCGGGTTATGTGGTGGATGTTGCAATTTTTTTCTTTAGTTATAGCAGGTTTATTCCAAAAAAGACGTTTATTTCAAACTTTTTCCTTTTTTATGTTTTGTTGAGCACGTCTTGTATTTCTTGTTTCCTCCCATAAACCATTTGAACACAAATGCCAAATGCTGTAACGTCGGCGTTAGGCGTCTAAATAGCTAATGGAGGCCTTCGTGGTAGAGACAGCCAACTAGCTTTGTGTTTATCCAGTTAATTGGAGCGGTGGTAAAATGTAGAGCTGACAATTGTGGTGTCGTGGGTTCAATTCCTGTTGGGGTGCATTCAAAATATTGTTCTTCTCAATTTACTACCCTCTTGTACAGATTATCCCCTGCAGTGCGTGTTCCACACTTTGTGATGGTTTCCGCGGCATTTTGTCACACTTTCTTGGAGGAAACACTGGAGGGAAATTGTTTTCAATCGAGTGAGCTCGAGAAACGTCCAGGCCCGTGCCCTGACGAGACCCTGCCGCACGTGCAGGGGCACCGCCTTCAAGTTTGCGACGGAGGTGGCGCTGTGCCCGGCGTTCAAGCACTGGGAGGTGGACGACGCAGCCCCCACCATGAAGCTAGACCTTGCCATCTACAGGCAGAACCAGGAGGCCGGTGGGTGAAGGCGACGACGGGGCGCTCTGGCGCCCTGGGAGCCTTCTTCTGTCTTGACGGCTTTGCATTTCTTCCGAGTCTTTACTTAGCTCGGTTTATTCCAGGAACCTACCGTAATATTGCGAGATGTGCTCCAACCGCAAAAGATCCCGCCCCCTATTTTTGGAACGATTTGCTATTTTTAACTTTTTTTATTGTACACTGAAAGTTAGCTCACTCATTTTCACCCGGTTTGTTTTCAATTCTTTGGTGGGCTGTCTCTCGAGATATTACGGTAAGTCCTTGCACCTCAAGCACGGTCTATACAAAAGTCGGCTCATTCCCACTTACCGTTCTCTCGGCCGTAAAGCTCCTTTATATTTTTTTCACAAAATATATCGCTAACCCGTACGACTTTTTATTCAACCATTCTCTGTTTCGCCATTCATTGACTGTCGGTTGAGAGTGGGTATAGTTAAATGTAGCTCAAATCATTTTACCAGTTACTGTAAACGACTTTCTATCTTTGGAGGCTCAGCATTTCGCGCATTGGGCAAAGTGTGGTTTTCGGGAATATTTCACGGGCACAAGATTTTGCAAGTTGGGGTTATATGCTCACACACTTGTGACCAAAGGAAAACATATTCGGGGGGTTTATCTCTCGCAATATTATACGAGTGGCGCAAATTTGTGACTCACAAAGATAAAGTTTAGAGTATTTGACCCGAAAACATCTCTGGAGTGAAACCACCTTGTGGCTTCCATACTCTGTATTGGTAATGATCTATCGCTTAATAGTGCTATTAACATTCTTTACTCATTTGAGCCGTCAGGAGTGATGGGTAACAAACGGCACTGGGCCACGGACGAAGTAGAGGACAAACGGCACTGTGTTTGTCTTCCGTCTTGTACTCTGTTTCTGCCCCTGCGACGCTTGTTACCCGTTAAAATTGCAACCACCAAGCCCATTCATCAATGCTTCTCTTTATTCCTCGTCATACCCAATTCTCTCTGTAATTTTGGTGGCGCTGAAGGCGTTTAAATAAATAAATACTATCATCCCGTGCAAAGAATACAATAAGAGTGGCACAGAAAGCTTTATGTTCAAAGGCATTATGAGTAAAAAAAAGTGTGGCTACCTGCCATTAGAGTACACTAAGAAAAAGCACCAAATTATAGTTTGAAGTCGGGGACCACATGGAAAACGATTGGCAACAAGGTATCGGCAGAAAACTTGAAAAAGCATAAGAGATTTTCTATGTAGTTAATCGTTGCAAATCGGTGTTTATCTCTTAGATGTTAAAATTAGGTGTCTGTGTTCATTCCATACAGGCGTAAATCAAGCACTTAAAGGTGATTGAAAATAAATTGCACTCATAAGCGAGCAGTCGTAAACAACAGTTTGAGCGTGAATGTTTCTTTTGTTGGTCAAGCTTCCCCGGATCACCGGGTTTTTTTATTTTGAACGACTGTCCCTCATTGTCCAGTGCTCATGGAGGCCCTGCACGCTGCCGCGTTCCGCGGAGGCCTCGGCAACTCCCTCTTCATCGAGGACTTTATGGTGGGCAAGCACACCCCCAGGGCGGTGAGTGTGGAGGGACTGGAACTTCCTGTCTACATAGATAGATCTAACCAGAGCCACTGCAGATTTAGATAGATCTAACCAGAGCCACTGCAGAAACTGCACTTGGAAGCAGGGTCCCTTCGGCCATAGTGTTGCTCAGGGTTTCTGTACTTATTTCAATGTCGAGAACCAGAGTAAAAAACGTACGGAACTTTGCAGCGCATTAGTAATGGCCCCTTAATGCGTCGAATGGACCTTTTTCCAGTAAGGAGTGCCCCATGACGGTTTCGCCGCCTACTACAAATGGAGGGCAACCGGACTCGCCTTCTCCCATAGGAACAGATTAGTGTCGCAAGAAGACAGTGCCCCCCAAAAATGGCGAAAGGGTGGTCAAGGTCAAGTGGAAAGGGTGTGCGCGTGCGCAGACACTTACTGGAAAAAGGTCCATTAAAGTATTTCTGTGGGGTCTTTAATTCTTAGTTTATCAAAGTGTTTCAGTTGCATTGCCCTTTTCTCTAACATTCAAATCTTGTAAGAATTACGCAGCGTATTAACAATGCACAAAACTTTCTTTGCTCTTGAGGTCACAAGTGTATGACTGTCGCCAGCTTTTGCCTACATGCCTGCCAAAAGGCGCAGGAGGTGCTTTTTGTTTTGCTCACTAAAACTGGTTGTGACGGGCCAAAACAATATTACTAGGGCCTCCTAAAGTTGTATCAACCTAAAATAGGCCGCCCCACTGATAAGCAAGTGCCTCCAGACTTTGTTCCTTCGTAAGTCGGAGCGCGACCGAAACCATTGACGGACAAAACTAATCGGGCGTTGCCTAAAGTTCAATGTCGCAACGTACGTTGTCTTTCAATCTTTATGTAATCACCTGGAAAACCAGTCAACCACAGGTACTACAGTCTTCTTGCAGCTTTAATCTGTGTGCCTTCGACCATGCTCCGATGTACAACGAAACAAGGTGTAGGCATCCAGAAACTGCCACCACGTGAACAAGTGTTGTGTAACATGGATGGACGAAGGATTGTTGTTAGGGTTTAATGACGAGAGAAGAGAGTGCTGCCCCCCTAGTGTAGCTCTCTTGTAACTCTGCGGTTCACAGATACAGTGTAGGCTCTAAATCGATACTAGGAACAGCGCTGACTCAGCATTGACTGAAAGCCTATCTCTACTACATCCAGCCCATCTCTATACTTTGCCTCCGTTGGACAAGACAATGCTGATTTTTAAAATGCACAGTGGCCCAGACTGTCACGTGTGGCAGGCTCGTGTTGCACTATGCAACAGAACTGGAAGACACACGAACAAGGTCAAAGTTGTGTGGTAAAGAAAGTGCCAAGAGCTCCAAAAGTTTCAGCAATCCCCCCCCCCCCCTCTTACTCCTCCTCCCCTTCACAACCTAGAACTAGTCAGATGTCCACGTCTCCAAGATTCCTGGGAAGAACTCTGACTGTGGTGTATGCTTGAACTGGGCCTATTGCAGGTGCTCTTTCAGGTAAGGGTGCATCCGTCATCTAACATCTCCTTGTCTTTCCCAGCTGGCGGAGTTCACCAAGAACCACGTGACCGGTCCGCGGGTGGTGCTGGCCGCGGTTGGCGCCGAGGGAGACCGCCTGGTTCATGCGCTGAAGCATCTGGAGCTGAGATCGGACCCCGGTGCAGAGTTCCTGCCCTCCAAGTTTGCTGGCAGTATGTGTCCGTTCTTTTATTTACAAAAACAACCTGCAGCACCGAAGCATTATAGCAGGTGAAGCCTAGTGTGACAAAACAGAAAAACAAAAGGAAACGCAAAATCAAGTTAGAAACATGCACATTAAAAATGGGAATCATGTACTGTAAAATAGTTTGTTGTTGGGCGAGTTGGTGAACGTTTGGATATATGGTTTTGCTCAAAAAAAGACGAACACAAGAGAGAGAAACAAACACGAGCGCAACTTACAATTGTATTGAGGAAACCTTTAGAAAACATACAGATATATCGTCAACTACAATACGTCCACGCATGCGTCAAGTCACTATCACACAGTCTTGGGTAAGTTACTTTTAAAAAGTAATTCGTTACAGTTACAGTTACTTTCAGAAAAAAGTAGCGAAGTTACCGTTACAGTTACCGCAACAAAAAAGTAACTCGTTACAGTAACAGTTACTTTTAAAAAGTAACGACGTTACTTTTCAGTTACTTTTTTATAACGCAAAAAATAGGAAAAACTAGAAAACGCCCCTCACCAAGTTTTTTTGCATAAAATTAAACAGTACGCTTTTTACTTCACATTATAACTTAGCAGAAGTTGCTTCTCGAAATTATTGTTTGAAAATTTCCTCGCCACGCAAATCAAAATACGAAACATGCGCAGTGTGGAGTACTGGCGCTAATCGAAATACGGAACATACGCAGTGCCCTCCGCGTGTACTGTTGTTTCGTGGTTGATTCACCGGATTAAAAAGCGTTTTTATAGAAAAAGGAAAAACCACTGAATAGATAGTGCTTCAAGACACTAAGATGTAAGTGTTCAGTCACAAAGTTCAAGCGCGTGCGTAAAGATAACAAGATTTTTTCTCATGATATCTACACGTGGCTATATTCGGGTCGTGACTCGTGAAAAAGAACGTATTCACAGGTTTGTGAAAGGCCAACTGGACACTCGAAATGTCGGAATAGACTATTTGGAAAGTGCAAGGAAAATCTAAATTGTACTCGATCAGTGATATATAATTCATAAAACACCGAAAAGTAACGACAGAACGACAGGTCAAAGGTAACGATGAAAGTAACGTCGTTACTTTCATCGTTACCTCAGAAAAAAAGTAATAGAACTACAATTACAAGTTACATTTTAAAAAAGTAACTCGTTACAGTTACCAGTTACCAAAAAGTAACGAAATTACAGTAACGCGTTAATAGTAACGCGTTACTACCCAAGACTGCTATCACACGGTCGTCACAGAAACTTGTGAAGGAAGCGTTTTTCAGCATTATACAAACTTATCGAGGTATCGCTCACACATTGGTCGCCTTTCTTTTTGATAAAGAAGGCTTCCAACAGCTCACGTGCTTTTTGTCCCTTACTTCTACCCAAAATTGCTGTGTCAGAAAAACGTGGCTCACACTTACAGTTTCTGCAGTGTGCAGGCAAATGTGCCCTTTCATTAGTCTTTAAATTTTGAGCATGCTCCCTGAGACGGTCGTTGGCACACCTTCCCGTTTGCCCCACGTATGTCTTCCCACACGTGAGCGGGATTTGATAGACGACTTCTGTTTTGCAACCAACAAACGGCCTGGCATGCTTTGTGCTGCATCCTCGCTTCTGTCTGCTTTCTCCAGTAATGCGAGGGCAGAGTTGGCCGAGTTCTGTCGGAGCTGTAAACACAATTGGTACCCCATGTCTGTTCGCAACCTTCTTGAGGTTATGCGAGAGTTTGTGCACGTATGGTACCGCTTCAGGCCTCACATTCCTCAGTGTTGACTGCATCCTTTTTCCAGCAATGTGTCCCTTCACTCTTTGCAATATGGTTTCCGCCACACTCCTCAAGACCGAATCAGAGAAGCCCGCTGACAATAGCCGAGCCAATTGGTTGCTAAAGCTAGCCTGTATCCTGTGAGCACACGACTTTCTGAGGGCGGACTCGAGGCAAAGCTTAGCAATTCCTCTTTTAACTACCTTTGAATGGTCTGAGTCATACGGCAAGAGTTCCTTTCGAGACCGCGGGGAATACATCGAACAAACGTGTTCTTCCAAGAACAAAAGGTTCAAGTCTAAAAACTGAAGGCTGCCCTGGTTGGGCAGCTCATGTGTAAAAGACAAGCCTTTGCCATGGCGTCTAAAAACGTGTAAAACCTCATTTACACCATCAGTGTACGTCAGAGAAGTCTGCTTTTTAAAAACAATTAAAAAATCATCCACGTATCTAAACACTCTACAAACATCAAGCGTCCGATCAATTGCTGCTAAAAAAATGTTGCATAGTATAGGGGCTACACATGAACCAATGCATATGCCTTTCTTCTGTAAATAAAGTTGATTGTCAAAGGAAATAAGTGCTGTTAAGGTACGCTTCTAATAAGGAAATAAAAGTGCCTAACAGCACTTTTATGGCGAGAAACCCGGAAACATCTGAAGATGTGAACATGCGAACTACTTTGAGTCCTTCGTGATCAGTGCTCAGATCCACATATCTAGTTATGGAAAGTATAAAAGATGTTAAAAAGCCTGGGGATTCAAGTGTGTCGATTACTATAGACCCTTGAGCGTCACAGCGGTCAACGTACAGCGAAACCTGTTTAGAACGAACCCACGTACAGCGAATTATTGTCGATATCGAACTCGCGGAAAATTTAACTGAAAATGTATGTAAAAAGTACTTTTTATAACAAACAACATATTGGCTATATCGAACTTTTTCTACCCCGGGAAGGCTTCCAAAACGTGCAAACAATTGTCTCCTAGCCTGTCCGTTCCCCCGCCTCATAAAAAAAGTGGGAAAGAAAGAAAATTCGAAAAGCTCAAGTTGCGAACAAAATTGAGCGAAGAGAAGCGATTCAGAAACTGGAGAAAGCTAAAAAAAATACACTTGCACGCACTTGCAAAAAGTAAGAAAAACACTTCATCCCAAAACTGTTGCCCATGAAGAGAAGCGATTCAGAAGGGGAAATAAGCTAAAAAAACACACTCTGCACTCAAGCAAAAAAAAAAAAAAAAAAAAACACTTTTTAGCAGGTGTTACAAGGTGGAAGCGAAGAGATGAGAAAGAAAGAGAAGCTCTTGCCTTACAGCGAATGCATTGTGGAAGTTTGTTTGCTTTAAATGATTTTTGCTATATCGAATTACTTGCTATATGGAACTGATCATAGCGTTTCTTGGCTGTTTGTTATAAACGGGTTTGACTGTAGTGTCCCTTCTCACAAACGTGCAGGCGAGGTGCGTCACGAGTTTGGCTCGTCCCATACGGCGGCGGCCATTGTGGTGGAGGGGGCGAGCGCCAAGAATGCCAAGGAGTGCCTGGCCCTGGGCGTCCTCCAGCACATCCTGGGCACGGGGCCCAGGGTGCCGTACAGCGCCTCCGCGGCCACCAAGCTGGGAGACGCGGCCGCCAAGGTCGCCGAGCACCCTTTTGCGGTGAGCGGTCACACTCTCACTCCACCGCAGACTTCTAGACCAGGGGTTCTCAAACTTTTTGGTCTCACGGAACCCCAGGAAGCCTCAAAAACTATCGCAGAACCCTCGCCCCCCCCCCCCCCCCCCCCCCCCCTATTTGCCGACCGAGAAGCAACAGATATACAATTGTAGACAATTTTGCTTGTGTTGCTTCCCATATATCCCCACCATATCAATCGCGATGTCAGTACAAAGTGAGATGAAGGCGCTTTGCATGGTCCTGCCGTGCAGCCTGCGGCAGGGGAGGGGTAGGGGGGGATTGGGGGAGGGGGGGGGGTTGCAATTTGGGTGTTCGCGAAACCCATGAGACCAGCTCGTGGAACCCCTGTGTTCCCCGGAACCCAGTTTGAGAACCCCTGCGATAGACAAAAGCAATTCGTCACTAACTCCGTTTAACTTTAAAGAGGAGCTCTGGCAAGATATTGATAGTTGCTGATTTCACTGAAAATTGGTTCAGCACATTACTAGACATGTCTGCACTAGCAACCGAAATTACAAACTGCAGTAATTTTTTTTTTTTTTTTTTTCAAATTTGGTTTGTGAAGCTTAACTGGCAACACTGAAAATGTGACGTCAGACGTTGTACTATATGGGGCTATACGGAGGCATTACAGCTTGTTTCTGATGGGTTACGAGGTCTTGATGGTGTGAAATGAATTCTGATTAAGGTCGTGCCTGCTGAATGATAAAGCATCCACAAGATGCAGTGTTTTTTAGGCTGCCTGCTCGACTTGCAAGTTTTACAACGTGTGACGTCACCCCGGTAGAGAGCGCAGAAAAATTTGAGCGTTGGCTTTGGCATCACCTTCATTCGCCGTTTTTCAATAACTACAGTGTGGTCCACTTATTGCGATACCACATATAACGATGTAACGCTTATAACGATCATTTTCTAGAGTTTCTAGTCTAGAAATGATCAGATTCTACTCCAGATACAACGATAATCGGTTATAACAATTGAAATTTCAGGTTTTCTCATTATTGTTATAAGTGGATTGCACTGTATTTTGAATTTAGATTCGGCGTCCCTGCCAAGCATGTGCGCTCGTGCAGCGTAAGCACCTTTTGGGGAAACATGCTTGTGTATGTAACTTTGGCTTGTGTTGCACATAAAGTGAAACGGACTATACAGTAAAACCTCGTTATAAAGAAGTTGAAGGAGCGGTCATAATTATTTCGTTATAACCATTAGTTTGTTATAGCCAATGTCCATTTCTTCCAACTATACAAGCAAGGGGAATTATGATTGCTTTGTTATATCCATTAGTTTGTTATATCCCATTTTGTTATAACGAGGTTTTACTGTAAATGCTTTCGCATTTGAGTTAACACGGTCATCCACTATAGTCGTTGAAGATCTGCGTAATACACACCGACTGACAATAGAGGCCAATATGTAAAATCGTTCGCCATCTGGCAGAAAATCCTTCCCCTGCATCCTCTTCCATCTTCCTCACACTCCTTGTTCCTCTTTCTCGTCTGAAAGCAGTGAGTCTGGGAAGTGATCCTGGCAGAAAGGACTGAGTTTCCTCCTTTCTAGTTACATGTTAGGAAAGCACAAAAGCCCTCCAGCCAAGCACTCTAGTCAGGGATGGGCAAAATACATGCAAATATGTATCGAAATACAAAAACAAAATAATTCGTCAAAATTGTATTTAATTACAAATCTAATTACATTTCCAAAAAAGCATTTAAGTACAAAATACAAATACAACCAAATGTATATGGGGTTCTCCAAATACTTTTCCAAATACATTCCTCAAAATGTGCGTCAGCGACTTCAGCGCACCTGCAACGCACCTGCAACTTATTTAGCCAGTCAGCCTGTGAACGTTGATTTCGTCACTATTCTTGCCCTGGAATAGCACCGTAATCACAAAGTCACTAAACGCTTGTGCTTGATTGAGAGACACTGCATTCGGTGCAGAACGTAGTTTTCTTCCTGCTCTGGACAGTGACAATAAATTTGAGGGATGTATTTTCGCCCACAAAATTGTATTTAATTACAATTGTATTTGAAATACCCCACGTTTCAGTATTTAAATACACACGTCAAATACATTACCCAATTTGTAATTAAATACAAATATGAAATACACAAAGTATTTGAAATACGTATTTCAAATACTTGTATTTGAAATACTGCCTATCCCTGACTCTAGTTATATTCATTTTACAAACTCGACTTTTTTCTGCATGTCGCACAATTTGTGCTTGTTCAAAACATTCAAAGTTTGGCAGTGGATGTCAAACTAGGGCAAGCGATCAAAATCCGTCTTAAGGGGGGACACTCCCTGGGAGTGTCAACTTTTGAACCCTTGTCTTAAAATTAATGAAATTTACAGGGTAGGCTGGTGGTCATGCTAGAGAATGCATAACAAAATTGGAAGTCTGTTGGCTAAGTGGGAAGGAAATTAGAGCAGCTTCTATCAGCAACACGCCTACATTGTTTAGTTAATCTATCGTCTGAAACCCCCCCCCCCCCCCCTGAGGTCACGTGACTACCCGCAGGTGACGTGACCCCCCCCAGTACCCTTCCCTCCTCCTCCTCAAGAGCTGCGCTCCAATTCGGCGTTACAGGGAGTTGTAAACGGCTTTCCTTTTTTTTTTGTAAAAAGTAATTTATTTCTATCAATTTTCACTTCTGCAAAATTGGTAAACTTTTTGGTCTTCTGTGTCTTGGACACAGTCAACATTTTTTTATAAAAGACATCCATAAAGTGACAAAAAAATGCCATAGCCGCACTCCTTGTTAAATTTCAGTCAGGAAAAGTGATGAACGAGCCTTCCCTGTATTGATTGCCATTATCAAACGATAGATTGACTAAAATGGAATTTATACCAAAGAACGGAGAAAAATGTGTTAAAAGTGCTCCAAACCCTACCTTTTCTTTAGCTTCGGTGGACAGAAAATAATTTATAAAAAATTAACTATGCAGTGTAAACAAGTGAAAATTTCTGGGAATACTCTCTAGATGTTGGTGGAGGTAAATATGTAATTTTTCAAAATCAACGTTTTTTGCAGAATTTTTTTTTTCTGGGCAGTGTCCCCCCCTTAAAGTTATAATCTCTGGTCTTTCACAAAAAGCAAGCGCTTTCCCCCAAAGGCCTTTTTTTTTTGTCTGGCAGGTTTCGGCACTCAACATCAGCTACAGCGACACGGGGCTCTTTGGCGTCACAGTGGCTGGACATCCCAACGAAATGGACAAGGTAATGCGGTCAGCTCCGTAAATTCAAGTTGATGGTTGTGTAAATTCAAGTTGACTGGCCTGTAAAAGTCAGGTTGACAAGTTGGTAAATTCAGGGCTGACGGGTCTGCAAATCAAAGTTGATGGGGTTATACCCAAATTTAAGTTTGTTTGAATTATTGAGATAATTGGCTAACTGTATGACTGCAATAAATGGGCATTGTTGCATTGCCACGTGGCTTACAGTGAAACACAATCTTATACCATCACCTGCGTTTCCTGTTGACGTGGTATAGTATGTGCAGGTGGTTGTGTCATTTGAACTTTCAAATGATGCCAGAGTGTCATATGGTAACTTATTTTTTTGTCAAATGTGATTGAATACGCTTTCTTTTCCGTGTATTATATTGCTAATCATTGTGTGAAACCTGTAACTGCAGCGAGAAAAAGAAACAATTTTGGAGTGGACAAAGGGAAAGGAAAAAGACACAGTCTTAGGTTTTACAGAATAAGATTAAGCTCATTACAACAGACCTGGTTATGACAGACGTTTGGATAGAAATGATTTGTGAAGTTTGGTTGGTTTTCCTCTACGCACTATTGACTCAACTTCATATCTGCATACCACATACTCCTTTTACAACAAACCGAAATCTTGGTCAAAATCAAGGTCTGTTATAACGAGCTTAGACTTACCACAAACTCGCCTCCGCACTCACTGTCCTTTCGTTAAGGATATTGTGGTTGTGCTGTTTCGATAGGATACGGCAAATGCTTCATAATAATGTGTAATTTCATGTGTTTTGTTGGATTAAGCGGGTCAAGCTTTGCAACCAATATCAGTTTTTGTGGCTCATTTACATAAACTGTAAAACTTGAATAAATAAAAAAATAAATAAAAAAGATCAGTGTACTGAGAGGCTGGCAAACAAAATTAATGACCCTCACTTTTCTAAATTACAAATTGTCTTATATTTCTAGGCTTTTAATTGCAGCACTACATTTGGTCAGAGAATGAGCTTTTGGCAATACCTAGTTTATTTTTTCGGAGCTTGGTGAGTTTGGTGAGTGATGCATGCGTCTGTCACTCTTTCCCCGCCCAGCTCACCAAGGCCGTGATGACTCAGGTGCGAACAACTGCTCAGAAGATCAGCGACAAGGACGTTCAGGACGGAAAGTATGTCGCATCTTAGAAGAAAAAAATATATAAGGCTAGGAGGGAAAAGGCTGCTTGAGCAAGCTGGCAGAGAGAATATTTTCGTTTTCTATTTATTCTTTTGGCTTTAACTAGTGGAAATAAACGAGGGGGAAAAATAGTTTTGTTGCATCCGTGGGACTTTAGGAGTGATTTCATTATAACGAGGACTATTGTATCTCCAAATGCGATGTAGGTATTGTTGCAGTGTGCATTCCCTCGAGTCTCTGTAAATAGCGCGTCTACTTTGTTTGCATTAGGAGTGATTCCCAGAATGGTGGGAATTAAATGCTGATTTCCCAATCTTGAAAGCTTTTTCGCCCTACAAAGATGTTAAGGTTAGACGTTAACTGAAATGACGCAGTAAAGTAGACGGGAACCCTCAAAGTCTTTCGGGACGCTCCTACCATCCATCCAGCGACAGCAAGCAGCTTTTTTCGTTGTGCGAGGGATGTTTTTAATGCCAGATGGCAGCTGTGTATGTTGTCAGTTGAAAACTTTAATGTCTTTGTTTGTTGGTTCTTGTTTGGGTGGGAGGGGGGGGAATATTGAGTTGCCACAGAATACCTGGGTTAATTGAGAAAATTAAATGCGGTTTTTGGCCCGCAGAAATAATTGTGCAACACAGAAAGCTGGAGCTTGATGAGAATGTGACGATAGCGATGGTGGCAGAATGCGAAAGTAACGGAACATGACGTTGCCTAGGTCAAAAGATACGAGAGGCAAACAAAATTTTTCTACGAGCCGAGGTCCACCTGAGCCTAACGTTCATCAAACCAAGAATTGACATTGTGGGCACTTGTAGCATTTTTTTTGTGTAAGAGATTGTCAGAAAGAAGGGAAACAATATAGTCTTTCTCGCCGACAAGTTTTTGTTTGCTGCAATTAATGCTACCGGTGCCCACGATGTAATCTATCGGCTCGACGAGTGTTCGGCTAGGGGGACGTCGGCTCATGGATACATTTTGTTTTTCTCTCGTCTTTTGATCCAGGTAAGGTCATGTTCTCTAACCTTCGGATTTTGTCGCTACCGCTAGCGTCACATTCTCACGGAGTTTCAGCTTTCTGCAGTGCATAGTTTATTTTTGCGGGCCGAAAAACCATGTTTAAATTTTTCGTCGGGCAATGTATACGTGTTTGTATAACTCAAAAACAATCCGTGGACTATACATGTTCAAAAGTTAAAATTTTAGGTGCTGCGGACTATGCGAAAATTTGTTTTTTCTAGTGTTGCTCAAATATTTAGATTTTCGAATTGTACCTTTAAATAATAGGCTATTGGATATTTGCTTCGAGATGAACTGCGACATTAACCCCTTGCATACGCACAGCAATACTTTATTTTAAATGGGCCGCTTGCGTTAAAATAAGACAAAAACATTTCCTCGATTTCCAGGTGTCACATCTTGCTCTAAATCGGGACTTCTGGTCAGAGTCCCACTGACGTGCAGACGCCAAAGTTGATGCAATGCTTGCAGGATTCACATTCCGATTCCTAAAAATCAGAAAGGCTGAAGGATATGCCTGAGCACTAATTCCTTTCAAAAAGAAGGTCTTCTATTTCTTTGTCAGCTAAAGCGGACTTCCAAGCAAAAGCCACATTGTTTTTGCGTGAACGCTCACAAGCGACTGCTTGTTCTTTCTTGGCTGAGTGGAGCATTCTTTCTCTGCCAAGCAGCAAAACGAACGAGCAAACTATTCGAGATAAATGGAGCAACATGGGTGGCTTTGCCATCTGTCAGAGAGGGCGCTAAACAAGCGCCGAAACTGAAATGCGAGTCACTCATGGTTAGGCTTTATGGCACTCGGTATGGTAGACAAGGGGTTAATTGTTTCCCAGGTGTCGATCGCTGTCAGTTAGCCCTGTTGAGTGCACTTTTTACCAAGCACCTGTGCACTGACGGGGAAGCAATAGCTGCGGAGCTCGCGGGCTCTGCAGGTATTGTTTCCTCGCAAGTGCACAGGTGCTTTGTGAAAAGCACCCGTGAAAAGCGCGCTCGACGGTGCCAGTTATGCCAGAGTATAAGTGAGGCAGCAATGTCTCAACAACCCACGCTCATCATTTGAGCTTGTTTTTTTGTTTTTCCTATTTGAAATTAAAGAAATTATATTTGCAGATGGCAAGTGGATTTCTAAACTCCCTCGGTTAGGATAACTTCAACCATATTGTTGTTTACATGCCTCAGTTCATAAATATAGCTATATTAAATTTAACTGAGCGTAGACGTGGACAAGTGAGAAATTAGGAACAAGTTTTACAAGTTGAGCCAAATTTTGTTAAGTGTTGTGCACGGTAGTGAAAAGCTTCGAAAAACAACTCAATATTTGATTAAAAAAATGTTCGGCCGAAATCGCTATTTGCTTCAAATTCGTTTTGAACTCAAAATCCACTATTCGCACGTGACTAGTTTCTTCCAAGATTGATCGTTACGAAAGACGCGATGAAATTTGTGAATAACAGATTATGTTAACAGTGATTTCTGTATGATACAAGCTTTTTTGTGCACTAATAAAGTGGTTATTTTTAAAGGCGTCCTTTGTAGGAGAATTTTTATGTGTAGGCGATGCATGAGGTGCGTACTATCTAAGGAAAATCCCTTTCTCTTCATCCGAAATTTTCCCCTGCGGATTACACGCTGGGTGAGGGCTGTAGTCCGGAGAATATAAAGCCGTTACCGATGCTTTTGTTCTTGTTTGAATTTTTCCAGGACGAGGCTGAAGGCGGCACTGCTGTTTAAGCGTGAGGACCAGACCAACGTGGCGCTTGAGATGGGTCTGCAGACGTCGCTCTTTGGGCAGGCCTGGGACCCCTCGGAGGTGGAGAGGTCCATCGACGCCATCACCACCCAGGACGTGGCCTCCGTGAGTGACGCCGGGCGGCCATTTCCTCTCTTGACCGAAAGAAACCGAAAGGTTTAAAGGGACACTGACACCCCCCAAAAATTTTAGAGCGCAGCTCCTAGGTGCCCGTTTCCGGCTTGAGCGGCGTCGGCCGTCGCCGTCGGCCGCCATTCGAGGCAAATGAGGGTTCCTCGAGATAAGAAAAGATTTGAGAACCCCAGTCTCTGGCGAATTTAAAGATGTGGACAGTTCGAGGCACGTACGAAATAAATGCGGCAGCAGAGTTCGAGACGTCGTCCATCCCTTTATTGTCTCGTCCACTTTAGAAATGCGTGGCAGGTAACTTCCACCGGCTTTCCTGCACTTTAACCGCTTTTTGCTTCAATCGTCATTTGCGACTCCTCGCCCGACAATCGTGGGCACCAATGTTTTATGGCGTAAGAGATGCACCTTTCTGGAGAACGGCCACCCGCTCAACCGAGTTCTGTGATCCAACAAATGTATGGTGTAATAGACAAATGGGCCTGCAGTTTGCCTGGCCAAGTGACTCGAGTTAGAACGAGCTTTGTTCACGATCACACCTTCCCGTCACGGCGCTCCCCAGATACCACTCAACAGTTGCAAAAATGATTGTCTACTTTTGTCTTACAGCAGAGTACTACTAAAATCTCGTTCATGCACTTGCATTTGCTTGCGACGAGAGACCACGCTGCCACGCTGGCGCCGTTTATGAAGTGGCCCCAGAACTGCATTTCATGAGAGCAAAGGTTTTGCGGAATTTGCGAGATCAAATGTACGATCGTTTGTGAGAAATGGTTGTTTATAACATTGTCAGAAGTTTTAGGAGCCAAGAAAGAAAGAATGATGCGGCAAAAAAATGGGGAATATTTATTTATTATTTATTTATTTATTTATTTATTAATACTGCTCACCTCGTGGAGGCGATAGCAGGAGTAAAACTGTACATATTTGAAAAAAAGAAAAAAGTGCCGTTATACACAGTTCAAAATCTCGGCAGCGCCTTGCTGCAACGCGACACAGACAAGCAAAGTGACTCGCTCATCCAATCCCATCGGAAAACGCTCGCGAATATAAAATGCATAATATACAATCAAGATGCCACTCACACGTACAACAACTATTTACTTTTCTAACCGATTTGGGATACGGAAACTGCCTTCCACGGCTACCCATTATATGGCGCCACTGTGTTCTCCCGTCGTAAGAGGCTTTAAGGCAGACAACCGTAAGCAGTCGCAATGTTGGAAGCAGCCTCGAGCCTCATCTCAGCAGCAACGACTCGATTGTTTTGCAGGTGGCCGCTCGAGTCTCCAAGGCCAAGCCGGCAATGGCCGCCGTCGGACGGCTTCACAAGACGCCCCACGTGGACGAGCTCGTCTAAGACCGCGTCCCGCCACGTAGGGGGCTTCTCTCGAAAGCTAGTTGGATGCAGACGTAGTCTGTTTGTTGCCGTCTGCTGTGTGGGCCACGTGCATCGTTGTTGCTTTTCCTGCCTTTTTTTTTTTTTATTTAAGACGGAGAGCGCACATGAGAAGATGGCCAGGCTGCACAAAAAGAGGTACAATAAAGAACTTGCTTATCCTGCACTGCGGGCTCAAACTCCGTTCCTTGTCGTTTTTTTACCCACGCGTAACATCTATACTCTGTGTCACTAGTTGTGTGCAGTATAGGCGAAGGCAACACCGGGCAAGGGGAGAAAGGGCAAGCACTGAAAAGGCTGGAGAGGAGGAGAGAAACCTTCTCTCCTCTCTAATGTTTCTAGTGCTCTCCCTTTCTCTCCCATCCCACCTTCCTACTGCTCACCTTTTCTCTCTGCCTGGCGTCGCCTTTGCCTGCACTGCACACAACTGGTGACACGGACTAGGGAGTTGTCTGAAACATCTTGTTGTGTAACGTCCATTTACACCACTTTGTAACTTTTAACCTATAGCGTTGCCTCGTCATTGGGAAATAAATATAGCTTAGCACAGTAGGACCTCTGTTGGTGTTGTGCCGCTAAACCCATCACAATCATCATCATCATCAGTCATCTAATAATTGTAGGTCCGCCTACTATGTGTTACGGATGTTTGCTGGACGGCACATGTACCTGGGTGTATGTGCTTGTACAGCTTCAAGTTGGTGTCTTTCATGCAAATGTTTTCTGTGCAAGTTAAAAAAAACCACACCCAATTGAACATCTGCTGGTATAAAATAGTAAAACGTTTACGCCGGGATGAATGCATGGATAAATATTTAGGGCATTGCCTCGGAGTCTTCGGACATAGTTTCTGCTTGGCTTGAAAAATAACTTCAGCAGCTGATGCAACCAAGTTGGTCAGGTAGCTGTCTGGAGGAATCTATCTGCTCGTAACTGCTATGTCTTTTATTATATGAAGACTATCTTTGATTTTCATAAATTTATGTCAATTTAGTAATGACCGTTTTTATGAAAAATTTGCTATCTTGTGTGTAAAAAGTTCTACTGGTTGACATGATAGCTTAGTCGATTAGCATAGCACAGGTGTACTCGAGCTGCACGGAAATATTTGACAAGCCACCAATGTCCTGGACGTGTGTGCTTGTGGAGGGCAGTGCATTCCACCTAGTGGTGTTTTTAGCCTAAAAAAAATTATCATTCATTTTTTTTTTTATTAATTTTAAGGCGAATAAAAGCAGGCGGAATCCCTTAAACGGAAACAAAAGAAATAAGGGGAGATCGATGGCCGAGTGGGCGTCTCAGCATGGATGCTCAGAGCGTGGAGCGAAAGCTTGCGCTGCAGAACCTCCTCCCGGTTCGATCCCCATCACCTGCCCGTTTCGACCTGGATGAGTTTCGTACCGGCACGCGTTTGTGGTGCGCGGTAACGAGGTACTGCACTGGCTAAATTTATCATCTGCAGCTAAGACACCGGTCACCCGTAGAGGCGTACCAACATCAAGGCACTCTAAACATACAAGCAACACAATATTTTTCGACTTGAAACCAAAATGACTGCCCAGACCACAGCCCAGATTTAAGCCACTGTCACACTTGGAGACTGTCTTTGTTTTGTACTTTTCTGCTTTCATGTGTAGGTTCTTTTTAATGTAAAAAAAGCATGAACTGTCTCATAGAGCGAGGTGACGTCATCAGTGTGAAGCGCGAAAACGGCTCCTAGTTTTCGCGATCCCAATAGGAGCGATTCGCCTTCGGTTCTATTCGTTAATATAATAATAATAATATCTTTATTCAACCCTGGAGGGTTGCGGCACCACAGAAAGGCCATTGGCCCATACCCGAGGCCCTGTGGTGCCGCACTACTACATATTGTGGCTGGCGCGCGTCGACGGGGCTCCCATTGGCCGCTGCGCCATGGCCTCCGAGATCCCGAAGCGCGCGCGCGCTAGTACGCAGCAGACGACAAGGGGAGCGGACGAGCGGCTTGCATGCTTTCGCATTCACAACTCATAAGAAATGCATAAATGCACCTCAAGGTTGTTTTTTTTTTACTAGTTTTATTTAGAGTCATTTTTTGTCCAAAAAAAAAAAAAAAAAAAAGTTAGCATTTTGTCCGATAAAAGAAGCGTTTAGTCCAATGTTAGTTTAGTCGTTTAAGCACGAAACACATGTACGACGAAACCGTCCGATCCGACGTCCGAGCGCGCAATACGACGGTCGGAGGCGAGGGTTTTCAACGCTCTTCGATGCCGTCGATGCTACGAAAACCCTCTCCCCTCAAGGTCATTCCGGCAGTCCGCACGTCGGATCGGACGGTTTCGTCGTACATGTGTTTCGCGCTTTAGTCACCGCAATTCAATCCAATCCAATCCGGCATCCTTCCCACTGTAAATTTTCTTTTTATGTGTGTATGTTCGCGAAAGTCGGCCTGTTTTTGTCCGCCAAATTCGAAAAATATTAGGGCAATGCTTAGAATTAGGCCACAAGTCTCTCGTTTGGTTTTGGAGTAGGTGACGGGAAGGACGTGATACTCGTATATCGATAACACTGATAAAGCTCCGCAGCCTCCGCCGGCCGAAGTTTGTATAAATAATAGCATGGCGAAGATAATCGATACCGACGCGTGCCTGCGTCTGGGCAATGCTTTCATGTGCGTATTCTTCGCCCTGGCAGCATACGTGCAACTGAACGACCCTGATGCTACCGTGTGGTTTGTAAGTACCGTCTACAAAGTAGCCCTCTTTGATGTATCTGTGGATGCAATCTTGCAGGACATCGGCGCTTTTTTTCGGATTTCGGTTGAAAAAAAAAAAAAAAAATGGCAGGCACCAAACTTCGATTCTGATAAAAGACAGATGCCGGCGATTGCCCGTTCGCGCTAACAGTCGACTTTTCAGCTGATGCAAAACATGCTTAGTTATGTTCATATGCAACACTGCCTATTCGTGGGCATTTCCTCTTCCCATGTTTTGAAGCAGTGGCAGAGGCCCCCATTAATTAACTTTCGCATAAGCAAACCAGCCTGTGCATCTGTGAATTTTCCCATCCATATGTGAATAGCAGCGTCAACCCAACAGTTTACTTGTTTCCTCTCGAGCGCAGAAGTTTTTTTTTTTTTTTTTGCATTGTTTTTTTTGGTGGGGGGGGGGGGGGGGGGATTTATTTACGAAATTAAATGTGTGCATCATCTAAAGGTAGCTTTGCGAAAAGTTTCAAAGCAGTCAGTCTGTTGGCTTATTTATTTTAATATTTTTACGCCTAAGCAGTGCTCAAAAACACCCTGTTCATCCTCCACGTTCCAGGCCACCTACTTCATCCCAGCCGTCGTCTGCTTCTCCGAAGCATCACAGCCCAGGAGGTTCCAGCAGCACACCAAGCTGAGACAGGCTGCGATTGGTGTCGGATTGCTCTTGGCAGCGCCCCTCATGGCAGTCAGTGTCTGGGGCTGGCTGCACGACACCCAATGTCGGGGTGCAAACCCCCTGGTGTGCGAGTACGGCCGCGAAACGCTGGGTTCGGCCATCGTGCTGTCCTGGCTCTTTGTGGTGTCCGGCCGCGCCGCTAAGCCTAGCTCGTCGAGGGTATGGCTGTACGTCTTACTAAGCCTAGCCCCCATGGGACTGTGGGCGGGACTGCTGCTGGGAGACGCCATTGCTTACTTCTGCGTGCCTCTCACGTGACGACGGCGGCGACGTGCAATTTTCCATGACTGTCTTTTTGTGGAAGCTCGCATCCACAAAAAAATTTCCATAAGTGTCAAGAAAATTGTACTCAATGTATATTCATATAAATCTGGCAAGAATCCACAGTTCCTCCTTGCTTGCTCAAGACATTGAGGGTGTAGATAAAAATGCATATAATTACCTCTTATCAGACAGGACAAGTTAAGACAAAGTGTAATGAGCACTGCTCGTTTTGGACTGATGCAAGCCATATCCCCTCAAAATTACAAAGTTCTAGGCTAAGGTTATAGATCAGTCTGAGCCACGGAAATTTCGAATAATAACCGCGACTCAAAATTTTAAGAAAACAGACTCAAACGGGAATGTTCGGTGGTTGAGTAGTTATTTAATTGAATGCTGCACCAGACAGGAAAAAAGTAATGCAGCTCACAACGTCAAATTTCATCACATAGTTCAAAAGATTCCGTCCTTATCGAGCGGCAAAAGCACTTGCACGCACCATTCGCTCTATATTTTTCCTGCAATGTTCAAAGAGTTCACATTCAGGCAACTTACCTTATTCAACACCGTAGAAAACAGTTTAATGCGAGACACAGCCCAATAGAATGCCCTAGACAAAGGCTGATTCACACGTTCGCACAAAGAAGCCTTAAAACATCACTTGCAAGGTCTGCACCTAGTGCTTTTCTAGATTTACTTCGTACTTACTTAGTGAAAAACACCGGCGTCCCACGTAGAAAAACCTTCGAGTTGTCATGGCAAAATGGACGCGCCCAAACTATCGTCTACTTTCTTTTTCCGCTCTTCCGTCACTCTCTTTCCCGTTCTATCTCTCGGGAACACCGACTACGCCACTGGCACCGCACGCCGTATGCTCCGCAGAACTTGGCACTTGTTGAAGACGGGAGGTGCCCCTAGCAGATCGTCACTCACGAACACATGCGACTCCTTTGGACCAAGTGCCAAACTTTTGGATCTCTTACGAGAGAACACACAGGCACCATGTGTCGGGTAGCCACGGAACTCTGGTCATTTCTCTATGTTTCCTAGTTTTTTGCGCATCATTTTCTTTTTGACTCGAAAACCATACGTTAGAGCTTAAATGCCGCAAAACCATCGCTCTAGTGAAACGTGGTTTCAGGTTCGCATCATAATGGTGCCAGCGTGTTCTCTCGTCATAAGAGAGTGCGAGAACTTAATAGTATATGCAAAGGCAAGTGTGAACGGTCCTTCAGAGGTCGACGCTGTACAGAATGTGTCATTCAGGCGACGCGCGTGCCACCCGGGAAACTGGGTGGCGGTGGCGGCGGAGGTCGCACGGCCGGCACCATGCCTTGTGTCGCTGCCGTAGACGCGGTGGAGGAGGAGCTTGGCTTGGCGTCGTCGTGACACTTGACCGTGAGGGAGACCTGCGGCCCGGTCTTCCAGAGGCTGTGCTGGGCGTCCAGAACCGATGTGTCCACCGTGACCGTGTGCAGGCCCGGGGCGGGCAGGCAGAGCAAGAACTGCGCCTGGAAGTAGTCGTTGTGCGGACTCGCCGACTCGCTCAGCAGCAGTCCGTCCGCCGACGAGCCCTGCACGACGGCGACAAAGGACGGGTCGGTCGACCGTTCCGCTGCAAAAGACGGGCCTGGAGGACCCCCTGCGGAGGCATCGCCTGCCCCGGTTTGTTTTAGGCTGTTCAGAACGATGATGGGCAAGCACGGGCTGATCCTTTCTGGAAGCTAGTACATTTTTACAGCGGAGCTGTTAAGGGCTAGGTTCCCCAGGATCGTGTCCGTGTATGTCGACATAAACCTGCCTGGACAGCTACCGCCATCTACAAGCCACGGTGGCAAGCACACAACCAGTCTGGTTGCCGCCGCTACTCGTAGATGGCGCCAACCTTTCCAGCTATCATAGAAGAATGGATAGTTGGGCGGCGCGTTGGTGGGAATTCGTCGTAGGAAACAGCGCGAAAAACAGACGACGACGAAGAAGAAGCACACGGTGTATTGAGTACAGCTCCGCTGGTCTTCCTTCTTCACGAGACTGGAAAGGCTGTTTTTTTAATACATTTTCCGTTTTTCCAAGTTTATTTTATCTTCGTCGTATCTTATCGCAATTCGCTTCGGACAAAATTTCAATTCCCCGATACTCGGAGGTCGACAAAACTCTCCTATATGTCTGTGGGCTTTTGCTCAAACACATTGGAAAGCGTCTATACACACTGTAAAGTCTGAACTCAAAACTGCACTGTGCCACAACCGAGGCGGTTACACTGGAGTGGTCACTGTTCGAAGTACGCAGTGACGCTTGGAGTCGTTAAAGCTCGTTGCAACGAAGCAAGCGTGTCCAGTTTCTCCTCGCAAGCATTAACACGTAGCGTGTTGCATGTTCCCGTTTTCTAGGACACTTCTAACACATCGCCGGGCAGAAATTGAGGGACCACTTTCTAGGAAGCAGCAAACGCACCGGTCTCAAACAAACGGCAATTTTGCCGGCGATTACTTTTGGACATGTTCTTAACACGACGTCGCAAGAACGCGCGACGAAAGGGGCAGAGCTGGGCCGCACCTTGGAATCTTGGGGTACACCCCGCTGTGCGGACGTCCCGGCGGCGTTGGGCAGGCCGGGGGCGGTGGTGACGGTGACGAGCACCTTGTGCACGGAGCGGAAGGGCGCCCGGTTGGGGCCCCTGGCACCGTGCTGCACCACCCCCTCCACCCGCAGCGCCAGCTGGCTCTGGTGCGCCAGGAACAGGGGGTCCCCCGACGCCTTCTGCTGCGGGGACACCGCCAGCTGCAAGGGTGGCGGGGGATCAAACACGCTCGTTCAATGGGGATTATTTGATGGAGATCTCTGGCTAGGAAAACATTAATTCGAGAAAGATGTCCAACAAAACCCTAATTAGGGACCCAACGTTTCAAGGCCTTCCGGGTTCTTCTATAGGATCGACTATGGCTATGGCCGATGAGGAGCAGTATTCTTTTTTAATACGAAGAGCCACCACCGTGGAAGAAATAAAGTTGTAAAAGAATACTGCTTCTCATTGGCCAAGGGTGTCCCTAAAGTAGAGACCGAGTAGGCCTCGAAAACGTTGGGTCCCCGAGAATTAGGACTTCATTGAATGTCTTTCTTGAATTAGGCTCTTATTTGTTTGTGGCAAAGATCTTAATCTAATGGCTGTAGATTCTCTCCCCCGTGAAGCCACCTTACGAAACAAATCTTGATCAGATGTGTATCCCAAAGGCCTATACAGAATCACCAGCTTGCCAAAACTTTTGCTTCACTAAGAACCTCTTCCCAGGAAAATTCTTTGCTGTATATTAGTGTTGTGCAACTACTCAAATTTTCTAATAGTAGTTCCGAATAATACTCTATTCGACATTCGCTTCGAGATGAACTGTGATATTTGCATTTTTCGAAGTGTTCATTGCGGCAAGTTAACCTTGTTGAGCGCGCTTCTTAGCTAGCACCGGTGCTCTGCGGAGAAACAGCACCCGCGGAGCTCGCATTTGCGGGTGTGGCTTCTCCGCAGCAAACCGGTGCTTGGCACGAAGCGCACTCAACGGAGATAACCCGCCACGATCAACAGTTTGAAAAGTACAGATATCGCAGCCTCATGTTTAAAAGGAAAGGTAATTTCCAAAGCGGGATGGTGCACACGCACACCTGATGTATTAAAAAGAAATGGAAACTTAATAAATTGTAATATTTACATTGCAGTAAAATTATCAAGATTAAACTGGCATGCATGAGCACATTTGCGACGGTCTATTTAGGGTCATAACTCAAACTATGGGCTATAAGCATCATAAAAAACCAAACATTACATTCATGCGTGGCCTATTTCTCTATTAAAATCGGTATCAAAGATTGATATCCTTGGAACTAGGGCAGACACCAGATGGCGCCGTCGGATGAGGAGAAGCAGAGCCGTATATGTAGAGTTTGATCATTAATTGGTAAGTATAGGGCGAAAATATGGGCATGCTATTGGCCAAAATTGTTTCAATGACATTGGGTGCAATGGTTGGCAGCTCTTATGACCAACCACTTGCCACAAATATTCCCCTAGCTGAAGCAATAAGCTTAACAAATACATTCCAATCACAATGTCTAGGTAAGGGTGTATTCAAGTATTTAATTTCGGCACGCTAGAGTTGAAATTTGCGACCTTTCGTAACTGAAAGGCAACGCATGTGACGTCGTCGCGGCGACATTCATAATAGACTCAATCTTTCTTTTGACTGCACTCGCGGCTGCGGCCATGACGAAACGGACGATAAAAACTGCAGATTTGGCTCCATGGGAGCTGTGACCCTAACCTTGAATGCACACCCCACGTTCGCCTCATGTTTCAGGAAACTTTTCTCATTATTGTCACCTTTTCTGGCTCAGTAAACACGTTCAGCACCTTGAAACTTCCTATTTCAATCAACCTCTTACAACTATCCATTCATGTACTTCATGCACATCCAGAAACAAAAAATACCTGCGCCGCAGTACGAGCCTGCTTCAAGGTCATGTCGGATATTTTTAATTCGCAATGTCATCACTGGGGGAATATGTGGCGCTGGAGGCGGTGCCGCTTTCGCTGCTCCACCCCAGCTTCCACCAGCCCCTCCCGTTGACCAAACTCTCTCTATACAGCTCTGGAGGAGAAGCCCTTCTCGTCCAATCTACTCTATGTGCAATACCTCACTCGTAATACAGTAAGTCGAGTCAAACTGGCTTTTCCAGAATTTGTCTCCCATACATGTCTCGTGCATCTGTGCAACAATAATTTTGATTGTTGTGCGATACGCAAAGCGTGATTTGTATCGAGGTGCTTCGGGCAACATGGGGGACTCTGACATTTTTCGGTTTAGCTCCTGCCCCATTTGGAGAGCTGGAGTCCCATTTGGACCAAGCCTAAAATCCCCAACGAAATGCAAGGGTCAAGTACAACCTGATGTAGCCTCCCTTCCATGTTCATTTCACTTGTAACAGCACCAGAGATAAAATAAGACAGGCTTTGACTTGGTTTGGCCATAAAACCAAGAGCCAAAGATTTACTTTACCCTCCAAGTACCGCCGTATAAAACCTCTCTATACCGAAGTCAGTATCTTCACTGTACCAGAACCTTAAGGGCCTGTGCTAGTATCTTACAAGCGTAGTTCAACTCTGCTTCGCAATGATATTACATATCTTCGAGAGAGAGGTTCTATTGTAGTGAAATGGCTCGCAGCAGGGTCACATCAGCCTTTGTGCCTGCTCCAACTCTGCCAACTTGCGTTGAGAGTGATATGCATGCAAAAGGGTGGCCCCGCACCTTGATGCTGGTGGACTGGAGTGACTGGAAGAAGTATCGGGGCAAGCACAGGGGCACCAGCACCAGTTCCTGGCTGATCCGCTCCACCACCTGGACTTGCTGTGGAGTGCACATGGAAAAACCCTAAGACCTAAGGCTAAAAGTCCTAAAGCTACAGTTTGTATTTTCCGGTGTACAAGTCTCGTTTCTTACAGCGGAGCTGTTAAGGGCTAGTTTCTTCAGTGTCGTGTCCGTCAGCAAACAAATGATGACACGAAACTCTGGACAGCTACCGCCATCTATGAGCGACGGCGGCAACCAGACAGCCGTCGCTCATAGATGGCAGTAACCTCTCCAGCCTTTCCACTCTGGCTTGCCAACTTGCGGCCGGCCATTACTTCATTCCCACCATACAGCTTCGCTGGTCTTCCTTCTTCACCAAAATGGGAAGGCTGAAAGTTTTTTTTTTTTTTTTTTCCAAGCATTTTTACTGGTGCGTTTTATACAACAATGCAACATATGTGCGGGTTTTTTCAAAAACATTTTACGGTGCGACGCATTGTTTCATATGCTGCATGCCACCTTTCGGTGAGCACCATAACTATGTAGCCATAGGTGGTGTTGCCCCCACCTGGAGGCACTGCTGTCGGCGCACCCTTCTACACTTTTCATAACTGACTCAGAAAGCGAGGAATTTGACGATTTCCCCAAAGCGGTTCATTGTGGATAGGCAAGGCGATGAAAATAAAGCTTCTACAGCGTGTGATCGACATTGCCTAATTCAGCCACGGTTTCGTATTCCTTTGCTTCAGTCCAGTACCACTGAAAGGTGCAGGAAATTTTCTCGTTTCTTAGTTTCTGTTTGATGAGCACTTTTGGTCTGCCATGCTCCAGCCGTGTTGCTAGATGTAAAAGGAAGGACTGCGACTAGCCGATCTTTTAGCGGTGCCGAAAGAAGTGTGCCAGGATTTACCTAACTGCCTGTGCGTTGATGCTTTTGTCATCACCACGACCTGGCCTAGGCTACGCCTAGCGGTCCAAAGCTTGGTTCACGAGTGTCTGGCACGTTAAAATTTTGTTTGCTCGGCAAGTGTACACTCAAATAAGCAGACAACCTTCTCATTTTGCACGTTTTATGTCCTTTTGCTCCGAAACACTGGATTTCCCCTGCCAGAGAAAGCCGTGCTATGGGCATTTCTCGCAAGTCGAAACGTCAAAGTTGTTGCGCGTAAAATGGTACATGTGAACTAGCAGATTGTTCGAAACTCTGATTTCGCGATACCGATGCACGTAAAAAAAGAATGAATCAAGTGAACCATGCAAAGATGAGCGCCTTATATAAAGGTGCAACTTATATACCAACTTTTCTTCGAAAACAGCTCAATATACGGATGTGCAACTGATAGTCCGGAAAACATGGTAGCCTTTGCCATTCCCAGTAGTGACTTGTTGTCTCTAAGGGGGGATACATTGGTCCTCGGTGCCGAAAAATCCTCAAAACGTCAATCTTTCAGAAAGGGCAATTTTGAAACCTACAGCTATTGCTCCTTCGAATCTACCAGGTTTCTCAGTTTGTGGATAAATATTTGAGCTATAAATCAATTTATATCATCTCTGTGGGCTGAATGTGCAATGAAGATGACTCCAAAAACATCACTTTCCAAAAACAAAATTTTTTTTTATTCATACCAAATTTTCAGAAAGATATCTAAGCATCTAGGGCAGGTAGAAATATAACTTCTTTTGGAACATGTGGCTAAATGTGTAAAGCATACAATGTTCCAAGCAGAGTTTTCAATATAGGTCTAGGAAATTTTTAAGGTGATTTCTTTTGTACTCATTCCTTGGTAATCAAACACACTGAACTTAAATGTGCGGTAAAATCACTAATAATGGTTTAATCTTAAAATTACTCCCTACATTGTATTCTTTACACTTTGTAGTATTTAGCCACAGATTAAGCAGAATATTTTGTTGAGCAGTTTTTACAGCGGAGCTGTTAAAGGCTAGTTTGTCCAGGATCGTGTCCCCCGCAAAGAAATTACGACACCGAACTCTGGACACCTACCGCCATCTATGAGCGACTGCAGCAAGCCACGTAGCTGGTTGCCATCGTCGCTCATAGATGGCGGCAGCCTTTCCACTCTGGCTTGCAGACTTACGGCCGGCCATTGCTTTCCCTTGTACAGCTCCGCTGACTTCTTTCTTCACCAGAGTGGAAAGGCTGAAAGTTTTTTTTCCTCTTGTTCCTCCAAACAAAGACAGGTGAGTTTTCATTATCTTCAGGACTAATCTACTGACTGAGAAAATGCCCAGATATTTAGAATCAGCTCTCGAAACTGAACAAGTTTGTGCAGCTTTATTGGGTTGGGTTACAAAATAAAAGGAAAAGCTGCAAGACCAAAGTTCCCCTTTAAGTGAAAGCAAAAATAATTGAAAAGTGACCGACTGGACATGTTAATTAAATTCAGAAGTGCCCGAGAATATTCACCTGTCCCGCACTGAAGAGCTTTTTGAGATCCTCCTCTTATTGTCGTAACTCAATCTACAACCTCTAAGCATCCTAAAATGCCCAAAATTACATTCATGTGTGGTCAATTTGCATATTAAAAAAGTGATCAAAGATTGCGACCCTTACGATTGTCGCAAAACGACAGATGGCGCTGCCGAACCTTGCTGAATATGGTTGAACTAAGGACTGCGCTTGTCAGGCTAACGTGGACGAGCGGGACTGGTCGGCCGCTCGTCCACACAGGAATCCTTCAACCATATTCAGCAAGGTTCGGTAGTGCCATCTGTCGTCCTGCGACAATGACAGGTGTCGCAATTTTTTATCACTTTTTTAATATGCAAATTGTTCGCGCATAAATGTAATTTTTTGTTTTTGTTTTAGTATGTTTATAGCTTGTAGATTGAGTTATGGCCATAAAGTGAGGATCTCAAAAAGCACCTCAGTGCCCCTTTAAGGCTGAAAATTCACAAGACATGACGCACATTTTGGACATTCTGTTCAAGCATTGTTTTCGTTGCTGCGCTCGAGCTTATAAAGAAAGTTTGTAGAAATATTTTTATTTCATATTTTGGAGCATTATTTAGCCACATAAAGGCATCAGTTAAAGAAACGCTTTTAAAAGCTGAAGTTCGAGCAAGCAGAAAAAGAGGCTGCAGTGTGTCCCACATTCGTTGTAAAGTGTGCAACCCGCAAAGTTCGGTACTCTCGATGGGTTTGTGTCGAGCATCGCTGGACAAAGGTGTGAAGATTGTTTCGTGGTCCCACTGGAGGAACATACCTTTAATATTGTAACATAGTTCCACTGAAAATCGGTAAGCTCTTGACATTGTCCCATAGTCCCATTGACGAGCACATCCCTAGGGTTGTTTCATGGTCCCACTGAGCACACACATGGTCCCTTCAAAAAGGAGCGCGTCTTTGGACGTGTCTCATTGCCCCATTGACATTCCAGGTTCCATCGATATTATTTCGTGGTCCTATTGGGGAAAAACCTACCTTTGACATCTCTTCATAATCCCATCAAATAAGAGCATGCCCTTGATATTGTTCCCCACTGAGAAGGAGCACACCTTCCGTATTGTTTCATAGTCCCACCGTATTGTTTCATAGTCACAGGTACCGCACGGTACCTGAGGGGTGAGGTTGTTGTCCTGGCGCAGGTCCCTGAACCAGACCAGGGCCCGGTGTGCAGCCTCGAGGAGGCGGTGCTCGCTCAGCGACAGCGTCCCATTCTGCTGCTCCAGCCACACCACCCCTTCGTCGCTCAGGCTGGCCCAAAAGTAGAGACAGACGATAAACCCCATGCATCAAACACATGGGACATGAACGAAGCAAAGAAAGCTTTCCACGCCTTAGCTTCTGGTGGTACTTTGGTAGAGCTAGCCTCCAAGTGACGCCATGTAATAGACATCACGCAACGGAAAAGAGGGCTGCAGTGTTAGCAACAGCAACTGTTTCCAAACCCATTTCAGAGCTCCCTGTGACCAAGACAATGACTAAACGTGCTGGTGTGGCCCCACCTGCATACCCCGACAACTGTCACACTGATAACCGACAACTGTGTCTGTGTCTCCTCCTTGTTTGTCCGTCGTCTTGTTGCGCTTTTTAATCATTATGAATCACCAACTTGCCCAACTTTCCACCCTCATCGACTGTCACACCTTCGAGATTTCCAGCGTAGCGCCATAATGGGCCTGTCCTTCGGCCATCTGGAACTATTGTACACAAAACAAGTAAAGTCGGCACAGCTTCGTGATTTAGCCTTCTGGAGCGAAGCAGGTAGCAGAGCTGTTTATTACTGAACTGTTCACAGTTTCATGCTTGAGTCTCACAGCCTAAATATGAAGCTGAAAAGAGAGGCGTGAGACAGCTCCTCTGCAGCCCCAATGGCAGTAGTAAGGCAGCAGCGCTGGAGAGAAACAGTCCTACCTGATGCCTTGGTTGTACTGCGAGATGCGGTCGATGGCTTGCATGATTAGCAGGGAATTTTGCTGCAGCCTGAAGTGCATACATTGGTCAAGGAGGAAGTTTTTAGCACCCACATCGTGTAATGGTAATGCTTTTTACTTTCCTTACAAAATATACCTTACTATACTTGTTTTCACCTCCAAGGAAAAACGACGTTTTGCACATTGTTCATATGCCGCGCAAAGTAGTTCTCACAAGATTTGGTTGTTGGAGGAAGAAGCGATGCTTTTGGCATTTAAAACGTGTATGTCTTAATATATGTCTAATCTAAAATGCAGCTTCATACATTTCAATTTTCTACATAAAAGGGAAAATTAGTAATGCCAATTAGTAATTAGGAATCTAGTAAAAAATTCTGGCTCCACAAAGAGCCAGACTTTTTTGACCATGGTTCTTGAGGTGAAAACAAGTATAGTTTATCATCTTTTCTAATCTCTTTCATTAGCTGCTGGGGGTTTGCCTACAAACAAATTACAACTATCTGGACAAAGCACAAAACGTATATGTGGACAAGCTCAAGAAGGTACTGAAACTGTGTGAATTCTTAAGCTGAATAAGTCTTAAAAAAACATGCCAAAGACACTCAAGACTGCTTACGTGTAGGAATGCGAAAGCATTATACTGTCGAGACCGGTTATAACGAAGTCGGTTATAACGAAATAGCGGCTACAGCGAAGCGATCACGATTTCCCATTCCCTTCTGCACTTGGTTATAACCGAAGTCGGTTATAACGAAATAACGGATATAACGACGAGATTTCCGATTCCCGTTGACTTCGTTATAACCGGACTCAACAGTAGTCCCATGGGCGAAATGTCTTTGAGTAATGCTTCTACACATATTTAAGTTGTTTCTGCTGGTATTGTATTTGGTGTGCCACCGTCAATGTAGACGCTGCCGCTGATGTCGAGGCCGTAGATGTAAACGCGGTCGCCTCGCAGTCCATCGTACGAAGCACACAATGAGCACAGATGACGTCCGAAGCGCAACTGACGCGCCAGAGGCAGCGGTGACATCACGCTCCGCCACTGCGCAGGCGCGGCACCACCGCCAGCATCACGGCTTCCGTGACGAAGCATCTGCGTTGCTGAGCTCTTCTCTGTGTTTAATTTCTGAGCGGCACGTGCTTGTTGACATATTTTTATGGCCATCTTTCGGGGACAACGCCAATGCCTTTTCGCATAACGGGACAGATAAGGTTTTCGCCTTAATAAAATGGCTATCTCGTTACTGGCAGAAAAATTAGACAAATGCGAGAGGTATCTAAACTAAAAAAAGAACCTTTACCGTTGCACAGATACTATATTTTAACATCTGGATTTAAGTGTGGAAGAGAGGATAACATCAGCAACTGCTCACTACCACGCTTAGATCTATTAGACATCTTTTAATCGCCAATGTGTCGCAGCATGTAGATAAGAAAGTAAAATGTCTCAATGGGAAAGGATACAGCTGAACGTTGCGAAGAGTTCCCTGGTCGGCATCAAACAGGGTCTGGTAGAGAACTCCGTACTGGTCAGCCAATGCTCGGAAGTCGCGCGAGCACTTCCGCAGCTGTGCAGGAACAAGTGGCACAGAAGTCACCCAAAAGCTACCCAAGAGTCACCAAAGTGTCATTCAAGGGTTGCCCAAAAGTCTCACAACAGTCGCTTAGGAGAATCTCAAACATCACCCAGTTCTCCAAGAGCCACCCATCAGTTACACAAGACTAACCCAAGTTGTTCAAAAATCACCCAAGTTGCATAAGACTCTCACAAGAGCCTACTGGCAATGTACACTAGGCACAAATGGGGTCCTTCAGCAACCATTATAGATTTGAATTATCGATAAATCAACACGCTCACTCTTTTTTTGGTGTGACTTTGCTCACTCATTTGCTTAATAGTAAACTCTGGCTCAACACTACTTTTCAGCGAGCTTAGGAGAACACAGCACAGCCCACTCCGACAACCTCGCGTTAGTTCTTTTGTATTACTGTGTTTTCAGTCACACGGCTGCCACACTAATTCCCTTTTACCGAGTGGACACAAAATAAATGCAGAACATACAGAGATAGTCTTTCCACCCTGTCGTCCCTAACAAACACCCTTCTGCAAAGAACCTGACCCCTTTTCTTTAATACCTCCAGGGCTGAGAATTTCAAAGGAACAGCAAACGCAACTCTTGGCAACACAACGCAGACAGACGCACGGCTCTGCCACACTTCTTGAACACTGTGCCACACTGTTAGCGCAAACGAGCAGTCGCCGTTTCTTTGTGTTTATCTCAGTATTAATGGTCCATCATCAGACTTGTTACGGTAGTGGAAAGTGCTTGTTCGGATGCTAACCTAAGTTGTAAACTTTGATGCCCGTTAATGATTGCAAAAAGTGCCAATTTCCATTTGTGCTAACGGCGCCGTGCAGTGGACTTCGCCCCACCTGCGCTACGACACGTCCGCACTTCTGGAGCTCGTCGCGGGTGGCGGTGGCGACGGAGCCAGCGATGGCTGGGGGTGGTGCAGTGCGCAGGCAGGCGCACGCCTGGACCAGCTGCCCGTGCGCACGCACCGTCTCGCAGCGCAGGCGCACATACTCCGCCTGGAACTGCAGCGAGTGGCCGGGGGTTGTGGCCGCCTTCAGGAAGAGATAAGAAAAAACGATACTCGTATCAGCACACGAGTGGAGAATGGCCATTCGCGGCTAAAGGGCCGCTACTCGACAAATATGGCGGCCGAAAGCTGGACTTGCCGTGCCATGTGCCAGCTCAACGCACGATGCTCGGGTGTAAACAGGTGAGCATTCGCTTCGAAACGGTTTGCTCCAATTTTCCAAAACCTGCGGCAATCTGTTGGCGTAAGCCAGCTTACAGAGGCTTAACCATCTTTGGGGAAGCCATAGAATAACAACCTATTGTCCTTCTACCAAGCTGGTGAACGTCGGTAAGCCCAAAATGTCTGGTTTACGCGGTTGCGTTCGGAGCAACTTAGGAATTGCTCTGACACGACGGTAATGGCACTTGCCGGGACAACTGTTAGCCCTACATATGAGAAGCGATGCAAGGCGTACCTCATGTGTTAGGCCATTTTAAATAACGGCTTCTCCGAGGCACTGTCGTTGCTGGTGCTTTTATTGCTACACTCACTTTACTTCGGTGGCCGTCGCACCAACGACACAAAGTTGCGTGAGATGAGCAGATTTTTGCTTGTTTGTTTTAGGGCGAAAGGACCCGTTTCGACCAGTTCAGGGTTTTTCCCCCAGATGCCGTCCATTTTGCTGGAGTCAAAAACACGGCAGACTTTTTTAACTGAGGTCAACGGTCAGTGACTGTGAACTAATTCTGGGTAACCATTCTAATGGGCAGAAAACTCCACTCGCTTTCTTTGGCCATTGGAAAGTGCCTGAAACAAAGACATAGCCATCGCACACATATCAGCCCCAACTACTGAAGGTGTCCACAATGGATTCTAACGCTGCAAAGCAAGTCGGGAAAAAGTGGCATAGAAAGTTCACACTTTTATCGCGTGCGCCTTTCGATGGTGCATTTTACCTTGTGCAGTGCTCCATCGTGGATAACCCTTACTGCATCAGAATACTGTGCTGCAGTGACTGCCAAGGAGTTATTAGACACTGTTGGTACGGTCAAGAACTTTGAAACATTACAGAAGATGAAACAGTAAAACCAGAAAGTCGCGACACATCTAGAAGATTCTCGCAATTAGTGTCGAGGTAGTCGAGGCAGCACGCAAACTCCAGCGGAAGAAATGCAAATCGAGATTACTATTTAGCTCCAAAGCAAGGGGAGATGACTCGGCAATTCTAAACAGATCAGTCAAAGTAAAAAAAAATATAATAATAATAAAGGTGTTACTTTCTTCAAATCAATATATATAAAAAAAAAAAAAAGAAACCTCGAGCGAGCACATGCAATCACATTTCTGATCACTCCGAAACGATTGCTCAAAGCATATCACTCGGAGCTCATTACTTTGCGAGTCAATCAGTCCAAGATAAGCGACCAAAGCCTATCATTCAAAACCGAACGCTTTCAAGCCGATAGCCCAGGCCTGATCACCCCGAGTCAATCACTCAGATCGGATCACTCCGAGTCAATCGCTCCGAGACAATCGCACCGAGCCGATCATGAACCGGCACGAAGCAACTGTCACGACGCACGAAACCGTCCCGCAGTCTCTTTGGTGACATCTCAGCCCCCCACCTTGAGAGCGGAGACGCCCCGCACGTAGTGGGTGAGGGCGGCCGTCAGTCCCTGGCTGGCGTCTGCACCCGTCCGTCTGCTCGTCAGGCTCTCCTCGGCCTTGGACAGCTCGCCCAGACTCACCAGCCAGAAGTGCAGGTGTTCCGAGCTCACCTGGGCACAGTCACCACGGGGAGGAGACGTCAACTCCTGTCGGACATCACCAGCTGAAAGCTACAACTGAAATCGCATTTTCATGTGAATGGTGCATTGCACCGAGAACATGGTCACCATATAAGGCCAATTTCAAAGAAATATGTTTCCAATGGAATCTCATTTGAATTTGTTGTTTCTGACAAGTGCTGATTGTTGGGCAAGTTGGTATGGTACGTTAGAAAACATGATTGCGCTTTGAAGACAGGGACATAGGAAGACCAGACACCACAGAGCGCTAACTTTCAACTGATTTAATTCAAGAGCCTCAGCGTAGAAACACACTGCGTCACCGCACCACATCTCAACCAATCCGTGGCCCCGCCACGGACGAACAAGTATGCCAACTCCTTATTTGCCAAGTCAATTGACGCCACACTGACACAACACGTGCCGGAACTATTTATAGCGTCAGCCTCCATAATCTCTCTGTCTTATCTTTGTGCCTCGCGAGAACAGTAGAAGAAGCAAATAATGGTTTGCACCTGCAGTCATGACAGTGACACGACAGACGCTGAGGCTCTTGAATTAAATCGGTTGAAAGTTGGCGCTCTGCGGTGTCTGTTCTTCCTATGTCCCTGTCTTCAAAGCGCAATCATGTTTTCTTTGTTGTTGTTCACATGCCAGAGATATATAATATAATTTTATTCTAATTTTTTTTTTGTTGTAATACAGTTGACGTTTACTGACGTGCATTTATAGTACCTTTTACCAAATGAATGTGCTGCTGTTTACTTTCCCCTTTAGCTTCAATCTGTTATGTAGAAGTCTCAAGGAGTGTCTTGTAGAAGTGTTGTTATTATGTAACCAACTTGAGCTGCTGAACTTTAGGGGGCAGAGGCACTGTCAGGCACCATGACTTAATATCTGCCCCCTATGCAATAAACACACAAACCAACTAAATACAGAAAAAAGTTAAAATGACAGAAAATTGCTGAGTAAGTTGAAGGGTGGCAAAGTTTTTAAGCTTCCCTCGCCGACAAGCAATTATGTCGCCACGGGACTGTACAGGAGCACTTGCACGCTGCAATAGTGCTCGCAAATTTCCAGACCTCCCGAGGGTTTTGTCTTGCTATGGTAGAAGCCCGATTGAGTGCATGAACTTTGCTAGGTGAAGATTAGGAGACAAGGAGCATTTATACAGTCCCTTGACCAAAGCCCTATACCGTAATGAAGTTTCAATACAGAGAAATTTTGGTTAAGTTAACATTCTCCTTGAAACAAGTCTCGCAGTTCTCTTCCAACTAAGGATTTTACTTTGCCTTCGAGCAAACGGCCACCAACACTATACCTGTTAAGAGGTTAGAGACCACTGATAACATAAATAATGCTATGCTGGTTGTCCGCACATTGACCTGGTGATCTATCGACTCTTGATTTGAGCAGTCATCAAAAGCTCTCCAGATTCCCAAAAGTTAGATGCCACAGTCAAAAAATTTCCTATAAATTCCACAACTTTTCTCCCTAGTCACCCCAAAATCTTCAAAAAATTTCCCAAACTCCCCAAAATTTACTATGCAACAACTAAAATTATCTATAAATTCCCTACAACGATCTAAAGTGCTCCAAACATTCTGTAAATTCCCCAAAATTCTCCACAAATAAAAACCTCCAGAATTTTCCAACCTTCACGAGACAACTAAAGACACTCCAGAAATTCCCTACAACGAAAACTTGGGAAAAGGGTTGAATAACGTAACAGTGCACAACAAGAGTTGTTGTGCGCTGTTACGTTATTCACCATGAACCAGGGTTGGGCAGAAATACTCAAAAATGTATTTGGAAATACAAATACTGGGATACATTAAAATAGTAGCCAAAATACTGATACTAAAATACATCTGTAAAAATGTATCGGGATACGCATCGGAAATACATTTTAAATAGAGGTAAAAAGTATTTGGAAATACAAATACAGGAATACATTCTAGGGAGGGCAGAAATACAAATACAGAAATACTGATACTGGAATACATTTTTCACAATTGTTAGAGACGCCAAATGAGATGAAGCTTGAAGTTTAAAGTGGACGTTTTTGATCCCAAAATTACTTTCCCGTAGGCTTGGCACTTTGCCTTGAAGGTATAGTAATTTCGGACGACGAGGAGCCTTCAATGGGCTCAAAAAAAAACGTTCCATCAAGGACTGACCGCGGTCCCTTTCCTGACATCCTGTCTGTCTGACGAGGGATACGAAAAGACTTCAACCTCTAAATAAATTCTATGTGAACCTAAATCTCATCAAAATGTCACCACGCCCCTATCCAATAAGGACGTCCCTGCCAACATTGATGACATGACGTCAGGGTAGAATAAACTGGTATTCTTTATCTGTAGGTGTGGCCTTGAACATTAAACTTCACCACGCTGCTGTATGAAAGTACAATAGGTACTTTCGTTGTAGGTTACCTAGTTGAAGATCGTGCATGCAATGTCATTTGGAATTTTCGAGACTAGTGGACCACCTGAAGCATCCTGGAACACGTGTCTCATCTTCTGTTACGGTTGAAAAAAAGTTACTATGGCATCCCTGTTGTGAAGGTCCTTCCTGCCGACCCTCTGCGACCGACGCATGGAAAAGTAAAAACAAATAAAAAAAATATGCGTTCAGACTTGTTTTTTTTTTTTTTTTTTTTTTCAGCTTTGGGGGGGGGGGGGGGGGGGGGGGAGGAGTATTTCTCAAGAAATGTAACGAAATACATTTCATCCTGATTGTATCACGATACAAAGAAACATTCCAAAATGTATTTCGATACAGGAATACAGATACTGGTGAAAAAAATGTATCGCGATACAGAAATACAAATACGAAATGTATTTCTAAAATACTATCGCGATACATTTGTATCGCGATACTGCCCAACCCTGCCATGAACTACCAACTCGGTCAGTCAGCAGTTTTGGGAAAAGGGATTCTTCCCCATTTTTCCCTTAGTTCCTAACTGGCCTGTCGTCCCCAGACCGACCTTGTTGGCCAGGGAGGCGAAGAGGGGTGCTGCGGTGGAGAAGTGTCCGTAGCGGGTGGCCTGCCTGGCCACCCTGTACGCGCTCCATGGGTCGAGGGGGCAGCTGGGGGTCATGGGGGGACCCCGGTCCACCCCGGCCTGCAGGGCAAGGGTCCAGAGCAGCACCTGCACCAAGGGTGCGAACCTCAGACACGATCGAGTCCACCGTAAAGTCTCGTTGCCCGTGTGTATTGCCATATTTAAAGGGACACTAGACTGACAAATGTGTTACATGAGGTTGACAGCTAACAGTTTCTGACGTTCACTCCCGTAACGAAACGCGAGTGCCAGCAGAACGCTGACACTCATCTTCTCACCGATTGCCAGGGGGATCAATACGGGAGTAGAGGGTGGCACATTGTAAGCGTTCACATCAATGGTCCCGAGAGAAAGGATTAAAAAAAAAAAAAACGACAAAGCGGAGGAAAAAAAGCAGACGACAGATTAGCTATGTTTATTTTGCCGCGACGAGTTGAGTTGTTTGAGTGCTCGTCAGCTTCACTTCTTTTTGTACAATGTGCACAGTCAGTGTAAAATAAAGCTAGAAAACGACTAGGAATACAGACACTGCAAGTGCTGCTCTGCTACATATTTGTGTATAGTAGTGAAGCAGTATGAGCAATACAGCTCCATCGGGACCACCGATGTACGCGTCTATGCCCCGTCGTTCCGAAGCAGCCGAAATACATGGGACTTTTCTCTCTAGATTATCATACTAACTCTATGCTGATTGAACATGAGTAGCAGCCACGCGTCTTGCTCCAGCAGGCGCAAATTACTCCCAAAAGTCACATCACGCGTTTAAACAGGCGCCATCGACGCACTCTACTCCTAGGATGCACTAAACGAGCGAGTTCTCCGGGCTTTTAACATTTCCGCTGAGCGCGCACACTCTTTTCTTTTTTTTTTTTTTACTTCGGTACACTTCCTGGATGGGGCCACAAACCAGGGAGCCGCAGCGTGGCGCACGTCTTTCATCTTCTCCATTCCATTATGTCTTGATTTCGAGATTATGATGCCGGAGTTGCCGCACACCAAAAACAGCAGCGCCGCGATTACATCTAGCTCGATGCTGCATCAGGTTCTGCGTTACCTCTGCATTTGTCACAATAAGGAAGGAAAGGGACAATTCCTTAAGTGCCTCGATAAGACGGATATATAGCAAAAACTGTCTCATCTGCAAGCCCCGTTGGTTGTCTGTTTGACTAGTGGGGCCAGACCAAAACAAGGAGACACGCAGTCGTTACGTTTGCGGGCAGCGTTTGCGGGCAGCGTGTGCGGCACGTTTGCGCGTTGACAACGGGAAGGGACGCACGAGGGCCTTGGGTTCCGGCTGCTGCCCGCCGGCCTGCGACCTGAGAAGGGTCTTGATCCTGGGCTCGATGCGGCTCAGCACCCCGCACCGACGGCTGCCCAGGGCACACAGCCCCTCGCACACCGACAACATGGCCGCCCCTGCGTCCCAAAAGAAGCGGACGGAGTGAGAGCACAGCTGTGGACGGAGGAAGCCCCAACCGCAACTTGCGCTGGTAAGGCAATGTGGGAGACGCGCATGTACGCTAGACTCTCGTTAATTCAAACTCCAGGAAGCCAGAAATCTTGTTTGAATTATCTAAAATTCATCTAAATTTGATGCGAGAAAAAATTATGATTTACCATATGAATGGCTACACATACAAAGCAGATATTTGATGATTTCATCTATATAGGCCTACTGATCATAAAGCAGGTATGCCACGCATGAAGCATTTGTGAAGTGTATAACATAAATTTATTTATCCCTCAAAAATGTTGTTTATCGTGGACCATTTCAACAGCACATGACAACTCGGAACAAAATTAAATTTGTTCACAAGACCAAGAAGTTGTCTAATGTGAACTATTAAGCGGGGGACCCACGAGCGATGAAAAGGGGCACGGCACGATAGTTTCCACAGCAACTTGCACAGACGCTGCGACGTTGATTTATTTGATGCCGCCACGTCACAGCGTCCGCGCAAGTTGCTATGGAAATTTCTGCAGGCTGCCCGTTTTCATAGCTCATGTGTGCCTTGCTTGAGCCCCATTGAGTGCGCTTCTCACCGAGCACCGGTGCACCGCGGAGAAGCAACACCGGCGGAAACAAGCTCCGCGGGTGTTGCCTCTCTGCAGTGCATCGGTGCTCAGAAAGAAGCGCACTCAAAGGGGCCGCTAAAACAAAAAGTAGGAATAACACGAAAACGGCGTTCGAATCAAGCGGCTTGTGAATACATTAAAAACATAGCAGGGTCAGCCAAAATTTTGAAATTTCATTGAATTAACCGAAATGCAAAATATCAGAGTCTGAATTATTGCGAGCCTACTATACGAGAGTTGACGAGCAGTTTGAGGGATTTCTCGGGAAGACGGAAATTGGCACGTACGAGAGTTGCGACCAGTATAAGGTGGTTGCATTTACGCCCAGCTGGGGTGCGTAAGTTTGTTTTGTTTGCAACCACACTAAATGAATTCAAACTGCAATGTGGGGAGGTAGAGCGCAAAAAAAAGCCGACACAAAAAAGTTTCTAGCCAAGTACTTTTCGAAACACCAAAACATAAGTGCTGCTCGTAAGCTAAATACAAATACAAGCTTAATCACGCTGACAAAGATACATAAGTGCAGAATCTGTGATAGGCCTTCCAGAGGAGAAGTGAAGGACTTCTGATGGCACCGCCTAGCGAAGATTCACTCTCGTTAATGACCCACGTTATGAGATGGCGCAGCATGACGGGAAAGGCCACAAGGGGCACGACCGCACGTTCGCGCACGCCAAATATGACTTCGCCTTTGCATGCTCCAACCCTGGATAGTTCAGTCAGCAAAACACTTGACTCACAATCTCGAGTTGGTGAGTTCAAATCCTGCTGGGGGACTTGAGCCTTTTTTATATGGTTCCCTAGGGGCACAATGCTTTTCAGTGTCTTTACAGCCGCCTGTTAGAGGCAAATGCGACAGAACTTAATAGAAATCAAGTGATAAAACCCATTCTGTATTAAAAGATATACATATTGGAATAAGGATTGATTATTGCTGCTTCAGTTCTAGGTCCACAACAAATACATGGTTACTGCCAGTTTCTGTGGGTATTTTGACGGTTCTAGCGAGCGTATGGAGAAGGCAGTCAATAATTGCGAACCCTTTCCCATCTGCAAATGTTCCGAAGGGACCTGGACCAAAGTGAAGGTTGCTCACCGGACCAGAAAGATAGGAAGGATCCGAGGACATCCACAAACTGGCTGCACAGGTCTGGGTCGGTCTCGCATAGAAGCACAATGCACTGGAGGCAGGCCTGCTCAAGAAGAAAAAAATGAAAGACGTTTACGATTCTCTGTAATGCCGAATTAGAATGCAGCTCTTGAGGAGGAGGAGAGGGTATGGAAGGGAGGGTATGTCCCTCCTCTCCTGCTCCCCTCCCATTTAGCGGCAAATTTTCGCTAAATTTCCTGCTGACATCACATGTGATGCCACGAGGGTAAATTTCGCCTGCTAAATGCAGCGGGGAATATAGGCGAAAAATTTTCCCGCTACATTTAGCGGAAAAATTTTCACACTAAGCTTAGCGCATAACTTTCCCGCCAAATTTAGCGGGGAAATTTTACGCTAGCAATGTCACATGTGACGTCATTATGGGAAACGTTCCATAACGCAACACGTATATACACAGACGGCGACGCCGCTGAACCCGGAAAGGGGCACCTAAGAGCTGCACTCTAAAAAGAAAGGAATTCAGCAAAACGTTAGCTTTTCAAACGCATGGAATGAAGTTTTGGCTCCACAAAAACCATTTAAAAAAGTGCTGCTTCAAACTCTCTATGCCAGGGGTTCCCAAGGAAGCCCTAGCTACCTTAAAATTCGAACAGCAAACTCCTTCTTGGCAGGGCTCAACACCTTTTTCCTTTCTAATTCTAGCTTTGACGAATCACAAATATTCCCGACTTCCAGTCACAAAATGTGTAGCCTACCCTCGATTCGACCGCAGTACCCCTCCGAAAAACACTGTCGTGACAAGGGCGGTGGTGACACAAAACGTATTGTGCGCCGCTTTGCCGCAACGTTGAGCAAAGAAACTCACCAAGCATTTTCGTGCCCCGACGGCACTAGCGTCACCATGTGTAGCACCTCTGAAAGAACGCTAGCATTTGAACGGGAGTGGAATGCAAAGTTGGCAGCCCTTGCGGCCACACACCCCACCCTGACCCCGCCATTTCGCGTATGCGAGTTTCCTTTGGAGCTTGTCGTCCTCCCCACTGTCTTCCGCACTCTCCCCCATTCGGCACTACGGCTTTGTTATCTAGGGGGTGCCGTCCAGAAAAACACCGACGCAGCGCTCTTTCACGGCTGGAGGGCTAAAGAGAAACTTCTAGAAGCCAGCCATGTGATGTTCTTTGCGTTAAGGGAGGACACTACCCAAAAGAGTTAACTTTTGAACCTTTGGCCTAATATGAATGAAATTTACAGTGTATGCTAGCAGTTGTAAGATAGAATGCAGTGCGTACATGAGTTGTGAAAGAAATTACAGTCGTTTTTATCAGAAACACGCTGACATTGTTTAGGAAAGTATTGTTAGAAAACTAATGTAAATCCCAACATTTTTCTTCACTGGATATGTACCAGAATGCCTGGAGACTGCAACTGTGAAGCGAAATTTCCAAAATGTAATTTATTTTATGCTAACATCGCGCTGAAAAATTAAAAAAAATATTGCCTTTTTTGTAGTTCACAAAATCTTCACATCTTTTATAAAAGGCATCCCCAAACTAAGAAAAAAACAATGGCACAGCTGCATCACCAATTAAATTCTAGTTCGGAAATGCAAGGAGTGAGCTTTTCCTCTTGTTCCGTTACAGAACAATAGTTTTCTTCAAGTGACATTTGTGCCAAAAACTGGAAAAGAGAAAAACACACTCAAAATGGTCGAACCTCTACCTTTTCTTGAGCATCGGTGTACCGAAAATAATTAATAAAAGCATAACTATGCAACATAAACAAATGAATCTTGCAAATACTTTCTAGACATCGGTGGATGTAAATATGGCAGCTTACAAAATCTACTTTTTCTGCAGAAATTGTTTTTTTGTAGGTAGTGTACCCCTTTCTTAGAGAAAGAAAGAGTCCTCACCCTGAGTGCCTGCACATTCCCGTTGGACTCCTGGGTGCAGAGGATGAGCAGGAGCGTCTCAATGGCGCTCGACACTTCCTGCATCAGGTCCACGCCCTCCGTCACTATGTCCTCTGTTCAGAGACGGCACCGGACACGCCCGGTCCAGAGGTCAAGGACAACGGAAGAAGACGACAAGGCAGAAGGCCACGCAACACAACGGATGATTAGTTGGAGAAAACTAGCAAAGAACTTGCAGACGGACTAATTATGGTGCCTAGAATGCATCTCCAACTCGTCCGATGTCGCGATCCTGGACGTTGGCCATAAAAGTTACGACAAAAAGCGCAAACAAATGCAAGCGTCGGCATCGTCACGGCGTCCCAACCCCCGGCTGCCACAGCTTCTGTGGACCATGAACCTGTAGGGTGACCTGCACCAGAAGGGGCATCTGCCACATCTACTGGCGCTGCTGTGACTCAGGATCGCAGCCAGCGACAGCACGGCACTCCTACAATGTCGTCTCGCGAAAATCGAGGGACCACTTCTTGGGACACGGTAAATACACTAGTCGGAGACCGGGCGCCTTAGCCTAATAACAAGCGGGTGGGTGGCCGAAGGAAGCAAGGATTGCAAGCGGAGTGTGTAACGTTAGTGGACGTCCGACCGGAAAACAGATGGCCGCGCAACGAGCATGCATACGAGCAGTAGAAATGTAAAAAATTACGCTTTCTACTCAGAGGGGTCATGAAACAATTTTAGGGTCGAAGCTGCTTAGAGTCTAGCCTTGTCCGGCATCCGTGCTTACATCGAATGCCATCCCATCTGTCTTCTTAAAAAAAAAAAAAAAAATGTTAGCTCAGTTTACAGGATTCGAACCTGTGCGGGGAGACCCCAATGGATTTCTAGTCCAACGCCTGAACCACTCGGCCACGACTGCGGGGACGAATAGGGGGCTCCGAGATGTGGTAGTAACTCAAGAGCTGGGGTTTCCGTCATGGATGAAACGTTGCATGAAACAAGCAATAAAAAAAATCAGCACCATCAGCACTACCTATGAACAAAATCAGTATCATCAGCACCACCAGAGCTTCGCCCCAATCAACATCATTCACTATGTGAAGATGCGGTCATTTTTTTCCTTGTTCCTCCTTAACTTTCCTCCTCAACTCAAAAGCAGAATGAGAAATCACGTGCTTGTGATGTGCTTGGGCACCGGTACAATGACTCTGAGCTTCCCCGTCCTTTTTAAGCACACTGCGGAACTTGTCACTCGCAAGTGATGGTAAGTGCCGTCACGGCACTCACAAACGCAAATTCAAATATTTGTCGATGAATCGATTGTCGACGAGCGCGTACACCCGAGTGACACAATGCTCGTATGCAATGCATGAGCTGGGGTAGGCTGACGTGCCTTGAGTACCGCGGATGTGTCGCAGTGAGAAGGCAGAAAGCTTTCGAAGTAAAGGAGGTACACAAACAGTTTGCTTTATTTTCGAATTTTCGTACCGAAAAGCAGGCTTTTCACTTTCTACCCTTTTTCATTTGGCCCACTAAACAATATGCGATTTGCGAGATTCCAATCTAATATTATTTATCCCAGCCCAAAATTTATTTCATAGCCCCTTTAAAGATGGCCGGGTGATGAGGACACATATGAACAAAATTTACAAAACAGATTGTGCAAGCAGAGAAATTAGCATCAAGGAAGAAAACTAAACAATCTCTGACAAATGGTCAATTCATAAGCATATACACAGATGAGCAGAGAAGAGCATTGCAAACTGAGCCACATCTACATTTATTTTATGCTTCGATTAAAAAGCACGCACGTGAAGCGTAGCAGACAAATCAAACCCGTAAAGCTTTACTTCATTCACCCTTAATTAAGTTGAGAATGTAGCCAAGGCTACAAGCATGAGGGCACGTGACCTAAACTTTAAAATGCTCTTCCTCAGAACGAGTGCTTGCGGTAAAAAGGCACGTCTCAAAGCAAGGAGGGTGGACAAGCTCGCGCTCGTAGCCCTGGCTCCAGTCTCAACTTAAAGATGAACGGAGCATACCAACAACAATAACAAGGAAGACTGCAAAGGGCATTGCCACAGGCATGGGCATAAACGAGCGAATGACCGCTTGCTAGGCCTCACCGGTGAAGGCGTGGATGGCGAGGTGCGTGAGCAGACGAATGGAGCCAGACGCCAGGCGCACGTTGTGGTGGAAGATGCTCTCCCGGCACAGCCGCAGCACCTTGTCGTCTGCAACACGCACGGCGGACGTCACTCGTGAGTCCCCGTTTCAAACGCTTCGGGTTATCGACGCTCTCAAAAGACAGCAACAACCAGCAACCGATTTTAATTTCGAAAATAAAGAATTTCCCTTTTCCAACACTACCGTATCAAGGGTAGGGGTCACAGAGAATGTATTGTGCATTGCTTCTCGGCAATTCTGTACAAACTCGGTACGTATCTCGTGCCTCGATGCCGCAAACGTCGTCGTGCGTAGCATCCCTGCTGGTATTCCGACCTTGCTATTACGCGTCTCCCCGTTTCCTCCGAAGCTTGTTCCGTTTCCTCGCTGCCTGCACGCTCTTCCACCACGCGTGCGAGCACGCCTGTAGCGCTTTCAGCACTATAGACGTGCAGACGGCGTTCAGCACCAACTCGTGCTCGGTCAGCGAGCTCCAGTTGAAACTTAAAGGCCCGTTCACACAGTTGCGTCTGCTCTTGCAATCGAAGAGAGAACGCGCTGGCGCCACCTACGAGGTGACCCTGCATTTCACTAGAGCAAAGGCAGACTGTCCTACAACCAATGTACATACTATCTGCGAGACATGGGCGTTTATAACATTGTCAAAAGTTTTCTGAGCCAAAAAAAAAAGAATGACGCTGAAAAAAAAAGGTAAAGAAATATGCAGTAACTGCAAGTGTTCTCTGAATACCCGATAGATGGCGCCACTGTGATCTCTCGTCCTCAAAGATTTTACGAGGTTTCGAGGCACACAATCGTAAGCCATTGCAAGTGGGTGAACCGGCCTTCACGACGCGGCACTTGTAGGGCGCTCTTCCATTGCAGGAGTGCGTTACAGGAAGTGGCTTGCAGCCAGTCATATATAACACATTCTGCGTCGAAGAGAAGGCTAATTCTAGTCACTTTTATCAACATCGAGGATGCGTGCCATGATGCGATTTTGAGAAACGATTTCGAGGCAACGCTTTCGTTTGAAACTTTGGTGACGTGACCCAAACATATGCGAGCTTACTCGCTGCGTCAAAATTGCGACACAAATTTTGTTTAGCCATCTCTGGCTCCTGGAAGAAGAAACAAATGAACGAGTACCGGACAGGAGGTCAAACTTGTCAACGGCCACCGACTGCGCCAAGAGCACCAGGACCGAGAGTGCCCCACACTTGAGGTTGAGGTACGGCGTGGTGAGCGAGTACTGGACCACTGCCTGAAAGGGCCCCACGTCGACGTATACAAAATACCTTGAAAGCTGTAGCTGAAGCACTCTAACGTCCACCAGGTGGTACGAGCTACAGGGAAGTACCGTTTTGAGGTCGATGACAATTTCCTTCATTTTACAACAAGAAAAATATGTCGGTGGAGGTGAGGAAAAACAAGCCGTTAAAAATGGTTTTGCTAGAAAAGAGCGTCAAGAGGTAAACTTTGGCATTAAAGGTGAACAAGAGAGAACAGAAAAGAGTAAAATGACTATAAAAATTAGACATATGAAAGGGACTTGCATAAACACAGCTATAGAAAACGTTTCGGTATCTTTCAAACTTGAGAAAACCTTTTTAGAAATTAGTTTTCTGCGAGTTGGGAGGTGTACCAACGAAATGCAACCTCAGGTTTCGCCCGAAGTTGACTTTTGACTTTGTGCCGCTACGCAGTTGGCAGTAAGATTCCACTGTAAACCACAAAGTGAAAAGAGAATTAAAAAAAAGAACATGACGGTGCAGTTAATTTAGACAACTCTTTGAGGTTGGCAAGCTAACATTGCAAGATCTAGAATCTAAAGTTGTGTGATTTTCCAATGCAAAGGGGAAAGCCGAAAGAGTCCAATCCAAAAGCGTATCATTATAAAAAAAACTAAAAAGATGTAAAAAATCAATGAAATGAAGAAGCCGCGTGGCAGGTATGAACTCACGTCCACGCTGGCAGTGTCCCAGAGGTGCGGCCTCTCCCTCGCCAGGTGGCAGAGGTCGTCCAGGGCCTGCGCCTTGACCCCTTCCCTGGGGTCGTCGCTCAGGTAGTGGATCAACGTCTCAATCTGAGGGGGAAAGGCCACGGGCACAAGTCAGGGGAACCTCAAAGCGGGCGCTCTTAGCGCGACGTGAGATTAGAGACGACATGAGGTCTAGAACATGGGCTCTCACCGGGTTTCTTAAAGTACCTGGACGGTTTCCTCGAGCTCCGAGAGTTCCTCAATTGTTCCCAACCACAAGTAAAGGACTCTTTGAGTTTAAGCGCCGTTTTAGTGGATCCCAAGTTGCGTTTGCTTAGGACCGAGTTCTTTGATTTCTTACAACTGACACGCTGGCACCATCTTCGGGGTGACCCCAAAACTGCGTTTTACTAAAGCAAAAGTTTTGCGGCATCGGCGAGATCAAATGTACATACTGTCTATAAGAAACAGTCCTTTATAAAATTGTCAAAAGTTTCTTGAGCCAAAAAGAAAAATAAAAAAAACCATGTGTGAGAAAAATGAGAAATATAAGGCATTTAGCTGTGCAACGACGGGTCGGGTCGATTGCGGCCTCCTCACCTGGTGCGGGATGTCGGTTACTGAGGAGGCTGCGAGGCGTGTGAGGACGCGCAGGGTGGCGGTGACAAACTGCTGCGAGGGGTAGGTGGGCAGGAGTGCCAGGCAGGTGGCGCGCACCGCCGAGGCCGTCTGGGCGTCCTGGCGCATGTTCTCCAGCACCCCGAGCAGCTTCAGCTTCACGTCCACGGGGGTGGCCAGGCCCTGGTGGGGCGCGTTAGAGAGGCTAAGAGGACATCTTTGGTCGAACACGAAACCAAAATAAATGACCGTCATCCCTTCGCAAGTGCGCGAACCAGCCTCGAGGCGTCAAAAACGACGGCGTCCGAACCTGGATCATGGCCCCGATGCGGCCGCACATGTTGGCCGCAAAGGTCTTGGACTCTGCGGCGAAGCGGGCAGCCGCAAAGATGGCCGCGTCCAGCTCCACCGCGTCGTGCGAGTCCAGGCTACTGCGGATGCTGTGGTGGAGGTTCTTGCGTTCGGCCACGATCTCGGCTATGCTGCCCAGCGTCCTGCCCAGAGAAAATGCTCCATTTATCTCGATCCCAGGGATAAAGTCGGTGTACGCAAAACGTGTTTCCGCAACATTCTTACACGTCTGCGGCAAACATAGCAGTTTTTTTATTTTCTTCGGTTATATTGCGTCATTTTATTCCAAACTCTGTCCATTTTTATGTGCTGGCCTCGGATTTCTAATTTCTTCACATAAACTGTTTGAACGCGAACACTGAACGCTCGCCGTAACGCTAGCGTCCGCCCGTCGGCGCTCAGATTCGTACAGTTGGCAAGGACCACCGTGGTAGAGGCAAAGCCAGCTAGCTTTGCATCTATCCACTGATTGGCAAGCCAATAGAATGTCGAGCTCACAATCATGGGGTCGTGAATTTGATTTAACGTTGGCGCACATTTAAAATTTTACTCTTTCTTCTCAATGTACTGCTATTTTGTACAGATTGTCCTCCGAAGTATGTGTTACACATTTTGTAATGGTTTCCATGCCGTTCTGTCACACTTTCCCTGGGGATCTTTGCCATTTTCGTCAAGTTAAGGAAAAAAAGAAATATCAGCCTCAGATGCGCTATTTGCAAAAAACAAATAATAATAATAATAATGAAGAAAGGAGCATGTGTAAGATAACTGATTTCTACTCTATGATTTCAAAATTTGAAGTCTTTATTGTAAAAGTAGTTACGCAAAGTAAAAAAAAAAAAAAAATTGGCTTCATGTTCTTTTAATTTAGGCTGCAGATTTGCTAATGTTGAAATTTAAAGGGATCACGTAGCAACTTTTTCACATTGTCTAATCGATTTTCAGGATAAACCTCTCAAGCTTATGAGGCACGGGAGCAGTCCCAGCTCCTTCTAAACGTGCAACATTTTAAAAATTAAAAATAATGGGGTTGAAGGTTTGCTTTTTTGTGAAATACTTTTTTCTCCTTGCTGAGTAACAGTAATTTCCCTTCCCAAAACCAAGAGGAGCGACGGACAATCCATTTGGCCAGATTCACAGAAGCTTGAACAAAAGACGTAACTGCGACGTGCGACCTCTCAAGAAGAAACTTTTTTAAGAAACTTGCCAAATAAAGAATATGAGGTTGCCATGTGGCATCGTAGCCTAATCGAGTGGCGAAAAGAGGAAACACTTCTTCATTGAAACCTAGTGCAATGCTTTGACGTCTGGTAGCACAGTGACTGGCACCAAGAAGTTGCATTCAAAATATATTTCCAAAAGTAAGCACCGTGAATTTACGCGTGTGCTTGCCTTTATCGTAATTAAAAAATGAATCCACTTTTAGCAGTCCCCGTAACAAATAGGAAGGAACTTTGAAATGGCTCGAAACAGCATCGGGACCGACCTGAGTGTGAGTGCGCGGGCGACGGGGTCGTTGCTGTACATGACGGAGAAGATGCGCCGGACAAACTCGTCAATGTTGAGGATCTTGTCGAGGTGCTTGTCGCTCTGCTGCATCACCTTCAGCACCAGCATGCGCAGAAAGTTGGTTCTGCAGGGGCACCAGAGAGACGCGTCTACCACAATCCCCTTGTGGACCACAGACCGCAATACGCGGGTGCACGAGTCTGCATAAACCGTCTGCTAGGGAACTAGGGCCCCTGGATCTTCTAATAGGGGACAGGTGTTGGACAGCGATAAATTTGAATCGTGCAAAAAAACAGAGATTGCCTTTTGCACAAAAAGATGGCCCTAGCGGCAAACGCGCAAACTTGCGGGGTGACCCCAAAAAATATTTACGGGGATTACTTCACCGCAAGAACAAACTATGCACTGCCGAATGCTCATTCTCTGCCCAAAATGTAGTACTAGCTGTCCGAACCTGATGCCAAAGTTTCAGAACAAACCGTTACCTTATTAAAAAGTTATACACACTTTTCTGAAAATTTATACAGGAAAATGGCGGCTGTTAGAGCCTTCGAATAGATGGAGCTGATGGCGCGGTTATCAAAAAGTTCCCATTTTTTCATAAATATTTTTAGAAAATAACTTTTGAAGAAGGTAACGGTTAGTTCTGAAACTCTGGCATCTGGTTAGGACCTCTAGGGCTACACTTGGGCGGAGACAAGGCGTTTAGCGATGAGTCGTTTATTGTTGCAATTAAAAAAAAACATTGAGAATTTTTTTTTTTCAGTATGTTGTGCTTTGGAGGAACAGTCATCGACGAAGCAGACGACGCGTGTTCTGCGCAAGCGCGAAACAGGAGTCGGCTGCTTCCCCGTTTCCTCCAAAGCTCGCGCGCACCACCACCGCTAGGTGGGAGGTGAGCTCGAGCATGCGCAGAACACGTTTTGAAACTCACCCGACCCGGAACACTTCGGCCAGCTTGAGACAGGCCGAGTTGATGAGGATCGGAAACGGGTACTTCTCGAAGAGGCGAGGGAATCGCACGATCGTCTCGCATTGCTCGCCCAGCCTTCCAGAACGCAGGCCTGCAGTCAACGACAGCAAGAAAGTACAGGGCGTTCTCGAGCGCTGTTCAGGCCACGTTTAGATAAGTCAATGAACGGAATCTTTTCACAAAGGTGTCTTTAGCTAGTGCATTTATCATACACAAATTTAACGACTGTAAATTTCTAAAAATAAAAAAAAAAAATATCTCGTTTTTTCTATGCACCTTGCATTTTTTTTCCCAGAAACCTACTCAGAAAATTTTAGTACGGTCATTGCACCATCTAAAGAGACCTTTGTAAGAAGTTCCAAGACACTCTGTTCAATGGCTTATTTATACGAATGTTATTTTTACGGCCTAGTAGAGCTAGAGAACACCCTAGGTAATCCGGTGATCCTTCGTCTCTCCCACGTCCAACGCCTGTTCAGGGGTCTATCTGTCAAGCTCCAAGGTACCTAATTTCTCACAGGTCATAGCCAGGTGTTGACTAACAATCGCAGTGACGACTACGAAACAAAACTATTTACTGTACTTTTTACGGGATGCAAAATCAGAGTCAACAAGCATAGCCGGCGGATGCACTCGGCAAGACGCGGTGGTACGATTAGAGATCTGACGTTTCCAGACTGGTATGACGAGGCTTTATGTCCATTTTTAACAATCATGTGTGAAGTTATGAACCGGCACGAACCTTTGTCCAGCTCTGTGAGCGCAGAATTGGCATCCTGATCTGTTTCCGAAAAAGAAGCATCGCCGAAACCGAGCAAACGCTGCCCGCCGGACGCCATCACACCAATTGGATTGAACTGGATTGGATTTTTTGGCTTTCTTCAACGGGCGAACTGCGAGTGGTTTTCAGCCTTGAGTTGCGAACCCGCTAGGTTTGGCAATACCAAAGCGAAAGCAACTGCGGCGGTAACGTGTTACTTTGGTTAGCGGCGCGTGCTAAAAGCGCGAGATAGTTGCTTCGAATAAAACTTCGGCGGCTGCACGAGCGCTCGTGCAGCGAGTGCTCCAGTCAAGGCTAGCCGCTCGCGCTAGCACAGCATTCGCGGTTATTCTATGCTAGGGTGAGACGAAGTATAGACAATTGCAAGCATGGCACCGCAAGCGCGTGCAACGCGCGGGTGAACGTAGTTTTGGCAAGCTCGTAATCGCACGGGCGTGCCTGCTCGAGCAGAGACATGGCGGCGGCCAGTCGCCCAGCTTGCAATCGTCTATAGACTTCATTAATTTTTATACCATATTTTATATTGTCTAGAATTAGCGGGAGATGGTTTGTTTTAACTTCGTGAATGTTTTTAAATCAGTTTTTACGCCGTTGTTAATTTGCACAGACGCAGCGCTTCGGCGTGCCAAGGAAGCTTTGATTAAGCCGCAAGACCGGCGAAACTTGCTTTCGACGAGTTGTGCCTTTTTCTTGCGGCACTGCGCTTCCGTAAAAATTTCCACGTGTTCTGAACGGCAAGTCTCACTGCTTACACAGGGTTTTAAAAAGGCTCGATGTAGACCTAAGCACTTCTTACGAGTTGTGAATGCGAAAGCATGCACGCCGCCCTTCCGCTCCCGTCTTTCGTCTGCGGCATACTTGCGTCGACGATCAAGCGCGCGCGCTGCCCTAGGCGCGCTGACCTTGGGCGTGGAGCGGTTGAGCCGCTGCCTCGCGGACACGCAGCGCCATGGGGTGGCGGTCGAACAAACTGACGCGCAGCGGCCAATGGGAGCCTCGTCGACGCGCGCCAGCCAATGCCATCGGCATTACTCCGCTCCTTTGATATCGGGGAAACTAGGTGCCGTTTGGCTAGGCTTTTCGCCTGGTTTCATAGCTGGGTGTTAACTTCACTTGGAGAAAGGGTATAAGGTGCCGTTTGGCGCAGCTTCAAAGCTGATGGCGTCGGCTCGCTCCATAAGACAGTTAATGCTGCACCCACCTTTCGATGTGCTTACTTGGAAGATGCATCAAATATTGCAGAGTCCAATGTTTGAAGGATGATAACAATGATAATAATAATAAATAATAATGCTTTATTCGGTTTTTAAAAACCCGGATGACAGAGAAAAGGCTTTTGCCCATACCTTGGAGGGTCACTGTACACGCTACTAAGATATATAAAATAGTAAATCACACTGAAACTGCACTGGATTAAGGCCGAAATGTCTCCTCATAGTAGTTATCTTAGGTGGAGGGTTGCACACTTGCAGAATTCCTTTATGTGCTCTTTTTCTTCAAATGGCCCTCACATAACTTTGCTTGGGAGGAAGTGCCAGAGCTCGATGGCTTATGGGGGAGCGTACTTTTGCGGCACTCCGTTCGTCCAAGGAGTGGTTGTAGTCCGCCAGAGCGATTCTTTCTCACATAGTCCAGGACGTGCGTGGGAGGGTCTTTAGCACGCAGAGTAGGAGGCGAAGCAAGGCCACCTGTCTACGGAGAGACAGGCGGTTCCACCCCACACCTCAGAGAAGTTGAGAAGCTGTTCAAATCCCTAATGTGGGAGCTGCTACGACGACTGGCGGCACAAGATAGCGTAGGCAGCTTGCCATTGTACGCTTTCCAAAAAAGCAATCGTAATGACCTGTCTGGGGCTCTATACGGTGAGCAGTGCTCAAGCTACGGAAGCACCAGCGCAGTGTGCAAACTTCGCAGTGTCTTCATGCCAGTACCCCTTGATACACGTTACACACAGCGCAGCACGAGTCGTGCCCTAGAAAGCACTTCGCTAATGTGACAGGAGAAATGAAAATGCGGATCTAGCGTGATCCCCAAAAGCTTTGTCTGCTGTGTCCTTGTGATTAGGGTGTCACCGATAGTCAAGTCTGGCGGGGGCAGGGGCTGTCGGGTGGTGACGACTAGCATCACGGAGCACTTTGCCGTGTTGAGGGGCAGTCGATTTGTCACAGACCATTCTTGAACCTTGCAAAGGTCCTCCTGTAGTTGCTTGTAAGGGGATGGGCAGAAGAAGTGTTACATCGTAGGCGTATACAAATGGCGTCCAGTTAAGGGAACAAGTTACATCATCAATGAAGATGTTAAAGCGGGTCGGGCTTAATTTGCGCTGCTTTGGGCGGTGCCCGAGATTATCTCTAGGTCTTCAGACTTGGCGCCTTGGAATACAAGTCTCTGGACTCTGCCTGCCAAGAAATTTGCAATCCATTTGCGAGCGGTGCCTGCTACAGCAACGTTCAGCAGTTTCCGCAGATGCAACACCATTTGCATGTTTCAGACTTGCAACAAACGTCACCCGAAGAAACACCACATGAAAATAAAGTAACCTAAATCTTTATTTTTAGAGACATCTCAAAGCACTTATTTACAAAACGTTGGTCCCCCGCACTCACTCTCCGCGGCAGAAGTCTATGTACAAAGAGAGCAGTAGCACATGGGATGGGACTGTTGGGGCAGTTAAAATTGTTTAAAAAAAAATGTTTTCCCAGCTCCTATACCAGTGAAAAGCACAGTTCATAAAAGGTGCTCCAGAGTTTTTTTTTTTATAAAAGATTGAAATGTCATGGAAGTGCGCATACTTTGTAATAGATGCTACTTGCTAGGTGAAAGCACCGTGAATTCGGCAGCATTCTTCATATTGGTACACCCGTCATATTGAGATAGCGCTCCAGAAGTTAAAGGTGATGCTCCATCTTAGCCCCACCTCGTGAAATTCATCATTCAGTCATTAAAAGGCACCTAGTTCAGTTGTAAAACAAGGCGTTATGAAGGAAAAAAAAAAGGTGAAGACCACCTTTATAAAAGCCCAGTAGGTAGTCCAAAGAATATTAAACCTACTATATATTAAACTATGACGATTTGGTATAATGAGCATTTTTGGTGCGTGCATTTCGTAATTGTTCAAAATAAAAAAATTACAGCAAACAATTCTTGCAGATATTCAAAAGAAAACAAAGCGCGATATACCTTCGAGTTGTGCAAACTGTACATACAAATTTAATTTTTTTTTTCTTGCTCGCGACATTTAGTCACAAGCCCACACTTATAGCACAAACAAAAAAAAAAACCTCGAATCACAAACAATACAAATACATTACTAGCGGTTAAAACCGCGCATGATCTGTGCTTGGGCAGTGGACGTACGATGACTGTATTGGACAAACAAGCTCTTGAAGCAGTTTTGTGAAAAAAGAAAAATGAGCGTCCTATCACAATTGCATTTGTGACGATGCGACGCACGCACGTCTTCACAGTTTCTGACCCCGCCGAAACGATTCGATATTCGAACCTCGAGAGCGTTCAAACAACAGCTAACGTGCATTGCACATATTGCCGTAAGGCTTTCGCAAAGTGCAGAAACTTTCTACGTCCTCTCGAGAGAACCGGCACGCTCGCGAGGCGACGAAAAACGTGATTGTGACGAGGCAGTGGAGCCCTAAAGCTGGAGCTTTATAAAAGCTTAAAACATTTTCCGACTCGTCGGTTGTAAAACAGTTAGTACGATTCACCGGTCTCGAGACAGACTCCGAAAAGGTTTTAGGACGGCATCTTTTGAAGGCATTTGCAATGGAATGGAAATGAGTAGCGGCCAGAGGTCTCGCACAGAGAGTTTTAGGCACCCGGAGAACGCACCGCACGTTAGCATTCGCAAGGTGTTGCAGAAAACGGCACCAGGGGCCTTAAGTCGTTTACAGTCTTCGTTTCCTCCGACAACAACTTCTCTTTATTGGTATCGGACTCCATGACCCTTGTGTGTTATCGACGAGCCTTTAAGGAGTTTAGTGAAATTTATGCCCGATATCATGGAACATCCGGTGCATAGTTCAGGTACCTAAAACAACCTCTTTTACGCTCACCAACAACGTAAAAAACGTGGGGTGTACCTGATTGAGCTGCGTTTCTTGCTTCGCAGTTCATTCCTCAGGGTTTATATCGGCCGGCGCCACATCGTCATCGGCTGCGCAGCGATAAGAGGGTGCCTAGGACGTGCCATACCCCGCGTTTCCCAAGCCGTCGGCAACTATGGTGCTCAACGGCCATATTTGCGCAAATCCGAGCACCCCAGAGTATAAAATCCTAGTCGGGCGAAACTTAAAAAAATATATGCACGTTGCGTGGACGTACGTAAGCATCTCCTGCCCGATTACATGCCGCCGTTTTTCTACGAGGAGGCTGCTCGGAATCTCGCAAATACGGCATCCGGCGTCGGCAACGAGCACAGAAGCGGTGAGACCAGGGTGTAAGATAGACAGGTGGGGAAACGAGAGCCAAATGAGCGACCGGATTGTGTCCCCCTCTGTTTTCTCTTTTTCTGTGGCGCCATCTATGTGGAGCACCGCGAACTCTAACTCCAGGTGGGCGAACGCTGGCGACCGATTAAACGGATGGAGAAGGTTTCTCGTGGATTTTCAATGGAGGACTGTCGTGCTCTCAGTTTATTTTGCGCACTCTCCCATAGAGTTCCATGCAAATTCGATTCCGATTTTTTTTTCTTCTCGCCGCAGCGCCATCTGTTGCAAATCGGGGGTACCCGCAAGCCACCCGCAAGCAGACGAGTACACAATCCGGTCACGGCGCTGCGGTAGGTTTCTATGGGCCGTTTCCCCACCTGTCTATCTTACACCCTGGGTGAGACGGTGATTTCTTGCGGTTTCCGGCGTGCAAGTGGCGTGGCTCAGCTTGGGGGCTTGACCTCCAGCAGCTGGGGATGATTTTCGATGATGTTGAGAAGGATGCTGTCGATGTAGGTGCGCAGGCGGACGTTGTCCTCTTTCTCGTGCTTCACGGTGTCGATGAGCTGAAACGGGACGTTGCCGCGCCACTGTTGGTGATCGTACGCCGCGCAGGGTCAAAAGCCTCGCCTCACGTGGCACAAATCGTCATCCAAGAACGCGTACACCCTCTATTGTCCGACCACCCACAGTGACAACAGCGACGAATGCTAACTTCACAAAAAATAATCTCGGAAAACTAGAGGTTTTACAGTATGTGTATAATATGACCATTATGTGTAACAGTCAAAGAAAAAAAGTTTTGAGATTTTAACGTTTTTGTTTTTTCTTGCAAGTTTCTCCGTGCTTTTTTTTGCTTTTTTTCTCTGCACTCCCTCGAATGCTTTCCTTTTTTCCCCCTGTGCTCCCTAAAAGTTGTACATTTTTCCCACGCTTACTTAAAACTCTCCAACTGCCTCATGCAACTCACTCATGTTCCCTACACTCCTGATCAGAACCGTCAACTTTTTCCCGCAGTCCTTTAAAAGCTTCGTTTTTTCCCCGCAGCTTTCGTATTTTTTAAATTCTCTAAAAACTCCACCTCTGTAAACTCCATATACCACGCAAGTTCCTTTATTCTTAAGTCGCAGTACTCACGGACTTCATGGATGCAATCTTTCCGTTTGGAGACGCGATAAAAGGGTTAAAAAGTAGAAGCAACTATTAACACCAGCCATCTCCACAGCAAATTCTCTACACATTGGAGTTTCACGTGCAAGTGAAAAGGTTTTTCGCCTTCCGACAAACGCTGACTTTAGTGTAAACTCCTAACCTAGCCCCTCTCCTTGAAATCGAGTTTCTCCCCACAAATGATGATCTCTCCAAAACACAGTTTTAAAATAGCCCACACGATAAAAAGTTTGTGCCAGTGCAATATTTTTTTTTTTTTTTTGCTATTCAATATGCGAGTAAAAGAGGGACGCAAGAGACTGCATAGCGCGTCAACACTGCACACAAAACCATCAACGACAAGGAATCTGTCCAACTCGCAACCAAATCGAAACTACATTTAATATATTAAATGCTCATACTCTCTTTGCAAAATCACGGCTGCTAACTTTATATAAAGAGAAGTGACTAGAAAAAGGCACACTCAATGGAGACACTAAACCTTTTGTCAAACAACCCGAGCACCAACAAGCATGCAGAGAACAAAGAAACATGTGCTGCACGTGCCTTAAGCATATACAAAATAAGTAAATGACCAAATTAAGGCATTGACACACGCGCGTGAAAAGTGCCACGCATGTTCAGAGTTTCGCTTTACGACCGTTACTGCTTCAGACACAAGAACGCACAACGTGCATAAATAAACACTCGCAGCACGCTCCTTGGAGCTCGAGTAATTTTGAAAAAGGCCTATTGCTCGTGCACAATGAGGAAGACATGAGCGGAACGCGGAAAATTGTAACTGTGCACATCGGTCACGATGGTTCCGAGAGAACGAACGAGACAAGGGTGACATGAGCGGACGAAACGTTAGATGTTATGCCCAAACTGACATTCAAATTTTGTTTTGCTTGTACGAGCTTCCCCAGCATTCATTTGACTCCATAAAACTTCTTGTAACCTGCGCGGAACGAGCTGTACTGCTTCCATATTATAACATTTGACGTCAGGTTTGCAGTGTTGCCAGAAGAACCTCTCAACCTATCAAAATTTCACCGGAGGTTAAAGAAGGTTCGCCAGTGAACTGATCAACATTATAAACCAAAGTCTGTTTACAAGCTTCCTAGAACGCACCTTTTCGTAACACGTCCACTCTGTGTAACTCTCAAAAAAGAAGCAACGGAACTGGCGAAACGCTAGACGCGCATTGCCTACTGTGGAAAGTGAATCTATCGTGGTTCTTATGGTGAATCTAAAGTTTGCGCAAAACAAGTGTCGTTTGAGAACCGTCTTTTTCTGTTGCCCGTGGGAGCCGTGCATTCTCCCCCGTATTCCGAAGAAGCCGAAATGCGCGAGAACGTGGTGGATCTTTCCCTCAGTGTTTCTCGTACCCACCTTGTCCTTGGAAAGGGTGTCGAGGGTGTCGAACTCCGCAGCCAGGGAGTCGGGGCTGTTGACGTGCCCCACCAGGTGCCTCCCCTCCTCTACGTGCGAGCTCAACAGCTGAGCCTGGAGCTCCTCGTTCGCTTCGCGCAACGCCTTGTTCTCCTGGGAGAGCACACGCACAAGTCAGAGATGGTTGGGAGACGACAGTGTCTGCCGTGCAAGCTCCACTTTTTTTTAGGAAGAAACGTTTACTTAAATATTAGGAGAGCAATTAAATTCGATCTGGGCAACGCTTTGCACATATCTATTTTTGTTCATTGCATATTTAAAGGACACATGCAAAGGAAAAAAACATTTTTTTTAAACGGCTTAGATGGAAAAAGGACGCCATAAAACGATTTTACAACGAAGAAAAAAAATTTTTAGAGCTATATTTACGGCGCAAAACGAATTTGTAGTTGGCGCCCGCGGGTGCTGCGGAAAAGTAATCTTTATTTGTCACGTGACTGGTCCATATTTATCACGTGGTGCTTGCGCTCTTTCAGAAGCTTCCTGTGGCCTCTAAAAGTAACTTATTCATCTTTGTTTGAAGTATAACAAAAAACTAAGATGAATAAGTAACTTTTAGAGTCCAAAGGAAACTCCTGAAAAAGCGCAAGCAGACGTGATAGACCTGTGCGCCGGTCAGACGACGGCGACGGCAGCGTGGAGAAACGCGTTGAAGCGGCGTTCGCACAACGCTCAGCGTGCGGCGGCGCGCGGGCCTACCACGTGACCAGCGGCGGCTCTTGCGAGCGCCAACTACAAATTCGTATAGCGCCGTAAATATAGCTCTAAAAATTTTTTTCTTCGTTGTAAAATCGTTTTATGACATCCTTTTTCCATGTAAGCTGTCTAAAAAAAATGTTTTTTTCCTTTGCATGTGTCCTTTAAGCATTAATTATCTACTCGATATCTGTGCTCTAAATATACCCCCTTCCTCATGACACATAACACACACAGTCGCCAAGAGAACACTGCAGTTCCGAGCACGTGGAGCAAAAGCTCGTGCTGTGCAGGACCCAGGGGATCAATTCCCACTCCTGTCCGTTGTTATTTGGACGAGCATCGTGTCAACACGCGGTCGTGCGTCGCAACTGCGCAACATGCCATAAAGACCCCAGGCTAGCGGTGGTACGGCTCGGGCTAAATTTTCCGTCTATGGCTTAAGCCAGCGCCACCGCACCTCAATGGCAGACCGATCTTACGCCATACAAACACGAACGTCAAAGTTGGTTCACCCTCGAATTACGAATAAACGAACAAAGAAGCGGGCACTCACGTCCCTGAGCGCCTGGAGCTGAGCCTCGAGCTCCCGGCAGCGTGCGGGCAACAGGTCGAGCAGGCTGGGGCTGCGGGGGCGCCCGTCCCGGTCGGTCCTCAGCCTCCTGAGCTCCTCCAGCTCCCTGCCCATGTCCTGCAGCAGCTGCGCATGCAGGGCCCTCTGCTGCAGGGCATCCTCCCGCTCCCTCCTCGCTAGCTCCTGCACGTGCCGGTGCTCTTCCCGCAGCTGGCAAAGCTCGGCCTGCGCCTGCTCAAGCTGGTCCACCACCTGCAAAGAGGCAAACGTTCCTCGCACATGCACCAACCATAGAAATCCATCGCTGCCTTGCAAGTCGTCATCGTCACTCATTTCTCCCAATTGCTATACTTTGTTTTCCCTTAACTTGGCAAAGAGTGGAGGGCTCCTTCGAGCCAATTGGAGCGACGAAGGCAAAGCATGTGACAGCCCATACCAAAGGTACAGGACCAGGGTTGTAACCCAAGCTGTTGGAGAAGACCTTACAGGGACTCTTTTGCACATACTAATTTTCACCTTCCTCGCCCTAGAAGATTAACCAATCACTCAAAATTTTTACAGAAGCGGCTTTCCTCCTCTGTCAGAGGCTTTCGCATTACTGCACGCAACTAGTAGTGAGACAGCATAGTTGCGCATCTCCCTCCGAAGTGCAAATTGGCTCACCGAGACCGCAGCCTTCAATGCTTGCAAAGTTATGGGGAGACCGAGTAAACTATGAACCTGTGTCTTTTTGCACTTGTCACCTAACTTTACTCACGTCAATTATTCTTCCTATACATTGTGTTTTTGCGGTATATTTGAACACACGTTTTCTGTCTCGCTTTTGCTTATACATATCGATGTTATTCTGAGTGCTTATTGCATAACTATTTTATGAACGATATTCCGCTATTTCTTGTTGAAAGGGTGGGGGGGTGAGTGCAAACCCAGTCGAGTCACACCTTGGTGACTTTTTTTAAGCACTCCCGACATCTGGTAAAAATCAATGTCAAATAAATTTGAAATCTGAAAAATCAAAGATAAAAAAGATGGTTAGTTGGTAGTACTGCTTCGAGTGTATATCCAAGACGCGAACTAAAAACGAGAACAGAAAAAATAAAAAGCACTACAGTGTTGTTTCTCAGTTGTTATTTAATGTGTAGCATTCATAGGACCAGCCCTAAGGATTTTCTGCCCACGGCACATAGCCTCGATCACATCAGTGTCCCGTGACACTGCAATGTTGTCCCAAAGGTGCTTAAATGCGTAGCATTTAGAGGTCTTTTACAATGGCACGCAACACCATTATGTCGCACGGCCCCGCGATGCATGTGACACTGCGATGCAACACGACACCATGATGGCGTGCGGCACTGCATAGCATCGCGGTGTTACGCAATGTGACCTGCCGTCAACTCACATAGTTGTGTAATGTTAGGCGACACTTGACGTGACATTGTCACGTCAAGCCATGTTATGTTGCGACGTCACGTAACACTGCGACATGACATCACGACGTTGCCATCATGTTGCGCGACACCAAGACTGCCGATTCTTCCTGTGGCCCACCTGAGCCTTCTCCTGCTTGAGCCGGTCTGCGAGGCCCCTGAGCCTGAGGGTCTCCTCCTGCAGGGACAGCTGCTCCTGCTGCAGCGAGTGCAGCCGGGACGCACACCGGTCCAGCTCGGCGCTCGTCTCCCGCTCCTGCCGACTCTGCGGGCAAGACCGGCCAACGGTCACCACCGCGGCCACATGTACCAGGAAGAGCCCCCCATAGTAAAAACATTAGACTGAGGTCCCGGAGTATTCGCCAAATGCGAAGCAAGCGCTCGGAAAGCTCTTTGCAAGGAAAATGTAGATGTCGTACTAGCCAAATGAATTGCAGTCGTCTCAAAATGACAATCGGGCATGCGTGTCAGTCTCTAGTTGATGGCTCCAATCGTGTGACAGAAGCTACACGATGCACCACTTTGTGCTCTAGTCAAGAGACAGGGTTCACCAAGTGCCTCGTAAAACTTGGTTTTCAGTCGGTGCACACAACCACGACTACATCAATTGTTTTCGCTTCACAATCGACGTAAAATGGACGTCGGACAGTGCGGAAAGATAGAATTTTCGAGGCGGATCTCGCGTTCGCATCGCCTAGTCGATGCAGTGACTTTAAAACGGGCAGAAACCAACGGCAGGCGGAGGTAGGCGATTGACGGCAAATCGGGCAACGGATGGCCGAGTTAATAAAAAGGTCAAAGGAAAGTTGAAACCGCAGGCGCTGACAAACTCGAGTCTTTTTGTCGCATTCCCTCGGTAATGTCTACGAGCTTGTAGGATACCGATTTCTTCTTCGCTCACCAAAGCATCCTTTAGCCTCCTCTCCTCCTCGTGGACTCGCTCGTCAGACTTGATCTCCAGTTCCCGGATCTGCTCCTCCAACGTGTGGATCCTGGAAGGTCCGGACATCCAAAACAGAATCCAATAAGAACAACAAAAGTTTGCTCGGATACAATACAAACACGAGCTGGCAGAAACGAATTCGCCCAAACGTGGAGAGACTTGCACATACACCGTAGCTCCCTTGTCATCAAGTTCCACACAATCGCAGTCCACAACTCGAGAAGTTGCAGCTCCAAACACGCAACGCTCTTGGGAACGGCCTTGAGGCCGAAGACACTAAGGGGACAACACTGCAGCAGGCGTGTCATCGAGCCCTTGGGAGCTTCCGTTTCGTGGGGGTGAAGATAACAAAACAAAAAATAAAAGACGAAAGCTCGATCCAAGAACAGTCCGAACTAGATAATAATTTAGGTTTTTCACAAGTACTTTTCAAAAGCAAGCTTTAATTGAGAAGAAGGATGGTTGTTAGAGTCCTGCATCATGAAGGGCAAACACATTACGAGCCGAATTGGCCATTTTAAGTTTGTCTTCAAAGAAATAACGACCTCGCCGACACCATTGTGAAAACGAGGAAACAATGGCACAGCGATTGGCTGGCTGTTATTTTCGGAACAATGGAAATTTATGCTAATGACATGCGGCAGTGTCCACTTACGAGTGGGGGTTTCCAGTTCTTTCCTCGAATTCGGTGGCATGAATCGGCATGCATTTGTGTACGAACCAATTGCCATTTTGCAGCAATGGCAGTTTGGCCATGACTGTGAAATTGGCATTTAACGGTGCAACAGTCCATGTTTTGACCATGCACTTCAAAATTTATGGATATGGTTAAATAGCTTTTCTATCGTGGCGCTGGGGCAACATTTCTGCAGTATACCGGAACCAGCTCATACTTTCTCTGTTTGGTAGGCACCTACTAGAGGACGAGTGGTCTTACAATACCAATGTACCGAAGAATTGTTTTCTGAAAAAATTATCTAACAGAATAGTATCTTCATAATTCCAGTACTTTAAAGGGACGCTGACAGGGTATTTATGCTCGCCGAGGTTTTTAGTTGTATGTGACATATGAAAGCCCAACTACTCGGAACGGAATTTGGGGCTCGAAATTCGGTTTCGTTCCACCCGAATACCGCCAATCGAGAACTGGCCGGTTTGAGTCGCGTGCACTCTCTTTTCCGTGGTCATGGGCCGTTTTCTAAGGTTTCGACGCGACCACCAAATTTTATCAAAGTCATGGGTCATCGAAGGCACACAGTCAATATTAAAAATAGAAAAAAAATATGAAACCCATTTTTTGTGGCTTCTAAAAAGCTGAAAATACGTTGATTAAAAAAAAAAAAACGTAGCACAGACAACTGGAAGCATTCTGTGCGTTCACTGCATAATTCTCAACACGGCATCGTTTCGCTTATCGTGGGACTAGCGGATGGCAGCGAACGACGGCCGTTGGACCTCTACTTCAGAACTGTCGTTCACGGTACCGGCGAATTCTGTCTTCCTTCGAAAGAGAAATTTTGGACCGATCCAAAGAACTGATATTCATCCCGTACGACACGCCCGACCAGCAAGCCGATTGTACGAAGACGTCGCCGAGTCGTCGTCTCTTCTCGAAGCTAAAGACATTGTTCGCACAAACGTCAAGCACGAAGTGCGTACTTCGGGTTGAATACGCACGCGTACGGTTTCTTTACGAGGTGCGAATGTGGCATATGCGTGGTGCTGCCCAACTTCAAGCCGGGAGTGCATGTATGAAAGGGAAATCGGCAGCAAAGTTCCGACATACAGTTGACCCGCTTCATTACTACGCCGGAAAGAGTTCCTTCAGTAGCTCAGTGGAAAGACGTCTGCTTCACACGCAGAGGGTTTGGGTTCAATCCCTGGTGTAAGTGTACCTTTTTTTTTTTTTGTCAAGCATTTTGCGATGTTTACATTTCTTTTTCTTACAATTATCACTAAAAAAAAAATTGTTGTGGACTAAATGGTATGGGATTCCATTTTTGACACCTGCGAACTCAACATAGTCACTTTCCACAAAATGCAAGGAGCATATGAATCGGGTAGCGTCCGCTTTCCGAGCTTCGCGTAACCGTTCTACGGGAATTGCAGCCAGCCATTGATCCCGAACCGTTGATCTTTCGGAAACTTGTGCACTCTGCCGCACAATGCCACTTTCAGATGCAGGACATGTGAGGCAGCCCTTCCCGCAACTTCTTGGGAGTATTCTTTTCGGAGCCGATCACGGGAATTCACCACGGGCACTCACTACTAATTGCCAACACTTAAATATACAAAACAACTCATTTTGAAGTACAGAACAGTGAGCAGAACAAACATAACTGGAAAGGAATCGCACAACAAACGAATGCAATTCGTCTGCTATGTGCTGAGAAAAAAAAAAAAAAAAAACGCACGGTCGGGTGTAGCCACGTGACTTCCACCACTCCACTCTATCCTCTCCACTTCTCTGTGGGAGTTTCGGTTTCGGTTTCGAGCCGTTGCGTTTTTTGGTTTTATTAAAAAAATATGTGACTCTGTAGCAAAATATTAATTGGGCAGTATTCCGACACCATAATAAATCGCGTGATGAAAAGATTAAAAAAATTTTGGGGGGGTGTCAGCGTCCCTTTAAATGCACTTTCAAGTATTACATGCATGCAGCAAGTTTGCTTTATTACTTTGACATCACTGCATGACCTAAATAATATTACTCTCAAATATGAAATTGTCCTCTTTATTCAACAGCTCGACATTCTAAAACTTTTGCCACATACTCCTGAACACCTAAATGGCAGGGTTATATTCAGCAGTTCTAGAGTAGGTCTGTGCTAGACATGTATTTATTTTTTTCATTGCGATTTAAGATATTACTACAACTATTATTAGACACAAAAATTGGGTATCTCGTCATGCACTGCATTTTGACACTGCGAAAACCAAACTGCAATCTTTCAAATTATGCTCGGTTAAATCTAGTAACAAAAAATTCCAACTCGACTGGAGAACAGTATCCGAGAGGAACCAAATCAATGCCAATGGCAGATAAGAGAGAAAGAGAGAAACATCTAGCAAAAAAAGAGATTTGGCACTGGCCGACCCTTCAACAATGGGCCATAAGGCATTGAAAGAAGGAGGCAACCTCAGTCCAAGAGTCATTACCACAACTCAAGATGCTGGCCAACATCCACACAATAAAATGTGACGTACGCTCCCCCTTCCCCTGTAGAGGTATTCAGTCGGATATGATGAAGTGCCTCAGCTGCCGACTTCGAAAATGGGGGTTATATAATGGTAAGGCCTCTATAGCTGTCCGCGCAGTAGTTTATATCACGACCAGGCTGTGCAGTTAGTAATGGACTTGATGTTGACTTTTGGATCGAATGGTGCACTTGAAAGCTGTGGCGCAACAGAGGCCTCTTGCGAGATAGAGGAACGCGTGATAAGGAGAAAATAGAACGTAAGCATTATGTAAGATTAAATTCGTCGTACAGATTGCCCGAGGCCGATTGTTTCCACTATCTCGGAACTGTACGCGGATTATGAAGACTCGCTACACTGATTTTTTTCTAAACCGAGAAAAATACAATCTATTCTACGAAGAATATTTAAAAACTGCGCTAATCTTTAAGCCATATGACAGACAACAGCTCCGAAAGATATTGTAAGGATTAAACAGTCTAGAGCAAAAACGAAACTAAAAATTGACGTGATCTTTAAAACCGGCAGGAACATCGTCATCGTTGCAGCGCCGCCGGTCGATGTCCGGTCGATCCTTCAAATCGAAACCAACTTTAACCTATGCAAGTATACAATTACACGATATTGATTGAAGCAAAAGTTAACCCGTTCCCGCTGTTTCGACGTCTACAACACCTTCACGTAGGCTGCACGCTGGCGGCATGCCGTATTAAGCCTAACGTCCACGACAACCTGACCGGGCGTTCACTCGGCTCCGCGGCCCACAGGAATGCAAAATAGCCATTCCGGCCGCTCCACCCGCTGCAACTCGAACCAGTCATTCTAGATACACGACAGCGAACGAAGAACAAAAATGTGGGTCGTCCTTGACACAAAAATCGGTCTGCACTTACCGAAGAGGACAGAAAAACCGATCGAACTGTCAGGCTCGTCACACGAAACGCAGTAGCAGACGACAACACATCGCACCGTGGCAGACGATATCCCGACGCACTGCCAGCGCATAAAACGCGCCCGAAAACCTCGCCAGCGACCCGCGCACAACTGTCCGTAACGTTTCCTAGGAAACGCTCCACCTACTCGGGAACAGGCAGAGCCCAACTCGCAAAGATAAAACAAAAAAGAATAAAAGGGTCGACTTCGCATCGGGTTTTCCTTCCCACGACGCGCCCCGTCGCCCAGCGCCATTTTGGTTTTTGGTTTGTGCGTTCGTTTCGGTTTCGCTTGTGTGTGTATAGATTCGTTTTTGCGCAAGTCGTGACACAAACTCCCCTCCTCGCCCCCGAGCGATCCTTTTGAACTGGTTTCGGTGCGTACTACCTGTCCTGCTGCTGACGCGCATCGGTTACTTTATATTTGATTTTTCGTTTTTCGCTGTTGCGGCTGGGTGCTTCCGGTCGCGGAAACGCGTTTGCTACAACAGCGGCAGACAACGACACGAACCGTGACGGCGAATAACAGACGATGGGAAGCAGTGCCGCGAGCAGACGACAATTTTGAGGGCAGAAAATGCCACGGCATGCATATCCGCGTGTGACAATGATTACAATAACTGCAGAGCTTGAAAGTAGTTATTTAAAAAGAGTGGGCAAGAAAGCTCCCAGACGATTGCATAAAATTTCAGGCTCTTGTGACTTTCATTTCATTCATTCATTTTATTACCTTAAGGACCTCCATGTGAGGCATTACAAAAAGGGGTATAAATTCACTTTCCGTATAATAAAATTGCAAAGAAACTGGGTGATTTTGCAGTATTTTGTAGGAATGTAGACCACTCGTTTTCTAACTGCCTACAAACAATATTTAAAAAAAAAAAAACATTTCGGTCATTCGTAAAGTTGTTAAAAAGATGCCAAGTACAAAGTTTAATAAGAGCTCAACTACATTCAATGTAATCAAATTGAATTGCGAGGGAAGTTGTGCATAGCCATTTCTTTTTAGCACAAGAAAACCAAACATTTATTGATTGATTGATTAAATGTATTTGACACCCCGAAAAGCTAGTTGTAGTGCTACCATTTTGTTAAAACACCTGAGACTGGGTGTGAAAAAACTTGAAACAACGAAAACTAGAGAGTGAAAGAAGTCAGTCAGACAACGTTTCAAACTCGGCTAATACGTTTATTTAGTAAACCAAGGTCGTCACCAACCAAACCAACACAACAAAGAAACAAAATCTCTTTCCTTTCCATTTTTTCTTTGTTGTGTCGCTTAGTGACGACATTGGTTTCAAAGCGTATATAAGAGGCTTACTGAATAAACGAATTAGTTGAGCAGGCCTAGCAGGTCTGAACATCCAACCCAAAAATTCGCGAATCCTTCCCATACCTCTTGCTTGCAGGGCACTCCAATAAACGAGAATGTTGTTATTCGCTCATTATGCAGGATGTTTTGCGTATATTTTGGCTGTGCCCTTTCCGGTTTTAATCGAAAAATGCCGATAACATCCGCCGGTGACAAACACAAAATCGGTTAAAACTGAAAAACAGAGGTGGATGAACGTTTACGCCCCGATTAAAACCGAAAAACACCGGAGGTCGCTGTGGTTCTTCCAAAAACCACAGCGATTTCTGAACTGACACTGGAAGGACGCATGACCCCCGAGATAACACGTTTCACGAACCTCTACGGGGCAAGAAATCAGAAGAAAATAGCCGTCCCTAGGGCGGAAACATTCAACGATCGGTGTCTTCCGGTTTTAGTCGGGGCAAAAGCATTCATACACTGGCATTTTTTGGTTTCAACAGATTTTTCATTTTCATCACCGGCAGACGTTCATTGGTGTTTTTCGGTTAAAACTGGAAAGTGCACAGCCTAGTTATAGCATGCTATTTTATTGCAAACTCGGTCCTTTTTTTATTTGATGGTGGGCACATTTTGGATTTCTTGTTTCTTCCCATAAGATGTTCGAATAGGAACGCCGGCCGTACACGCCGGCATTCGCGTTTGAACAGTGAGTAAAGACCACCATGGTAGAGATAGAGCCAGCATGCATTACATCTACCCACTAAATGATGCAGTGGTAGAATGTCAGGCTCACGATCGTGGGGTTGTGGGTTCGATTCCCGATGGGGCGCGCTTAGGATATTGTTCTTCTCAATCATGGAGTCTTTTGTGCAGATTGTCCTCTGATGTATGTAGTGTTAGACATTTCGTAATGGGAATTCCCGTGGCACTCCGTCACACTTTCTCGGGGGACCCTTAAAGACATTCTGCGTTGGAAGAGGTTGAGGCTCGAGAACAGACCTGTCCACGAGGGAGGCGTTCTCCTGCTTGACCCTCCGGTAGAGGTCCCCGTTGGAGGTGAGGTTGTCGCTCAGGGCAGACACCTGGCTCTGCAGCTGCAGCACCTTGTCGCTCAGGTCGTCCACGCACTGCTGGCGCTCGCTCAGCGACTGGAGATCCTCCGCCTCGAAGCAGCCCGAGCTGCGGCAGCCCACCACCAGCGTGGGGTTACTGCCCAGGCTCTGGAAGGGCTCCCTGCACGACGCGCATTCGACGGATGGCGCACTACTGGCTGCTGTTGGCCACTAGAGTAGAGAGCGTCTGGCAGCTATACTGTCCTCTGTTAAAGGAACTGAGGTAGAGAGCATTTGGCTAATACTGGCAACTAAGAGCAGAGAGCATTCGGGTTATGTTGGAACCAGAGCAGAGAGCACTTGACTACTGTTGGCAACTAGGGCAGAGACCATTTGGTTACTGTTGGTTGGCTGCTGCTGGCAGGAGCACTACTGACTACAGTTCGTTGGCTACCATTTGTTGGCAACCCTTTGTTGGCCATTGTATGCTTAATACCGTTTGCTCAATACCGTTTGCTCGCTACCATTTGTTGGCAGCTAAAGCAGAGACCATTTGGCAACAATTATTCACGACCTCTAGCAAGTGCACTCCAAAATAACAGTACTACACGGTGCTACAACCTCTTGTAAGCTATGAAATGTGAAGAACACTGTTGTGGAATTGCAGGTGCGGAAACTACACTGAAGCATCCCAAGTGTCCTAAGGGATTGAGCGAGAGAGTGAGACAGGTGGTGAGTGGCTCAATGAATGGGTGGTGCACGAAAGCAACCGATGTCAAAAGCCTCGAGGCGAACGTCCCGGCCTTCTTGCCCCACTTTCAAAAGCCCCAGTTTCGGAAGCCCATGACGCGAATCCCCCGGTGCCAAGTGACCGGGTCCTCAGCGCGAGGGAGGAGCATTCTGCTTTTTAACCCACAGTAAGTGTGCATGGCTTGTGTAACATAATCAAGCCGTATTGAGGATTTAAGTAGTAAGGCATGACTGAATAAAGCTTCCCGTAACTCAGGCGTAGATGCTGTACGCACTCACGTCTTGTGACGTCAGAAGTGAGAACAAACAGAAAATATCAGTCAACGGCAAAACATTTAAAACAAGTTTTTATGAATAAGCATCGAACCAACGCTGTCATCGACTCCGAAGCACGCACGCATGGAATCGCAGTTCCGACGAAGTGGGTTCTGTCAGAAATGCCAACCCACAGCTCATGACGCCGTACTTACTATTATGTATACAGCACCAAACACCAGTTCTATTCTTGCGTCGCTCCAAAAATATTTTTATCCATCTAGGTAGATACGGTCTATAATTCTACGTCTGGGAATACCTCCATGACAGCGGGGTGTGTCGCTGGTTATGCAGATTTACGCAATTGGCTATTTGTACATCATTCGAAGTGTTTCTGCGGTTCAAGTTAACCTCATTTTGTTGTTTCTTTAACTTAAAAAAAAAACCTTTGTAGACTCAATTCTTTAGATTAAGACGTAGAACAGTGCTGGTTTAAGCGCAAAGAGGGTGGGACGGGGGCAGTGAGGACGGGACTTTTGGCAGAAGGGGAATACAGGCCGGGGTAATTTAACGCGGGGTTTTTGAAACGTGGGGCTAATGACACAAGGCTTTTGCGACAGGGACCCTGCACGCGGGGCAATCATGATACACCCCAATGAATGAGTGAGCCAGGTAAGTGATGAAGTGAGTGAGGCAAGTGTTTGAGTGCAGCTAACATTGACAAGCAGACAAAGTTTCCTCACAATATGAACATCCATAAAGTGGCACACTGGCCAAACCCTGACAGAAACACCGGGAAAATATAGTAAGCTTTGCTGCATGGAGGAATCTAGGCGGTAGCAAGTTGGCCAGTCTTAGAATGGTGTATGATGCCTCTGCTCTAAGGTGGAAAATTTCGTCATTGGAAAGAGATCATCGAGGAATCTGAGACACTACAACAAATTATAAATAAACTTTCATAAACTGCAACCAAAACTCATACAAACAAAACAAAAATCCAATTGAGGGTATGCAAAAAAAAAAAAGCTAGCAGCGCAAATCTGAATTGAGTTTGCTCGAATGCTAGTGATAATGTGCGATACGTGCCGTATATAAACATGCAGCGAGGGGCGGGATACTTAGGCTAGTGCAGAGAAAACATACGACAGAGTGCCTAAACGCTCTCTGCTCTAGTTGGTGCAGCCGAGGATGCAGTCCAGTAAACAGGCCCCTTATGTCTACAAGCGGGAAACTGCCGGCATTCCTCCCTCCGTTTTTCTTCAAACAATAGGAAGTGACTCTCGGGCACGTACCCTCCCAATGGACTGGACTGTTTCCTGTTTGACCTGGAGGAAGAGAGATCAAAAAGTAAAAAAGATTAGCAGTAGGAAATGCCACATAATGCCAGTCCCACCCCTGGGGAGTTTTCGAGGCTAAGCCGAGATTGAACTTGGACTCGTTTTATTCAACTGCAGAGAGAGCCACGAACCCCATTATTGCTGCCACTCCACTTTACCACATCATGATAGGTTAAGACCATATGTAAATGCGAGACATTACGGTTCATTTTGCTGCGAAATATTGCCTCTTTTTTTAATTAAAAACAAGCTTACTTTATACTTGCAGCTCCGCTGACTACGGTTTGATATTCCCAGCTTTTTCGGCACAAACAATGTAACGCAGAGCTGGCAACTGTGGTTTTCTTTCGATGCCACCTCAACAATGATGCCATCGTGCAGAGGTTGTGTAGAAATTCCCAGAACTTAGTTTCTTGTAAGAAATAATGGTTCCAGAGCAGGGTAAAAGGATGCCTACTCACCCCGATCGCCTAAGACTAGTTCGTAACCAGGAGTTTCGTTGTGGCAGTTGACGTCGGCCGCTCCCGGAGCCGCCGCTGCCCTGACTTCGAAAACTGTCTGAACTGCAACAGAAAGTTAGAGATGTTGGCGGAACAGAGCATGTTATGCATGCTCCACATGCAACATATCGTGGCTAAAAAGAAGTTTGCGACTTGACACTACCAACCTCAAGAAACCCCAATTGGACAAAGCAAGTCCTTTCCTACACCTGCACGACTCTGACGACTACATCGTTGTTCCTTGAACCTGTCTAACTACAGCATCTGTCCCGATCTATGACTTAGTCCCAAGGAAATGTGTCCCACAATCACAATGATGTCTCAATTTACGGTGACACAGATTTATGACTGCTCCAGATTGACGGAGATGTCTACCCATTTTCCGAGTGTTCCCACCAACGCAATAAACCTGTAACTTCTGTCTCCCAAAAGAATGGTCAAACCTGTTGCATTAGCGGGCACACTTTTACCCCTTAGCATATAATGCAGGAAATTAGGATAGGATGCCCTCAGAGTTGAACCAACTATCGGACGTCGCATCAGATTGACAGTGGTCATATTTACAAACAAAAATTAAAATTAAAGTTCAAGTTGTTTTATGCTTTTCGCTAAGCTTATGGGACATTAGAAGGGGACGAAACTTTGAGGAAAGCGTACCTGAGGGACGGCCTGCCAATGTCCATGACTCCAAAGTCCTCCTCCTCTCCATCGCACTCGAAGCGTTCCTCGGCATCGCTGTAGCTGGGACTCCCACTGCTGCCACTGCAAGGGAGACGCCGCCATTAGGAAAACCCTTACACCACTATGCAGCAACAACAAAGAACCCTTCAAACAAGTCAATCTTTTTTTAGAAACAAACACTTCCTATTTATTATGTCATCAGATCATGACTTCTGCCACTTCGCTCTTCTGGTTCAGGGATTTGTTTTGTCAAAGATGGATAGAAACGTCTCTTTGGATAGCACAGGAGAAGTTTCAATGGTGGGCATAAAAAACCTTTACTCTGGAACTTGTGCCACTATTACAAGCAGCCTTCTGAAGTGCAGATTTAACAAACAAAACAAAACTAAAATGAAGTGCAATGCAATGACTGCAAGCCAATCTTTTTTAGAAAAATAACCTGCTTTTTTTTTTTCTTTGTGGACAAGAATGTCTCACGATTGTGAAAAAAATAAAAAGGACTAACTGTTTTGACCAAGTTGCTGAGCTCATTATGGGAATGCCAAAACAATTGGAGGGCCAATATAGTCCTTTCTGAAAGCCTCTAATAATCTGACAACTACATTAGAAAACTATTAGAAAGATTGAACAAGAAGAAGACAATGCACACTGTTTTCATCGCTTTTGTGTTCTTTCCAGTTTGTGACCATCTTAGCACTATGCTGAGTAGACTTTGCAAGAGGCAAAAATATTCATGTAACTACGACTGAAGTATGCGGTTTGCAGGAAGCTTTCAATGTCAATTCTAATTGAGTAGGCATTTAAGACATTCACTCAATGCAGTGATGGAAGTGGCATTTGACCTTCTGTAGCAGGTTCTGTTGCGGGCAAAATATTGGTTTGGGGCAGCCACTGAAGTTTTTGGAGCAGATGCCAACATTTGTTAGCGCATCAGTCGCGAATGAAAAAGTGATTGCATCTGAATGAGTTCATTCATGATAGTGACCGAGGGTTCCCCTTTGATACTCGAGCATATTACTTATTACCGTTTGTGGTAAGAATAGAGAGGGCATAAAAGGAACAAAGTTAAATAAGGCTCTAGTCAGACTAGGTTTCATTTACAATGGGTATTAAAAAATGGTTGAAAAGTGAATCATAGTGCAAGACTTCATATGAACAAACCCTCTCCTCTCCCCATTTTACATTAAGTAGTTTGTTTAGCCCGTAAATATAATTTCCGTAAAACGCCCGCGAGAACCAGCATATCCACTAACGCGTCTACCAATAAAAATGCGTCCCTCAAGTTTAATGAACGTCCCAAACTCGAGACTAACATCATAAACTACGAAAACAACCACCCAAAAATATTCTAAAAGCCTACACTCACGCTTTCAAGGTGACACTGCTCTATAGCGGCGTAGGAACCAGAGGGGAACCAGAGTTTCGTCGAAGTTTGCCGCTCTTTCGATCGACAGCTGCACGGGAACCAACCGTGACTACCCTATTTATTCAAATGTCTATAGACCCTTGTTTTCTTCTCGCTCTTTCGCTGCTGTATTTTTTTTTTTTTTTCAATTAGACATTAATGTACATTTAAGTGGTGCAAAGAAGGTCGACTCGCAATAATCTTGAGCATAATTTGCGTGCCTATCGCGCTAAGCCAGGCGCTCCCCCTGGTCAGCCGCTGCTCCTAGCACACCAGTGCAAAGCGGTGAAGCTCGACGCGAGTGGCGAAGGTGCCACGGTACTTCGCAGCCACGGAACGAGGGCACGTGACAGACACGATACTCGAGCCATCTTATCGGGAGTACCAGGCCCTGGTTTCGCTTTTATCGCGGTAGCCGCAAGCGGCGATCCAACTATTTTGCAAAGTTTTCTCGGGACCCTCAGTTCCTGACGGGGACGACATCGTCTGGAAATGGAGACGATGTCGGCGATCAAACAGTCAGCGCATCGATCGGCCAGAGCGGTTGATGCCCAGCATCGACGGCTCTGGCCGGTTGATTCGCAGCACCAAACTGCGACATCGTGGCATTCGCTATCTCCCTGCACGTGTTCTTTCGTCGGCTAAACCAATCAAGTGCAGAGAATGTCCCGTGACTCGCGCTTTTAGTTTGGGTGTTTGTGGTTGCATGCGTTTGAGCCTTCGAGTGTGCCCTGACCTAAGACGAAACGAACTATATGCTGAGTGGAGACGCCGCGAAATCCATATTTGCACTTTTTTTTTTCCTTCCGCTTCTCCAAATATAATAAAACTTTTTTTAAGCTTATCTCGGCGCAGGTGTGGCGCAATTCTTAGCAAAAAATGACGTTTTTGCGCAAGATGTAGCAGATTTTCGTTAATGGCGAAATTTGGTGCAAACGACGCAGTACTTCCATCGCTGCTCAATGTCACATTAGGTTAAAATATCCTAAATTAAGTGTCTAGTTCATTCTTCGTAACCACTTCGATGAGAAGAATTTTCTCTCAAACTGAATTTTGATGTGGTTTTTATTCGTGACCAACGTCGCTCTTCCGAGGTCTATTCTTGTTTCGCATATATACGAGGGTGAAGCTGGAATAATGGCATAATTCCCAATACCGCCCTTATTTTTAGTCTCCTCGAGCAATTCGTGGCTTCGACTGTGTGCGATTATCGTAACTGGGTTGCAACGCTCGTTTGTTTCTACCAAAAACGATTAAAGGCGCATTAAGCTGTACATTGAAATTGTCTTTTGATGATCCGAACTCAACCTATGTGCCCTACTTCCCCATTAAAAGCGCAAGCAAACAACCCGACACATTCCTTTTCTGAGATATATATCGGAAGAGGAGCGTGCCACAATGTTTGGTTGAGCTTTTAATCTAGAAGAAGACCCCTCACGATTCTATGTTTTTCTGCGATGCTTAGGGCACACATATTGAGTTCACGCATTAAAAAGACAAACTCGATATCTACTCCACCTTCAAAGAAGTTAAAAATAAAATAGAACTGACCACTTGTTGACAGGCGAGCAGCGGTCGCTGGGAGGAAGGGCGCTGTCTGTGGGGCTCTCTGCCCTCAGGGACATGTCCACTTCGTCGCTCGACTGCAAACAAGACAAATCTTTTGAAGAAACATCAATACAAGGAAAATATATGATACTATAAAATCTGGTATGAGCGCCCACCCACACTGACGAGGCAAATAATAAGAAATATCGGGTGGGCGACGAAAACGCGGGAACTGTGGGAACTCGCGATGAACTCCTGTATCACGGGAACCGATGCCACAGATTGCAGATTCACGTAAGACGATGCGAGAAGCACATAAATACGTGGGAACCCCACCACGAGCTCGCGTATCACGGGAGGCCGATACCGCAGATCGAGCGCGTCAGAGATTCGAGTTTCACTCTGCTACAATTGGTTTCAAACTCGCATGTCAAGGCAAACGATTGCGTGCGTAGATTACGGACACGGCCATAGCCTCCTCCATACTGACAAAGCCTGGCAGAACGCCACGAGAAGCTGCCGCCAAAATGGGAAAGGTGGAGCGGCAGACAACGGATGAGAGGAGAGCCACGTGAATGACGCCCCGCTGCGGCGAGACGCCGAAACACATTTCTCCCGAGCGAGCAAGTGTGTTTCGGGTCCTCGCCGCTGCCAAAGCTGTGCGCTGACGTCCAGGTTCCCCAAGAAATGGCTCTTTGATGCTCTGCCCTACCAGATCCTCGCGCTCCAAATCTGCGACTGGGCACCCTATGGCTCCGTCGTCGAACTGCCAGGCTTTGCGAGTATAGAGGAGGCTATGACACGGCAAGCTCGAGGTTCCATGGTGCGGTAAACCCGAAGGGAACCCCGCTCGTCGCGCGCACCGATGCAGCAGACCGCGGGAATGATGCGATTCCCTTTGGCCATTGCCTGATATCCGATGGGAAGCGAGAGTTGGCGTCATGTTCCGGAGTTTTGCATCTACAAATATTCAGCCAGCTTGTGTCACGTATCATCGCTACGATTGTTGCCATCGGTAAGAGCCTCATCGAGGCTTCGAGGTCACGATCGTTCCTCAAACACGTGTTTTCCCAAAAACGCGCGAAAAAAAGACCCGACGCACCGCGGCCCACCGGCAGCCCGCCAAGGTCATTTTGCCGGACCACGAGGCAGCAACAGCCCGGCAGAGAAAGGGTCACGGTCGCTGGGCCGAGAAGGGCAGACAAAAGGTCGGCCCCTTCGATGGTAAACGATCCGCCGGTTCCACAAGACCAGTTCCCCACTCCACTCGGGGAGCCCACATACAGCTGTTATAAGTCACCAGGCGTGTCTTCTGCCGGTCACGGTCCGCCTCGTCCGCGGTGTCATGCGACACGCCGAGACCGCTAAAAAGCGAGACGCGTTCCGATTTCCAGGCGCCGACGCCGGCTCGGCAGAACGACCGATGTGAGCTAGGCCTTCAGGAATTCGCGGCGAATTTCCCAGAACGGAAGACGGAGGAACTCTGTTTTGTTCCTTTGTGAGGCTTCGACGCGTCGTCATGCCCCACTTTATAGAATATTCGCAAGCTCGCAGATTCACGTAGCGGCCATTTTGAACTCATGGCGCCATTTTATGTACATACTTAACTTTCTTTTTTTTTTTAACGGGAAGACAAAGAATTAGATATAGGTAAGTAGCTTCGGAAGTAGAGGAGCTCGGTACCATCTTGAAATAACCTTCAGCGAGGACTCAAACCCAAAAAGAATACGGTGCACACACAACACACATACAAACGCTGGACAGAGGGAATCACATTGCCTCTACACGCGAGATACACGATCGTAGCGCAACGCGGTGCAAGAAAGAGCGCTCGCAAATCGAAATGGGGACTGTCGCAAGCAACCACGTCCCTTTGTTCGGTCCAACTTCGCAACAGGTTGATTTGTTGGGCACAACCGGGATTTGGAGCGCAGGTCTCCTCTCCGACTATTACACACTCGCTAAATTGTTTTTGTTTTTTCTTTAACGCAGAATGTGTTTTCTTATCTAAGTGCCACGTAAGAAGCGGCCGTCTGTCACGTTCGACCTCTAGGCTCGAGCATTACACATACCAACTGGAGATTCTGGTCAAATACAGGCACCTAAAGGAGTGTTCTGGCCGGATGAAAGATCCTAGCCCAACTGAGCTGCCAGCTCAAGGGACAGCTTGGCCGGACTGGGATATGACACCAATGCCCATCTGCTTATGACCTTGAGGGCAGGGTGCCACGTGACCCCCTGACATCGTGTGACGTCATAAAACACCGTCACGTGACATGACGTCACGTGACCTCATGACGACACACGCACATGGCATGTGCCCGGCTCAATCACGACACAATATATTGCCCACAAATAATGCGCACAACTTTTTTTTTTTTTTTGACGCGAAGACAAGTTTCGCGTGTGTACATATATATGTATATATATATCAGTGTGTCGAACCGAAAAAAAATACGGGTTCGGTTACGGTTCAAGTTCAGGTAAATTTATTTTGTTCCGGTTCAGTCCCGGTTCGATTAATTCGATCCGCGAACCGGTTCGGAAATTATAAATGACAAATTGCAACATCAAAATAAATTACAAATAAAACATCTGAAATCAGCACATACGAAACGGGATACATCGTAGTGTAAGGTTCAGGGATTTCTACCAGGAATGGTTTCTTTATGTGCACTCAAAGGTTACCCCACCGACGTTTACGCATTCGGACTTCATCTAATTGGGTCCGACGCAGTAGCTGTAAAATCCGCGACCTCCTTACAAACCCACTTACAAGTAGAACTCGCTAACTATCCCGCCACCTCGGCGTGTAAGCAATTGAAGGAACAGTGGGAAGAAAATACAGCTTTCTTTATTTGAACTTGCCTTCGGTAACTCAAATTAGACCCTTAAAGAAGTTTTCATTAAACAAGATACGAAATATGAAAAACACTTCACCGAACGCAACGCCAGAAGGATGTAATAAGATAAATATTAAAATAGAAGCGTTCGCTGTCTCACAAATATGTTAGCTTCTAAGTGCCTATACGCACTTAAAAAACAAATGGCATTGATAGCACATTCATTGTCAACAGCGCGTGGCCGAACCGTTTCGACATGAGCCGGTAACCGTTATTTTTTTTCCGGTTCAGTTCCGGTTCGGGTTCATCGCGATTAAAATATAACGGTTCGGGTTCGGGTTCAGTTCCGGAAAAAATACCGGTTCGGTTCCGGTTTTGGGTTCGGTTCCGGTTCGACACCCTGATATATATATATATATTTTATTTTATTTCTTTTTTGAGAAGTGTCATTCTACGAGTTCAGATACCCGGTGTTAGCTTGAATAGCAACACTCCGACCAATGTCTCAGCTTCAAAAAAGCAGAGCATGATCCTAGTCATTCGAAACGAAAAACAAATCAGCAATCGGCTGAAAATGAAACTAAAACGAATCACACGCCGTTCTGACACCAAGTATACAAAAAAAAAAAAAAAAAAAAAAAAAAAAAATTAAAAAGGGGCAAGAAAGGGGGAGGGGGGGGGGGGGGGGGGGATAAACATCAACGGGTCCAAACAAAATCGGAATCAGCAGCCGCAAGACCTAACCGAGCGTCAAGTGCCGCACCGCACGCGTGCCATTACGACCACTCGAGAATGCAGCTTTCCGAAACCCGCAAAATCCCAAAGAAAAAATAAATATTTGCCCCGACCCCAATGCGTCTGCTGTGCCCGTTTAAAACTTCGTCGATTTTTTTTTTATTTGTTTTTTGTTTTGTTTTTTGCTTTTTTTCCTTCCTCTGGCAAAAAGAAAACAAGAAATCTCTTTGCCAGGCAGTTCAAAGTGAACGCCAAAAAAGCCCGCCGGCTTCCCTGCGGAACGAATAGGCCAGCTAAGCGAGACAAGCAATGGGTCAAAAAAAAAAACGAAGAAAGGCGACGGCGGCGGGGTTTCTTTCTACTGTCTGGTTGGGGGGGTTTCGTCGCTCTGACATAACGTCCGCAGGTCCGAGAGAATGAACGCGTCAAAAAGGCCCAGCTTCGCCAGACGTTGGATCGGCGTGCAAGGTACGGACATGGCGTACAGATCGTGTTCCGATCCACGATGCAAGTCGAACTGACCCGAGTTTCAGCGGGGGTTGTTAGCGCAGACGAACGCTCTAAGGCCTATTCATAATCCTCATTCCGTAGCGTTAAAAAAAAAAAAAAAAAAAAAAAAAAAAAAAGACAGGTATACGCGTCTATGGTAACAAACCACAGAAATTGTCCTCTATGGAAGGTTACGCTTTCACGGTATATTTCTATCTATAAAACTACGTCTTTCAATTTTTCTTCCATTCGTTCGGTAGTAATTTCTCAACCATGCACCTTCCCACCAAAAACGGGACACGAGGGAATTCATCGAGACAAAATGATTGGACGGCACGTGTGAATCTCAAGAACGGGACTGCCCGGTCAAAACGGGACTGCCTGGTCACCCTGTACCCTAAGCGGGCTTCCGCAAAATGCCAAAGTGCGCTTTAAAGAACATTTTGGTGCATACCACGAGACAAATTTCCTCAGAAATATAAAGACAGGTCTACAGCAATTATCGCGCTAAACATTTTCCTTCTTTTTTTTTTTTTTTTTCGACGAACCTTGTATTGAGGTTTGACTCGTTTGCGCATGCGCGACAGGCTGGCCAGTCGGCTTCGGATTGGATAATGATGGCTCAGGGATAAATCAAGGGCAGCGCTGATTCGTTATTTCAGTTAGTAGTGTATAAACAATTAAGTTATTAACTTCTTCAGTGATTAGAACTGATTTCTTCTATTTGCAACTGTTAATAAAATAAAATAACCCTTTGCATAAAAAAAAAATCTCCAAACCTAGACATGCTTGTATCAAGGTCTGGCCACACTGTCCACAAAGTCGAACCGGTCGAATCTGGTGAAAAGTTTCGAAGGTTCGTCGACCGGTTCGACCCAGTCGAACCCCGAAAGTTCGACCTAAAAATCCGGTTCGACAAAAGTTCGCGACACCCCTTACTATAAATATATTTATAGAATTTTTTTTTTTTTCGGCGAGTTCAAAATTACTGTAACGAGCGATAGGCGCTAAGAAACGACGTATTGAAA